ATGCGCTCCAGAGGTTGATCTGCCATCCAAATAATACGTTCAGAAGGAAAGAGGGCTCGCTTTGGGGAGGGGGACATTGCGAGGGGGAACCTGAAAAGAGCGGAGGTCAGCTTTCAAGGGGGATGAGTGCAGCATGTAGACGTGAAGGGGAAGGGGGTGCGCTTTGAGGGGATGGGTGGGGGGGTCCTCGCCGGGGTGGACGTTGCAGAATTCGGGGAAGGATTGGGGGGGAGGCCACACTTTTTGGAAACGCTGAACACAGAGAAAGAGACAGGCGCGCTTTGGGTCGGTTGCCTGGCGAAAATACATGATGGAAAGCGGAACCTTAACCTTCAAAATGATTATTCCGAAGCATGTAAGCATTCAAGGGCAGGGGAGCGAGGTGGGGAGAACGAAGTGGCAACTTTCTGAAAGTTGAAGTTGAGTATTCCTCAAGGGCACGTTGGGGGGTTTTGCCAGGAGGCAGAAGGCCCTGCGAAGAGGGGGCTCAACCTTGAACAGGGCCGAAGAATCTGGAGGGCACTTTGGTTGGAGAAAGCGAAGGCTTCCGGAACTATCGTCATGAGAGAAACCTCTGGAACAGGCCGACGAAGAATTGGGAGGGCACTACTTTTGGAACAGTCGAAAGTAAACGGAACAATCATCTTTAGAAAAATCTCTGATACATGGCTCACCAAAGCTGGCTTATCTGGCCGTGCAGGAGTGGCAGGCGCAATCGCCTCCCCGATCGGCAACTTCCCAGCCTTGTAAGCGCAGTATGCAGCGTGCGTTATCGAGGACTTGAGCGCAGGGTCTCGCGTCTGCAGAACCTGTTCAGAGATTGCAAAGAAGCTTATATGAACTGGGTTAAGTCCAAATGTCTGTCGATACCTTTCTTCCTGACAAAGTCGTCGGATCCTACTTGGGAGGTTGTCAGCGCCTTTCTAGATCTTCAGTGCAGATTCAACGTGCTCCTGAAGGCAAGAGGCTGATCAATCTGATCGATTGTATCCGCACCAACAGTTCTGGGTCAGCAAGGCAAGTCTCCCTGCAACCTCGTACGATGAACGGCTTGAAGGTATCCCTGTTTCTGGCGCAGACATGTCATGTCGCAGACTGCAGAAGATTCTCAGAAACGGGATGATAAGCAGAAGGAGAATGAAGTCAACTGGCAAATGCTGATGAGATAAGCGTTTATGCCGGCCAGCCAATGCTTTCTTGTAATGGGTCCAAGCAACCACCTCGAGCCCCCTCCAGCGTAACCTGCCAAATTTGATCTGCACATCAAAGGTGCAGAGATTGTGAAGCCCCCAGGTCCAGTCAGCAAGTGGATTGGCTTCTTCCATCCGTTTCTTCTCACTATTCCCCAAACATTTCAATGGCAACAGAACGAGCTGATGCAAGACCCACCTGCCGTCCGCACTCCGCCAGCGAATCTGCCAACACAAACTCGTGCTTTTCGCCCTTGTCCACTTTCGATTGCACCCCAGCTTCCGGCCCTTTCTTCCCCAGCCCCCTGCTCTCATCAACCTCCTTTGCCCGCCAGTCGACGAGCCCTACCCACTCTACTGGATCAGTGAGCTGGTTGTCAGCTTCGGTGATCTGCGGGTTCTGAGCTGCTTCCTTCTTCCGTGCGCGGCGGCGCGCAGTCCTAGCGGGGACTCTGGCGTTTTCTGGGGGGCTTTTGGGGTGGTATGAAGTAGAAGGCTTGGGGGGAGGGGTATTTAGTGACTCCAAGGGGAGAGTAACTTGACTGGCAGTGACATGAGACAATGCTCTCCTGTAGGTTGCTGAACTATAAGCATCATCGTTGAAGCTCCGCAGTAGAGAAGGGAGGCGCGTCGGACTGCCGCCTAGCCGCAGCAAAGGCCGGACAGCACTACAACGATGACGGAGGCTTTGAACAGTTGAAAATTTTAATCTGGATAAAAGGTTGATGGGAAGTGCCCAAACGGGTGAAGAAAGTGCAAAGGAAGCGCTATGCGATCCACCACTAATTAGTGCAGCGCCACCCACATTGCACCACCGTGGCGCTCCACATTGCACCAGTGTGGGAGCTACCATTGGACCGATATTGCTTAACAGACGACGCTGAGAGAAGAGGACAGGAGAGAGACTCCTTTCAAGGACTGTCAGCAGGCTGGCCATAGTCAACGAGAGCGATCCATGGCCGCTGGCGAGCTCACCAACTTCTCTCTTTCCAGGCCAGGGCCAAATGCTGCACAGTTTCCACTTCTAAAGCTGAGGCTAATCACTGTTGTCTAACCAGAAATAAGTCGAACGCCTAATCTAGAAAGAGGCTTTTGTGCGCACGCCAATCGGGTACGGATTCTTGAAGCTTTGACTCTGGTCAGCGAGAAGGTTAAGTACAGGAAACCCTGATTTCCTTGCTTGCAGTTCAAGACGTGAAAATTGAAATGGTGGCACCAGCATCAACACTCTGCATTCACGAGCAAGCTGAACAACGAAGGTTGGCTAGGGACTGCTTGCAAGGAGCGCAAGAGCCTGAAAAGCTTGACAGACTCCAAAAGATGTCCTCCTTGGCGCCCTTGCAAGCTATCCCTGCTCAACTGTTCCAGCCAACAGACTTTCACATGTGCAACGCTGTCAACTGATCCAGCATTGGTCTTGCTTCCATATTCTGAGCTCAAGTTTCAGCAGAATTCTTACTAGCCACCGTTGAGCAGCCTGACTAGTGGTGGATACTTTAAAAAGCCACCACTTGCATATCCCCAGTGATCCGTGCGCATCCCCTGGCGGCAAAGCTTCGTTTGTTCACTGTATTCAGGAGCAAACTTTCCTGATTGTTCAGCTGCTGCAAAGCGTTGATGGAGACCAGCGCAATGATGGATGGTGAAGGGGATCCCCCAGAGAGTGACCTGGATGAGGAGGGCCGCTACTTTGACTTCAGTGCATTTTACAGGTGAACTGCTCCTCTTGTCTTTGTACTTCACTTGGTGGTTTTTGTTTGTTCACTTTGCTTCATCCTTCTCCTGACGGACTGTCTGGTTCATACGAATCTTTGCGAGCAAAGCATGGAACAATTTCGAGCTTTCAGGCTTCTAGAACTCAGACCTTGAATGCTATTCTGAAAGTTCCACTAGCAACTTGAACAAGCTGGGGGGTGCTGAAAGCTTGCAAGAGCTATGACAGCTGTTTGTTGCAGCATCAGGAGGAAAGTCTGGCTCCAAAGTGGCGCAAAGCTAACCCAGATATTGTTTGGATAGACAAGTACAGACAGTCTCAACTCTTGATTCACTGGGAACCACAGCCAGGAAATGAACGGGTTTAACTTGTGAGCCACTAGGATTTACAGCTAGAAACTGAGCAGCCTATCTTAGAAGTTTGTTCAAACCAGAGGGCAATATTATTACAAACAATATCTGCAGGCAGTTCCCCCTGAACTGTTTGAGTCCGCTGTTCAAAGAGGTTGTCACCATGATGTTTTCCCTTGGTGCAAAACGTTGACCTGTCAGTTGGATTGCTGCATGGCGGTTTCAATTCACATGTATGCCAGTCAATGAAACCTTTCTGTTGTGGAACCAATGATATTCAAAGGACTACTGATTGCCTCGGCAGACACCACCAGAGAACGAAGATCAAAGCAGTCCACGAAACCTTGCTTTGCAGGAAAGTTGAATATTCTGATCGAACCATCCGACTGGAGGTTCTGGAGGAAATCGGACCAGGTGAGGTTTAAGAAGCAGATCTGGACAATTGTGGAGAACATTTAAATATTTTCTCCTGTAGACTCAGTTACGAGCACGCTAATTCTCGTGACATGGTGTTGAAGACCTGGATTAACCCTGGGTTAGTCCTTGGGTCAGACGTTTTGACCGCTGAGGTCCTGCATACACGTGTCTCGCTTGCTCTGACGTCCTTAAAAATGCGTCATGTGTGCGATTCCAACTTCATGACGGCCAAGAGTAATCTCATCATTGATTTCTGTCGCTGAAACCGACCGTTCAGATTTTGAAGAAGTCTAGTGCTCTTGCAGAACGGTCCACCTTGAACTTTTTATCAGTTAAGCTTTCTGAGAAAACAAGCAGAAAAGACCCTTCAGGATTCTTGTAGCTCTAAAATAACAATCTACAGTAGTCCTTTCAAAGTCCACTTTAGGGAGACTGGAGCACTTCGCCCCTTGCTTTATGTGTCCTTTCAAACGGCTCTCACGATGCACTTGCGAATCGTTCGAAAGGCGGGCCCCCATAGAATATTGCCGTCAAAGTTACACGAAACGTGAAATCGGAGAAGAACAGAAGGATCCTTGATCATCAGCTTTTTCTGCTCGCAGAACCTGAAGCCTCAGGGACGAGTTCAGAGCCGCCAAGCAAAGACGCGCCGTCCTCAGATACGGCAGCAACTAGTGCGAAGTCATCTCGGGAGGTGGAGGAGATTCCAATCAGTTCGATTGTGGTCGCCGCCAAGAGCCAGGTGCTTCGTACGATGCTGTCCAGCGGAATGAGGGAATCGGAAAAGGGTGCGCCGCTGATCATCAAAGTGTCCCGGGAAGGTGCGAACAAATAGTAACTTCTCTATCACAGCGACAAAACAGATCGTCACGAATGTTTTGAGCTCCTCTGTACACTTTCGTCTCGAGCGCCTCTGCACGTTTCGTCTCGTCTGGCACGCGAGCTCGGCTTCGACCTTCAGACCTTTGGTTGAGGGCTTGAACGACGGCCGCTTTGTTAATAGTGCGCTCCAAGCGTGGCCGCTGCTCTCGCGTCGAACGAAAAGGTGACTGTGATTACACCAATGCAAGCCTTGCGTTCTAAAACCAGTCGTGTACTGAGTACATTTGTTTAGATGTGCCTTTCTCACACCGTTTGTTGGCACCAGTTGCGGCCTTTTAAGCTTAACTGTCTCCTATCTTCTATTCTTTGACGCTTGCATCTTGGCGAGCGTCCCTAATTATCAACTGAAGCGCTAACTCATAGGCTTCTGGAACATGGGTATACGCTCTTGGCGCTGTTTAGGTCTGCGATTGGATAGACCCAATTTCAGTCCCCTTTCGGGAGACTTTCTGTCCGTTGACCGGTCCGTGCTTGGATTCAGAGCGGCAGTCTTCTGAAGCAGCTGCAAGGTTCGATCTTCGATCTTCTACCAAAGCGAATCTTCACGTCCTGTTTTATCCATCTCGACAAAGCTTCCAGGGTTCGAAGTCTGCCCCGCTTTATGCATTCTCTCCCTTCTGCAGAGAAAGAAGCGTTTGAAGAGATGTTCCACTTCATCTACGCCGGCAGCCTCTCCCCACGCTTCCACGACCCATCCGCCGACATGCGCGATCACGTGGCTCTGCTCGTGTTGGCCGACAAGTTCGAAGTCCCTTCCTTCATGGGTGCCGTCATAGACTGCTTGTGCGAACCAGAGCGGCGCGCTTCTCGGACCGTTCAGGACAGCGTCGCGCTCGTGCGCGCGCTGTCGAGCGGCGTCCGAAGGCGAAACGGCTCGCGGACGAGGCGCGCGCCCACGTCGTCCGGGCGTTCCGTGACGTCAGCGCCACGTGGGCGTCGCCCGAGTTTTTCGGCCTGGGACAAGGGGCGGTCGAGATTTCGATGCAGTCGGAGGAGCTCGAAGCGGACAGCGAAGAGGATGTTTTTGTGCAACTGCTGGGGTGGATCAGGGAGCGGTATAGCGGGATGGAAGAGCGGAAAGCCGTGATGACGCGGTTGCTGCCGTCCGTGAGATTCAACTGCATGAGAGGGGAGTTTCTAGAGGAGCTGCTTACGTATGGAGAGCTGGATTCGGCGGAGGCGGTTCAGATGATCGAACGGGCGTTCCGGTTTATAGCGTACTCGGACGAAAAGAAACGCGAGGTGAAAGGAGTCCCGGGGGTTTGGACGATGTTGACGATGTGTCGAGCTCGGTTGACTGGCTTGGGGCCGCGTGGTATCTCCGAGCCGAACCCTCGATCGATACTGAAGAACAGCATCATGGTGTCACTCGCTCCTTGAGTTGCGAGAAGTCGAGCGGACACCTCCCGAGCACTGAAACAGGGTCAATGGACGTTGAGTTCAGCTTCTACGTGAAGACCTGGCCAAACTGGTACTGAAAACTCTTTGGTAAGGACAGGCAGACGTTTAACGTCAACGGGATGGACACGTACAGCATTCCCAGTGCCCTGGCATTATCCCACGACGGAGCGAAGAATCCAGAATGTGACTTTACAGGGGGAACAGGGGCAGTCGCGATCAAGGTTGTGGCACGTCGATTTCATAGGCGATCTAGGACAACTGCTTGCTGATAGATTACTGGGAAAGCGTTCCACCTCTGCAATCCGGTGCTAGCAGTTATACGCGATTGAGATTGCTGGTCAGGAAGGACTGTGTCTGCAACTTGCAAATCCTCAATGGCGAATACAACCAAAGTTGCCAGCGCAAGGGTATCTTTGTTGGCCCTGGGTGCTAGTCACGTTTGTTGGTAGCATGAGTGCGTAGGGTAAATGTTATACTGCACATGCCCCAGCTTCGGTCACTTTTAGGGATCGAATCGCTTGCCCGGAGTCTGAGCGTGCGGCTCTCGGAGCTGTCGATTTCCATGTTTGCATGAGTCTGCCACACTGAACTCCGCCGAGCTGAGGTTGCCGGAGTTGTATTGTCCGTCGGTGCCTGCTGCCATCATGTCTCTGAGTTCGTGCACAGATTAATTTTGAGGTCCGACTAGAAAGGCTTGAAGATCGACTAGCAATCGTCTATAGCATGTAAGGCCTGCTGGCGGCATGAAACGACGGTATGGTGCACACTTTACCTAGACCGCGTCTAAATCGATCAGTCCGATATAATCCTTACTCAGGTAACCGTCCGCATACATATGCGGCGGCAACGGTCAGGCCAGACATCCGAACCTGCAGAATAATGTATTTTGCGTTATGTGGCAATCATTCATGCATTATTAGGTGCACGAAGACTCAGCCTGTAGGTGCACACGCTGAAAGGCAATTAAGGCTTTGGCATAGGTACATCGTCTCTCGCTCCACGGGCGTGCATGGAGTACAATGCCCCAGGGCTCTCATTTCTGCAGACCTGCATGACGCGCTTCCGTACCATGGCACGTGGTATGTACCAGCCAGCCGCAGACTCACGCGCCGTGCGGCCGCGGAGCGCAAGCCTGAGTGTCCGCCGCGTCGACACGGGTTTTGGCTTCACGCGGCCGCGGAACGAGCGCGGCCGCTCCACCTGCTGCAAGTGCACCCGTTTAACAAAAGCGTGGCAGGGCCCTTACATAGAATCGGAAAGCTAGCTCACTGGATAGCGAGGGCCGTGCTGCTTAGTTTTAAATGAGCACAAGATGACCTAAGATATCTCTGAAGCCATTTGGAGAGGAGACAATATTTTGGCCTCAGCAGATCCTTACAGAAAGCTGTTGTTACAGTGTGTATCATGGAGCTTTTTGAACAAACCAAGCGAAACCAAATCAGGCCCAGGGACGTCTCACAGGCATTTCTGAAGGGGTTTGATGAAGACGGGCAACTCTACAACTTCTCCGGATTCTACAGGTCAGTTGGGGCTAATGGCCTTTGGACAAAACAGAGAACGTCTTCATAGTTGATAAAATAAGGTAGCAGCAAATCCTTACAGAACGCTCGACTTTCGAGCCCCAAGCAGATTTCACATGATCCAGAGTAGGCATGCGAAGTCAAAGCTCTGCATGGGAGTCTTCATCCTGCTTGCAGGATTCGAACTTACCCTATGGATGTGATGTTCATGTTCGTTTTATCTTCACTGGATGACTGGGGGTTTCTAGTTTCTGAATCTACTCATCGCTTGTTGTTGCAGGGATGACGCATTTTGTGATCGGGTAATAAGGCTGAAAATCGTACACAGGCAGCCAGATCATCAAGGTGGGGAAGACAGATGCGTCATCTGCAGATGGGGGTTGTTCAGTCATGCTTCATGGAGCATCCGAGCCTCCACTACGCTAGTATTGATCGTACACTAAAGAAGCGCTTCGTTTTGTCTACCACTTGACTTGCGATACTTTCTCCGGGTGTTACGAAACCTGGATTCCCATCAGATAGTTGGAAAGGACTTACAGAAGCTATCCGTATTGCAAGCGAAGGATAGGCTTAATCTTGGAAGTGGAAAAGGCGAAAATTCTGGCATTCATATTGGAGATTCATCCTGACCTCAAAGGGCTTTTGTTCGCTAGGCAAGGCCCTGTCCAAACATTCGTCCACAACGGCTCGTGGTCAAAAAAGGTCAACGCTTGATTGAGACACACACAAGACATTGGGCGAGCTGCCAGCATCAACGATGTTGTAAAATTCTACCAAGTTTTATTCCATGTTTTGGTTGTTTAGTTGTTCAACGGCAAGCTGAAGGCAGACCGTCACAAACCGTCTCAATTCTCATATGCAGGTCCTTTGGCTGATTCAGCTTCATCGCTCAGCGCAGCCTTCGTGGCTGCACTTCGCAGTGCGGCGCAGCGTTATTGCGCAGCTGAGAATCGAGTCACACAAGCCGCTCCAAAATCTGTACTGGAAGACTTTGGTACAGAAGACGGCGAGTACGAAGACATTCTGATCAACTCATTCGTGGTCGCTGGAAAGAGCCGCGTGCTCAGGGACTTGATGCTCTCCGAAGAGGCAAAGAGTGCGCCCGTGATACTTGCCGTCACACCTGGAGGTCAGCAGATTGTTCTTGTCTGTATAGCTGCTCTAATCTGCTTCAGCGACGTGGCACCATCCTTTCATTCAGGTTCAGGTCTACCCTAAATGCTTGATCCAGCCGCCTACCGGCACAATTTCATGTTTCTGGCTTATCTTCTCAATCTGGATCTAACGCCGTGAGAAAACTTCGCTGCTCTCAAGGTCCGTTGAAACATCCTTGGTGAGGTCGTCCCGTTTTAGAGAGTCTGTTGATCCGGAATCAATAGCATATAACAGAGCCATCGTTTCTCTGATCTGATCGTGCCGTCCCCGCCCGCAGAAAAAGCGGCTTTCGCCGAAATGCTCGAGTGCATTCACACCGGCCGCCTTCCGCTCCTCCCCGACGAGCCTGACACGGACGCCTGCAAAGTCTTGGACCGTTTGCACGTGGCTGTGAATTTCGAGGTCTCCTCGTTTCTCGGGCCTGTTCTCTATCATGCGGTCTGGAAGTTGCCAAGCGTGTGGACTGGGAACAAAGAGGGACGGCGAGAAGCGGTGAAGCTCTTCAAAATGCTGCACAGAAAGACTGAGCTCTGGAAGGATGTCAAGTACTTTGAGGTCAACTTCGGCGCTTTATATGGGTGAGAGGTCAGAGTGCATTCTGTCCTGGTCCGTCTTTCGCTGAGTGGCATCTTGCCGGGGCCCTTCAGCAAAGCACAATTGTTCTCAAGTGTAACGGGGACGCTCCTTGTGAAGAAACGCTGTGCGTATCAAGCGTGAAAGCCTTGTCGCTTGATAACCTGGCGTTAGCTTTGAAAGAGGATTAACCTCGTGATCTAAACATCTTTCATTTCGCAGATTGGAAGGCTTGCCCGCAGTGCTTTCGAGGTCATAATGAGTAACGTTCAAGGGAGCGTTTGTTTTGCAGGAAGATAGACTTCTCCGATCGCATCCTTAGACTCCGAATCCTTGATACAGTCGAGCAAGGTGAGAAGCAAAGCCACCTTCTCCAAATAAAGCGTTCGTTGCTGGGGCGCTTCTGATATCAGGCAAGCAGTCTTCCTGCAGCATAGATTAAGGACTGAAGAAACGGCCGACTTGCCGCACCGTGGTGGAGAGTAGTAACGGTAGAAAACAGAGTGATAATCAGGACCTTAAATTGCACCGCGGAGTCCGGATTCTTGTTTTGACGAACGGCAAGCAATCCGTCAGCCTGTAATCGACGCGGACCATGTCCAGCTAAGCAGCACTGCTGGTTCCAGGAAACGTAAGCAACGCTCGCTCTCGAGCCGATGTTCACTGACTGATATCCTTTGTGCAGGCGCTTTTTGTGCACGGTCGCCTTCGTACGCAAATATCGTCCGCTACTCGGAAGCCGCGTCCGCCTTTCCTGCAAGGCACACGACATCCAAAAAACCCTCTTTCACAAAGCCTTCTGCTGCCGAGACGGATTATGCTTTCATCCCCGATGATATCCCCATCCACTCAACCCTCTTGGCTTGAAGAGCGGTTTCTTCAGAGCGATGTTATTCACCGCCGGTATGAGGGAAGCGAAAAGGGGCGCGCCCGTGTTTCTTGGCGTCACAAAAGCAGGTGCGTTCACAGCACGACGGACGAACCGTAGGTTCCAGACAGATTTTCTTGGGTCTAACGGCAGCATTATCTTAGGAATCAAGCAGAGGAAAGAGGAGTTGTTTACCTGACGTCTTTTTCCATAATCAATGGTAGATGACATTGATCACAGTTCATGCTTGTTCTGAGGATCGCCCTGATTACAGAAGTAGAAAGGAAGACAGGATGTTGTGGCGCTACAATATTTTCTGCACTTCCATGCAGAGAAAGCCGCTGTGGTAGAGATGCTCCGCTTCCTCTACACCGGGAGCCTCCCTTCGCGCTTCTTCGATGCTTTTGCCACTCCGGGTCGCGAGCTCTTGGCTCTTCTCCTTGCGGCCGACAAGTTCGAGGTGCCCTCCTTGACGGCCGCAGTCATCTGCGCTTTCCGGAGCCGTATGCCGAACCTTTTGGACAGCTCTCTGCTTCTCGACGACATCCCAGAAAGCGTCCATCAATGTCCGGAGATCGCGGAGCTTCTAGACTCTGCTCGCGACAACATTCTGGAAGCCTTCGGAAACGTTGGAGCCACGTGGGCGTCTAACTGCTTTCTGGGACTAAGCTTGGGGGCGCTAGAAGTACTGTTAACATCGGACCAACTAGATGGCAGTCCTGAGGAGATAATTCTGCAACAACTGCTGCGTTGGATCAGAAAGCTGGGGCCGAATGTGGGATCCTACAGGGAGCGATGCAACGCCCTCGAAGCAAGGAGGGTTGCGGTGATGCGGCTCGCACCGCTGATACGGTTCGAAAACATGCGAACGGAGTTCCTGAGAGGCCTGCTTAGGCAGTGGCCCGAGCTACAACCTGCAAGGAAACTGATTGAAGACGCTACTAGGCACAGGCTGTCACACAAGGATTTCGAGCGCGGGCTAGTGGCTAGGGGAAAAGCACTAAACTTCGACTAACCTTAGTTCGACTGAGCTTGGCGATCCAGCTGGCCCTGCGGTATCGCGGTGTCTCTTCGATCAGCGTTTGCATCCAAAACTCTGTGCTTCCAGCGTAAGATAACCATCAATTTCATTCTCGTGTTGAGGAACTCGTCGACGGGCTCGTGAACGTCAGGCTTTGTGAGTATAGCCTCTTTAGATCACAAGAATGAGTACCCACTTTCGGCAGGCCCTGCCATGACAGAAGGCTTTACACAAACAAAGAACGGCTTTTCGTGGTCATGGAATACACCTAATGCGATCAGCGTTCCTAGAACGACGTAATAATGAGGAGCTCTCCATTTCTTTCTCGATCATCAGAGTCGGATTACGTACTTCAATCTGCTCTTGCACTCATAGTCCGCTCATGTGCCAGCCCTTTCAGACTGGTCGCCATCAACACGAACACTCTTTCTCACGCTTCATAAATGTGTGTGTTCCACCCGCGACACTCTACCACTTACCAAGAACGAAGTCACTTACTTTTTGTTCTACTTGTAGCTTCAGAGTCGTCAGCAAAACGTGGTCATCGGATGAGTTCCTGAGTTTTGGCTTACAGATGGTTGAAACTCTTCTGCATGCGGTCCACTGACCTGGAAACAACTTCGAGCTGACACTCTCGAGCATCTGGTTGCATGTATCAACGTAAGTCAGGATAACAAAGGGCGCGCCTTTCGCATCTCGTCCGCTTCGAAACATTGCCGAGAGAACTTCTCGAGAATCTGTTCGTCCGGGCTAGTGGAGCGATCGTTACAGTGATTGACCAGGCCATGAAAGTTCAGTCTTCCGTTCGAAGGAAGAACGAAATTTAGGCTGTCTACCATAAGACGGGTCCAAGTGGAAGGCCTCTGCCACTGCTCTTATGATTAGAGCTCAAAATGGTCCGCAGCGGGAGTCCTTTGAACATGATTCCAGCCGCCGTCTCAGCTATATACGGGTGGTCCCCCAATCAGTGGGCGGCACTGCGGCCTATAAGGGTGGCGGAGCTCTATCACCAGTGTATATCCGCGCGAGAGCAGATTGAGCGTGCTCGTCAGAGAAGACTGAGCTCCAAGCAAAGACCCTGTCAAGCCGCGACACGGACATAACGCAAGCCGGGTGCTCGATCATGATTAGTTAGCCTGCGCGGCCAGATGCCATGTGTTTGCTGCCATGAATGATATGTACATTCAAGATGTATGATGTTTGACATGTTTGGTGTTTGATGTTCGCATCGCGCCAAGCTTATAGGCGGCCAGTCATAGGGGGCTAGCTAGACTGAGCTCGTGCACCGCACAAGGATTTTATGTCTCTGTATATTACGTGCTGATTGATTTCGGACCGCGGTGTTCGAACATGGCCGCGGATGTCATGACAACTTGGCTTCGCTTGTTGTCTCATTCGACGGGCCGGAGTCGGTGATAGACGTACAGACTCATGCAATTGTCTGTACAAGGAGCGTTTATAAGTCTTACAGGAAAACTATTACAGTTTATCTTTGATAGTCAAAAGGATGACGTGTTCCAACTTGGGAATCATTTGACACAGCTATACAGCTTGCGCCCGCAGTTCGCGAGGCATCCATACGGTTGGATTGTATTTCTTGACTCTGATTCTTTGATTGCAAACCGTGGCAATCAGATACAGTACTACTTAGCTCCTACGTTAATGCGCCTGATTAATCATGTTTATGAAGCCGAGTCGCGGATTGGCCACGTCGCGCTCAGCCGGCACTACCAAAGTACGGCCTCCGCTTCGGCTTATCATGGCCTGCCAGGGAGTGACTTTGGCTGACGCGCTGTACAACAACCAACAACCCCCCTTTGAAACGCAAACAAGATAAGCGTCCGTCAAGCCGCTAGCCTGATGGAATCAGTTTGACTCTACATTCCTCTACTTGAGAGGCATCCGAAGGAGTTCCACGTTTTTTCAAGTGGTAGGCACCTCCAACGCGTTTAGAAACGCAACGACCGCCTCCACGATATCCTGGTTCCGGTAATACGTGGCATGCGTCAGCTGCCACTGGTTGCGGATCTCCCAGAACCGCGCCTCGACCACGCAGCACAGGCACCGCAGATCGCGCGCGTACTGCGCTTTCGTCAGCCGCGGGTTGTGGTCGATCCGCGACAACTGTTCCCGGAGCTTGCCGAACATGAGCGACGAATCCGAACGCGCGATCAACTCGGCGTCGTCCCACAGGAAGGAGTAAGAGCTCGCGGAAGAGGACATGATTTCCTCAAAAACCGGTCCCTTGCCGCTCCCGTTCCGAGGAACCCGCCCGAACGCCGACTCCGTTCCGTCAAGCGCCGCTGCCCCACTGGCCCCGTTCCGGAGATTTCGCCCGGACGTCGGCTCTGTTCCGGTAAAACTCTCTCCGCTTCCTGCGAGTCGTGCATCCGCGTTCTGGAGACCCCTCGCAAACACCGGAGCAGTTCCGTTGACCGGTCCGCCGATTCCGCCGAATCCGCTCGACGCTTCACCGGAACTGCGGCTCGACTCACCGCTCGTGGTTCTGAATGCAGCTCCCTGTGCGCCCCGGCCAGAACTCATCCCGTTGCCAAACGGTTCTCCTTCTTTCGCCAGGTTTGTTTCCGACCTAGACCGCCCCATTCCGCTTCCGTTTCTGCTTCCCATTCCGTCCGGCTGCTCCCGCGCGAAGTCCTCGACCCAGGTGCGCGCGAGCCCGCGCTCTTCCGCCAGCGCCAACAGCCGCCGCACGTCCCACGTGCGGATGTTCCGGGGGGATCCCCCGAGCACCAACGTTTCCTCCACGTCAACGCGCGCGTTCTTTAGGTTCGCCGTGTCGAGCCCGTACGCGAGCCCCATCAGAATCGAACGGATCGTATTGAACGTATTGCGCACCACGATCTTGCTAATGGCCCAGAAGATGATGCGCGGAAAGAGGAGAACTACGTTGAGGACGACCGCGCGAAAGATCGCCAGGTTGTAGAAGACCCACGCGCGCGCGGGCGCGTGCGCGCCGGGGCGCCGCGGAAACGCGACGAAGCCCGCGTGCGCGGTGGCGCGGCGAACTAGGGGCAGGAGGAAAGCGCGCGCGGCCGGCTCGGCGGAGAGCGCGAGCGCGGCCTCGTCCAGCTTGCCGGCCTGGATGGCCAGCGCGTGCTGGGCGGGGGACCACGGGACCTGTGCGGGGAGGACTAGGTTTGTTACTAAAGGTGTCCGGGCTTGATCCGGGCTACCTTCTGACCTACTTCATAGACTTCCCGAATCGTTCCCGACACGTTTCTGGCCCAAGACGGACTGAGTAGGTTCTGGCTTGATTGTTTCGAATACTGCTTTGGTTGATTTGTTCCGGGGTACCTTCTGACTTGCTTCAGTCTCGTGTGATCCACTATCCGGCTCGTTCTCAGTACAATTCTGGATCAGAAGATCAGGCAGATCAGAAGATCCTGAGTTAGAAGCTGATGAACTCGCTCCCTGAGATCTTTCGAGCATCTTCTGGAAACAACTTGATGCTCTTTTGGACTTAGTTCAAGTTTCCGTTCGAACTCACAGACACCTTTAAGATTAGTTCCCCGAAAGCGGCGAGAGCGTCTCTACTGCTCTCGTTTTGATGACTGTGCTCTGTGTGCCAGGGAGCCAGCAATTTGAATGCTCTGCCGATAGTAGCAAACGTGCGGCGCACAAGACAGAGACAGGAATAGTGAAGCCTAAACACCCATAAATCCTGCACTTCTGAAGCTTTAATTCTGGTGAAAGCTCGTACGTAACCGTGACCAACTTGCCGCAATATCATCCGCACCGCAAAGCCCAACAACTCTGCAAAGAAGCGCAGCGCCGAAAACCTTCGACACCCAAGAACCCTAAATGTCTGAACCCTTCTATTGAAGGCAGACCCTCATACGTGAGATCCCAACCCTGAAATCTGAAAACCAATTCCTCCTACCCACCTTGTCCGAGTGGTACATGTTGCCGCTCCGGAACAAAGTCCGCTCCGCGAAGAACCAGTTCCGCGAAGAAGAGCAGCGCCGAAAAAGCCTCAAACCTTTAAAGCTCGAAATTCTACAACATAAAATTCTGAAACTATGAACTCCTGAAACTCCTGATAACCAAACCCGCGTACACACCTTGTCCGAGTGGTACATGTTGCCGCTCCGGAACAGCGTCCGCTCCGCAAAGCCCACCAGCTCCGCGAAGAAGAGCAGCACCGACAGGCCGATCGCTACAAACAGCACCGCGTTATTGCTGGTGTCAAAGCCGAAAATGTTAGCCCAAATTGCGACCGCCATGACCGTTATCACGAAGCCCAGAACGAGGGAGATGAGGAAGGAAAGTAGAATGCGGGGAATCGCCCACGTGGTCCACTGCTTGCGGTAGAAGGGCGTGCCCAGGAAGACGGCCTTGCCCAGCGCGTTGCTGACGGGTGACGTCATGCGCCTGCGGGAAGGAAGAACGGCTGACGTCAGCATATGCCTTGCTGAGCGCGTTGCTGATGGGTGACGTCATGCGCGTGCTGAAAGCAAGAGCGCCTGATGTCAGCAGGTTCTTTGGAAAGAACGGTGAAGAGAAGATGGCCTCGCCCAGCGCGTTACTCACGGTGACGTCATGCGCCTGCGAGGAAGGAAGAACAAGTGACGTCTAGGGATTCTTTGAAATGAAGAGGAAAGAGAAGACGGCCTTGCCCAATGACGGGTAACGTCAAAATGGGGGACGTCATACGCCTGCGGACGGAAGGGGTGGCGTCAGCAGGTTTTCGGGGGCTTGTCGACTCCGTAAGAGGAAACAAACAGGCGGTCAGAAGAGCGACAGTGTATCGCTGGGGTGGCGCTTAAGTCCTCAATCTAGTAGACTTGCAACGTTTGGTGCTCTTCTGAGGTAAGAAAATCGCCGCCTTGAAGTGATTGGGCAGCCCAGATCAGGACTGGATGCATTGGCGCTCCCAGGCAATAAGAGACGAAAAAATCGTCCGGCTCGATAAGGGAGGGGACCAGCAAAACTTTCGTCTAGAGAAGCCCATCTAACCCGCGTCCGGTTTTCAAAGTGCCTCGGACGGGAGTGGTCTTTGTTCGGCTTCGAGAGTGTTCCGGAGAACCGACAAACTCAGACGCGAAGACTTAAGCGAAGCCTATTAGAAGAAGGGCACTCGAAAGAACTACGCTTGCAAATTGCCGCTTGCCTGTTCGACAGGTAGAGCATCTTCCTTCGCCGCCCCAGATGGAGCAGCGCATCCACGTAGCGATGGTAGCCCCAGGGATAGAGCTCCTGGGCATTCACCTCCCCTGCACAGAAAAGAGGGACACAAAAGTCAGCATTATCTCCTAAAGAACATCCGTCCTTTACCGGAAGGGATAAGCGATGGTCAGATTCTTTTGACCAAGCCAACACGGTGGAACAAGATCAGTGTGCCCAATCAACGAGCGCACTCTAGGGGCGATGTCCCTGTGTCTATTTGGTGCGTTTGCGCCTGTGCGACCTGCGTCCTTCCATGTGGAGATGGATATCTTGGTTCGAAACCAGGGACCAAGACAAACCCAAGAGGACTAACCCATATTCAAATCCGGGTTAAGTTTGGCACCCATACGCACATTGCTAAGCGCAATCCCAACACCGCTCTTGCTGCGGGCATTTTTGAGGGGCGGCCGGAAAGTTACCAACTCAAAAATGCCCGCAGCAAGAGCTTTGTTAAGCAGTCACCGAAGAGGGTTAATATCAAACGACAAAAGTTTAAATACGACATGTCTTTCGAGCTGATGAAGTGGACGCTGTATTTTGTCTTGAATCAGTTGTTACTATTCCAGAGCGCTTGCGCAGATGAAAGCCAGATAAGCCGGCTCTCTCGAAACACAGTCCCGACTTGCGCGGGAACATATCTAATAAATGCTCGCAGGAATTGCGGCCGAGACAGGCTTCGTTCCCCACCTTTCCGCCCCCTTCGGACAACTAGGAATGGGACAACGCGGCCAAACCAGGGCACTCCCTCCACTTTCCGCCAACGCGCGATCTCGTCCGCCTGCGCCTGGTGCGCCATCCGAAAGCGCTCGCGGACGGCGTCCGGCCAGTCCTCCTCGGCACTCCGCGGCTCCAGCTTCTGGACGTACTGCTCGATCGCCTATGGGCACAATAAGAATTCATTAAGATGTCAAGGATTCCACATCCAAGCAGTCCAAAAGCAACGCTTGGTGAGTTCTCATCGGCACTCTGCGGCTCCAACTCTTGGACGAAATGCTCACCGCAAAGTCACACGTTTCTGAAAGTGGTCCAAGCTTTTCGCGTGTACGTTGGAGAAACTGTTCAACCTCCCAAAACGTTCAAGAATATGCAGGAACGGAACGCGCCAAGGCTCCAGCTTCTGGACGTATTGCTGAGTCGCTTGCGGGTAAAATGAACATTTTCGATCTTGGTTCGAGATTCTTTGGGTGTAACTTGGAAGAGTTCAGTAGAGCGTTAAGAAGTATGGGGCAGGTGCGGTGGTTTCAGTACAATGATGGTGACAAATTCGCTTGGCTCCTTACCACTGCTTGGGCAAAACTTTCAGCATGTGTTACGCACATGCACAAACAGATTCCTCCTCGACGCTCTCAGGAAGGAAGCCTTGGCAACGTGGATTGCTGTAAGGAAGCTCCCGGAAAGAACATGTCTACCCTCAACACTGAATCTGGAACTTACAGGAAGGAAAAATTACAAACGCTTCACCCTTGACAGTGATTTTTCTCTCAGCTTACCATCAGGATACAATCCTCTATTGCACACGCTGTGATAAACCATCTGATATTGAAACGAGTGCCAAAGAGGTTCACGTGGTGCCCATTCGCACTCACCTTGAGCGCCACATTCCCTCCGTGTGAATGGGCAATGAGGTGGATCCGCGCTGACGGGTCCCGGTTTGCAATGTGCCGGATCAGTTTGGCAAGCTGCCACGCCCCTGCAGAAGAGAGAACCAGAAAAGGTGTGTTTAAATGGGGAGTCTTTCATAAGGGGCGGCGTCAACTGCCACGTAGATGATTTCAAGCCAAGTCGAAACCGTCCACTCTTTGAATGAGCATGTCCCCAGTTCCCAGAGTTGAGAATGATAAGCGCCTGATTGTAAGCAAAAGCTTATGTTCAGCTGTCGCAGTGGTGAAGCAGATCCCCCAGCCTCTCTGGTCCCCTAAGATCCTACTGACATTGGTCAACAGGGTGAAGGTTGCAATCATGATTCAGAGGATTAAGCACATGGGTTTACGCAGCAAGAGGGAGATGGGTCAGGATAAGCGGCCCTCGGCAAAATCGAACGGAATCTATGTCTCTTGTGCATGGTTTATGTTATTACCGTATTGCTGCTACCGTGGTATTCCTGATGGGAATTTGTCCTGTTGGGGTTGCTAGCGAGGGACTTCCGTATCTCAATATTAGTGGCCTTCAAAGGAGAGCTCTGCAAGATACAAAGTCTTGCAGAACATAGTCATAGCCCCCAATCCATTCCCCACCGTCTTCATTCTGGCGCCATGAGCAAGGAAACCGTTGCTTACAGAATGTCGTGACCAAGACCATTTTAAGATGAGATCATGTCAACATCTTATCAAAAAGTGAGACGCAACCATGACGCCGACAAATGCGGCATTTCTGGCGTCGAATGCTGCTGGCAATAGGGCTTCCAGTGGCATTGTTGAGACCTGTACAGGAGGTTTCTGAAGCTGAGATCGATTGATCGGCCCCACATGTGATGATTGCACATATTTAGCCCCTTTAGCGACGGAAGTCATGCTGCGATTCAAGACTGCAGCACCAGAATATAGGCTCAGAGGATACCCCTAAAAATCCAAAAAGGGGCAAGAAAGTGAGATAAAGCTCACCTTCCTTGCGCCCCTCATCCGTATTGCTGCCATCCCAATAGAACGGATACCGCACCCCATTTGGAAGCAGCTCCGGATCTGGCAACGCTCTCCACACGGACTCCTCCCCAAAGTGCCCGCCGGACAATCGGACGGCGAGGCGCGCGCAAAAGTTGTCCGAGCCCTTGTTCGGGTCCGGGTGAAACCAGGTCGCCAATCCTTTCTTCTTTGGCTGGGAGAATGTGCCATGGATCACAAGTACGTAATGAGTCTCCTCAGCAGGATTTGCATCATTTGTGCGCACCTGTCTGGATTCTATCAGCAGACGCTCGACGTCAATCACATTGTGGTCTGAAGACAGCTCATTTGCAGAGGTGGACTTTGGAGCAATATCTGGGCCTTTTTGCAAGTTTGATGCGGTGTACGCAGAATGAGCTGCTGCCATTGCTGCTGCCGGCCTGCAGCCTAAAGGATCAGGGAAGGCGTCCGTTTCTAGCTGAGGCTTTCTTCAGAGCAGCGGATGAGCGGACCACATGCCTCTCATGTCCCTCAACTTCAATGCTGACGCTCACGATCAAGATGAGGTCACACCATCACGACGTAAGGGGATCCCTGGCAGAACAGGCGGGCCGTAGGAGAAGTTGAAACCCTCGTCAAACCCGCGCCGGCCGGCCAGTCGTCTCGCGCGCGCGCCCGCGGCTCGTGTACGTCGGGTGTACGTCCGGCCCATGCTACCATGCGTGGATGCGTGGCCCATGCCACCATGCAGCCTCCCCGAAATCACCACTATCACCAGCTGATCACCTGGAGGTGCCATGTACATTTAGATGTATCGAAGCTGACTCTGACTCAACATCAGGACTGATAACTTTTGACTGCTTGCGGAGAAGGAATCTAAAGTACTCGTCCTTTAGAAATCTGGGCGCTGCTAGCTATAGTCGCTCAGTGGCCTGCACCGAAAAAGTACATGGACTATTTGCTTCAGAAAGACAGTACTGAGTTGCAAATGCAGCTTCGCAGCAGGTTCACTGATTGTTCATATTCCTGAGCTAAGCTTTGTGTAAGCTTGAGGAGCCTGCACCGTATTCAATAGGCTCACAACTGAGTCTTACTGTTGTACCATCTGTCCAGCTTTCGTCCTTTGATCGGTACAGAAAATCGTAAGCTACAAACAAGACATCTTGCGCAGAAAACTAAAGCGTTCCCAAAGCGTTCAGGGCGCTTCTCCGCTTTCTGTTGCTTTGTCGGGTCAGTTGGGTCTGTTCCTTGATTCCGCTGCTGAGCTATTGACTGGGGCTTTACGAGTTCGTGGGTCTCATCAGTAAAGCCACCCCGTGCTACCAAGTGCATCCAAAGACGCAGCCAGCCTGTGCCTTGGCGATGGCTACGGCTCTCTTGCAAGAGCTGTACAAAAGAGTGTCATTCAGGAGGGCACCATATTCGGAGCCCCAGTATCCTCGAAGGTGAGACCCAAAGTCGGAGCTTTTGTTTAATAAACTCTTGAAACGGTAACAGGTCAATCTTTTGATAGTGTGCTTTGAAAACTTGAAGCTGGGGCGCTTCGGAAATTTCTTTCAATGAATTCTGAAATGGTCCATGACGCATGCAAGACCCTTGAACGAAAAACACTAGCTTGGGATGAGGCAAAGACCGACCTTCTGAAAGCTGAAAGGATCTCACATTGGTTTTGAAGCTGTGGTTTGATTTGTTGAGTCCGATGTAGGTCGTTGAAAGTGAGGCGCTAGGTCGTACGGAGTCGAAGTTCCTTACAACGGGTTCTGACAGAAGCAGCTAGTAGGCTGAGGCCAGGACACAGTCTTCGGGTACCGAGAATATTCTCTCTTTGGCAGTTCGTGAACAAACACAAGACCAGAAGGAGACCCATTTAACGCTTGATGCTCGTAAACCGCGGCTGATTGCCTCATTTATCTCATCAGCATTCTCCATATAATCAGATGGACGAAGTAAGATCTTTAACCAGTTGTTAATCACAAAACCAGATCTTGGAGGTAGAAGGTCGTTTCTTTGCGCCTACTATAGAACTCCTTACCAATACCCGAGGGTTGTACTACTGAAGTGGGCCTTTATGGCACTGCTGTGGACTTATTGTGATTCAACAGGACTTGTTGGGTACTCCCGCTCGAGCATACACTTCAGAGAGCCTACTCTTTCCAGTAGGGAGGTTCAGGCTAAGTGAAGAAGCTCCTCTCACGCTTTCGTTGGTCGTGCTAGGCCAACAAGGGGCCGCTCAGTCGCAGTACCCGATTCACCCAGGTCCCAACTGATGTCAAACTGCAGAACCGCTCTTTCGAAGTGTCCAATATTACCTTCTGTATTTAAAAACCGGAATTGTTTCTTCTCTAGGATGACGGCTCCTGAGACGGGCGACTTCCGGCATTGTGCGCCCTCTCCAACCGACTCTGATACGAGTAAGCGAATCTATTTTGTTTCGTTTTGCGGAACCTTAAAATTTCAGAAGTGAGATCGTCTCAAGTTGATCTTTCTAATTTCACCTGTCCTTTTCTTGTAGCAGTAGCAGGAGAGACGTATTCTTCTGCCGATCCCTGAAAGAAGGCATCAAACTCTCGTCCTAGAAAGTTTTCTGCATTTCTGGAAGGATCTGGGCCGTAACTGTGCTAAAATACACTTTCACTGTTTCCTCGTGGGCTGATGATTCAAGAAGCAAAGCACACACAATGTTTGCTCAATATAAAAAGTATATCTGCTGACCTTTGAATTTTTGAAGGAAAGATGACGCATACTAACCCACAGCCTCAGTTTGGAGAATTTCTGAGGGCAGCATAGCAACGATTCCTCGAAGCAGTTTCACTATTTCAATCTGAGACCAATACCAGAGCTGAACGATCCTCTGAACAGGTACAGCATCAACAACGTATCCTATGCACCCGGAAACCCACTCCAGCGAGTTTCCATTATACCGCAAGGGGTCTCACGACGGGGAGTGCAGAATAAACATTGAAGGCCTCATTAAGACGAGGTTGCGGCCGAAAGACGACTGCGAGTCCAGGGCAGGAACTTGCCACGTGGGTCTTGGCAGACATCTCATGTCACTCAGTAGTTTCCAGTAACGTGAAGGGTTTGTTTGCGGTAGCCAGACTCCAAACGCCTGCGAGAGCGATGTAAACTGACACCTAAAGGCGGAAAAGATCGTTTACGTTGTTCATGTTGATCAGGTCACGTTGTGTTGTTCAGTTCAGACTGGGGCTACGCTTCATAATGAGTTTTAGGATCTGCTTCAAGCAGTGGGCAACTCAGTCACATGACATCCGTTAGCTTGAGCCGCGGTCGGTTTTCACTGCCAATATTATGTTACGTACTTCAGTTACGGCCTTCAGCAATTCAGCTCTGAGTATCCGATCTCCTGATCTAACGAAGTTCTAAGGCGATGAACTTGTAACCGAAAATGTGCTCCGAAGCATTTCGTCACCCTTCGCGTTCATCTTCCAATCATGATGCACCAGACTATAATGAGGGTAGATTTCTAGATTGGAGCCGGTGGCGCCAATCCATGTTGTCGTACGGCGGTACGTGCAGGTCGCTGAGAGCATGCATGGTCACAATTACCTGCATGAGAATCTTCTAACGTTGAAGGTCAATGGCAAGCACGTTTGCCACCTAATATGTGAACTGCTCTTGATCCCGATTAGTTCAGAGGAGAGTAAGCCCATTGGACAGTAGTGGCTTGAGATTTTAATGGCGCTATGGCGTTACGGTGGAGCGCGTGAGGTTTTGAGTTAGGATTGCAGTTAAACCCCAAATGCTTACTGTTTAGGATCGAGGGTTTCTTGCTTTTGCACCACCTTGGAGCCATCTTGCAATCTCGCCCCTCAGCCCGGGAGCATCTTCAGCAAGTACAACAAGGTCGTGAGATCACATGGCAATGTATTCCTTTCGACCTTTCCAGGGTCTTTCTTGGTTCCGTGACCAGCCTGCGCCGCCGCGCCCGTTTGAGCATTTGAACCCTATTTGAATCGCTTGGCAGCTACTGAGCTTTGCCTTTCTGCGACCGTGCGTCACGAGTGGCTCCGAGCATAATGTAAGAGTAACTGCTTAGTGAATGTTTCGTTTCGCAAAAGCGGCCACGATCCATGTCTGATCTGCTTGGCGATTGATTTAAACTAAAAGTGCGAAAGTTGTGAAAGTTGATATTGCAAACTGAGCCGATCAACGTTTGTTGCCTTCGTTGCTTGAGAGAAGTTAAGTAAACATCGAAGCAAAGGCAAGAATGCCCACCAGAATGAGAGAGCCAGAAAAAAACAGAAACAAAATAGATGAAAAAGAGCGCCGTCGATGCTAGCTGCCGGGTTCGAACCGGCGAACCCGAAGGAGAGGGTCTTAAGTCCTCCGCGTTTGACCACTCCGCAAAACTAGCTCTTCGATCGACGAACACCAAGTTTGAGCAGACCCTAAGTCTATATAGCATTTAAGTAAGTACGCTTTTATCTGTACGTTGCTTCAATACGTCGCCGTTACGAAATCACCATACCCATGCACCGGTTGGGTCAAGCTGACCCCACAGTTCTGCCCATAAGTCATGTGCTCATTGAAATCTGAACTCAGCGCTCGGTGGAGAGTGGTTGGGTGGCGACCAGAGCGTACATCTGTACATAACATCCCTAGTGTACCTAGGTATACGGTAAATTAAGGTTTTAGGGTTTCCTGGCAAGGGCTCACATGGGCATGGAGGTCCCTTTTGGAAGGTACCTACGGACCACGGTAGAAATTTTGACCCCCTATTAGCCTCAGGCTACGGACCAGGACGGTAGCTTCCTAAGCTTCTGTCCTCATGCCAATGGCCATGACGCCATGATCATAAATAGTAATAGGTAGCACCATGCCAAAAGCTGCAATACAAACCGTGCAGTCGACTTCAGAGCAGCGAGGAAACGTAAGAATTGAGTTGTGGGCTCGCATTGAGGAGGGCACCGATGAACGAGGGCGGCCGCAGCACGTGTTTAGCTAGTTCTCCAGCTGCCTCAGGCCGGGTTGTATCTGTTAGTCGCACAGCAGAGCATGAAGGTCACAGTTTTGCAAGATGTGTTATAGTTCCGCCGACCACTCCGACGCACCGCCACACTCTGGCGCTGTCCCTGATGGACATGTGGCTCTTTCGGACGCACTACCCCCCTATCATTGTCTTTCTGCCTCCCCTCCCAAAAGGTCAGTCTTTCGCTGCTTGCGGAAAGACAGTGATGCAAAACACAAAGGCGGCACGTCCTGCAATGCTGTCCAGTCTAAAGGTTTACTGTAGACTTTCAGTCAAGCACAGTGCGCCTGACTGCATCTATTCTGCTGACGTTCGTCTCGTGCGGAACGATACGATGGGCGCCTCTTGCAACCTTGAGAGTTGCCCTGGATTCTGGTTGTCGCTATCTTCTTCCGAAGCTGCATGTGTTGACATGGTCCACTAAAGGTCTTTCCTTTGCTTTCCTCAGTGCTTTGATTTGACCACCACCATTCACCATTGCCATGGTCCCCACCTCAGTTGCTCTCTTAACGTTGTCTACACGTTACATGAACGTGAACCGTTTGTGGAGGAGTGTTTATTCAAGCACACCTTGGTTTTGCCCCGCAGAAACCACGCTCGATGCGTTTGTCGCAAAGTGCCAAGCCACTCTGGCAGAGGCACTGGCAGCGGTCCCCCCTTTAGCAGGACGGTTTGTGGTAAGTACACCCAAAAAAAGCGTGCCTTAGCCACCGCGCAGTTTGGCGGAGCGCTTTTGCAAGCACGTTCCGGACCTCGTTGACCTGTTTGTTCTCAGTTTCGATGCTCTGAAAGGGATCCCCTATACGAGTTGTTGTAGATCTTCTTTTTGAACGCCGAGGGACACCGTGGCCTTCACTTCATTTGTAATGAGGTTCCCTTCGTTGTGAATCTACAGTGCTTGTTGAATGCTGTAGGAACATGCGCAAGCATCCCCCACTGATGCACCTTAGCTCAGAGATTCGCCTGATCTGATCGGAACTGTAGGAGCCTCAAAGCATAGGAGTGTGTATCATGACTGCGTAGGCAGCATTTTGTAAGGAAGCCCCGGAAAAGGCCAGCACAGTTTGGAGATCTTCCGCATCATCTGAACCAGCACTCCAGCTGACAATAGCGAATTAGTGTTCCCTCCTTTCCCGCCTCTTAGAAACCGCACTCTGCCGTGCTATCCATAACCCCTCTTGAACCCATAACCCCTCCTTAACCTGTTGCAGGTCAACGCTGGGGGCCACTTGGCAGTTGATTGCAATGATGAGGGCATCCACTTGCGTGTGGCTGAGGCTAACTGCCCCCTGCCGCAGCGCCTAGCTTCTGGGCTAACTATCAATGGAACGGAGCAGCTTCACTTTGAGGTCCCAGGGACCGGTGGAAACGTCCCGCTCTTACTGATGCAGGTAAGTTATCCTGCATAAGCACGGCCTACTTTTCCAGCACTTTGAGTGTGTTTCTCGTGATAACGTTCTTCATGCTCGTAAGTGGCTTAACAATGCTTGCTTGGTTTGCTAACAAGTTTGAAATTGATCGGCTTTTGCAACATGGCGCCTTCATAATTGAGTAGCCTTTCTGGCGCTCTGAGTCTGACGGTCTGACTCCCCATCTCTGGTCAATGTCTGCAAGTCAGAGCCGAGGAAACGCCTCATTGGAGGACCATCGAAAAGTAGTGACATCATTCACGTACTTTGTGATCCTAGATCAGTTTTGTTGTAGTCTTCAATTGAGGGCAACGTTGGGAAGGCCAGAACTAATCAACTCTCTTCGTTGGTCGCAAACTGCAGATCACTCGGTTTCAGGACGATCGCCTGTGCATCTCCATGGGGTTTCATCACACCTTCACCTACGGATACGGCGCATTCGCATTCTGCAAGTACTGGATGCACCTAATGCGCGGAGAAAAGCCCCCTTACAAGCTGGAATACGCGAGGCTTAAGTGCGTTGAGGTGGGTGCAAGCAAATCTCTTTTCTGCCTGAACTGCCCCTCAAGCAAAACTCGGCTCTCTCGATCAATGAATGATGTTTGAGATATGACTAACTCGCAATCTGGTCGGTCCCACTCGGATAGGGACATGACACAACATCGACGGCTTTGATTGTGCCGCGTGTCAGGCATAATGAGGGGTCGAGCCTAATGAGGGTCTGAGTTGCTTGAAATATCATTTGATGCAATGTCATATACCCGTCTCTTCTTGGAAATCGGACGGTCAGATTGATCCAATGACATTATCGAACGGCTGGCTGGAGCTACTCATTATTCAAAATTAGCCCCATACTATTTTTGATCTGCTTATCTTTCCTGTATTCTCCTTGTCCGCTTTATTCTCTCTTGTGGGACCCCACCTCTGATGCCTTTCTTCTTATCATGAAACGCCTCGAAGTGCTCCAGTAGTACAGAGGACGTCTGACTCGACAGTCGATTTGACTGTCTTGCTGCTGCCTTAAGATCCTGCACAAGCTGGTGCGCCTTCGCATTGGTCAAAAGGCACCTCAAATAAAGGCTCCCATAATTGCAGTCACCACTGACAGTCGGAATACCGTTTTTGGGCTTTTGACCCGCCCGACTCGAGTCCCCACATCAAGAACGTCGGTGCAAGCAAGCTGACGTTAGCAGATCCCCGCTTCTTTGGCCGCAGGCTTCGGGATGCCCTGTGATCGCTCTAGAGCACCCCACAATGGGCAACACTCCGTTCATGCCATTCAGCAAAACGGTCAAGGACCTGCTTGGCTTTGCCGCGTTCTGTGCGGTCTTCCCGGTCATCCCGCGGAGCCTTCTGTATACCGCGACTGTGTATCACCGGTTCCACTTTCCCACCGCCCAACTGAAGGTACTGCTACTTTTCGCCTCTTATTGCTTGATTTGCTCTGGCTACGGTTAGGACGATCTTGGAACAGTGAGCGACGCGGACCGGGTTCAAACTGGCTTTTAGCAAAGGCTACAGCCTTTTCTCAACAGCTGGGCAACGTTGAGTGGTGCGCTTATCGAACGCTACACACAGAATTCAGAGAACGAAGAAGCTCTGTATCTGGTCTTGCTGTTCCGTGTCAGGGCAGCTTCTGGTCAGCCTTTTCTGAGTTCGCACTGCTATTCTTGTCCCATGGTGCAACAGCGTCTCCAACAACTTCGAAACTATAAGAGGGATTATCTCCACGAAAGAGGGACTGCTTCAATGCACCCTTGCTTGGCCGCCTAGTCACTTCCTTTTCCTCCTTCCTCGACTTTCCCCTTCGCTTCGCCTGCTCGGATATTAAACTGAAGACGAATGCTAATCAGCCAAGATTCTGACAAGCTCCGATAAAGGCAAACAACCCTAATCCAAACGACGTAACGTGCTGCACACCCGTAGCCACCATAAACCCCCAAAGTAATTTACCCACTCTGGTTCGCATCGCTTTAATTGAGCTTTTTATCATCTCTTCTTCCATTGCTTTTGCTGCAGGAGTTGAAAGCGGAGGTTAACCAAGGGCTGCCAGCTGGCGACTTTGTCTCGACCAACGACGCTGTTTGCGCACTCCTCTGGAGAGGAATCACAAACGCCAGGGAATTGGCCAAACAGACCCCGGCGCAGGTAGGCTCCGGGCTTTGGTATGAGCTTCTGGCTGCCGTGACTCTGAGGGCATTCGTCGTCGGGTTAGCCGTTTGGTTAGCCGTTTGTTTAGCCGTTTGGTTAGCCGTTTGGGTAGCCGTTTGGTTAGCCGTTTGGGTAGCCGTTTGGTTAGCCGTTTGGTTAGCCGTTTGGTTTGCGGTTTGGTTTGCCGTGTGATTAGCCGCTTGGTTGGCCGTTTGTTCAGCCGAAGCTTGACCTGAACCCCCTTTGGGTCACAGCACTCACGGCGTGCCTGCGTCGTACACGTTTTGACTGGCTGGCGGGAACCCATGTACGTGCGTGCCCCGTTTTGTGTCCATCAATATGCTGAGCGAGTCATTCGTATATGCTTAGCCTATACTCGCCTGTAAAAGATTTTGTACAGCGTTGGTATCTTGAATATAGTTTGTGTTAAGGTACATGTCTGCACACAACGAAATTGCCACTTGCGGTGAGGCTTTGCCATTGGTCGCCGCTTGTGAGATTGCAGAAGTCGGAGCAATCTGACGCGTAAAGGTGGTCAGCCTGAGAGAACCGAGGTCTAAGCAGCTTGTACTCACAGGCCCTTTTTCTGCTGCCAGGTCACGCATTGTGTCTTCGCTATGAACGGACGGAATATCGTCCCAGATCTTCCCGAGGGTTACGTCGGCAACGTCCACATTCCGAACCGGACGGAAGGAGTGACGGCGGCAGAACTCTGCGAGCAACCGGTGTCCTGGGTGGGTTCTCTAACCCTACTTGTAACCGTTACTGCTAGCAACTCGTGTCCTGGGTGGGTTTCCTAAACCAAGATTTCTTACCTCACTGCCAGCAACGCGTTTCCTGTGTTGAACATAAACTCCCGAATCTTTACTGTAGTATCTAGAGTTTCTGTGCGGCGCGCCTGAGCTGCCTCATGAAAGGTGGAATAAGCGGCATTTGGATCTTACTGGCAGCCTTTTTGATGCTGGTTCTCTACTCGGAGACTTTGCGGTCCTTGTCGACGTGAAGGAAACTCTGCCAAGTCACGAAGTGCATACATATGTCTTCTCTGACTTATCCCCTTTCGGCGTGGCTCACTCCATTGAAGCATATTGCGTGCTTCTCTCGTTTTCGAAACCGTTGCCTAGAAAGTGCTTTTCGTCTTGATCTGCTTTCGGTTGTTGTCAGCTTCGCTTAGCTTTGGATCGGAACCCCTGGTTAGGAGAACAACGTCTGCTACAGGAATCAACCGCTGCAGAAGTTCGCGAAACGACGGGATTTGCCGTTGCTAAATGGAGCCTTTCCCCTCTTTCAGAGCGCGAAGCTCATACGAAACGTGGTGAAGCGCGCCAGCCCGCAGTTCGTCCAAGATATGGTAGACTGGGTGTCCGCCCAACCCAACATCGACAGTGTCGGGCCGCGCACGGACCACCATTTGGGTCCGGACGTCGTCATCAGCTCCGTGTCCGGATTACCGCTGTCCGAACTGGACTTCGGGTTCGGACGCCCGCTCTCGCTCGGCGTCGCGAAATACTCCGTTCCGTTCGACGGCTTCGTCCTGGTGACGTCATACGGGGCGGGCTTCTGCGCTGACGTCAGCGTGCTGGGGCCGACCATGGAGGCGCTGCTGGCGGACGATGACATCAGCCGGTTCACGTGGGCCCCCGTGGGACGTGCCGAGTATTGCGAGGGCGACGAGTGGTTGGATTAGAGTAGTCTGCTGAGCAGGTCCGCAGTATCAACTGCAGGGGGGCCAAATATATTTAAAACAGCTTTTGCTTCAGGTTAGAGGTGTTGGGGTTGAGGTGTTTAACGGCGTAGGGTATAGAACGGAACTGCTCGCAGAGCGCAGACATTTGCATAAGAATAGACTGCTGGTCAGGTTGCAGTGTCAACCGCAGGGGGGCCAATCACTAGAATAAACAGTCTTTGCTCCAGGTCAAAAGGGTTGGGGTTGAGCTTAGGCGGCGTAGGCTACGGAATTGCTCGCAAAGCGTAGACATTGCGTTGGACGAGGTTACTACTTTTGGCCACGGTTTGTGTAGAGGTAGGCGCGCGGCTGTGCTTGTATGGGTCTAAATCACGATTGCGTAGAGTCGGTGTTATCGTTATCAACATTATTGTCAGGAGTATACTCACGCTCGCGTATCTTACGCCCGGCGAGCTTCCGGAGGGCTTGGAGCGGTTGGGGTTTCCGTGAAGCGAGCGGCACGTCCACAGAGGGGGTGGTCATATGGGAGCTTTACAGGTCAGAATCAAAATAAATGCGGCGGGAAAGCGCGTGCTAGACCTTCAGAAGAAACCGGGGTCTGCAACGAACGGCGTGGCAGACCTGCGTGTCCGTGTCTCCCCCAGAGTGACGTCAGCTCTTCCCTGCCGTTGTCAGCGTCTTTTGGGTAGGCTTTTAACGGCTGGGTTGTCTGCTCGCGGCAAGCGCTTGAGGATAGCGGTGGTTCAGCAAAGGTCGATATACAAATAGTGTGCCCGGGCGAATGATGGACCCGGTACAGCGCGCGATACAGCAGGCTAGATCGGCGTTGTTGGACACCCACGGGTTTTAGATCATATTGACAGAGTCACAGAACACGGTCACAGATCTGACCGTCACGAGCTTGTACAACCAGACTTGGTACTTTTCTTGATGCTTATTGAGAGTGTTACAGAATCTCTGATTCTGCATCGACGATCAGTGATCTACCGTATACCACAGAGTGCGAATTTCTCCCGAACTTAGCTTTTGGCGTTCCTAATTTTGTGTGGTATGCGTATGCGTCGACGGTCTGGTCATGATGAAAAGCTCATACTGATTGCGCGACTTGGTCGGGCGCCTTGGATCGAAACTTAACGGAGGCCGGCCATATCCTAATAGAGCTTGCTGTGCATCCCTGGCATGACCCGTCCGTCGGATTGAGTGGCCATGCCCATCACCAACTTCAAGCGCTCGATCCGCCGACACGGGCGGCCCCCGGTCGGGCCGGCTGCGCGCAGTCGAGAATAATGATCAGCTCAATCTCGGTCCGGCTCCGCATACCGGATCGTTTTTTTTTTTTGATCTGCTTAATGCACCGTCTAGTATCACGGTCACGTGCGCATGGTCGCGAGATCGGCCTCATGCAATTGCGCCCATTTGACATATCATTTATATTGATTGACAGTATGCATGATAAAAAAGAGCTAGTATTCCCGTCCACGATCCGACGCATGATGCGACTTCACGGCAGCCTTTCAGATCTCTCCCCAGGGCCCGTCGGTCGACGTACTCTACTCAGCAAATATCGTCGGACTCGATCCTGTGATGCATAAAAGTTGATTCAATTTGAAGTGATCGAACATTTCTGGCCGCCCGGATGCATGTTCTGAGTCATTGTGATATGCATGTGGAATCATATCGATCGGTGTCAAATGATACTTAGCATCTGAGCACTGTTGGCGCCACAATTGGTGCCCGTTCGAACGAGGATAATTGAGCGGTCGAGTGCGGCGGCATGGAAGTATCTGTCACTTATGTAGATTGAACCTGGCAGTACAAGCTTGTAAATGGTCCGCTTGCTCCGTGCGCTATGCTGTGCAGACGTGACATCATGCAACCCGCGGCCGCACCCGGCCTGCAAGGCGGCCCCAAATGAGCGTCGTCAGCTGTGCTCGAGCGTTCATTGGACGTGTCTTTTGAAGTTGCTCCCTAGGTTCTTATTACAAGATCCTCATGGGGGAAATTGACGGCGAGTGGGACTTTTCTGGCGCCCTTCTGAGATTGGCAATATGCATCGAGACTACTGTAGTGTCAGCTTGTGCTCTCGGACGGCTTCCTCAATGAGCTTAGCTTCTTCGACGAAGTCGACGACCTGACTTCACGCTTCGTCTTCACGACGTTTCGAAATCGAACGGAATCCTGATTCTGTACATGACCCTTTCGAAGCAACCGAACTTATTTACTCTAGCGCCAGTCAACGTGATCTTGTTTTCAGCGTGGAGAATGCTCGCAAGACCAGCTTGCGATTTTTGAAACCCGAAATCATCTTTATATGTATGTAGTTTGACTCCACTTCTTACACTCGTGCGCTTTGGGGTGCACTTTCCGGAAAGCACTTTCGTGCCCGGTTATTTTCAGCGTCGATCAAGTTACGTCCTGTAGAGCTACATTCAAGCGGCTGCTGTTAAGACTCCAAACTTCCGTGTCTTCCTAATCTATACTTGAAACCCGACTCGTCTACTACTTTTTTATCATGCTTTACACTCCTGCGCTTCGGGGGGCGCCTCCGCGGTGTTTAGAAAGCGCACCATAGCGCCGACGATCACCGGGTTCTGGTAATACGTCGCATGCGCCAGCTGCAAATGATTGCGGACCTCGTGGAAGCGCGCCTCGAACACGCAGCAAATGCTGCGCACCTCGCGCGCGAACTCGCGCGGCGTCAGCCGCGGCGAGTGGTCGATGCGCGGCATCTGCGCGCGCAGCCGCGCGAACATCACGGACGCGTCCGAGCGCGCGCGCAGCTCGTCGTCGTCCCACAGGAACGTGTACGCGCTCTCGGACACGGACACGGACGCCTCCCGCTCCAGGGAGGGATACCCCTCTGACGTGGCAGAGTTCCCGGCTTCCACGTCGAACGCCTCACTCTTTCCGGAACCGCCTGACTTTCCCCGTTTCATGATGCTCTCATGTTTGCCGTTGACGCTTCGTATTTCGTCCGCGCCCTCGAACTGCGCGCGCGCACGCGCCGCGCACTCCCCTGAGCCGGCCGCGGCCACCCCCTCGCTGAACGCCCGGGACGCCGCCCCGAGCTCCGCTCGCGCCAGCAGCTTGCGAACGTCCCACGTGCGGATGTCCCGGGGGCATCCCCCGAGAACCAGCGTCTCTTCCACGTACACGTTCGCGTTCTTCAGGTCGGCCGCGTCGAGCCCAAACGAGATCGAGACGATGACGTCACGCACCATGGCGAACGCGCTCTTCACGATCAGCTTGCTGGCCAGCCAGACAAGGACACGTGGCAGGAGCAGGATGACGTTCAACAAGACCGCGTGGAGGCACTCCACGACATAGAGCGCCCACGCGGCCGCGCGCGCGCCGTGGCGCGGCCGCGGCGGGAAGGCGACGAAGCCGATGTGGGCGGTGGCCTGCTTGACCATGGGGAGGAGGAACGCGCGCGCGGCCGGCTCCGCGCACAGTGCGAGCGCGGCCTCGTCCAGCTTGCCGGCCTTGATCACCAGGGCGTGCTGCGCGGGGGACCACGGGACCTGGCAAGGCGAGAGCAGTTGTTTCAGCACTAGTTTTGACTTTTATCTGGTTGGTCCGGACTCCGTTTTGAAACGTCTGGTCCTTTTCCCAGGTCGGTTTTCAGAAGCAGTTTTTGGCGTCTTCGTGCTTTTGCACGAGGTGGGACAAGACCTACACCTCCACTTGGTGCATAGAAGTTCTTCTTTCTTCTTCATCTGTGGTGTTCACTAGAGTAGCTTCTTCTTGTCTGGCCTTCAAATCGAATTCAACTCTTGAAGTTCGACGTAAAAGGGAGCGAGGCATGAGCTGAGTTTTGCTCAGACTCAAAGAAAGATGGGTTCTTGATTGGCCTCCACAGAATGCCCTCGTAAAGTTGTCTCCACTTTTCGCTCAGACGTTCCTTCGTCCCAGGATCAACAGACAAGGAACAGAAAGAACTCGAGTGAGAATGGGTAAACCTTTGTGTGCGGTCCGTACCTTGTTGGAGTGGTACATGTTGCCGCTCCGGAATAGCGTCTTCCCGGCGAACGACGCCAGGTTCGTTAGAAACAGCAGCGCCGCCACTCCGATCGCCACGTAGACCACGATCCGCCGCTGCGATGACGTCAGCTCGTCCTTGCTGGCGAAATTGCGGATGCCGACTCCGAGCCAGACGAGACAGAAGCCGCCGACGAACGAGAGGAAGAGCGAGAGAAGGATCTTGGGGATAGCGTATCGCGCCCACTCCTTGTAGTAGAAGGGCGTGCCCAGGAAGACGACCTTGCCGAGGGCGTTGGTCACCGGTGACGTCATGCGCCTGCAGAAAGAAAAAGGGGGTGAGGTCAGCCGAATCTGTGGTAGAGGGGGAAGAGGACGCGGCCTTGCTGAGGGCGTTGGTCAGGAATGACGTCATGCGCCCGCGGAAAGGGAAAAGGGGGGACGCCAGTAGTGTCACAAAGCGGAGAATAGGGCGACTTTGCCAATGAGTGCCATTCAAATAGGGAGGAGCAAATTGCGTAGGGAGTTCGGGACGAAACAATATGCCTCATGACTGACGACGGTCGAGCTTATCCTCAAGACTTTCTCGCGATCTATGAGAGACGCCTTTCCGCCCTGAGTGAGGTTCGTCAAACTGCCACAATATCGCGGCCACATCCCGCGGAGACGTACTAAGGCGTTGTGTGGTTTAACTCCGTTCTTTTCAAGAAGCCGACCAGCATCTGTTTCAAGGAGCTTGCTTGATCGCAAAGCTGAGGTGAGGTCGATCAGGGTGCCGATCCTCATGCAAAGACTTGTTTGCCTGATACAGCTGACGCGGGATAATGACCATTGATAGACTTCAAAGCTACGAAATACACCGTTTGGAAAAAGAGCTCAAGTCGGGGAAAAATCAGATTCAGCATTACTCATCATCTGCAGAGCCGGGGTTGAGATTTGCAGGGCACCCTGCATTGACCACTGGCGCGTATGCTTGTCTGAAAGTCGCAGTAAAGCCACGCTCGAAATCTCAAATCGGGTGGTGTTCTGGATGACGTGGCAGACAAGCCTTGACGTCAAATTACGAGGAAAAGAGTACACGCGAAACAAAGCAGAACGGTTGCACAAATGCCAAGGCAGAAGGTCCTCACTTCGCGATCCTCACTTGCTTACAGATCCCCCGAAAACTTCTACGGTAAACGAGGAACGCAATCGGAGAGGTTCATGCGCTGCAATTGCAACTTAAGGGCCCACAGAGCGTTCTTCATATGCGGTGAGACATTTGATCTACCATCCAACCAAGCTGTGTGAAGTAGCTTTGCTGGAGATTGAACCGAAATAGTGAGAGGCAAGCTCGGCGAGCGGCGAACACTGAGGAAGACAGGACAAGTAATAAAAGCAGGAGAAAGGTGAAGGCCTACGGGGGTCGGCAAAAGCTACTCGCTCTTGTTGCCATATCAATCAGACTTCAGGGCCGCACGCGCCATTGAGCCTGCCCAGTTCCGAGTGCCAAACGACATGCACACAGCAAAACGAAACCGGCCCTCTGAGGAAATAAACCAACTAGCGGATGCCGTGCTCGACAAGTGCGGAAGCGTCAGGTTTTCCGGGAAAATCAGCGACATCGGGGTTACCAGTGACATCTCCCTGAAGAAGTACCTCAGAAGACCATTCCTCATTGCCACGTACGTAAGATTGAGTTTGCAAGAATCGGCGACATCGAAGCCTCTCCGGCGTTCAACCAGACTGGCAGACAGATCAAATTCCAAGCTGCGCGCCAAGATAAAGTGCTGCCCACGTTTCAGCGGGTATTGGCGGAGCAATCCGCGCGCGCGAACTAGAGTGGCGCAATCGCGAGCGGGCCCGCAACTGAGATGGTCGCCGGGAAGTAACGTACGTGCGTCCAGCGCTGTGCATGGGGTCTTTTTCGAGAACTTGCGGATCCCGCAAGGAGGTGGCGAAGCGGCTTGCATGAGATCCCTTTGTCTTGCTATCTTCCTTTTACCGTGCTTGCAGCTGGAAGGCGCAAAAGGCCCTATCAAGGGCATAGGGTCAACAGTCTTTGATGTATCAACGGCGCGAAAGGGAGCTGGAATGGGTCGGTTGAAATGAGTTCTGAGAAACCCAAGGAACTGGTCGAAAACAAGCAGCAAAGCGATTCTTGAGGGCGTCAAGACCAGATCCACCAAGCTTGGGAAGAATTTCCCACAGCACAGTGCGTCATCACCGCCGTTACGAGCCTCAAGCGCGCAGAATGAAACCGCGCTTGTTCAACTACACGCCAAAACCAAGCTCTTTTGACCATAGTTGAGAGTGCGTCCTCGAAACCCGTAGAACAGCAAGCTGACGTCCGTCGACTGCTTTTGATCCTTCTTTTTGACCAAAGAGACCAAAGCATCAGAAACGCTCGAATTTTCTAAGGTTTTTGCTTCCACGGACCAAGTAGCGACATACACTTCTTCGCCTGCTCGAACTGAAATAGGCTATTTGAGATAGTCCCATTGCATTTGACAGACCGGCATCAATTTCAATACCTTACCCACCCTTGAAATGGATATGTCACAAGAAATGTATCATAGCCGCCCGGATCCGATTCGAAAAGCCCGTCGCAAGATTCGAAAGCTCGAAAAGGAGAAGGGAAGACGTTGGACGTACAATCTGGATCGTTCCGGCAGATTTATAACCCGTTTGTCGCTGCTCTAACAAAAGAACCTTAGGGTTCTGCATGTGGCGATATGGAGATTTCGCAAGAAGGAAATTTTGCGTAGCGGGAGCGGCGAAGCTGTTGGAAGTGGCAGAATGGCGAGTTCACGGCTTGGATCGTGCCGGTCAATTTCCAAACCGATCAACGTGACAAGTTTTCTCAGTCGGATCAAGACAAAAGGCATTCCTGGGAGCGTGGGGCTTCGTGTAACGTTCAGAAGAAAAGTGGTTTCTTAACTGAAAGTCAGGCCCTTGTTGATTCCATTGTCGACCCCAAACTCACCAGGTTCTTTTGCATGCTCCCATCAAGTGCAAGCCCAACAAGAAGGAACCATGAGCAGGACGAAGACACAATCGCCGCCAGGGCCAATTGGCCGACAACCAGACGCTGCGGCTGACGCAGGTCACGAGAAGTGATTGATTCTGCCAACTTTTCAGGGCAGCAATACTTGTGTTCCTCGGTTTTTGCTGGGTGCCTATACTTTCAGGAGGCAATCAAGGTGCTCAATATTGACACGTGACGGCTGCGGCTCAAAGCGCCTGATCAATTCGTGTTCGAGGGCTTCACAACACTACGAAGGTCTGAGAGGAGCATCTCAGAGCAGGCCGAATCATTGCCCACACAAGACGTAATTCTTACAATCAATTCTTGCACTTCAACCTTCATAGCATGTGAATCTCGAGGACTAGGAAGCGAAGCACAAAAGAAGGCAAACGCTTTGTCAGGGTTTGAAGGAAGCCAAAGAGCATTTGGAGAGCTATTGATGGTGAGCCAGACTTGTAGCAGTGTCGCGCTACAACAGAAATTGCCGTAAGCAAAGCGGTAACATCTTTCAACCCGCACCACCAAAGTACACGGCTAATCCGGACGCTATGACTTGTCAAGAGGCAAAAACAGCGGAATTTGGACACTCCTTGTGAAAAACATCCGCGCAACTTAGAGACTGCCCTGTAGCACTGTCCAGCCCTTCACGTCACGGAGGTAAGCTGATACATCGCGCTAGAGGCAAGCCGAAAACTGGACCCTCTTTGCGGAAGGTGAATTTCACACTGGAAACCGTTCTTGGCAACCGAACACTGAACCTTTGAAAAGGAAGGAAAGTTGACGTCAGAAGACTTTTGAAGCTCTAGTAGAACGCTGCGCGTAGAACCTTTTTATTGACCCAAGCGGCAGATGTTTTGGCCTCAGAAATAGGTGGATGCGTGAGGGGTTTCCTCAGATTGAGCCCATCACAGCCAGCGGGATATTGACAATAATATTTAGCACTGTGTGGTCACCTTTACGACTGAACCCGCCGAGTTGAGCCGGTCAGGCAGAATAGTAGCATACCTAAACTTCTGTTCACATGATCACATCGGCGCTTTTCGCGCCAGAACATTGGTAGGAACGATGAAGACGGGAGCCGTCGCTTGCTTTCTTCTCGAGCAATCTTCGGCAGACCGAATGTATTCAAAGGGACCGATCCATAAAACGTCAAACACGCACTCGGGAGTCCTTTGAATCCGGCAAGCGGACTTGCCCACAAGCCAAGAACGCCAGATTCCAAACGCGAACAAGATTGAGAGAGGCAATCATCCACAGAAGCTCAAAGATTAAGCTTGTCTACCGGCCAGAACTCAGCGATACCCTCTCGTGCTGACCAGTTCTCTCCGACGCAGTGAAGACGGCGCTTTTACTGCGCATAATACAGAAACCGGTCCCGCACATACTTTTTGCTCACCTGTTAGCGAGGTACCGTTTCTTTCTCCGCTTCCCCAAGCCCAACGCCGCGTCCGTCACCCGGTGGTAGCCCCACGAGTACCGCTCCTCCGCGCCACTCTCGCCTGCAAGAAATACTGGCTTTTGGGTTTACTCGTTGAGTGTACTCGTTGGCTTTACTCGTTGGGTTTACTCGCTGGGTTCAATCTCAACGTGATTGTAGAGGAAAGCAGCGCCGAGCGCTCGAAAAAATAGTACTGCGACGCCATTCTCGGCGAACGAATACATGATTGTCGAGCTTTGGGGTCGCTATTTGAGGTCAAGCATTACGAATCTTCTCCGGATTCGTTCGACAAGCAGCTGGCATGGACAGCCCACTTCTGCATAATCGCGTGGCCGAGTCGGGGGCAATCATTTTAGACGTAGCAAACCGTTTGGAGGGCCAAGAGATTCTCAAAGACCTCCCTTTCCCCTTTCTGTTCACTTACAAGCACTGAATTCTGATCAAGAATGGACCAACAAAACGCATTAACGTTCTTCCTGGCAAAGCTAAGCTTCCCACAACGCGCAACGCCCCGGATCCAATCAAAGCTGACTGGGCTCTTCAGCCGGGGCAGCATATCTTGCACTTCTCGGCTCAAGCCGCCACACTCAAAGTTAGTAAAATATTGAAGAACTAGAGCAGAAACATTTTGGCGCCCCACCTTTGCGCCCTCGCTTGACGACCAGGAACGGGTTCAGTGCCGCCCACCACGACACGTCCTCGACCCGCCGCCAGTGCGCGATCTCGTCCGCACGCGGTTTGTGCGCCTCTTGAAAACGCGCGCGCACTGTCTCCGGGCAATCCGCCTCGCAGCTCGACGACTCCAGCTTCTCGATGTACTGCTCGATGGCCTGAAGACGCATGTAGAGAAGTACCGCATTTTTAGCAGATACTTCGTTCAAATCTGGCAAGAGCTGTTCCACGCGCTCATTACCGGTAGTCGGTCATCGAGTCAACAGGTCTCGATGTACTGCTCCATAGCCTGTGAACACATGCAAAAACGTGGCGCTTTTCTGAATAATTACTTTCTTTTCAAATCTGACAAAAGCTGTTCCACTCGTTTGTTAGAGTTGTCCGGTTTCGAGTCGAGGGATGAACTTCAGCTTCTCGACGCACTGCTTGATGGTCTGCAGACACGTATAGAAATCTAATTTCCCTTGGAATTATTGCGTCCGCTCGTGTGTTTACCAGATAGTTCTTCGAATCTGGCTGCAGATCATAGTCCATTATCAACCGAGGCGAGAAGCCGACGATGTTGTGTTCTACGTGCGAACAATTGGGAACCCCAGTTTCGAATGGATAGCAAAACTTTCACTCCGGGCTCGTGTTCCCGGTGTGTTAGCTGGCCTGCCTGTAACGAACAAGCTGTTCTTTCTGGAAACAACAACTGTCTAGTACGTGGATCAGGATTCCCGAGTGCCCCACTCACCACCAAAGTATCAGCGGAAACTTCAGTGGCCTCGCCGGATGAAACAAGGCCTCTGGAAATTTTGGATGGCCTCCCCGAACGAGACAACTAGTTTAAGAAATGTGAATGCCCTCCCCAGATGGCTCAGCGTTTCTGCATCTATCTGGTGGGCAAAATTGTTGAGTCACAAGCGTACCATGAAACACCTGGATTCAATTAGAGTCAGGAGTCTCTTGGAACCAGATCTGTGCCTTTTTACACCCACCTTGAGTGCGACGTTTCCTCCGTGTGAATGGCAGACGAGGTGGACTCGAGCGGAGGGGTCCTTGTTGGCAACGTGGCGGATCAGTCTTGCCAGGTACCACGCGCCTGCAGAGCGTGGAATTTTCTTTTGTCACCTCACTAGTATCCAAACTTTTTGAAAGGCATCTGATTGACTTGGGAAGTCGTAGCTTCAGCTGGCTGGACATCGAAAGCATACAAGTTTGCCAAGAAGAATTTGCGCTTTTCAGTCGTGGTAGCAGGTTCCAGCATAAAGGTGATGCAACAAAAGCTTGCACTCGCCGGAAATTTGCCGATCTCCGAGGGTCATTCGACGCATCGGCATTGCTGATGACGAAGCTGCTCGCCAGCGTATTCTTTGGAATGTACTCGCAACACAAGCATGCACGTGCCTCACGCAAAAAGTTGCTTACTTGGCAACGTCGTGCAAAGCGCAGAGGGAACTCTCTGCCCTCCTTAGGTATCCCCAGTTGCCTCTCTAGCCTAACTTTTAGATGAACGACGATGGGTTCTAGATGCTGGTCATACGTTCACTCAAAGCCATGTCAATTCCGCAGTCCAGATCCACTTTGTCTAGATCCATTACGACCCTTCAAATGTCGAGCTGGAGAGAGGACAGTGCACATTTTCAAGTGGGATTGATTCCAACTCCTAGTACCAGCTTGGAAACCTGATCACACTACCAAAAGCTGTCACAACGCGATGTTTCTTGATATTGAGCTTATCAAATGGGTCGAGGTTAGAAGGGGACATGGAAAGAAGTCACAGCTTCATGAACGAAAAAGCGTAAGGAGATGGAACTCAAGAAGAGGCACTAAAAATCAAGAACAAGAAAGTTGTGAAGGAGAGAGAATGCTCACCCTCCTTCCGCCCCTGGTCCGTATTACTCCCGTCCCAATAGAACGGGTACCTCAGTCGGCTGGGGAGCAGCTCAGGCTCGAGCAGCGTTCTCCATACCGACTCCTCTCCAAGCTCCCCCCCCCCAAGCAACTCCGCCAAATGATTCGCAAAATTGTCCTTGTTACCTTTGTCCGGGTCAGGCCAGAACCAATTTGGTTTCCCCTTAAAGTCAGGGCGCGAGAAAGTTCCATGGATCAACATCACATAGTGCGTCTCTGCTGCCGGAGCGGCGTCTTCGCTCCTGACACGAATTGTCCCCTCCCTAGTTACCAGCTGATGCACGCTGATGGACACGTGGCCGCTCGCTGAAGAGTGCATGTCACGCTCAGCATCAGCGTGCAACTTCTTCGCGCTGGGCTCAGCTTCTCCTATGCCCATTTGATTTTCGCCTCTTGCCGCTGAAGTCTCAACGCCCGCCCCATTGCCTCTGCAATCCATCTTTAAGTCCGCCCTGTTTTCCTCCAAACCCGCCACCAAACCCACTTCCAACCCCAACACCTTGTTTACATTGCCCTCAAAAGACAGAAGGTCTCGACCAGGCCTAGACTTCTCGTCAGAACACGCATTCCAATGGCTAGTCCGCTTAAACGGTCATAGTGCAGACGGCTAACTGCTTCTCCATTGACGTGATTCTCCCTCAAAAGCCTGCTTAATCTGCACATCGCAGCAAATGCTTTCAATCGTGTGCAAACACTTTCTTCAACTCAAATCCTGCTGTTTTCTACGCTGCAGCAGCTTCGCTTCTTCGCCCACTGCAGCAGGTGCTTGTAATCACCATCTTCAACCACCCGTGATTTCCTTTGCGCCGCAGACAGCCGGCTGACTGAGCAATGCTGCCAGGCAAATTGCAGCGAGTGCTTTTAGCAGTGCGCAGACGCGTCTCCAACCAAAATTTCTTCAGCTGCTGGCTTGCGCAATGTCGCCAAGCTTCGCAGCTACTGTAGAAGCAAGTTCCTGCATGAAGGGACCCGCTGACTTCGTCTGACCAATGCCAGCTGGCACGTCAGCTCTTTTGGGGTGGAAAATCAAAGTGATTATCTTTGATCATATCTTTCGGATGATCGGATGATCGACGATCGGATTCTGTGTGAAGCAACCCTGTGGTCTACAAGTGTACGGACCATTCCTGTCGCTCTGTGGACTTGCTAATAGGCCTACTCCAGAGTCCAGTGTTTCACAAGAAGCTGCGTCTCCGTCGATCCTGATCTTAGCTCTCGAGCCAACCTTGCATGAAAACGGGCACAACGTACCACTGATGAGGGCCTTCATATCGGCGGCATACCTTGACAGTCGGGATGAGTTACTTCGAACATGCTTTGGTCATCAATGCTTGATGTCTCTCAGTGTCAAACTCAACTGCTTTAATACTAGCAAACGTATGCCAATGGGCCGGGCACCGGCGGCGTTGATGTCACCCTTTTCAGATGTCACGCATCGCTCGTGCCCGGAAGCTCGGACGTCTGACAGATGACGCCACAGCATAAATGCACCTTCCTTCACGACTCACGAGGACAACTGCGGCCCTCGCCGGTCTGGAAAGAAGAAGCACGCTGATGCATTGGGCGGCCCTAGCTCAAAGACGTTTGGCAATGCCTGTCAAGGCAGAAGCAACAAGGTAGAAGCAAAGATTGATCAAGGAAGCTACCATGCTATTGCATGAGGAAGCCATCGTTCCCCTCTGGCACGAATGGAACTTGACTAAGAGCCCGTGATTGTTCGGTTCGGCAGTGAGGTTGTACATCGCAATCATATGCAGAAAAGAAGTAACCGTGGATTCACCGCATGCAGGGGAATTTCCATTACTAAGTAACGTTGCAGGCATCGATCCGGACTGCAATCATACCATGACGGTACCCATGGATGAGCTGGGATCAGACAAATAAAGTATCGGAGTAGTACATACACGACCAAGTGTTGGTGATAGCCAGGAGCCCATCAGAATTCGACAACATACGCCCGACTCAATCGGTTGAGCATGACTTACATTCGTCGGACTGTTTGAAAAAATGTCCAACCAAGGCATCTCTCTAGTATCCCCCTGACCCTGTTTGAAAAATGGTCCAAGTTCTGAGGCGAAAAGTACGGACGGGCCTCTACCTAGCCGCACTTCGTCTTGCAGCCAAACAAACTGGCTGCTAAAAAATCACCTAGACCTTCACTCGAGCGCCGTTCCATTGCGAAACTGCACGTTCGATTCCCTCGGAGAGCACCGCTCTTATCGCGTCCGAGCCCCTCACCATCGAAACGGCAATCTACACAGACATCAGAAAAGCAACGCTCTTACTAAAGCGACTTGAACGGAGTCAACGAAAAGATAAGAACGCACAAGATGCACGATCAGGAAACGTCCTTCTTCTCCGACAACAAAGAGTGGACAACCCCATTCGGATTCTCTAAGGGACCGGTTTTAGGGTACCGATTTCAATGTACCAGCGAGCGGAACCAGGGGTTGTGGCCAATACAACTGTTTGAGACATGCAACCGCAGAGTCTCCTGCAGTCTAGGGGTCATGTTTCAGAGTGTCGCATTAATGACAAGTGCGCTGGTGCTCGATATGCAGGTGCGCAGTTTACAAACAGCAGAAGAAGACTGGAAAGTGTTTCTCCGGTCCCAGACAGCAACATTGATAAGGTGGAAAACAACTTCGGGATTTCATTCCAAAAACGTATTAAAGCAACTGCAAACGCAAACGGCCGGCAATTGACTGGAAGCGACCCGCATAACCCGTTTCTGGCCTCTTCTACTCCGCTGGAACTACGTGAACTCGGAGATTGAAGTAGCACAGTATCGATAGAGGGGAACGACATGAAAAGGCTTCCACGGTTTCCACACCCGCGGTTCAAAAGATGGGCCTATTGAAATTGCTGTCTCCTCCGAGCCGATCTGAGTGCACCAGGTGGCAAAAGGAAAAAGGGTTCCCTTTCGTCGAAATTGAGGAGTAAAAACAGCAGCTAGGAGACTTCAAATAAGCAGTAAACAACCGCATCAACAAAACTACGAAACAAGAAAAACCACGCCGTACTCGTACCTCCTCTTTTTCCTTGGCCGTGAAAGGCGTCAACACGTATCGCTCGACCGGCATCTTCCCCGGAGGGCGACCGATGCCTATTCGCAAGCGGGGGAAGGCTTGACTGCCGCTAAAATGTTGGATGATGCTCCGCATTCCGTTGTGGCCCCCATGGCCGCCCTTCATTTTCAACCGGAGCTCCGCTGTTTCTGTGTCCAGGTCGTCGTACACCTAGCGGAATGGGAACGGAACGACGAGTCAAGGTTTCGCTCACACGACCTTAGAGTGGGGAGCGGTCAAAACGATAACTGTCAGTAGGATGAAATACAAAGCGACGACATAGTGGCCCATTCTAGCATCATGAGCGGCCCCCACGCCGACTTCCAGACTTCCTCTACTCTCATCACGAACCATACACTTCTTACATTTTCTGGTATGTAATTGTAGGACCGGATGAATTTCGTCTGCTGCGAACCTCCGCAAAAGTCACGGGCTCTGTGCTGCCCCGTATAGGAAACCAGCAAAGAAAAGCACTGTGCGATGCCTATGAGGACGATCTACGCTTGCAGGTCAACACAACGAGTGGGAGAGAGAAAAAAATCCGCGGTTTCATTCGATTACTCGTTATTGGGTCCACTATCAAGCAGCACGTACGGATTTAAACATGGAGCTGTTAGATTAGGAATCTCATGATTCAGGAGAGAAAGCTAGTGGCCAAAATCTCGGTCTATCGATCAGGGTGAAATGCAGCAGATCCTATTTTTGACCAGTAAAATCGCCGCGAGCACGCCGACATCAGTTTCTGACTTCCTACACTTTGTGATTGATTGATTGATTCTCCAAAAGTCGAGAGTCGGAGGCGAGAATATCGATTAGAACTCTCGTATCCATTTTCACAACCACGAGTCGGAGAATTCGATACTTAGTAAATCTTATTTTTACCCCGGGTGCATGACTATTTACTGCATATGATTCTGCTTGCGTCCCTTTCGCGGTCAACATACAGCGAACTGACCCACTGTGCGCCCACCTTCCGGCTGCCCTTGCACGTGTCCAGCTTCGTTTTGCCACATACCTCGCTCAAAACCTTCTGATTTTGCAAGTCTCTTCTGGCAGCTGCACAACGTTTGGACCCAAATCTTGCCTCTGCTTCCGATTCGCCCGTCTGTCAACAGCGCAAAAAGGCAGGAAAACACACTCGCTCAAGTCTCAACATCCATGACCAGAGAACGACAATGAAAGCAAGCAGAAATGAAACGGGTCGAATGGAAAGGAAGGAAGGATCCCATGGCATTCATGGACAGCTCACCACGAGCACTCTCTCTACAGGAATCTTGAAGAACCGTGCGAGCGGCCCCACCGACTCCCCGCTCAGATTCATGAACGTCTGTGGCTTCACCAGAACGACCTGCGTGCCTGCGATGCGCCCCTTCCCAATCAGGGCCTTGTTCTTCGTCTCGCCGATGGTGATCCCCTCTGAGGCAGCTAGCTCATCGAGAAGCTCGAAACCGACCTACAGGGCCCACGAAAAGTAGATTACTCTTTGCCATGTTATTGTTCCGACTTCTGGCCGGTTGGTCATTTGACAAAAACACTGCCTGAATGAAGCAGAGACCTATGTCTCTGATGAAGCCGGCATAAAGACTTGGTCTCAGTAGTTGGAAAGGTCAAAGTAGTTGGCAGGTCGCTTTTGATGTATGTCTGGGGCTTCGAAGAAAGTAATCGATTCTTGGGTCCGAAAAGCTTCATCAAGAAGGAGAAGGATCAGAGCGCCATTGGCAGCAATGCGCGTTGTAGAGAAGCTGCCGTCTGAAGTAAGAAAAGAAGACGTCGAAGAAATATAACATGCAGAAGGATGGAACATAGGAAGTCAATGACGATGATAATGATGCGCGGACACGAATAGCAAATTGTGTAGATTGTATCTGTTCACCAGGTGAGACTGAAGGGCTTGTCCCTCTGAGAAAGCTCAGAAGTATACTTTTCATGGAAGCTAGGCCACATATTGAACGCCACAGTCTAAGATCAGGACGCCGCTTAAGTATCAAGACAGCTGATCCTACTCTGCAAAAAATGGACTCATGAAATAAGAAAGTATCTGAAATTAAACCAGGCAGATCTTTGAGCTGGTTACTCTGGTGAAGCTTTTTGATATGCACCAACAGCACAAACAGTGCTGGCCATTCTTGCTGGGACATAAAAGCGTGCCTTGAGATTCTTCGGCTTCTGCACTTCTTACGTTGTGTCGCGTGCCAGCGTACTTTGACCCTGGATTTCCCAAGCCGACCAACAGCCAAGGCCCCGAACTTTCTCCCCCTCCACCACCATTCGTGCTCAACGGCTCTTTCTTTGGCCGTCGTTTTGCCGTGTCAGCACCCTTCTCTGCAACTGCCGCCTCGGCACTTGACACCGCCGACGACGCTATTGCTCTAATTATGCAGTCCTTCTTTCCTGACCGGGGTGCTTTTAAGAAGGTGGCGGCTCCTTCCAAAAAGCTTGCTGGTAGGGCAGAGGAACTAGGGTCGACAAACTTTGATGTGGAGAACGGGTGAAAAAGTGGTGGCATTTGGGAGTGTCTAAAGCGGCTGCCTGTTCTGAGTGCTGCTAGAGATGCTCGGAGGTGGTGCACCGAAGTGGCCGACATCATTGGCTTCGCCGCTGACATCATGCCGACACAACATCAAGCCCTTCTGATTGGCATCTCTTCCGCCAATGATACAAGTACGCCTAGATCTGTCCAAGAATGAGTCAGCTGGGCTTGTCTGGACACTTCAGAGCCCAAAACTCCCTGGATGAAGGTCTTTTTATTCTGGGCAAGCAACTGCATCATGCCTCATCATCGTCGACCTCTCTCGTGGTGGTTTCGCTCACACTTGCCCTGCCTTCTTTTTCATGCCGGTCCCAGTAAGATATCAAGAAGCGCCTGGACTCTGGAGTGCTGTTGACCTGGAACTTGGAAGGGCTTCCTCCTGCAACATTGCAACTTCAAGTTCGAGCGTCAAGTTCAACTTGCTCAAGAGATGAAGTTGAGGATTCGACTGCTGCCAGCTTGACAGCAGGATTAACGACAATAGTGCAAAATTACAAAAATGTTAGGATATTACATAGGTATTATAATACATCACTGTCAGGTTGAAAAGAGGTAGACCGTAGAGCAGCTTGTGTTAATAGTCTTGGGTTTGCCCGGTTTGTAAATCTGGCCATTCAAAAGCTTGGTATAATAGTTCGTTAACCGGACCTGGTTTTCGCTGTGAACGTTCAGCTATTTAATTCCCTAATTTAATAGGGTGGATACGTGAGGCACACCTAGCATACGTCGCCGATTGAGGTTTAATAAGACAGCGGATCGATGCACAGTTCGAGCTCGAGTTTCAATGCCACTCACGCGCCACTGACAGTGATGGCTTCCGTCCATGTACAGAATGTGCAATGCGCATTCACTTCCGAGAATCATGCAAGCTAAACAGATCAGCCAAGCACAGCGCTTCTGCTTCCCAAATTGTTAGCAAAACATACCTGCAATACGCTCCTGACCTTCACTTGGTACAAGGGATGCTTTTCAAAGTTGCGGTCCGATGACAGGCGTCCAAAGGCTGCAGCGTTTGCTGAGCTCCCAAAGGCAGCTCCATCAAACTGCAATCAGGCAGTCAAGGAAAGCAGTCTGCCAATGGGAGAATGTGCATTTGGGGGCCGTCAAGTGCTGCAGAGGATTGGTCGACTTTCTCTCAGAAGATGCTGCAGCTGATGTACATTATGCATCAGATCAGAAGGACGCGCCACACGTAGACCATCCTCGGAAGTCAGCAGACTGGTCATCATGCCTTGTCCCAATTCCGAGCAGCTCTGCGACCCGAATGCGGAGACCCCATTCTCTGGGGAATCCTCAAGCTGGACAGTCAAAGGTGTTTGCTGACATTGGCGAGGGCTTCGCTCCATTGACTTGGACCATTGCAGACTTGAATGCAACCGCTAAAAGCTTGCACAGCAGCATTCTCAATGCCAGCCTTGTCAAACGCTCACTCAGACAAAGTCCTCTTCAAGCACCACGCAGCATCGCACGCAGCTCACCATTACATACGCACAGTCTAACAGCTAGCAGCCATAGCCATTCAACAAACAAGCATAGCCTCTCAGTAGGTGGAACAAGGGGGTTTGCCACAGAAAGCGCCGCAGAAGTTGCGGACGTGTTAGTGGAGCACCTGGATACTGACGGTTCAGATCACCCCACGGATGCTGACTTGGACAGGGCTTTGGGGGAGCCGTCGTCCAAGGCAAGCGTGACGGATGTGGTGAAAGGATCCACCCCAAAGGTAAGAGCTTTCTTTGGAGTTGGCGGGGATCGTTTATGAGTAGGAGATTTTTGTTTCGGAGTCTGTTGGATGTTAGCAGGACCTGAGAGAGCTTGTCCACAAACGATGAAAGAATCATGCAAGTATTATGTTGACCTGAAATTGAAGAATCTTAAGCCACAAACTTAAAGTTCACAACTTTGTGTCTTCGTGTGAACCAAGAGCTCAGAATAGCAAGCTCATCTGACAGTGGGGGTTTCACATTCAGGATGTTGCATTTAACTTGTAGCTCACAAGTTTAGCGCATACATTCTCCAGCTCTTGCCAAACTTAGCCACTGCACTCCAGCCTCTGATACTCGATAGTACCTTCCCGGAAGCCTGAAAGGGCCAATCGTTCTTTAAGAGCAGGCAATCAAATCATTGACCACTATTCCTTCCCCTCTTCAAGCTTTTGGTTTGTTTGATCGATCTTTTCTCCTCCTTTTATTCGAGTTCCACCTTGTTCAACGTCAGGTACGTCAGAGACAAGGGCCTTCTTTCGTGCTCTTTGGAGCTCCAAGTCTGGATGTACTATCTTGAAGCCCTCAATTGGCTTTCAACCAAGGAGTTTCACCCATGACATTTCCAGCCAAACACCCGCTTAAATACACGTCTTTGAAAACTGTCAAGCTGGCCCAACCTTCAATCGCCTAGCAACCCCTATGTCATTCACTGTCAGTCCTCAACGAGGACACCATCGTTAGAATCCTAAACTTGTGTATCCTGCCACTCCCCGGCACTGTGCTTACGTAAGAATGGCTATCCCCTTCTTTGCAGGTATCAATTGAAGCCACCAAGCTGTTCAACCGCGTCTGGAACCAGGTCGTGATCAAGATGGGGGGCATCGAGAGCCTGAACATCCCCAAGGAGATTGTCTGGCTCAACGGCGCTCCCGGCTCCGGCAAGGGCGCCAACACCCCGTTCATTCTCCAGACCCGGGGCTTCCCAACAAAGGCGATCAGCATAAGTAACCTGCTGCAGGACGATCAGGCGGCGCAGGAGATCATGAAGAGCGGGGCGTTGCTGAGCGACTCGCACGTGCTCGAGCTGGTGCTTGAAGGCATTCTGAGGATGGGGTTCGTGGACTCGCCGGACGAGGAGGGCGATGAAGTGAGTCTCGACTCTTGTTGTTTTCTGGTCTCAGGAGTCCAGGGTGAAGGGTGTTGGCTTCATACTTTGGATCGTACTCACCAAGAGAGGTGAAGATAGGTGAGTAAAGGGCGTTGCTGACCGACTCCCATGTGCCGGAGTTGGTTCTGGAGGGCATTCTGAAAATTGGCTTCGTGGACTCGCTGGATGAGGAAGGGGACAGCGTGAGTGGCGACGTTTGTCCTTCTGTGGTTTACGGACATGCGATTTGTTTCAGACGCTTCAAGCAGTTCTTTTGAATTTGTACTCACCCAGAGAGGAGAACTTCATGAAAGGAGGGGAGTCAACGAGCGCCAGGCGTCGATGCTGGACGCAGATTCCAATCTTTCAAGTCTCAACCGTTTCGTTTGATAGAACTTTCGCAGATATCGGATGTCACAACGATGCCGTTCCAAAAAAAAGAAAACCGTCGCTGTCCCGTTGCTCAATCCAACGCCCCCTACAGGCCAAGTAACTTGACTTTCACTCCAGACTCTCAACTTGGACCTATGCACGGAGAGAAGCTGCGGGCTTTCTCATGGTTAAAAACTTCCATCATTTCATGTGCAGTCATTTGTGGTGAAACGTAGTCTGTCTGTCTCATCTCTCTTTCAATGTCTAAGGTCTCATGTGACCGAAACCCTAAAGTCTATTTCGATCTGAGTTTAGGCAAAAACCGCACATCCTGCAGCTTCCGAAGGACGCAAGAGTCCTGCGAGCGTCTTTAGGGACGTACTCCCGTGCCCACTCTTACATTCATTGCTGACAATGGGAGAGTAGCGCATTCCGGAAACCAACTGCGACTGATTACCATAAAGCGAAGAGCCTGAAATCCAAGACCGTTTGCTCGATATGTCAAAAGCGAAATCTCAACCCCTGAATCTACGCCCCGCAGATCCTGAAGTATCGCGAGCATACACAACAAGTAATCTTTCCGACTTGGTGAGAGGTCTCACCACCCTGCCCCAAATTGCGATCCCCAATGCTGCCTGTTCACGGGAGTTTGAAAGTCAAACTGGACCTTTCATCCGTACAGATCCCGGACGAGGACGAGATCATTGCCGGCGTCGTCGTGGACGGCTTTCCGCGCACCACGATGCAGGTCAGTCATCATTGCGAAGCTTGAGAAATTCGACAACTCTGTAGGATTGGCGCAGCCTGCGCATATCCGCGCCACCGAGATCCAGCGCCCATAAATCTGGGGTTCTTTCTTCGATTCGGAAGCATAATCACCTAGACGCGACTGAAGACAGAGGACCGTTAAATCTGAACCACCGGTGATACAGTGGGAGTGCCCGAAAAGCTTGAAACTGGATACACAAACAGCATTTGTCGCTGATTCCGTCAGTCAGTGGCACCCTGCGTACCCGGAATCAATGCAGGCGCGTTTCGCAAATCAAACGCCACGAACACTGATGCAGGTCGACTTCGTGAAATTGCTGCACGACAAGTTGGCGGACCTTCACTACCAGCACATGAGCACCGGCCAGGAGCACCACTTCCCGCGGCCAATCTTCCGGATCGCCGTTCTCTACGTCGAGGAAGAGGAGAGCGTGCGGCGGCAACTGCACCGGGGGCGCGCCGCGCTGGCGCACAACCAGCGGGTCAAGGAGAGCGGGTTAGGGGATCTGGCGGAAGTGCGGGAAACGGACCTCGAGTAAGTTTTCAGGTTTCGGAGCCTTGCAGAGTTTTCAAAGGCTTCTCATATGAGAGTCGCATTGGTGGGATTCGTAGTCGTTGTGGAGAGGGGAACTGACAAGTAGCCGCTTCTGGAAGAGGAGAAGAGCCTTGCGATATGCGTTCCTGCACTTGAAACAGATCGTTGAAGTCGAATCCCGATTTGCTCGCTGGAGAGTATAAGCATCTGGTCGGACGGACCAGTCGTCAAGCCAGGGACTCGTAGATGCCCTCAGACGGACCATTCTTGATGCCACGAATCATTGAAGCCCTCAATCTCTGACCGTGATTCGTTTCCAGTGAGAGGGCGGCGCGGCGGCGTTACCAGATCTTCCGCGAGCACTACGATACGCTGCTGCGGCTCAAGAGCTTCTTCCCATTTCACCTCATCGACGCCATGGGCACACTCGCGCAGTGCCGGGAACAGGTGGGCTGATCCCTCTGTCCATTCCGGTCCGTGTCAGTTTCGGCTCCGCTTTCCTTGTCATATTATTTGTTCGTGCTCCTTGTACGAATTCCTGCGGAAGCCTGTACCTCACACAATGAAGAAAAGGTGAACGACGCTTGAGGCGGCTCGCGCATTGACGAGAAAATGTGGGCTGCTCCTTCTTTCCCTTTCGTTCCGTGTGGCTTCCGGTTCGGCTTCCTTTTCTAAAGGTGCCTTTTGGAAGTCTCTTTGAGTATTTCCCGTCCTGAAACAAAACGAGAGACGCTCGCGCAGTGCCAGGAACAGGTGGGCGTATCCTTCAGTTCGTTTTGGTCCGTGCCACTTTCGGTTCTGTTTCCTTGCTAGATTCTTCCTTCCAACATGTTGTATGCATTCTCGAAGAAAAACGTCTTCTGTCGGAGTGAAGAAAAGTTAGCCGACGCTGTGCCGCTTCTGCATTGGCGGGAACAGGTTAGCTGGTCATTCTTTGCCTTTCAGTCAGTATTTTTTTTCTTGAGTTTCTTTCTTTCCATCCTTTCTAAGATTTCTTGTGGAGACCTCCTTTGAACGCGACGAAGAGAAGATAGCCGCCGCTTTGGGTCGCTTACGCAATGCCGGGAACACGTGTTCTGGTCCTTCTTCCGTTCCGGTCCGTCGTGATTTCCGCTCTCTTTCGCTCCGCAAGTTCTGCGCTTCGTGTACATTCAATTGCAGAGCCTATAAGAAGCACCAGTCTTGGGCTCATCGAAACTGATCTTCTGCCACATCCAAGAACGTGGGACTCAGATGGCGGAGGAACTGCAGTACTTAGAGAAGACTAGTGAATACTACAGATTATAGTTTATCAAAATAGTATATAGCAAGAACTCGAAAACTGTGCCCATGTGAAGTCTTGGGTCTGCTTTTTAGTATGCACAATAGAAAATTGACAAGAAGCGCGTTCGGCGCTAACGAAAAGCGACCCAAAACCCGTTTCAAATTCTTTTTGAAAGCTGCAGATCACGGAGGAGCTGCAGTACCAGAAAGCGAAAGCAGGCTTCCGCTTTCCATATATCTCGGATAAGAAACATTACCAGGCTCTACTCTGGCGCTCACTGTACCGTCGAGTTAACCCTGGGTTATCTTTTGACACAGATCGCGGAGGAGCTGCAGTACCAGAGCGGGCTGGAGCTGGGCGAGGACACGTTCCGCGCGATCTGCCACCTGCCGCTGGCCAAGAACCTGGTGAAGCAGGCGCGCCAGAACATGGTCACGCGCCTCGACGCCTACATGAAGCACGACCTGGAGACATTCAAAAAGGTGGGTATTCCAGCCTTTTTTTGAAAATCTCTTTGAGGAGCTGCATACTCTTCTACTTCAAATTCAATTCCAGGATCCGGTGGTCAGAACCTGTTGAGGCGAGAATTGCAAAACATGGTCACGCGGCTCGACGCCTACATGAAGCATGACCTGGAGACATTCAAAAAGGTGGGTCAGCTAGGGTACCCGGGTTTTAGGGTCCTCAGTTTCTTTCTGGTTGAATATGGGGCCTATTAGTTTGGACCTTTAGAAGGAGACGCGCCAGGAAATGGCCTTGCGCCTCAATGCCCACGAAGCACGACTTGGAGATATCATTCGCTGTCCTGTTCTTTGAATGCAAAGGCTTTGCACTGGTTCAAGCACTTACTCAGCAAACCCCACCTCCTACACCAAGCAACTTCCCTGCTTTTGAAGACGCTTCGGTTGGTCAAGCCCGTGAGCTTTCTTCAGCATATGAAATCCGTCTCGGCACAAAGTTTCACTCAATAATCCGCCTCCGCTCAGAGTTTCATTCAAAGTCTCCAATAATCTACTGCGCTTGCAGATAATCCGCAATATCGAGCAGAGATGACTCGCTTTATGCGCCGTCGATCACATCCTCAAGCCCGAGGACTTTTTTCGAAGCACAGACCTCGTTTCGGCTTAACCGCCTCTTAAACATCCAGTTTACTGCGCCCACAGGTGATTGACATTATTGAGCACGAGGTGATTCCGATCGTGCGCAAATGTGCGCTCGCGGGGGTGGCCCTGTACAACACGGAGCGTCCGCTCTTCTTCCAGCACCCCGAGGCGTCCGAAATGCTCGCGGACGTCCTGTCGGAGCGCGGCTACTACGTAACGTGGCAGGCGAGTGACGTCATCCGCCCATGTGTCGTCTTGGTCGAGCGAAGTTAATTCTCTGGGCTTGTTGCCTTTATCGACCAACTTTCAGAAGTAGAGTGCTCTTCAGAGCGTGAGATTTTGATGGGGGCATGGGCTGTTGTAGAAGGGACACGATTGGGAGGATCCTCATCGAAAGAAGGTTGTCAAGCTGTGATTCTGTCATTGCAGTAGCTTGTAAGCAACTTCTTGTCGACTCAAGAGTAAGTGCTCAAATGTCCCTTCATCCTATCCAAAGATATCGCTATGGGACGGAACCTTTTTTGGAAATGAGAGAGGATGCAGGCAGGCTGTTCGATGTCTCTCGATCAATCTCCTTTGTCCCCTGCTTGAGTTAGCGTGAGCCCCTTGTATTTTTGGTTCTGGATCAGGGCTGACCTTTTGCTTCTGAAGCCACGTAAGTGATCAATACATTGGGGACCTCGTCGCAAAAACTGAAAGGAAGTGTTCGTGTACGAATTATGAGAACCTCCTGCCCCTCTGCAGACGAGGACGAGGGAAATCCCTGTCAAGGTGGACCTGACGACTGGGGGCATCACGTGCGAAAAGCGCGTGTCCCTCCAATTCCGCATCAAATTTGACAGGCCGATCATCCGGGGTCCAACCTTGTATCCCTCGGCTGATGAGAAGGCCTGAGCGCGCAGTCTGTGTAGGACCCTAGCGTAATTGTACATTAAGTGGCACTCGGGCGCTGTGTTTGACGCCAAACGTGCTGTAATATTGGTTACTTCAGGCGTCTTGAGCAGATTCAGGGGAACGGGCTCAGCAGTCGAGACGTCAGGTATGGTTTACTCACGTTTCAATCGTGGCGACTTTCAAACATTTACGAATACAGGTGCATGCAGAAAGGTACTACTGCAGTCGTATCCATTTGCCCAAACAATTTGAATATTTTCATCGTTCCAGGGACCACGTTGCTAGCCCCGCTTTTCAATTCGCGTGCGTCCCTGTGAGTGCTTTTTGAATCGTTTATTTGAGCACTATCCTAGTTGCATAGTCAGCTGGCAACTTCATTCAGCCAGTGACTCATTTATTAAGATGTGTGTGTGCCCTTTGAGTCACTGTGTGGCATCATTCCCATGAGGGAGGCTGCGCGCACATGTACAAAGCTAGGTGCCCAACTCGCGCATAAATGTTCATAGCAACTCTAGCGCACCGTTCCAATTGGTCACTGCATGTGATTATTTGGGCCCGCCTAGACTAAGTTGCAGTTCCACGCATCCGATCACGTGCACTTTATGCATATGAAGTACCGTGATCGACGATCTACTTAAGAATAAGTGACGCGTCTTCAAGCTGCTTAACACGGAAGGTTCAATCGGAATTGCGTATTGGTATAATTAAGTTCATCTTAGTACGGTATACGTTTAAACGTCTGATACTGATTAAGGCGGCTGCCCCGTGCTCCAGGCCAAATAGCGATGCATTTTTGGTGCATAAGATAAGATCCATTATATTGCTCGATTCTGGCAATCTCATGCACGCAGCACACTTTCACATATACGTACGTACTTATTAGCAATTGAACCCGCTGAATGCAGTCCAGATAGTTACCTAGCTTCCTGTCTGCCATAAAATGCATGCATGTTACTGTTGGACGATTGTGCAGACGGCCGAGATCGAGCGTTCCGCGGATTCTTTAAAATGTATATCTAGCTTTCCAAGGATCGACGCCGAGACGCCGAGATGCATGAATAAAATGAATTACTATCGCTGAGCAAACCCTCAGTGTCTCTTAGACGCTGGGCTTGAAAGCTTTCCTTTAACGTGGCGGCCATGATTTGAACAGATTGCGAGCCTTTCAGCGTCTATGCGAGCTGAAAAAGGAAAGATTGACTGGCTAAGAGACTAGCGCTGGATGCACCACCACGTAAACCTACGTTTTGGTATTGATCTGCACGACCTTCTTTCCCGCTTGGTGCGCCTTCATCGACATCCCCACAAACAGATGGTGCTTGTCCTCGTTCAATTGCAGCACTTCTTTCCGTTCCCGCCGCGAGCGCATCTCCACCAGAAAGCTCTTCTTCGTCCGCGTACCCGAAGGTAGCACTTTCCCTCCCAGACAAAGCGCCATGGCAACCGCAAACCCGCGCTCCCCCCCCGCGCGCGGCAGCCGCCCGAAGAATTTCACCGCGGCCGCCTCGCTTTCCCAATCCTGGACCCCATCCCCACCGATCCAAACGACATACTCCGCGAATCGCGCGTCTTCCTTCGACCTCGGAATCCACTCGCGCATAAAATCATTGTCTGCCAGCTTGCGCTGCACATCCGCTTGAACATCTTTCACTGTGAGGGGCTTTTCCGTCCGCTTGAGCTTCTTTGGCGGCGTCTTCGTTCCGCTCTTCTTGTCCGGACTCCGGCTGGCCGGACGCAGCTTCTTGAACGGAGCCCGTTCCTTCTCTGGAAAATCGTCGGGGCGCTCCTTCCGCTTCCGCGTCTCGCCCTCATTCCGCTCGCTTCCGTTTCCGCTCACTGACCGCTTCGTCTTTGGCACGTTCTCTTTACCGTCGCTATCCTCTGACACCGGCCGCTCCTGTTTCTTCTTGAGTATTCCTTTCGACGTCCTCTCCTTCGCGCCTTCCTTCGGTTGCAATATTGCCGCGGTCCGTCCGTTCGCACTCTCCTCCTTCTTGTCCATGGCAAATTGAACTTTCCCCTTCGTCTCGCCTTCTTTTTTACCGGTCGAGTTCTGTCCGTTTTCCAGCCGGAACCCATCCGCCACGCTCCGGTTCGAGTGCGCAAACTGCCCCGGCCCGGGCACCCACCCGCGCGCCGTGAACGCCTCCGGAATCCGTGGCCGGATCAGCATCCCGCGGAACCGCTCGCGCTCGCGCGCAAACAGCGTCAGAGCGTCGAACACAGCGTCCGCGCTCTCGAGCGTCACAAACCCCGCGCTCGTACCGTCGTCAATCTCGCCCGGCCGTTTCTTCAGGAGTTTGACGTCAGCGACCGCCAGGCCCAGGAACCGGCAGAACCTTGCCACGTCATCTTCGCTGCTCATGTGCCGGGAGATGTTACCGACCCACAGCGTGCAGATGCGCTCCTCCGCGCTGCCGGGCGGCGGGCGGCGCACGGGCGCGGCGACCGGGCTCGCGGAGCGAAAGCGCGGGCGCGCGTCGCGTGGTGGCGGCGCGCGCGCGACTTCCGCGCGCACGTCAAAGCCGGCCGCACGCTCCGGCGACAGCGTGCGGCCTCGCCGGAAGTCCGGCTCCGGTGACAGCGTGCGGGTCCGCCGGAACTCGTCGCCCTGGTCCCGCAGCGGCGGTCCGTTGATCGACAACGGAGCGAACGGAAATCCGCTCTGCAAAGCTGCTTTGAGACGGACTGACCTCTCTGCGAATTGAGCGATGACTGACTCGTTGATCTTCTTGGCGAGGCGATTGTATTCTGAGACATCGGTCTGGTACTCGCGCATTATCCGCTCCGCGGTATTGGCCACGTCTTCGCACCGCTTCTTGTTGGCGACCGAATCGTACTTGCTGGCCTCGAGGGCGGTCGCCATCTCAGCGAGGGTCGGGTGGGTGCCTGAGGAAATAGCCAGCGCTCAGTTCGCGATATGAATTTGGTCAGCTGAACTGCTGTCGCTGAGTCAGATGACCCGCGAAAAAGTTCTCCTGAACAGAAAAAGCAGAGTATCAAATTAGGCAGACCCCGAACCGCATACAGCCGCAAACAGCAAAGACCGGAGCCGCAGAGCTTCTTTCTACTTCTTTCGTTCGTGGCTGGGCGTTCAACACGAAAAGCCTGTACGTTGGAGTGAAACAGAACACTCAATCTAGGAGAAAGGTATCTGCAGGACAAAGGGTGGTGCACACTGTTTCTGGCGTTTGTCTGTTCTGAGCGAAAATGCATGAAAAAGTGCCCTCAATCAAGGCTGAGTTCCAATGAGGAAGGCCATCGAAGCTGTTTCCGAAACGTGTTTCCAAGCAGATTCTGCTTAGAAAGGCAACCTGCGCACAAAAAGCCCTATTCCAAACGCTGCAAAGAGGACCAACAGATTCCGTTCTTTCGGTAGATCCACTTGTCCTTCTCAGACAATCGCACAAAGAGGTCTCTACCACCTTCTCGCAAGCTCGACCTGTTCAACATATCAGCGAGCGATTGGTCTCACGTTTCCTCTTGACAGCTCCCTTTTCCTGGTTCAGCAAAACGAAGCCGTACATCTCGGGGGTGTCGTCATCTTCCTCTCGGTCCAGAACCCCTAGCTCCAAGCACTTCTCCTCTCCAATCAGATAGCGAATGACATCGCGCGAGGTCACGTGCAGGGTCGCCTCGCGCGCTGGCTGCTTGTAGCCTTCGGTTGGCAGGACGGCGGGGCCGAGAGAGGCGACCAAAACGTCTAGGTGTTTCTTCTGGTGCGCGGCTTCGATGTAGCTCACCTGCGCGGAACGGAAACGGAACAAATAGGAAGATATTTGGAACGGAGGAGGACGCGTCTGCAAATTTAAGGGAGTATGGTTCAGGTGCAAAGCTGAACTAATGAGACATGAGACAGGCTCGAGCATGGTCTTGCAGACTCTGAAGATTGAGCAAGGACTGGCTGGAATGATTGTTTTGGCAGATCTGGATTCGCCTCACCTAAAGCGAGCCTTCTTTGCAGATCTGCTGATGGAGTGCAACTGAGGATAAACGTTCGGGAAATCAAAAGCAGGGATCCGCATCAACAGTGTGCTACTAGCGTCGATCTTGGTGCAATGCTTGAGACCATTTTTAAGGATTTGAAGAAGTGCGGACTGTTTCTCACCAATCTCTGAAAGTTGGGGGTCTCTGACTCAAGGCTTGGTCTGAAGATCGTTAGAGGTCCGTTGTTTCTTTCTCGGAAAGTTTGTCTCAGCACCCTGCAACCGTCACAAGCAAGTTCGCGAGTTATCTGCTTGCAGTGATTCGCTAAGAACAGGGAAATCATCGGAAATCATGAGGTAGAGATGCAATACTAATCTGTCAGCTTCTGTAAAGTCCGAGGATTCTCAGCCAAACAACCAGGGTTTCGAAGCTTCCAAAGTGGCTCACAATCATGTATGGAGGGCTTTGCTCATTCTGCAACCTATCAGTTTTACGTGCTTCCACAATGACGTATAGATGGCTTTGCTTATCCTGGCATCTAGACACCTTTCCGTGCCCTTTTATCGCACCTCCGCGGACGTGACCAACACAACTTCTGCCGCTTTCTGGTAAAGGCAGCGGAAAGCCTGAAATGGCTCCTCACTCATTTGCATCGGTTGCCAACTTCAACTCCAGCTTGAGCGGAAATACCCATGCTCGGTCTTCTTCTTTGCCTAGGAAACGGCCCGTCACTGCTACTTTGAGGCCTCCAGGCTTCTCTATCCATCCTTTCCAGTTCGAAGATTCGCCAGGCAGGTTTACCGCCTCTGAGACCTGCTTTGATAGAGCTTCTTCATTCTTTTCATCCATCGTTGGCTGCATCATGCACACTCTTCTTGCTTAGATTTTAATCAGATTGGGTCAGAGCAATCGCGAACTCTTGCTGCAAGCCATGCTATGCATGGAGCCGAATTGCATTAGCAGGGTACCAAGGATCTACCCTCTGCATGGGGAAGTCTCCTTGCTTTCCCATTCGTTGCTTTTATCGGCCTGGCTGAACCGACCGCAAGCCGATTGTTGGTGAGAAGCATGTCTTTTTCCTCCTTCCTATGCATCCTTTTGTGCCAACAGACGAAAAGCTCAACTGCTAGCACGAGCATAAATAAGCGCGTCAACGCTGCCTCTTCAGCAGCCCTTTCCTCATGTTTCCTTAGTCCTGCTCTCCTGCACAGTCGTCGAGGAATTCATCCTGCACTGCGCAACTTTGAAGTGAGACCCCAGATATCATGGTGAAAATTGGAACTGTAGTATGATCACAACCACCCTGATCAGCGCTCCAGCATGGAACGGCCTTGCAATAGGATCTTGCGCGCATCTGAATTCACAGGGGTTTGTGGAATCCCCAGCGCCAATCTAGCAAGACTTATCTAGCCTGACTTCCTGACTCTGATCGCAGCGGAAGCGCCTCTAAAACATTCTGAAGGCTGTAGCTGGCTGTAGCATTCTGAAGCACCCTGCTTTGATTCAGTCGATCTTTCTGCATGGGCTAGTCGACGTTTCGACGACTTCGAAGCGGTTCGTGAGTGCCCGAGCTTTGAGATCTTCGAAGTCGAAGTCGGGCGACGATCAGAACGTCAAGCTGACAACCTCGGGATGGTCTCGAAGATGAAGCTGATCAGCGAAATAAATATCGCCCCTGAAGCTTTGGCGATCGCGCAGATGACGCCATTTTGAAGAGCTCTTCTTGACGAACGAATGCGGAAAGCTCATAATCTGAAGTCCAATGAGTGGATTGAGTGTGCGGGCAACATGAGCAGAGCTCTCGTATGAATCCCAATCCTATGAATAATAAGCTGTCTGAATAAGGTGGTCATTCGTGAGGCATCAAAGCCAAAAGCCATGAGCCTGTCGAGGTTTTGAGGTCAATTGAGAGCTGGTCCAGAAAGTTCACAGAAAGTTCTGCGCAGCGTCGGCATTGGACTAAATATCAAAAAAGCATCTTCCGAACGAAGAGCGGAATGTTTTGTGGCTGCTCTGATGGCTGCCAATACCAAATTTCACCGTGCTGAGTTCAGCGCTTTACGTTGGAAAGAATTCACCGTGATGAGTCCAGCGCTGAAAGTTTCTGACAAAATTCTGGACTCGCTTCAAGCGCGACGAAAAAGAAATTGTTTGGGAGAGGACACCCGGAATCGAACCGGGGACCCTTCGATCTGCAGTCGAAAGCTCTAAACCGCTGAGCTATATCCTCTCGTAGTTATGAACTGACTGCCACAGTTAAAATGTATCAAGCATTTACACAACACAGCTGGGAGAATCAAATGGTGGTCTTGCACTGCACTGGCAACAGGGCTCACAGTTCGACATCTTTCTCAGCTGCTGTCTTTCCTTCATAATACGTCCAGTGTGAATTGTGGATGTGGATTGACTGAAGGACTTCTGTTATTGGGAACAAGGGAGGCAGATTGGAAAGCTGGTGGGAAGAGAGACCTGTCCTCGCACTCTTTGCAGGCGACAGGATCAGCAGCTTATACAAAATGCTGGTCAGCATAGCTAAGTGCAACATACACCAACGGGGCTCATCCGTTTGCATTGAGCTTGCTTATCTGTGATGCGCTGCCACAGATTGAACCAAGGAAACAAAAGGTGAAATATATCTGAGTACTCTAAGCGCAGTGTGACAGCCTGTATAGTCCAAGTTCAGATTCTAGAATGTAGGATGTAGAGTTTTGCCTATTCTTGACCCGCACACGCTGCTCAGAATTGAAAATATGGCGGAGGAAGAAGCGCGGTCCTCAATGCTGGCAGCAGCCATTGATGAGGAAGGCCACTACTTTGACTTCATATCATTTTACAGGTGAGCAGCAACAGTTGGCAGCTAAGCAGATGAGTAACAACTGGCTTGCCTGCTGTTTTCCCTTGCAGAGAGTGTATCAGTGACTGGGGCCAAGTATTGACGTGGAAAAGACAGCGTTTGGAAAGCTGTTGTTACTATACTGACCGTATGTTGGAAAACTTAGATAGATCCTAGAGGGCCATCACAACCTTCTGTGGACCAGAAGTCCCGACCTGTGCTTCAGCCAAAAACACTTCTTTTCTCTGTACAATGATGCAGAAAGGTGGAGTTCTGCGACCGAAGGTTACGGCTGGAGATTCTGACTGAGGGCAAGAAAGGTGAGGGCAATCTTGCTGGTGCTTCCCAATAGTTTGCAATCCGAGGCAGGTGGTCGGGAACTTCACAAGGTCTACCCCGGAGACGATGCGCCAGAGAAACTAGCTAGGGACATCGGCTATGGTTTACAGCCACAGACCCAGAATCAAAGGCTAGCTTTTGCATAGCAACGCCCGGAAAGGACCCCTCACCCTTTGAAAGGGCAAGGTCACTTGTTTGAAGGAGGGACTTCAGCTTGACCATGTTTCTATTTTCGCTGGAAGTGCTTCTCAGAACATGTATCCTTAGACTGTCAATCCTTTTGACTCACCTTGAGTTTAGTCACTTGTACAAGAGAAAAGTTGGGACACCGCATCCAGGAAATAAGCTGTGGGGCTCCTCAGCATGTACCGTCAAATTAGTGCACTGATAGGGCAACTCAGTGTTCACTGAGAGCATGCCTCTTAGCGGGAGCTCAAAAGTTTTGACGCCCTCTACACATAGGCATTTTTATTATCTGACCTTCAATCAGCATATGGGAACCTAGAAACCCCATTGCAATAAGTAGCATTGAGCATGCTACTTTACAGGTTCGAAAGCCCAGCCAGTCTGCAACGTTTGTACAACAGCTCTCCGGCCTTTTCCCCCACAGAACTGGAGGCTTCAGATGCTGCGACGAGCGTGGGACCGCCTGGAGTGGCTGCGTCGGGGGCGGGCGCAAGCGAAGAGATTCCCATCAGTTCGATCGTGCTCGCTGCCAAGAGCCGCGTGCTTCGGACGATGCTGTCCAACGGGATGAAAGAATCGGACGCAAGCGCGCCTGTGGTGCTCAAGGTCACTGAAGAGGGTGAGAAAGATCATGCATATCCCTACTTATTTCAACTTCCGTTTTCACTGTTGTTTTGACATCAAACAGTACCTCACCTAATCCGATCAGAAGGGCCTCAACGCCTCTTGCCGGTAGGTCCTTCAGCACGTATCGGCTTAGCTAAGGGTTGCTCTAGCTGCAGAACGGAAGGAATCTGGGCAAGTAGAGTCTCTGGTTCGGCATGGAGGATTAGGTTCAATCAGACGTGTCCTATTATAGACTGGCTCACTCTCAATCAGAGGCTGAAAGGTTCGTTGGACCCCCTTTTGCGATGCCACAGAGACCGCTCAGTGGTTGACTTTGTCCTCGCTCGTTGTTAGAGAGACCTGTTGCAACTGTGCAGACAATTAAGAATTGTTGTGACCCGTCTGCAAAAGGCGGCAAGGAAGGAGACGCACCATTCATTCTCTGCCCCCGCCACCCTGTCAAACAGATTCACAAGCCTATCCCTTTCCCCCTTCTGATTCCTTCAGGCACTCCCTCAACCCTGAGTATTGATACCCAACATAATCTCTGCTACTGCTTCTGCAGAAAAAATGGCTTTCAAGGAGATGCTCCACTTCCTCTACGCCGGCAGCCTGTCCACCCGGTTCCTTGACCGGGCCACCGATGTGCGCGAACTTGTGGGGCTGCTTCTTGTGGGCGACAAGTTCGAAGTCCCTTCTCTGATTGGAGCAGTCCTCAAGTGTTTAGACCAACGGATGCTCAGCATTCCAGAATGCGCGCTGCTTGCAAACCACATGCCACAGTCGCTTTTGCAACTCCCTCAGGTGTGAAAAGTGGTCGATGAGGCGCGCGCGCTCATTGTGAAAATGTTCAGGGACGTTAGCAATAAGTGGGGTACGGAAGCGTTTCTGCGCATAGATCTAGAGGTGGTTGAGATCTTGTTGCGGTCCGAGGAGCTTGAAGCTGACTCCGAAGAGGAGATTCTTCAAAGGCTGTTGGCTTGGGTTGGAGAACAGTACGAGTCTCTGGAAGAAAGATGTCGTGTGGTGAGCCAGCTGTCACCGCTGATTAGGTTCTTGTGTCTGAGAGGGGAGTATTTGGAGGAGTTACTTTCTGTTCCAGAGATGCAAGCAAAAGCCACGGAAACGCTGATCAACGACGCTCTTCGGTTCCGAGCCTACTCTGATGAGAGAAGACTCGAAATGCGAGGAGAACGAACTCGTGAGAGAAAGGGCGTTCGAGACGTTACTTTGGAGATTGTGGAGAACTTCGTGTTGGACGAAGAGGGGACCGCTCGAATTTCACCCGCTGCTGTCTGGTTTGGGAGGAAGTGGCGCATTTCTTTGAAGCGATGCGGCCGAAAGGGCCAGGCAACTGTAGATCTTATTCTTTCTTCCGAGATTATCAATGCATTGCTTACATCGCTTGAAGACTGCCGGGATTTACTCAAAACAGAGAGAGTTCGGTACGCTTTCTATGTGAGGTTTTGGCCAGAGGGCTACTGGAAGTTGCTGTACGAACATACCTATAAATATGGTGCTAGTGGTAGCAGAGGTAAACGTGACGTTCTTGGCGCGTCTTGGGACGAAGTCAGGACATCGTCTATATACTTAGCCTCTAACGGTACTCTAAACATTAAGCTCTTGGCCCGTCGATATCGAGAGTAGCGCCTCTTGGAAGCAACTGGTTCGATTGACATTTGAAGAGGTTTTCCTTGACATTGCAATTTCTGTTCAGCGTTTTTGAATCAGTCGCGTATAGTCCAGATCAATCTCAACTTGGTCGGAGTCGTTGCACGTATATCAGTTGCATTGCCTTTGTCAAGCTAAGAAGTATGCGTGTCAGGTCCGGCCCGACCTTGGTGGTTATGCATCCGGATTAAACGGCCGTTTGATTTCCTTACTTATAGCCGTGAATGAGCCTATGGCAGAATCGTATATAGTACATCTGTTGCACTGGACGTCATGTTAAACCCAGCACAGCTGACGGCGCTCACACGATCCAAATGTGCGGCAAAGACATATGAATTGGACAAATACTCTGAAAAACATTGAGATTCGATTGTGATCAGCAAAATCGCAGAACAGACTTGCCCACGAGCTAATGTGGACTGATTCTACTTCGAGCGGACAACTTTTAGGCTTATATCCTGTAAACTTAAGAGCCGGTCCTCATACTTGTACGTATCTCAGAACTCTCGCTATAGCTATAGTATCAGCTCACGAGCGATATTGACTCGTGAGTGAGTCGATCATCGAAATTCAAATAAAGAGATGGCCTTGGGCCCGAGGAAGTATGTTAAATCAAGCCATCTTATAACATCTATTTCTCTATTACATAATCGACACTGGCTTTGGCTGAATAGCTACGCTGACCCATGGTGCGCTACTTGGACATGCAGGTTCCGCTTTACCGCTTACCCGTTCACTTGAGATAAGAACGTGCATAAGAATTGAACAGTGCGCATTCAGCATTGCCAAGGCATGACAAAACTTTGCGGGAGCTTGAACATGCATTCAAGCGGCGAATGTACTTGCCACTTCAAGGAGGTCTGACTTATTGAAAACCTTGAGCAATCAAAACAGGACGAGCTCCACTGAGCGGTGGACACGAATACCGACAAGGAGAAATCAAATTCAAACTAGGCGGTAGGGCACATGAGAGTGCGTGTTTAGAGGTCATCTGGCGGTCTGTACGGTATGGTTCTACTTGGAGGCTGGCAGTTGTTCTCAGTCCTCCTAACTAGACTGGCTGTCCGTTGATCCTTTACGGGAATGTGCACGCGAATGCGGCACGGGCCATTGACGTGTACTCTAGCTTACAGGCGTTCGTCTGAAAGCCAGCTCATCTTGCTGCTCTCTTCAACCACTCCTCAACCACCCAATATACACTGTACCTCAAAGCGACAAGACTTTTAGACCGTTGGCAGCGGCTTTGGATACTAATCTAAAGCCACAATTTCTCGTTTACAACGGCTCATCACACTACACTTGACCCTGGGCGAAATTACAGTACTGAGCGTGAGCGGATAATTCAAGATCCACTTGGGCTCTCGAATCTGCTTCCACTCTTCTGGGAACACTCCCTTGACTGTTCTAGCTGAAGCACACAAGCCCCCCGCCGCGCATGTTCTTGCACGCCAGCTCGCCATCCACCGTCGATTCCGTCTGATCGACGGTCGAGAGGCGCAGCAGCTTGCGCGCGATGACGTTGATCTTGGAGAAGGGGCCGGCGTGCATGGGCTTGAAGCGGTTGTACACGAAGTCGGTGCTGAGCAGGGATGTCGTCATGTAGTCGACGTCCTTGCCCTCGATGACGTCAGCCGCGTCGAACTTGATGTCGCTCCCGGCTATGGCGGCCGCGGCCTTGAGCGCCTCGGCGCGGTGCGCGGCGAAGGTCTGGCCGAGAGCGCCGTGGACGGTGCCTGCACGAAGGGGAAGAACTAGACAGGGTGAGAAAAATGAAAGCTTGACGAGGAACGACGGATAGATGGATGGCCGAGCGCTCTGTGGACGGTGCCCGCACGAAGGGAGGAATAGACACGTGAGAAAAGAGATAGACAACTCAAAAGCGCAAGGGTAAAGCGAGGTGCAGGTAGATTCGCGCTCCGAGTAAGAAAGAAAGCTGCCCAACGCTGGTAGAGAGAAAGGCAGACGACACATCGTATTTGACTGGTAGCCGCAGACGAGAGGTAAGACTCAGAGACAGAAGCGGAAGCAAAGCTAAGCTTGTGTTGAGGGCACATGAGGGCTACAATGTCTCAATCTGGCAGAGCAATATCGAAGCGTGAAGCGATTCAGCCAGCCAAGTCAGCCCCAGTCGACAGATCCAAAAAGTCCACGGATTCCTGCTGATCTGACCGAAGTAACGCTAACCGCAGTAATGGGAACCCGATTCAGCCATCAACTTGATGTGTCAACCCTTGACAGAAATTGCGTACAAACAATACAAGCGTCGTCTTTTGAGAAAGTGGCCAAAAGACGAGCGGGCGCGATGACGCACCAGTGACGTTGAGCTTGCTGATCCCGATGTCGATGTGGTTGCCCGCGGGGTGCTCGTGGGTTGCTGCCGTCACGATGATGTCAATGTGCTCGCGGATGCTGACGCGGAACGAGTAGGCAAACGGCGCGACCTTGATGGAGAGGCCCTCGTCTTCGAAGAGGATTGCCTCCTGGCTCTGGACGGAGGCGAGGAAGGACTCGGGGTGCAGCTCCTGGCCGTCTATCTCGATGACGAACGGCGCGGATTCGGTGAACGCGGCGGAGCCCTGCAGACGGGTAGGGTGTCTAGTCAGATGTAGGGTTACTGGGAGGGCACGACGCAAGACGCAAGCTCGTCTCCAGGATAAAGAAGCTTCTTCGAAGGGAAAGGCAGAGCTTTCCAAGAGAGGCGTGAACTTGTACCCAGACGTTCTTGAGGGCTGAATCACATCACATCGGACCGAATGTTATGACAAAGCTAGAAACCTGGTGTACAGACTTTTCTCGAGTGGCCGAAATCTATAATGACTGTATCCAATCAAATGTTCACAGAAGAAGCCCGTACACAAGGAATTGCTGTGACTGGTTTACAACGTAACCGATCAAATATTTACAGGAGAAGCCCGTACACGCAGCATCGCTGTGGCTGCTTTACAACGGAAAGGGACGCGTTACGCATGCGACGAGAAGCCCACCTCCTTGACCGTGAATGTGGCGGAGCGGACCGCGCCCTTCTCGGCCCACATGAAGCCGAGGGCGGACATCCAGGTGCCGTCGAAGCCGGTCTCGAGGCCGTCCTGCCCGATGAAGTGCGCGTTCATGGTCAGGCCTTGGTCGGTGATCAGGTTGAAGTCTCTGTCTGCGAGGAGATAAAAACTAGAGGTTAGTCGGAGGAAGGTTGAACTGCCGAAGGAGGAGAGGTCAGGGTGAAGTCTCTGTCTGCGGAGGGAAAAGAGACTGGGGATTAGTCGAGGGGAGAATGAACTGGCGAGGGAGGAGAGGTCAGGTTGAAGTCTCTGTCTTTGAGGCAAAAGGATTGGAGGTTAGTAAGAGGAAGATTGAACTGCCACAAGGGAGAGGGTTTCTTTTGGAAAGGGGCGGTACATGCTTAGGTCCTGGTCGAGTATCAGGTTGGACTTTGTACTGTCCTTAGAGACTGCGGAATCGGGATTCAGGTTGAGGAGTTTCTACCTGACGAAAGGTACAAGAGCGAAACTCCTCACGAAGGGTAAGAGCGAAACTCCTCACGAAGGAGATAAGAGCTCCGAGGCTGAAGCAAATGGTGGACTGGGTCACACACAGATTTGCGTATATGCAAATGGGTTGGCAGACAGCTTGAACATGAACTAGGTTAGAAGCATGAACAACAATTGAGACTGGGCTAGGGGTGCACGTCGAAAGACAGCCAGTCAAAACTTGCTCAGCCTTCGCTCGAGTGACTGGTACTAAGGCATAGACTATATCAATGGGTGCCCACAATTCTCTGAAATTTTTGTAATACAAACTGAATCTGAACCAGAGTGACAAGAAACTTTGCCTTGCTGATTAGCCCAAATTGATTGCTATATGGTTGCCCACAATCTTGCGAATATCAGGTGATACAAATTGGATCTGAACCAGAGTCACAAGAAAACTCGCCTTGCAGATCAGCCCAAACTGGTTAATACAGAGGTGAACTAGCAAGGGGCTCACCAGGTAGGCCATGGAAGTCGTACTGGATGCCGAAAGCGCCGCGGAAGTGGGGGTCTGTAGGGGAAAGTAAAGAGGAACTTCAGGATTTTGAAGTGAGGCCATTTTGAAGAAAGCCTACACCAAAGAAACCTTTGGGTAAGCCTGCATCTCAGAATCTGCATGCCCCCTACAGAAAGCTCCTTTCAAAGTCCAGAAACCTTTGGGTAAGCTTGCATCTCAGAATCTGCATGCCCCCTACAGAAAGCTCCTTTCAAAGTCCAGCCACAAAGGTCGAGTGTATTGCATCAACGAACCAGAGAATGGAAGTAACTTATTGGCTGACCAGCTTGTCAAACCCACAGGGAGTGATTTAATCTGAACAGATTGCAAAAAACTTTGACAAGATGTAGCAGTCCTACCACTCAACCCCAATGATCCCCTCTGATAAGAAAGCACAAGCTCCTACGTCTGAGCTTTGCATTTCCACTGTGTACCTCCTACCACTGTGCTTCAACTGGCATAGTCATCGAAACCCCTTCCTAAACCCACAAAGAAAACAAAGACCAGAACAACTCACCGGCACAGGCGCCAGTCGTGACTGGGGTTTGCTGACCGTCGTGGTCTGCCCCAGGGTTATCCTTAGGGGGGCCGCACAGGCAGTGCGCCTTCACGTTGCCCTGTCCCTCGTCCTTGCATGCCAACGTGCAGCAGTCATCAATCTTTATGCCCTGGCCGTTCTTGCAGTCGCCGCAGGTGACGTACTGGTAGGCCTGGGCGCATGAGGTAACACCATGGCCCTGCAGAAAGGTAGGGATTAGACTGTTAGTCTTTTGTTGTGTCAAAGTCTGAGAGGGTAAAGATGGATTGTCAGAGACTGTTGTTGTGTCAAATTTGGAGGGGGCCATTAAAAGCAGAGGTAAGCTTATGCAGCTCTATGGGTCCAACTAAGTACTGTCAGAGTCTGTCGTTGGGTGATATCAGTCAGAAGGAAAACGTTCGAAGGGGCCATTGGAAACAGAGGGGCTTGAAAATATTTGCAGCTACAGGGGTCAAGCTGAGTACTGAGTACCGCTTAGACCTTATGCAGAAGTGGGGCAGATTTTTAGCTCATAGATTTCTCCCAATCTAGGTTTCAGTACAGTCACAAAATTGCGGGAGCAGCTGCGTGGTATAAGCCCACGAACTTCAGCAAGTCAATGGGTTTCCCTTAATTGTTCCCAGCTCGCTGCAAGTAGTGGACTACCCAAGAGAAGCAGGTGCTTGAAGCAGTAATTAGAGTCAGCAACATAGACCTTGAAAACAAAAGTAGTCAGGCTAGTGAACAAAAGCTGGAAGGTTGGCTGGACCCGAGTCGGCCAATAGATTCCGTACGTACTCCCAGCTGGCTGAAAGTAATGAAATACCAAGACAAGCAGGTGCTTGAGCAGTGAGTAGTATTAGCCGCGACTCAGACTTGGGAACAAAGTGCTCAAGCCAGAGAACAAAAGCTGGATCGAAGTTTGAATCGAGTCGGCCAGCTCACTTGGATGTAATTTGGGTTCCCGTTGAGAGTGGCCACACCGCCGCGGTCGCAGTCACTCGGGTTGCTGGCGCGGCATATCTCGCAGTCGTTGGCGAAAGCAGACACCGCGAAGAGGGTGAGGAGGAGCGCGGCAGTGAGCAGGCGGGGAGCCATGGTGACAGGCGGAGGAAATGCGGAAGCGATGCTTTGAAGAGAAATGCTTGGAAGCTGGAAGTGTCAACGAAGAAAGAATGGGGCAGTGAGGAGCTGGGTTGTCGCTTCTTATAGGTGAAAGTCGACTGTGCTGAGCTGCAGTGAGCTGGCATAAAGGCGAATGAGCCGGGGCCCGAACTTGTCAGACTTCGCTGACCATGTTTACTAGACTGCAGTACTTCTAGTATGCATGTGAGAGAGTCGGGTTTCAATCCGGTGGAAGCCAATCATAGGTCATACGTGCGCCGCGTAATTCGCTGGAGCCCTCCACTTGCGCTGTTTGTGAGACATCAATGCACACTCGTGCCAAGGCATAAGACGGAAAGAACGGAGGGTTAGAACGGAGGCGTTACGAGGCGCGGCCGTGGCCGCGGGTCCACCCCGTTCAACACTCTAAACCGTCCGATGACCTATACTAAATCTTAGAAACCGTCGATAGTGGATAACCTTGGGAATTGAGATATCATTACCTTACACATTATCCGCAAACCAAGCCTCACGGCGAGCTCAACGGGCCCGCCCGGGGCAAAAGCGCCCCTAAGGGCCCACCGCCTCGGGCGACAGGTCGATCTGGGCCAGGCTGGGCGGTGCGACAATTCTGGCCCCGGTCTCCCCAGGCTGGTCGAGGCGCCACTCTAGGCTGAGTCCGTTTATAGTTTAGGAGTCCTAGCTGTCGTCCTAGTCCTAGCTGGCGGGCCAATCCCGAGCGTGACCCATAAACCGTGCAACCGGTTACCGGTGGACCGTGGGTAACCCGATCGGAAGGTACCGGGCACTACACCGTCGACACGTGGAAATAAACCTCCAGGGTTTAAGATCGAGCCGCGCGCCATTTGAAATCAAGCGGCCGTGTGAGTGGCCGCGTGTCAGTGCGCCGAGCTAAAATACCCTAAAACCCTAATGCCCGATATAATCAAAGCGACGGGTTTGAAGCCAGGACCATGTGAAGGGTTTGGCGCGCGGCATGTTCAATTGCATGTCAGCTGTCGCGCAACTTGACCAGGCCGCCGCTTCGGACCCGCGTAGGTAACTTGACGCCCAGCCAACACTGCGCGAGCCACTGCACCTTGCGCGTTGTGGATTATGCAAACCTTGATCGATCTGCTTGCATGATTGAAAGGTGAAGGTTTGAAGAATCTGTTCCAATAGACTGAATAGTGAAAAAGTGAAGGCGGGCTGGGAAGGGATGGAGAGCCATCAAGTGTGTATGCTGAGCCCTTATAGGATTAGTGACACGAATCTCAGTTGAGGGACAATGCGGCGTTTTTAAACGTTGCTCCTGTCTAAGCTGCTACGGCAATGGCAGTAGCGAAGAGGGAACTTACGAGCAATGAAACAACCCCGCACGCAAAATCAGAGCCCATCACTGACGAAACCAAATTGGTCAATGGGCTGCCCTTAGACGAGATAGTGGTTGACGTGGAGCGCCTGATTTTCCCAGTCGGTACTGGAGTCCGCACAAATGACGCAAACCCTGCTGACGAAACGCACTACGTTCTGGTCATCCACGGTACATTCGCTCAGCCCAAGCTGAAGGGTAGAGTGAACTGGTTTCATCCGGACCCAGAAAAAGCTTCCGACAACTTTTGTACGCGCATTGCTGTCCAATTGTCTTGTGGGCACTTTGGTGAGGATGCCGTGTGGAGAGCGCTCCCTGATCCGGAGCTACTTCCGAGCGGGGTGAACTATCCGTTCTATTGGGACGGCAGCAACACGGATGAGGGGCGCAAGAATGGTGAGCTTCTGTAAGCTTTGGTTACCGGTGCCCCTCTTATGCCTTGCGGAAGCTTTTTGATGGGAGGGTTCCCTATGAGCCCGTGAAGGTGGAAAAACTCCGAACAGAGGAAAGCCTGTAATGTACATTCTGGTGGTACCCTCAGAGTGCCCCCCTTCGCAGCACGTTATGGGCGAAACCCTGCGCTTGGTGCAGCGCTTGTAGTCAGCTTCTGCTGGTTGAGGCAGAGTGTCGACATGTCGTCATTCTGTTCAGGGGCTGCCCAGCTCAGCGCCCTTCCGCAAGACAAGAGAAGAGCCATTCTTGTAGGATCGTATTCTTTTCAGAGGGTCTGGAAATGGAAGCAGCGAAGAGAGTGCCGATGCGAAGATGTGGTCACCTTCAGTCGTGTCACTCTGAAAGCTAGTGATTGAGGATGTACACTAGTACTTGCTATATCCTGATGTCAGCCCAATGGGCTTCCCTTGAGAACACTGGTAATACCGCAACGCTGCGCTCTTGCTTTTGTACCTTTTTTTACATTGCATTGAGCATCACAAGCGGAACTTCGCCGTGAGTCCATCATGCATTCCAGTTATGAGGACCTTCCTGCTGATATCAACCGCATGTGCCCCTGGCACTAATTAGTAAAGCCATTTTTCGTCTGCCAACACCTAGAAGAATGTGAGGGGATCCCCTTGGTTACGGCCCATGATGACGCTGTCAATACTGGGCGCTTATGGCAGGTTGAATCGAGCATATAGCAACATTTCCAGATAACAATAGGTCCACTCTTGAACCAGACCGGAGATCTGTTAGCCGGCTTTGGTCAAAAAGTCAGTGCAGTCTTAATATTGTTGTTGGTATTGAAAAATGAGAAGTGAAAATATGATCCTTCAACCACGTTAGATCTTTCCTGGTGGTTGAAGAAACTACCAACCCGCCTAGCTACCCCAATTGCTAACCCGTGTAAAGCTGCTCAAGATGCTTGTCCAGGAAAGAGATATCATGGATTTGTTTTCTTTCCAGATATTCAGAATGGACTTGACGCCCTCAACCTTTGTGGACAGAGTTCTGTGCAAGCATATTATTCAGCATACACTCGGTTGGAATGTGAGTCATCCTTTACCGAGCGTTAACTCTTCGGGTCTCGTTGTCTGCAGGCGCTTGGCAGCTGGCCAAGTTGATCCGCCACATCGCAAACAGGGACCCGTCGGCGCGCATCCATCTGGTTGCCCACTCACATGGCGGAAACGTGGCACTCAAGGTGAGTGTATTGGGCTTTCCTTGATCACCAGACATTGGGAAAAGGTTGGCCGAACTCTCACTCAGTCGTTTCTCTGGATCTTGTCTCGAAAAGACAAAAGTAACATGGCAGGGAAGGGGGCACCCGCTGTGGGTTTGGAGGTTAATCCTTTCAATGTGTTCAAAAAGCAACGGGAGGTTGACACACTCTCCAGTAGCCTTCACAAGTCAAGTCCTCTCTCAGACGCTTCGTCTTGCCTTAAGCCACCTTTACAATCGCTGTCCTGTGCTGTCAGGCAATCAATTGGTACTCGCAGAAGCCGGAGTTGAAGATCACCGAGGTGGACTGGCCGTTTGTTTCCTTGGACTGCTTGGGTGTCATTCCTTGTCATGTCAACCCACTCTCAATTTGCTCTCAAGCGATCGAGCAGTACGTCCAGAAGCTGGAGACGCGGAGCGCCGAGGGAGGACTGGCCGGATGTTTCTTTGCACCGCTTCAATTACTTGACATTCCAAACGTATGAGCATTCTGCCCACAGGCGATCGAGCAGTACGTCCAGAAGTTGGAGCCGCGGAGCGCCGAGGAGGACTGGCCGGACGCCGTCCGCGAGCGCTTTCAGACGGTGCACCAGGCGCAGGCGGACGAGATCGCGCGCTGGCGAAAGGTCGACGGCGTGCCCTGGTGGATGCGCGGGCTCCCCTTCCTAGTTGTTTGGAGGGGACAGAAAGGTGGGAACCGCTTTTCGTGCCCAAGGGACAGAAGTCGGTAGCCTCCCGTGATTATGGAGTATGGCGATCGTTCGTGTCTTCGATTTGAGGTCGTCATGCCAAGCGGTGGCATATTTTTCAAGTCACACGCAGCAGTATATGTTGGTCCTAGTGGTACTCGACAGAGCTCCTTTCGATTGTATTGCAGGTCTTAGTCTTGATCAGACAATTCATGCAACGCCGAATTTTAACAGCTGGCATCCCTGACCATGACACCAGAAGCGTGTGATAACTTGCAGCTGACCGTTTCACGGTTGCAAAATCCCTAGCATAATCGTAGTCTTGGTCCATCCTGTTGGAAGAAGTTTCATCAGTCCATTCAAAGTCCTGAAGAGAGCACTTGCTTGACAGGGCGGGCTGATGCCTTCTGGAAGCTTATCAGGAAGCGCATAGCAGGATGTGCTTGGTCGCCGGTGTGTCAGCTTGTTTCAGCTGAATCTCCACTCTGCTCGCAAGGGCCATTGCTGGCCACTTCTGGCGGATGCTTGACAAGAATCAATCAAATGTGAACGAGCACACTGTGTGAGCAACTCGACAAGGTGTTAAACTCAGAGAAAGCATCGGCAAATCATGCTTAAGGCAATCTCTTTGTTGCCACCCGCAGGAGAGCTGCCGACCGCAGGGAAGGATCGGTCCGAGCTCTACCCCTGGGGATACTTCCGGTCTGTTGACGCCCTTCTGAATCTAGGGAGGCGGAGGAAAACTCTGTACCTCTGTAACAGGCGAGCTTAATCATCTTAAACCCACCCACTTACGCAAAACGGACAGAGTAGCCGAACTTCTTCCGAACCGTATGACTGTCGACGCCAGAGCCACCAGCAATCCGAGCAACCGAGTGACTTTGGTGGGGTTAGGTCGGGGGGTTAGGGTGGGTGGGGGTAGGTCGCCTGCGGAACGCCTTAGGGTGTGGGTTAGGGTCTCGCGTCAAGGTAGCTTAGGTTTAGTGTTTGTTGGCATTCCCGGGAGCTAATTTGCCTCGGGGGAAATACGTACCGTGAAGTATGTACCATCTATCGCATCGAGCGTGCGAAGTTTCCCGCGGTACCTACCACGTGCGCCGTCGTTTCATCGGTTCGGAAAAAGTTCGGCTACTATGTGCCTCTTGCCCCACTTACCCTTACTTACTGCCTCAATGTTGTGTGCTTAATCGAAACAATGCTGCTAGAAATGTTGGTTGTTCTGAACCGTCACTTTGGATGTCTCTATCAGAGTGTAGGGCTCTGAAACCCCGAAAGTCGAAACCAGATGTCCGTTTGTAACCCCCTCTGGCGGCCGGTCAGCAAGCCTAGAGGGGGGGATCGGTCAGGAGGCGAATTCGGATCCCAAGAATGATTCCACTCCGTTGATTCACATATGGGGCCAGACCAGACCTCTATCAGGCGTGGCAACCTCTTGTCTAGGAAGCCGATTTGACGCACCACCGTTGGGCAACGACACTCTGCTGTGCAGATAAGCCCAACCACAGTGAGGTCTTACCCCCTTTTCTTGAAAGAACCCCAACTAGGTTTCCGGTCGTCTCCACCCCCCTCCCTTGGTGTAATCCCCAACCGTACCGCTGTTGTCTCAACCCTCCTCCTCCGCATAAGCTGGGCGAAACTGCTGATGTTACTCCCGCACTCCCCCTCTCCGCAGGCGTGACATAAGCCCCATCTCCAACGCGCTCGAGAGATCAGAGCAGTGATTTCTCCCCTCCGGTTAGCATGATTCCGACAAGTTGCTGACGTTACTTTTCCCTCTCCGCAGGCGCTGACGAGCCCCATCCCCAACGCGCTCATGACGCAAAGTGGTGAAGTTTCCCCTCCCCTTCGCAGAACCCCTCCATATTGCTGACGTCATCCGCCCCTTCTCTGCAGGTGAATGACGAGCCCCATCTCCAACGCGCTCAAGAACTTGAGACGCAAAGTAGTGAGATCCCCCCTCCCCTTCACGTAAACCCGCCCGAATTGCTGACGTCATCCCGTCCCCTCTCTGCAGGGGCACGACGACCCCATATTTAACGCGCTTTGCATTACCGCTGCTCTCGTTGACGCCTCTGCGAATTGCACCCTTTTCAAAAGTGGATCCAAATTGAGAACTTGAGGTGGTGAGACCCCCCCCCTTTTGCGTGACCCCGCCTAAATCGCTGACGTCATCCCGCTCGCCCCTCTCTGCAGGCGCATGACGAGCCCTATTTCCAACGTGCTCGGGAAAAGTTCCCTTTCCATTTCCCTTAAGTGAGACAAGCTGCTGACGCCATCCCGTTCCCTCTCCGCAGGCGCATGACGAGCCCCATCTCCAACGCGCTCGGCAAGACCGTCTTCCTGGGCACGCCCTTCTACTGCAAGCAGTGGGTCTCGTGGGCGGTTCTGCGCATCCTCCTCTCGTTCCTCGTCTCTCTAGTTCTCGGCTTCGCCCTGACGTGGCTCGCCGTGTACATCTGGGCGGGCGTCTGCGCGTTCGAGACGGACGACAACGTGATCATGTTTCTCGCGGTCGGGCTCACGGCGCTGCTCTTCTTCGCGGAGCTGATGGGCTTTGCGGACCGGACGATGTTTCGGAGTGGCAACATGTACCACTCGAATACGGTAAGCGTCTGTGCTAAAGATGCAATTCTTCGAGATCTTTGAGATTGTGAGTGCTCCTCTTTCATACGGAGTTGATGAGCGTCGCGACCAGACGGGATTCCAAAGCCGCGACATCTATCACGCTGACAACGTATGGATTGTATTCTTTTATATACCTGAGATATTGGCGCGTCGCGTTTTAGGGTTCTTCCGACTCCGTCCCTTCTGTTCGGTACTTCCTTCCTGTGGCAATTCGCTTCGTGGTGGAGCTGAAGGGCTCCGCTGATTGAACTGATGCTTCGATGAAAACGGCATGATGTCACATTTTGGCGACTTAAGAAGATCCTACTGTAGATGCAATTTTTTTGCGGCAGTCCCGCCACGTGCTACAACAGCTGGTCAATAAATGCGACTCAGTGTACAGCTTAGCCTTCGATGGCTGCTTTCCGGCAATCAGAAAGCATGCATAAGAAGAGGAATTGAAAAAGCATCTCAAGCTGTGCCGCTTCCCAGAAGTAGGCATGTGGATGTACAAGAGAAGAGTCGTTCAAGGTTGAACGGATCACTGGAGAAGTCTTAAAATGCTCCGAGAGGGTTCTGAAAGAAAAGCGGACAGGTTCTGCAGATGTTTGCAACAGGCCCGATGCTCATTCAGCGAAGCCCGATGGAACAGCAGGGACTAACAAGGCAGAAGCCGTTCGAGAATGCTAAGAGCAGTCTCAGCACAGATCAATCTCAATTTGTTTCCTCACTGCTAGGTCCTGTGGTGCCGTGCAATCTGCGTCGAAGCTAAAGGACACTTCGAACGCAGTCTTGGGGCAAGCTGAAATAGGACGAAATGTATCCTGTCCTTCTTGCCAGGTCCCATGGTCCCCAAAAGCAACCGAACCAGATCAAAGCAGTTTCTGAGTCAGTCGTTTGTTCCCCGCCAGGTCCCGTGGTCCCCCGCCCAGCACGCGCTGGTCATCCAGGCCGGCAAGCTGGACGAGGCCGCCCTCGCGCTCTCCGCCGAGCCGGCCGCGCGCGCTTTTCTCCTGCCCCTAGTTCGCCGCGCCACCGCGCGCGCGGGCTTCGTCGCGCTCCCCCGGCGCCCGGCCGCGCACGCTCCTCCGCGCGCGCGCGCCTTCTTCTACATGGCGCTCTTCCGCGCGGTTGTGCTCAACCTAGTTCTCCTCTTCCCGCGCATCATCTTCTGGCTGATCAGCAAGATTGTCGTGCGCAACACGTTCAACACGATCCGGTCTGTTTTGATGGGGCTCGCGTTCGGGCTCGACACGGCGAACCTGAAGAACGCGCGCATCTTCGTGGAGGAGACGCTGGAGCTCGGGGGATCCCCCCGGAACATCCACACGTGGGACGTGCGGCGGCTATTGGCGCAGGCGGAGGAGCGCGGGCTCGCGCGCACTTGGGTCGAGGATTTTGCGCGCGAGCAGCCGGAGGGAAACGGAAATTGCAATGAGCGGATTCCGGCCGGAACAAAGGGGGAGGCGCTTGACGACGGGAAACCTTTTGGCCGGACTTCCTTGCAACGCGCCGTGTCTGAAAGTGTCAGTGTCGATTCGAGCGGCAGCTTCCGCGAAACGCCCGTCGGGACCGGCGGGAGTTTCGACGGCTCCGAGTTCGCATCCGGGACAAATCTCCGCAGCGGCGGAGCCGCGGCGCCCGAGGGATCGAACGGAATGAACGGAGTTCCGTCGTCCGCCGCGAGCGCGTACTCGTTTCTGTGGGACGACGCGGAGCTAATCGCGCGCTCCGATTCGTCGCCGATGTACAACAAGCTCCGCGGGCAGCTGCCGAGCCTGGACCACAACCCGCGGCTGACGAGCGCGCAGTTCGCGCGCGACCTGCGCTCCCTGTGCTGCGTCGTCGAGGCGCGCTTCTGGGAGATCCGCAACCAGTGGCAGCTGACGCATGCCACGTATTATCGGAACCAGGAGATTGTGGAGGCGATCGTGGCGTTCCTGGATTCGTCGAAGGTGCCGTTGGGGTAGGGGAAGCATAAGCTGATAATTTGCGAAGGTCCCTGGGGTGGGGTTACGGGATTGGGTTAGCTTGAGTTCCCTCAGGCTAGCGGCCTGAGGGGCGTAGATTGTGTTTGCATTTTTAGGGCGGCTTTTTTTGTAGAACGTTAGCTCGTAGGGGACAGGCGTGGCTTCGATTGTTGGGGACAGGGAAAGAAGCGTTGCTGGGTTGGTGCGCCTTACTAAGGTTTATACAGGCAACGGTTGAGGACTAGATAGGCGCCCTGCATTTATTATGGGGGCCGTCATGGTGGATTCCACATATCGGTGTACTGACTAAGGGCTGTGATATTGCTGAGTTGAAATATCTTGGATTCAGTTGCAGACAGTCAACAAGATACTGCCGCAGTGGTGGTTAAACGGTCTAGTGGTGCAGTGGAATGCAATATAATTGCAACGTCAAATCTACAGCTAGGTAAGCTGTTTTGAGTCGCCCAAGGCTTAAGCAGGACATACTACACATTTGGTAACGGCTCTAGTGTCTGGTTCTGGATTTTCGTATAGGGTTAGTAGCCATGTAGGTTGAAGGTTTGCACACTTGCAAGTCGATACCGCTAGTGACGGGCCAGCTCAGGAAAAAGGTTGGACAATCATTGTAGATCTCGCTGAACTTTTTGTAGTGAGTGTGCCGCTAAGATCTTGCATGCATTTAAGGCTGTCATTGTGCCGGCCCTATCTTCCAAAATTCATGCACCAAGCTATCACCTTTCGTGCAAGTCTTTCGAGTAGATTGTGAGGCCGCCCGGCCGCGCCTTTGAGGCGGCGCATCCGGTGCACATGCGCAAGCTGTTGACACGCAACTCGTTTGAGGTTCGCTCGGAAGCAGAAACGATCGTTGATATTACTGATGGTTAGCTTACTCACAGTCTACAGAGTTATAATGATATTCACAAGGTAGTTACAATTTCGCTGTATGGCGTGGCAGTGCATGGCTGCAACCATGACAAACTTCCAAAGTATACACCGACGGTCTGATCGCAATGAGTCAGCTGTACGTGTCACACCACATGCAAGCTCACTGCATCTGTTGCCCCGGGCCCGTACTACGGTAGCAGGTGCCGTACGTACCTTCACGCCTTCGATCGACTGCGAGCTCGTGCAAGGTTATTCCTCTGTTTCAATTCAACCGGCCCATATCCAAAACCAACTTCAACTACGATAACCGTCACGTAACAGTCGATCAGCCAATAGGACGGTTAGCAGCCAATGGAACCGAGAAGCTAGAAAGAGCTGGTCCTCAGTACGTCTTGAATCCACGTGGGTGAGAGCGAAAGCTGAGATGTGCTAGATCAAAGTAGTTCGCTCAGATAGGAGGTGTGTATGCACTGAAGAACGTGAAGTTTGCCTGAAACGGGACGCTGAATGGCGCTTGAACCACACCCGGAATGGGCAGCTTTGCGCACGTGGTGTACGGGGGAAGGAGGCCGCCATAAGTCGACGTCGTCGTGATATATCTCACCGAAGCTAAACCCAGCGTGCCGGTAGCCGTTGAGTAACTCTGGTCTAGGGAACCATAGTAAGGACCTGAGGGCAATAAAAAACAAAAACAAGAATCATTGAACGGAAGATTTATGTCTGTTCCGTAGGATAGCAGACAGAACTTGCATTTGCTTTCGCTCAAAAGTTTGCTAGGGACAGCTAGAGAGCAGTGCTGTGAAGACAGATCCGAAGACGGATGCAGGTCTGGAATTCACGTGGGCGATGATTGCATCAAACATAGATCAAAACTAGTTCCGAGTTGTCGGCCAAGTGAGCAGTAGTCAAACACCAGACGCAAGCAGAGTCGGTGCAAGCTCGACGCGTGCTCGACCCCAGAGCACAGAAATCGGGATCGGGAAGTTTTTGCACCAGATCGTTAGAAAACCCGAATCCGAATCAAGTCAGGGATCTGGCTGAAAGCAAACGTGGCAGGAGTAGTAATTGACCGCTGGTGCTCAAGATATTCAATGCTTAAGGTCTACTCAGATAGGAACTTTTGACGCACCTTTATGGTCAATCTTTTGCGGAAGTATGCGAAAGTGGGGCATCGGAAACAAAACAGGAAAATGAAATGCCTTCTTGCGCCCATAAGCTGGTTGTCGGCAATTGCTGCTCTAATGACCACGAAAAGCCCTGATATCCCTCTTTCTCCGTCAGACAGATACATTAAGTCTTCACGGAGCGTAGATGACGTGCCAATGTCGTTGCCGGACTTTGCTTACCATCCAGATCCGAAGACGGATACACCTTCCCTGTCGCTCTGGTTGAGTTTATGGTTGCCGTGGCATTGAAGGTACTAGTTGCGAAAGGTCCGCTTGAGTTGAAGAGGAAATACTGGCTTTCATTTGTGCTGAGATACGTGCCCACTCGGTTGTATGTTGGATCATTGGAGTAAAGGTCAGCGGCAGATGAAACATTGCTGGGGGACTGGCTACCTGAAAGGAGCATAACACATTATAATCAGCTTGTAAGGAGCTCGCACTCAGTCTAGCTCAAGATTCTTGGTAGTCGGACGAGAGTTTCTTGAGGATACCTGGAGCGCTTACTGCTGCATTCGTTGATAAGGTCCAGATGATGATTTCGTGTGCACAAGTATGAGCTTGGGATAGAATCTGCAGATTCGGCTGCTACAGATGGATAGTTTGACTGACTTGAAACAGGAGATAATCAGCGATTCACTGAGTGTTTCTTTTCCGACTACTGCCCTGCGAGGTACTTCCGCCGTCAAGTTGCTATATCTTGGAGGCAAGACCTGATGTTGAGACCATGTTGAGCGTCCTTGCAGTTCCATACACAACATCAGAGTCATGTATGAAGCTAGAACAAGAACTGATTAAAACGGTTCAAATGATGTGAGTTGGAAATACATTTATTCCAGGTTAGTCCAGAAGATCATCCCATCACTCAGTCCAATCCACTATCTTTCTATCTGTCAAATGTTCCTGTGAGAAGATTTGCGAGAAGCTCAGACCCTATAAATACTAAAGCTTGATATAGCTCCATTCTCAGTATGATTGATATCTGAGCTTCAGAAGGGTCTTAAAGGAGATCAAATGCAGGAAGTGAGACGGCCAAAGCTCTACTAATTCCCACCCTAGCTTATGAACTTCACTTATCTTTATATATCCACAATCATGATGTTCTAGTCATCTGCCATGTGCATTTCAAAAGGGGTCTTGTTTGCAGCTGTGTAGCAGCTCGTTGCTGTGCCACAAGGGGCCATGCTGATTGCATGAATTGCCTCGCAACCAGACTTACTGGCAGCAGAGTTCTTTCAAGTGCCCGCGGCCGACAAAAGATAGAGTCTGAATAAGAAGTGCAGGGCGAGCAGACCCACCTTGGCTGCAGACGTATTTGACGATGCCCACCGCGTATGCTGACGTCAGCACGACGTCACCTGCCTTTGGCAGGAGGTTTGCCTCAGGCTGAGCACTCGGGCTGTCAGTCGGAGGCTTACTGTAGTAGGAATTTTCCACAAGGATCCTTGTCGACAGCCGACTTGCGTCCACATACTCACAGTCCACAATCAGGTTACAATCGCTGCCCAGGGTTACAGCAAACACACGTGCTGCCTTGCACATCTGTGTCTTCTGTAGCACAAGATCCGCCCGTGAATGCAGCGGCTTTGTCGCTGGGTCTGCACAAGCTGCTTGCTTGCTCTTTTCACAGACACGGGCGCCAATCACTCCACAAAGAGAGTGACCCGCATTTGGTTCTTCCTTGCACAAGCCATTAGTGCTTGGGTGACTGATGTTGTAGTACCAGAGACCGGCTGGGAGGCTCGATAAAGAGACTGCATTATTGACGTCGTTCAGGTTACAAGCTGAGCCAATCTGACGCGTCAAGCGGGACCCTTCAGCTCCTGCACTGATTGGCCGAATAAAAGACAGAAGACATACGTTAAGCAGGAGGTTCCCGAGAAGGGCGCAAATGCAGCGCCAATAGAGGGGCTGGAAAGCCATTCCTGCCAGTACGTGTCCAATAGCTTTATTCGTTTTCTGTCGCTTCTGCTGCGAATGAGCACCCAAGAGGGGCGATCTGGGAGCTCACGGAACACGTACGCGTTGCTGCGCCTTTCACCGGCAAGAGGATTAAAGAGCCAAAATCTGAGGTCCGCCTTTCGACATGACACTGAAACAGCTCGGTATCTCGGTGTTAGAGCCTCTCCTCCCGTCTTTCACAACTTCAGAGCCTCCGTGTTAGATCGACTTATTCAGCTCAAAAGCGAAGTCGAAGAAGTGGTGGCAACTGCCCACTCGCGAGCTGCTGGTTTTAGGCTGCACTTCTCAGACTCGTGACTATGGTCTTCCTAGACAGGGGAGAGCAACCTCGTACTGCCAAATGGCATGTACCAAGACAGGGTAACCAGGTCCGTCGCCGCTTCGCAGTCGAGGACTCAGCGCAAGAAGCATTGCAAGAGCAGTGAGTAGAGCCACTGCCACTGGCACAGTGCACACTGCAGCAGTGACAGGGTGTGCGAATATTGTTCTGACGTGCACTGACTGTGGCCGCCGGGCGAGGCCGAGTTGCGGCAGTGCGGAGTGGGAAGTCGCGGCGTCAACGCCGTAGCGTCCGTACCATTTGACCATCCGGCAACGCCCCGTTGGTGAACTCTGGACTACCTAATTTAGGATTTAATAGTGCTCGCCCGATGTTTCCGCTCGGCCATTTGGCAGGGAACCAACTTAATACCATATGCCAGTTATCTGGCCATCCTCTCGGCAAGGTGCCCGGTGATCCGGATAGTGCCCGCCAGTCGCGACAGCGAGATATGGGATCATATGGCCCGGCAGGGGATAGTACCGGGCAGAGCGGGCATCAAGTCACGTGGCATTCGAGCCAAAATGAAGTGCGAGATATTGGCTCCGCCATAAAGATAATAAGCGGCATGTATAATAAGCTCGCCAGCCTGGGACGGGTGGGATTAGTTTGGGGGTTAGGGTGGGTACGGGTATGGAGCAGGTAGATTGTTGGGTTAGGGTTTTAGTCATAATAGTTGGAGCTTTTCATGCCCGCCTCTTATCATTCCTAAATCTAATAGTCCGTCATGCATCTCATCACTATATGAAGAGAAATCCTCCGTTTCACTGGGCCGCGTGTCACGCAAAGGAAGGGGCTCAGAGTAGAGTCTGTACGGGAGATGACGTTAAGCCATCATAGCAGATCCGTGCTGTTTCGACCGTCCGATAAGAACAATCGAGCGTCCTGCAGCATGTTGCGTGCCTGAATTTATGGCTTGATTGTGTACGGGCGCTTTTCAAGACGTCGGTGGCCTCTTTCTGTTTCTCTTCTCTTTACCTACCGGTAATACCGTACCTAGGTAGGCACCGGTAATGTGATTGGCTGAGCCTGAAAAACGAAGTAATAGCTATACCTAGCGCTCGTGTTTCGTTTGCATGTGAGTGGCCGACGGTGGACCGGGGACCCCACCCCACCTGTGATACCAGTGCACTGCACAAAACCGCAGTGACCTACCGGTACCCGACGTCCAAGTACGGTCGTTATGAAGTTACTGCGGCTTGCGACTCGGCGACCTAACGGCGACTACCGTACCGCACGGCCTGAGTCCTTGCAATTCGAAGCTTGCAATTCGCGGGGGGCAATTCGAAGCTGTAACTCTTCTAGGATTCCAGGATCCTGTAGTTCGTGGCTTCTAGGTACCGCTTTTTGAAGTTTCGGCCGTCAGCGGGATGCTTCCTGTGCTTGTCGATTGCTTTCTTGAACCCAGGGGGTCCCCCCTTGCCGTCACTGATTTTCAAAGGTGCAACTCTGCAAAGCTTTCTGCAGCGGCCGCAGCAATCATGGCAGTCAATGGCGACGGCCAAGCTGGCATTGGCAGCTCAACAGCCTGTGACTACAAGAGCCCGCGGACGTGAAGCCTGGCGGGGCCGCGACGACTTCCCTGTTTGTGCAGCCAGCCTGCAGACGGGGGTATTTCTGCAGAGCAAAAGCAGCATTATCCTGCAAGCATGACTTCCGTCGGCGCTATGTCCTCAGAACAGACTGAAGACAAAGCAGCTCATGATCCTGCAGCATCTACTATGGATCTTCGAAATGACAAAAGGAGCCGCAGGAGTAGGGGCGGCGCGGGGTTGTACTTTGCAGGTTTTCTGCTTGTCATCTTCCTGATATATTCGATATATCTTTTCTCAGCGGTAAGTTATCGATCAGACATGCAGTGACGTGTTTGTGCAAAGTAGCAACCGTTGAGTCTGTCAGCCTAGTGGTTGAGTCCTGTCATTTGTGCAGATTCCAGAAAGACCAGCACAACAATTTCAAAGAACTCATTACGAGCAATCCCTACAGGTCAGCTTTCAGCGTGGTGATTCGTTGCAATTTGGCCAATGAGGTCGTTTACCACCTACTGAATGCATTCTTGCAGTCTCTTAAGTTCTACCTCAAGTGGAGAAATTTTGCACCTATTGTCTATTTGCATAGAAAGCTTCAACGCAGGCTGACACTTGACTTTGGCATCCACAGCTTCATTGTTGCTGGAATCCATTCATGCAATCTAAAGTGGCTGCATCCATTAAGAACCACTACCTCCTGACGTGCCATCATCTTACTTCACTCTGGTCATCTCAACGGCACATTCTCTTCTGAGCTGCCATGACTCACATGGAACTTTTGCCAAACAGGTCACCTGGCATCCGGCGGCTCAACTCGCAATCAATGCTCCAAGTGAACTCTCATGTTGAAAGATTCTGATTGTGCTTTCCATTATGCAGTTCCTGGTCTTCTACAATCATCCATCGGTCTCCATGAACCAGAATGAGGACAGCGAATTTCGGGCTCCCGTCATCTCGGCTTGCTCTTTCGAGGGCCCTTCGAGCATTCCCCTGGACTATGGCTACTTGAAGATGTTCTACTCGTCAAGCCGATACTTCTTCTTCAACTTTGGACCAAACTACCAGCGAGCAAGGCAAGCAAGCTCGATGCATTCTGCGGCGCAGGAATCTTGGAGTTAGTCTGTGAGCGGCAACATTATAGTTTTGCACCCTCCTTTCATGGAGTAGCTTCCATTACCGTTGTTGGTGTTTGGAAAGTAATGTCTGGCCTTCAGCACAGCAGTCCGTGTTCTCTGCTGGTGGAAATTTGACCTTTGATGTCCATTGCCAGAGAAATCACGATTCAAAAGCAGTTCCTTCACTCAGGCCGTTACATGCTAGTTCGCTTCCTTTGAGGACACGATGTTTCTATACCTCAGGTAATGCGTGCACCCACCTCAAGAATGACGGAACTCACTCTCTCCTGACCTGAATCTCACGCAGAGCGGAAGGAAAATTTCCGGACTTCTACGAACGCAACAACATCTCGGGGGACCGCAACAGTACGACCGTTCAAACAGGCTCGCCTGCATCAGCTGACACGAGGATCAGCACTTTCTACTGGTTGCAACCGAGCAACCTCGTTAGAAGCTCCGCCGGCGAGCCCGTCACTCCCCCACAATCGTGGTGTATCGTCTACTTCCCCAACCAATTAAGACGGCGCACAACGGACCCGGAGCAAATACTGCAGCCCCACGTGTCACTAGACTTTTCGCTGTCGTTTGGGGGACACGTGACGAACGACGTCAGGAACCTCAAGGCAGGTTCCAGCCATACTTTGTTAAACCCTCATGAAGTTGCAAATTTGCATCCGGCAATGCTACTAATTGCAGTGCCCGATATTTGGGCAGTTTTAAAACTTCAGCTTGGATAAGGTCCACAACACGGGTCCACATGCACGACAGGAGCTGAAGCATCGTTTAAGGAGGCCCGCGTACGCGTGGAGAGGTGGAGTGCGTAGTGGATTCTCAAAAGATCGCACTTTCCCGGCCTTGAATTGCGTTCGATTACCTCCTTTCGATTCAATCTCTTTTCCCGGCGGTTCGGAGTGCAAGCAGGGCAATCAAGTGACGCTACGACAAGGGTCCTTTGTTGTACCTCAGTAGCCTTCTTTCGTAGGCTGCACGGCTTGTCATGCCTGTGCTTGTTTGAGTGTGCCAGCTCCCTGTAGATACATGGAGACAACACCTCCGCTCTACTAGCTGCGAGAAGCGAGAGACATGTTTCGTGCAGCAGGCACAGGTGTGTTTCAACTACTGACGGAAGCGATTGATCGAAGCTCCTGATTTTTCATTTAGATCAAGAAAGATGATAATACGCCAAGATATGATATTGGGCTCCGACAAGCAATACGAAACCTAACCCAAGAAGGTACCTCAGCTCCAAACCCATACCCACCCTAACCACCAAAGTAACCGCACCCGTCCCGGTGCGGTTACCTTATCATTATCTCGGCTTATTATCATCTTTTCTGAGTTCAATTTTCTTGCTCATCTTTCCTGCAGCCCCCAAAGGTCCTCCACTGGCAGTTCAATGACTACCCGACCAACTCATCCAACGACACTGCACAAGCAGACCTCCTCGCGGATTTGCAGCACAGCGTAGACTTGAGCACGAGAAGCTTATCATCGTTGACCAATGAGGAGAAACGTTCGTTGTACACAGCCCAAGGCCACGGGTTTGCGAAGCTGGTGGTTGGGAACTCGACGCATGTCCTGGCGCTGAAGAAGAATAAGCAAACGAGAATCAAGTCCAAGCTATGGCTGTTCGTCGGCTTTGGGGCAACAACCGAGGTAAGACGGCGCTCTCAGTAGGAGTCAGAAGCTAGCTTTTTCGACCTGGTGACGGACGTTTCAAGGCTCAGTCGAGCGATGCATGGCAAAGAAACCATGGTAGGTTTCAAAAAAAACGGATGTGGGTTCGCAAGCTGTCATCAGCTATCAGCTAGATCCCGTTAGCGTTCTTGATCAGCTCAGCTTGCCTCGCTAACAACTTGCTTGTGTTTGCTTCATATTATCTGTCTTGTCTTTGAGCGAGGACGTATACAAATACTGTCGTGCTATGCTGGAGAGCGCCGCTCAACGTCCGTTTTTAACTCGAAGGGTAATTCGCTGTGAAAAGAATCAAGATCACTTGTGACATTGAACTGCTTTCACTGCAAAAGACGAAGACAACCAAAAGCCTAAGCCTAGTGAAGCTACTAAATAACAGCTAAAGACTAAAGTATTCAAGGTTTAAAAAGTAACATCCTGATGTTGAAGGAAATACGCTTCAAAAGCTTCCACCAACTGAAACAAGACACTTGTGACATTGAACTGGCTGCCGACCCAGCTCTGCTGTCATCAAGCATTTCATCAGAACTGAAAAATGTAACGTGCCTGTCAGGAAGCAGATTGAGCACCTTGTTTCTGCAGCGAACGTTCTACACCATCTCGTCAATGTCGACCCTGAACCAAGTCGAGCCCCCTTTACCAGGCGTCGACGCTGCGACCGTTCAGATGAGCCTACTTCGAGACAGCAACGACATTTCCATGCTAAGAGAACGGAGCCCTACGGTTGACATCATCTCCAATATCGGTGGTGCGTGGAACTTTGTTCCACTCGCGTACTGGGTCGCCGCTATTTTGTTTGGCTTTCACCTCCGGAATCTGACTGACGTGTTCGGTGACGTGGGAACATGGGGCAAGCAATTCTTCTTCACGTCACCCGAGCGGCCACTCGAGCAGACCGACGCGGATAATGGCGCGGAAATATCCCGCGGCTCGAAGTTGTTTGATAGCTTCTCAACTATGTCCGTAGAGTCCGAGCAGAATGAGGTCGCTGAGACGCCAAATAGCGTCTCGGATAGAAGTGCGCCGCCAGTCAGATCGTCGGATGCTCATCCGGTTGACAACGTATAAGCGTCTACGATTGGGTGCACCTCTAAACACCAGCGTAAAGATTCGATTCACCATGAAGTCTAAAGTTCACAGAAGGCGTGAATCATCAAGCGCCAGATACAGAAAGGCCCGATCGATTCGGGTTCATTACAAATATTTTTAAAGGCTGCCTGGAGTCGAGGTAGTTAGACACAATCGAATCAGGCTGGCGCCGTTCAAAAGATATCATGTAGATTTTACCTGTTAAGTTCGGATCATCAAGCATGTGCCCGGCCATGCAGCGCGCGTCAGCATAAGTGGGCACGATACTATGTGCAGTGATATTGTGACGCAACGCGCCACCCGGCCGGATGAGATTCCTCGCTTTTGCAGCATATGCTGCCGGAGTCGCGGCCGGCAACTGCCGGACGCGGCCGCAGGGTTTTGTCAATAATGTTAGAAAGAATGAACATATCCTGACCGTTGATCATAAGACTCAAATGCTTATCGACGGCCCCGAGATGTGGGCTGCTTGGTGTTGATCCGGTTCATCTGAAACGGTTTGCCGCACCGCGCCTCAGAGAATTCCGAGTTCAATATGAGCTAGGCCTCTTAGCGACTGAGAGTTGCTAGGAGATGGACAAGGAAGAGCAGCAGGACACTTCGCAAGTAGGGAAGAAGAGACATTGCTTCCAGAGGCGCTCATCTCGGAAATGACACTCATCAGCTGCTCAACCTTTTTAAGTGCATCCGGACAGTATTAGCGATAGGGGCCAGCTTCATGTGTAAGTGCATAAGTGATTGAATGTTTGCAATGTGATCCGGAACGTTTCTATCGTGATGAAGATTGTTCATATAGCTGATCGGTATCCGGCTGCGGGAAGAATCCTCGAGGCAGGGGAGTAAATTTGCGTCACAATATGCTGATTGTCTCGATCAGAGAAAGTATAGTACTTGATAAGTACGCGCGAATAGTCATGCATCACATGATATGTTATTCATGCCAAGCTTGGGCACTCAACAGCTAGGCGGCCGCTATTGATATGGTTCACATTGCACGCATTGCAAACTCAAGTTGGATCAACCTCCAAAGCACTGGACCGTTCCAACCAGGCGAAATTCACTTAAGCACTAGCTCGCGTGCAAATTAAGCACTGCATGGGTGGACTCAGGGCCGGTCACACATATATACTAATGCGCACGTACATGCTGGGGGCGGCCGAAGCTCGGAAGATTGATTGAAAAACGCCCACTTACAGCGCCGCATCATTGCATGCATCATATGTCGATCATTTTTCGAATGCGGCGGCATCAACCTGGCATATGATGCTATTATATTTTACTGTCTATGTTGATGCCGCATTGATCCTCCGCGCTCGTTCATTAAGCTGCAGACATGCTGCTGCATTGTGCGCAATCTCGGCAGGCAGGCTCACGCATGGAATGATCGCTCATGCCACATGTCACGTTCTTTCGATGTAAATACATAATCAGGTGCTGATGACTAGGCTCAGTGGGCACCGGACAACTGGCAATGAATAGTTTTGCATGGCAGCCGGTCACTTTGCTGTCGACCATTGAACCGAAGAGGCATCTTTGAGCATCTCAAGAGGCGGCTTCACTGAGCCCCATGAGGGCTTGTCCGCAAACCTGGCTCTCGCAGAGTTCGCTCATAGGTTCGTGGAATCCACAAGTCAACCCAACGTTCGATTTCAGATGAGAAAGCAGCAACTCCATCACTTGGTCGCATCCCCTCCTGATGATGACGTCAGCTTTAGCGTCCAAAGGTGTGGGCTGCAGGTTGACAATGGCCAGATTTCCTCCGGAGGCTGCCACGTCAGCAGGGTAGTCGCAAGCGGGGGCTACCTGTAAGTCCACGGGCATACTGCTTACAATCGAACGTGTCTTACGGTCAATCGGGAGAGCTTGATCCGGAAAATACAAACTATGTTACGTCGGATTTGTAAGTAGTGTGTTCATTGCTTCCACACGCCTAGTCGAGCAGCCGAACCTCGTGCGAAATGGAAGGGCATTTTGAAAAGGAAACCCCACAGTGCACAGCAACAGAATGCTTAACCGAGTTAAGAAAAAGTTGCTGGTCCGCTCTAAATCCTTTTGCGAAGTCTTCCAGGGCACAAAAGCAAACTCGCGACAGCACAAACCGCTTCCTATCCAGAATAAATTTGTCCGTTCCGTTCAGATTGCGGTCTCAGATTGCGGCGTCAAAATACGGCCTCCCAGTTGAAGCGAGCAAACGTTGTTGGGACAGCTCCTCGGTCTAAGCACCGGGTTGATTCTGCCCACGTCAAAGCCTTGCGCCTTTGACTTTTCATAAGCTTTGCTTCCAAGGCTTACTAGGCCAAGAGGATTTTTCAATGCACCGTCCACTTACAACTTTCTTTCAGCCAGAACTTGCTGTCCACACGACTGCTTGAGAATGCAGATGCGCTCGCAAGTGCGTGTGTGCAAGAAGGGCGGAGACTATGCACTTTTGTGACGTTGAAGGGTTTTGGCATTTTAAGGTCTTAGAAACTATGAAAAAGTGGCCCCTCAACAAGACGCCCAATCTGGCCCGTTCCAGGAACCAAGCATAACCATCGGACAGCTGAAGTGAGTGTTTGATGAGGTGCGAAATCGGTTAAGGCGGCTAAGTTTGACAGACAAGCGCAAACCACTTCCATCAGGAGCTTCAAAAAGTCGGATGGTCAATTCCGCACAGCCGAAATCAGCTTTCAGACGAACTAAAGCACCCTACTCAGAGACGTATGCTACCAAACTGAACATATCTTAAACATAGATGGGCGAACACCTCAGATTTTGGACAATCAAAGCACCTTACCCGCAAGCTGCTCCCGAGCACCAACGCAGCGTCGGCCAGGGCGGTTTCGCGCTCCGCCGAACGCACCGCAGAATCCGGAAGGGGTTCCCTGAACAGGGTTACGCAGTGCCGAAGGGAGCCTGCGCAGCCCTGGGATTCGCACCGCCTGTGAAAGGACTCGAAAGGTGTGAAAGCAATCGGACGGTGAGCAGCGAACGGACCGGGGGACGCTATCGGTCGGTAGGGAGTGATCGGCGGTCGAAGAGTGGATGAGTGTGCGGAATGATCGGACGCCTGAGACGTGCTGGACTGGACTAAGTGACCGGACGGCGAGGAGAGGTTGGACAGTAGAGGACTGTTGGACGGTCGAAAACTGTCGGACGGTCGAGGATTGTCCAGCGGCGTAGATTCGTTGGACGGCTGGGAACTGCAGGACGTTAACCGTCCAGCGGACGGTGGAAAGCAATCGCGCGGCAGGAAACTCTCGAACGGCAGGGTCGGGCGTTCGGACGGGATGCTTTCTCCGGACGCATGAGCCGAGGCTCCGAACGGCAAGGCTCGTTCGGACGAGCGCCGTCGCTTGGCCCGTGCGGACGCCGACGTAGAACCTGAAAAGAAGGTGACACGTTGTCAGCAAGGACTTGGGGTGCCGGCGACCTTTTGGCAGCGATGCCGGCCTGCTGTTCGCCGGAACAGATTGCTGAGCATATGATCTCCGAAATTCAGCGGCAGATCGTCAGTTCGCCAAGGGGCAAGTTACGGGGCACATGAGGTTGATTAGCCGTTGAACAAGTCAGAGAAATGTAACCAAAGCCACCGTTTCAGATTACGGCTAATCTTTCCGCGATTCCGTGAACGGCCGACCTCTAATTCCTTAACACGAAAGCGTTCATGTATCAGAAGATATTGAGTCTGAATCGTCGGACCCAGCTTGTAGGAGAGGAGGCTACTGCCGGATCGAAGATAGTCCGTTTGATTGCAATCTCTTCTGCGTCTTGCAAGGTTAGTCAAACCTTCGTTTCCATCTGCGGACTCTTTCTTACTGGGCCCTCAAAAATGCAGAGAGATCCTGATTGTCGATACCATACCCTTCACATTCGAAACAACGGGCAAACCGCCCTGGAAAGCCTAAATAACTACTCTTGAACATACACACAGAAGCTCAAACCCTCTCAAGTCTCGAGGAATCCCTAGATCTCCCAAGATCTGAGCAATGAAGTTTGCACAACGCTAACTTTCGACCTTAGGATTGTGGACGTCCTGCACAGCAAAACTGCTTAACCCGGAAAAGATCAACTCAGGAGTTGGGCCGTCCTGCACAGAGAACCTGCTTAACCGAAAAAACGAAGCCCAAATCACGCGTAAAAAGCCCCGCCAAAGCTTAAGCCTCTCACCAGTGCCGGCCGTCACGCTCCAAGTCGCGTAGTCCCGGAGGTACTCCCTTCCGCATTCCGCGCACCTCTCCATCCTAGCGTTCCCGTGTAACTCGCTAAGCTTCTCTCGGGGCACCCCGCTCACGCGGTGCAGGCCGTCCACGTTTTGGGTTACCACATGCTTAACCAAACCCGCTTGGACGAGCAACGCAAGCGTGCGGTGGGCGTAGCTAGGGCGGACCTGCTTAAACCAGACGAGGTTTAGAAGAGTCTCCCATTTCCCGGAGCCTTAGGAATAGTAGGACTTCTTGACTCGGACGGGCAAGTTAATTCAGGGGTTTGGGGTGGGTACGGGTGCGGAGGTGGTGTTTGTCATGGTTAGAGAGATTAGAGTTTGGTTAGGAGCTTCCAAATTCTGGATCGAAAAGGTATGGATCTTTGTTCCGAAAAGAGTGTCGGGACATTTGGAAAATGCTCAAGGGCATGAGCAATTTCCAGGGCCGAAACCAAAGTGCATTAAGAGCCAGCGACAGGCGCAGCTGGGGGTGACCTGTTCACATTCACGGGGTTCTTACGTCAACGAGAAGATTTGAAAGGTACGGAAGGCGGATGCTCCACGAGGTTCGTCGTTCTTTTCGAGAGGGGTTTCAGGCTGACGGGATGCTCCCGCAGGGCTTCGTAGCAGATAGGAGACAGCCAATAGGTTCGGACTTCTCCAAGAATAGAGAGACCCAAGCACGTCAGAGAGAACCATTGATCAGCGCAGGGGGGCAGCCCAGACGCGAAGGACTATTCAAACGAAAAGGCGTTTTCTTCATCCAGGGGTTCTCCTGGTATCGGCCGAGAGAGTTGCACGCATTTCCGCAATATCTGGCTCCTCCGAGCCGTCCATCTTTACCGCCCCTCTAGTGGTGGCCTGAAAGTTTCCCAGGGGGCTTCGTCTGACTTTTCTTTCAGTCTCAAACGAGAGCACGGATCCTGCTGGTCAAACGGTTCAAGGGCATGAGCCGACTCTGGAAATATGGTTTCTCACGAGCGTTTGCAAATCTCCAACAATTTCCAAACCCCTGTAACATAAAGAACCAGCATGTGTGCCCGTTTTGGCATTTGATAGTCTTTGCGGATGATGGCAGCCTGTGAAATTCCGCCCTCCTAGCCCAGATTCACCACAGACGTTTTGAAGTACGTTTACGGAAGTGGAGACTTTCTTGGAGAATTGGAGAGTGGGAATCTGAGTGGGGGTTAGAAGGGGGTGGGTTAGGAATGCTGACCTGTGTGTAGGCGACAGGTGGCGGTCGTTGCCTTGGGCCTTCAAGGTCCATACCCCCGCTGGGCCCCGATAGTCAGGGATGCCAGCGGAAGTGGATATGCCGGCCCCAGTGTACACCTGGAAAATCGGGTTAGTGCGGCTGGTTATCACCTGGGGAGGGCCGCATACGCGTCTCAAGAAGTAGTAAACAAATACTTTGCATCTGGCAAAAAAGTGGATAAACATTGGGGTGTGTTTGAAGGGTGCCACAGACCGGAGGCCTAGTTCCAAGTGAGGGTACCACGTAATGGACTCTTTCCAGAAATTACGCCCGCCCCTAGTTAGTCTTGCTGCTACAGAAGCAAGTTTTGCTTCCTGGAATCTGGGTTTCAGAAACTATCATTGAGTGGCCAAACCGGACAATAGTCAAGCAAACTGCCCAGGTGACATCCACCAAGCTTTGAAGCATCTGATCAGCGTGGCCCGTTATGACTGGGCAAGAGTAGCTTCAGAAAGAGATTCAATTCTCAAGTGACAGGCAGAAATCCACCACCAACGAAAAGGTTCACCACTTCTTTCCCCTGTTAGTAATCTCCTTCGGAGTGACTTCATCCTCAGAAGCAAAGCTGTTGTGCTAACCTGCTTGGTTAAAAACGTGGCCAAAAGCAAGCGAAGTGCGCCCAATAGGACACGCAACCCAAGCCTAACCATGCTTGGTTAACAACATTACACCCAGTGGTTAACTTGCCCAACGAGGCGGGCTGAATGGTGGTTTTTTGAAGTGATGGACATGCATAACCAGGCCGAGTAAGAGATGGTTTCTCCTGGCGGTTAAGATTCGTGATCAGGCAACAGGGAAGCTCGCCACAAGATGCTTGCTACGTCGTACGATCTCAGCCAACTCCTCCACTTGCTCCTCCAGTGACTGGCGCCCCCGCCGTTTGGGCCTTTGACACACCTTTGGCTCGTCCATGGGAATGCCTTCTTTATGACGCTGGGGGCAGTTGGGCCAGCACAGGTTTCCTCTCCCCCTGATTAGTGCATTGTTTTGACACTGACGAACCTCCTACACGCGTAGGGCCATGATGCACAGTAAGCAAAGCAGATGACTCCCCTTGATCGTACGATTTCAATTTGGGGCAAACAGGTCTCCCAACTTGGAGATGTCATTTTTCTTGGGCATGGGAAGGGGGGGTTTGGGCAGTCAGGATCAGCAGAATGTTATCCTCTGAGCAAACTAATTATTCTCCTTGCTGTTCAAGATAACCAATGGGCTTCAAAGACGCTTTGAGGCGTGGGATGCTTCGATGCTACAGTACTATCAAGGCAAGGCTTTCGGCGGCGCTTTGTTGGGGATTTAGAGCTCAAAGACCAACGACACAAAGTCACAAACAACGATAGGACTTCTAAAAGAGTGCCCTGCCCCTATGACGAAGTGCTTGAGAAGCCTCCACAGGTTCTATGAATACAGAAGTTGAGAAGCGAGGGTGGTGCATTGAGAGACACCACCTCTTTGAAGCCCAGTTTGCCCGTGACCACAGAATTTGGAGTGCGAATATGGTGCGCGGCATTGCATTCCACACTTCGATCCCGCGCAGAGTCTAAAAGAACCGGCTCAGTTCCTGTTCCCCAAAAATGCGCTAGACAATGCAGGCCGCGCGTTGTGGAGCACGCAACCCCTTGCAGCAGCAACGTTGGGGGAAAACGAGGCGTGGGGGCAGAGAAGAAGCGAGCCTGGGGCGTGTTTGCTGCTGGAAGCTTTGCCATCAGGGACAAGGTTTCCATCTGCTGTTGGCCTTCTGCGCGAGCGCTACTCTGCTGTGTCTCCTGTATCGACCACCTTTTCGTCTGCTCGCTGCGCGCGTCTCGGTAAGCGTAACCTTGAATTGGAGCACAAGCTGTCGTAGGCTATGGGGGAATGTGGTTGCATTGTGTACGTTCTGTTGTGAACACTCTTAAACCCCCTCGTTGTGAGCCCTGCTCAACGAAGTTTCCTTATGAATGGTATGTTCTCGTTGATCCAGATACGCTCGATTGGCGTGTGAAATCTTCCCACTTCCATCGCAAACCTTCCGCTTCCAGACCATCCTTCTGCCGAAGTACCATAACATGGTCAGTTGGTAATTCATGTCTCTGGAGATTTGAAAGCCATTACTCGGGGGCTATGACCTCTTTTGCCAACATTGTGTGCAACCCCGTAGGAAACTGTTAAAGCGTACATGGTGGGGCAACTTTTGCAAGGCATATGCGTACGTGTTGCTTGATGCACTGGGAGTAGCAGTCATGTATTCTGCAGGGTTTCTTTCATCCGCTGCATACCAGGTTGCAGTGCGGTGGCCTTTTCAAATCCCCCCTTTTGGCGTATGCAACATCCCCGTGCTGTTCACAAGTTGATGCTGTTATATCGCAAACAAATTGGACCACACAAACTGCACCACTCTTACAAGGAAACCGTCCCGGGAATCCACTGGAGCAACATGAACAATAGCCCCCGGTACAGTTTCTGTGCATAGGCAGTCATTCTTGTTGTCTGATCTGGAAAGCGACTGATCGTCGCTCATCGGCTCGCAGGTTGCTGCTTCTTCTCCACCCCCCTTGAGACAGTCAAGCAACCCCACCAAGCAACTGCGGCAGGCAGAAGTATGATGTAAGTCACAGAGCCCCCTATCTGTAGTATTTGCTTGCAGAGATGCAGCAGCAAGCCTGCTTTTGGCTTTGGCTGTTCAAGCAACGCTTCTGTCTTCTCTTGTGCCTTCTACTGATCTCATTTCTTGGTATTTTCAGATCGCCCCAATCGTCAAGCAATCCTCTCCAATCTGCTTTGGATTTGCCCTGCTTTGGTCCTCCACTGAGTTCTGCAAAGTTCTGCAAAGTCAAGCAGAGTTCTGCAGTGTTGGGGGAGCAGTGTGCGGGAGAATCTTCTTGTCGAGCTAACACCACGGTGCGAGCAACCTTGTGCTTGTAACTGCAACCCTGACAGTCTGGTGTACATGGTTGTTTTCGTTAGTAGCCGACTTCAGCAATCTGCCTGGAGGTTCAATCCCTCTGCAGGCCACTTTGTGATGCATTCGAAGCGTCTGAATTCCTGACCAACACAATGTGGATCAACATCTTCGGTGGTTTCTTCACCTGGCTGATTTGCCTCTTCTTCTGACCAGATGCTACTTCAGGCCCTCTTTTGCCCTCTTCCTTAAAATATGTTGTTTTTGGATAGGTGTCATGGTGGCGTTCTATGTGCTATGCTCGTTAATGAAAGCGAAAGTGCCATGAGCATGTGTGCTTGCAAAACTTGCAGTTCGTACTTGTTGGTGGTCCAAGTTTCATCTAATTCCTGAACATACATCTTGTCGGTTTTGCTTTCCATTCGATCTTTGGATTGCTTCTGATTTGCCTCCCATCATCCTTGCAGCCCTTATCTTCCCTTTGTGACTCTTTTTTGCTGATTCTAGTAACACATCTGCTTGCTTGTGTTGTTTCTTTTTGTTGCACACATGTGGGTCAATCGTCTTTGGTAACTTCCTCACTCGCTGATTCGCCTCTTTTTCTGACCAGCTGCTGCTTCATGTGTGCCCTCGTTTGCCTTCTTTGTCAATCTATTGTTTTTGGCCCTGGGATTAGGAGTCACAGTGGGGTTCTATGTGCTTTGCTCATAAATGAAGCCAAAGTGCCATGAGCATGTGTGATTGCAAAAACTTGTTGGTGGTCCAAGTTTCATCTAATTTCTGAACATACATCTTGTCGGTTTTGTTTTCCATTCGATCTTTGGTTTGCTTCTGAATTGCCTCCCATCATCCTTGCAGCCCTTAGCTTCCCTTTGTGACTCTTTTTTGCTGATTCTAGTAACTTATCTGCTTGCTTGTGTTGTCGCCTACTGCTGCTCACATCCAGCTGTTGCATTTATCCGCATCGCACTTGGCAATAATAACAACCATTACCAACGCTCTGAAATTCTGAAAAGGTTTTCATGTAGTCCTCAGGACGAGGGTTGTAGTTGGACCAGCTTGCTCAATCCCGCAACATTGCATCCTGAGAAACCCTCTCTTCTGCTTTTCGACGTTTACCATCATGTCAGTCAGTTGGAAAGGTTTGCAAAACCACTGAACTTTTTCTCTTTTCCAGGCGCATGTCAGCAGCTCGACGCACTGCATGAGCACTCTGGCCGTAACTCTGACGACTGAAGCGCCTCTCCTCATGGAAGCTCCTCTTCCCGAGGCCAAACCTGAGCCTGAGAGCGCCCCACTTCAGGCGCCGATCCCGTCCATCATCCCCTCAGAGGAGCCCCAATTCTTTATTCCCGAAGACTCCAAACCCTCATCCACCCCCCCGGAAGAAGCGACCGAACCCCAGGAGCCAATCACCCCTGATGCTGAACCCCAGGACCACCCTCCCGAGCGCAAAACTTCGATGATTCCAAAACACCTGGCGGCGCTGCGCGACCCCCCCAGAAGCTCCAAACCCCTCACACCGCTCCAGGAGCTCTTGGCCGTGGTCAACAGCACGGTAGAAAACGACTCGCAAGGGGGGGCAACCTCTGAGCCAGAGTCCCAGCCCCCCGTTCAAGAGTCCATCCCCTTGAAGAAGCCTCTGAAGCCACTTGCGCGCCTGAAGCAGGGCGTGGAACAGTGCCAGAAGCTCGCTCCAGGGGGGAAGCAGAAACTTCTAGGGGGGTTGCAGAAGAAGACCAAGGGGCAAGCTTTTGCCCCCAATCTGAAGAAGACAAAGAAGGGTATGTTTAAGGGAGGGCTCAAAAGGACCAAGGCAGTGCTACCTGAGGGGGTTGACGTGGCCCCTGGTGGGGGGGTGCAGATTGCCTTGGGGGATGCGCCCAAGACCCCCCTGAAAAAAGAGACGGCGGCAGAGATGAAGAAGCGGGTTTCACAGGTGGCGGCGCTGCTTGGGCGGGAGGAGACCCCTGAGGAGAAGCGGAGCCACAAGAAGAAGATTCCGCTGATCAACATCGGGGAGCGCATCCTGATTTATTGGCCCATGGACGGGGTCTTCTACTCAGGTATGTCCCTATGGTGTCTTCGTTACAGCCTGCTTGGGGCCTATTCAGACCGTTGATATCTGTTCTGGTTTTCTTGGTTTGTGGTCTTTTTCTCTAGAGTGGATTGAAATCTCTGCAGTCAGGTTGTTGGCGGTGTCGATGACGGTTTTGCTGCGTTTGAAATAATGTTTGGCAAAGATTATCTGTCGTTAAGGCTATGGATGGAAAAGCTTCTCAAAGTGCTCCTACTAGCTTCGGCACTCAAAAGCAATATTAAGAACTGTCAGTTTCGGATACAGAGCAGTCCGGGAAGACATAGCCCTTGCTCAAGTTTCCCAGTAATTAGTTTGCTCAAACGTCAAAGCTTGAGGTGAGATCGGAGTGACCAGTCTTCTTCTGCTTTGGCTGATCAACGTCATACTTTGAGAGCTGCAGAGATTCAAGCAGAGGCAGAGCAAACCGTAGTCCGTTTCTCATGCTTGCAATGTGTGCCAGAGTTTCTTACGTCTGTATAAAAAAAACTGCAGATCCTGCTGGAAGGGGCAATGGAGGAACTTCTAGGTTCTACTTCATTCCCATTGAAGGTTCACGAACATCACCGCGATCCCTGTGCCACGAAAATTCCCGGACGTTTTTTTTGCGCTTGAAGATACCGTTCTTTTTTCTGTCAATTCTTACGTTGGAATGCTTCAGACTTGGTGAACGGTTTGACATGCATGGGATGCATTTCACGAGGTATTCAAAGAACGTGAGCACATGCAGATATGACCTTCATTGTTGTACGAAGACAGTCTTAGCAATTGTGAGTTGGTAGAAGTGAGTTGGTAGAAGGAAGCTCTGGACAACAAAGTTCAGTAGCTTGTAGGTCTTCCAGAGAGTATTACCTGAGTCATTCTGGTCGAAGTTGTGGTTTTGGGGCGCAGTCTGAGGCACTGTTCCCATGGCCGAGAACTTACATGAACACACAGCATCTCTTATGTTTCTAAGTTGAAGGCAAAAAACGAAAGTGTCGAGGACAAAAACGAATTAGAAAGAACACGAGCTGTGGATCTTTGTTGACCCATTAATGACGAGGAAGGGCATGTGTGCAAGGTTAGAAGGCACACCCAGACCTCGTCTTACCAAAACAAGCCCTTCAACGATACAAACTAAGTGAGGACAAGACTTCGGTGTAAGTGACGACGACGCATGAACCTGGATGCGCCCCTTCTTGCAGGCAAGGTGGTCGAGCACGTGGTTGCAAAGCACCGCTACACGGTCCTGTATGACGACAACGAGATGGAAGTCCTGGACCTGTCCAAGGAGATCTGGCGCCCCGGAACGCTCGACCCCAAAAAGGAGCGCATGCCCGGCGAAGGGATTCCCCCGCCCGAGCTGGGCCTGCCGTCCGAGGGCGACATTCCTCACTACATGCCCCCCCGGAAACGCCGCCGGTTCGAGAAAATGAAGAAGTGGGGGGGGCAGACGAAGGGGCCGAAAGATGCGAAGGCAGAGGGGGTGATGAAGAAACGGCGGAAGAAGATGAAGGTTCCAGAGTCCGGGGGAGAAGCGTTGGGGGCTTCGGACGAGGGGGCGGCGAGCGTTCAGGAGATGGGGGCGATTGAGGCGCTCCTTGGGGTGGCTGGGAACCGGTTTGGTGGGAACACGCCCACGTTTGGTGCGCCCAGTGGGAATGGGCTCGGGAGGCGCGACTCGGAGGAGAGGGGGCCGATTTTCATCGGGCTGAAACGGAAGCGGAGCAAGAAGGGGGAGGGGAAACTGATCCGGTTAGCAGCCACTTTGGACCGGACCGCAAACGGGGGGTACTTCCCGGGACATTCCAACGGGTGGACGAGTCCGAAGGGGGGCTTCCGAACCGGGGGTTTCTTGGTCCCCTCGAGCGAGCCCGCCCGACCGCCCAGAGATGTGGGCGCGAATTTGTCGGATGTGTCCGACGTCAAACGCCCCCAGGAGCTCAACACGCATCACGATAAATTGAGCGAACAGGGGCAGAACCAGGGGTTCATGTCAAACGGCGCTCACCCGGACGCTAACCCTCTGACCGCAGACCCAGTCCTGTCCGGGGGAAAGCCAGGTGTGAACGGGGGACCCGTGCCCCTTCCCCCGGAGATCCAGCAGATTCTGAGCGACTTTGAGAAGAAGAAGATGGAGAAAGAGGAGGGGAACAAGGGGAAGGCCGGCGGGCCGGGCAAACGGGGGGGCCACAAGCGCAAGCGGAAGTTTACGCCCAAGCCCAAGGGGAGCACGAGCCGCCACGTGGCGAAAGCGCAGCCGTTGGTGCGGAAGCGCAGCTTTGGGGAGACACAGTTTGTGGAGCTGGCGTGCGGGGGAGCCCTGCTGGTGAGCGCTGCAGAGACGGACGGGGCCGGGCCACGGGTGGCAAAAGCCGGGGGGGAGATGGAAGTGGAGAAAGTGGGGGGGGAAACGATGAAGGCCGAAGAGAAGATGCCGGAGAAAGTGCGGACTGGCTCGCGGCTGATGAGGTCAGCGGCGGTGGTCGCGCAGAGGCGGATCGAGGCGACGGCGGGCGGGACGATTGCGCCTGCGGAGGTGGAAGCCTACAGGTGCGTATGAGATTGATTGGCTGCAGTATGTTCTGCGCGTTGCCCCAGGAGTGGTGAGGCCAGAAAAACTAAGGGAGAGGGAGTTGCCAGAGGAGCCGGCTTCGTTGGGAGACATGCATTAGGAATACCAGCATCTTTTGTCTCGTTCTAGTACCTTCGAGCCGCTGGATTTCCTCCCTTGCGAGCTTCCTCTTTCCGAATCAATCTTGCTTCTTGAACTCACGGGATGTCTCCTGGTGCAAAAAGTCGACTTGCACAGCACGTGTCTTCTGGTTAGATTTAGGAGGGTTCAACTTCAGGCTCCCAAAATATTACTTGGTCGCATACCAAGGAATTCGTGTGACAGACTTTGGTGCACTTGCAGGAGGGGCGGCATCGAGCTCCCCCGGAAGCGCAACAAGCGCGAGTCGGCCCCCCATCCTAGTTACAACACTCCCCCTGGCAGCGTCCCCGCTAGCGTGCCCGACCCCACTCTCCAAACCCCCAAAACTGAGCCCCCCGTCGCCGCAGACCCCCCAAACCCCCCTGCGTCGAGGCGCCTCTGGTGGAAAGACGTGTATGGAGGGCAGAACCGTAAACCCGCTAACCCGCCGGAGGATGCCCTTAGCGAGCAGATTCCTAAACTCTCTAACACCGCGGAAGATGCTCCAGGGGGGCAAACCCCTGCGGCTTTTAGCCCAGTGGAAGATGAAACGAAGCCGAAGGAGGGGGTCGGGGAGACGAAGGAGGGGCCAGGGTTTGTCAGGCGGCCCGGTTTGGAGGTCCGCTTGGGGAGCGGGGAGAAGGATCCGTGCCTCGAGAACGGGCATGACGTCAGCGGTGTGAACGGGCACGCCGGCACGCCCACCAGTGTGAACGCCCCTCCTGGCAACGACTCGGAGCACTCCCCCAGGGACGAGGTCGTCAACACCGAATACGGGGCCAGCCCAGGAGAGGGTGTGAAGGCGACGAACGGTGTGGATGGGCCCGGTGCGCCTGCCGAGGACGGTGTGAACAGGACCAGCGTGACTGGAGTTTCAGAGATGGACGGTGTGAATGGGGCCTCGGACACCGCTGGTGTGAACGGGCGTGGTGTGAACGGGATCCCGACAGGGAAGGAGGCGCCCGGTGGTGTGAATATGCACGGCCCCGAGACTTCCAGGGTTGAGAGCGACTCGACGGCAGCGCTGCCGCTGCACACGGAGAACGGGAGCAGCGGCCAGATGGGGGGGGCGTGGCAGAAGGTGGCGGCAAAGACGCTGGCTGACGTGGGCGGGGTGAGTCGTTTGGAGAGGCTTTAACCGGAAAAAGGTGCTCAAGATTCGTTGTGAGAATTGTGCTTGAGCGCCTGAGCACCAGATACTGGTTGCAAGTATTTTTGAGAGTTGGGGCGGAGGATGTGCGGTCATGTGCAGTTTGGGGGTTACACCAAGTTTCGCCGCTGTGGAAGAACGTTTGATGCATTGGCTTTGGTTACAATTTGGCATGCGGACGTGCGAAGCGAGGCACAACCGGCTTGCAAAGTTTCCGGTCTATTCTGGCCAAGTCTCCCGCCGGAATCAGCGGAATCATCATCTTCTCTGTTTCAGCATTAGCGCCATGCAGACTACGAGATCGGACGATCTCCGAACCAAGTCTCTCGCTTACTATCAAGATCAAGGCTTGCTCGAGCGATTTAAATCTGTGCCGGGTGTCTTTCAATTTCGTTTCATCTCCCCATTTTTGTACGTTTGTTTCCCTCGGTTCTTTAGCCTTCTCGTGCGTGCTCTTTCTCGGATGTGGTCCACATCAGCTATTCCCCTTGTTTGCTTGTTTGTTGTCCAGCCTCTTCTTCCCTCAAGTCCTCTCCTTTCACTCTTAGCTCCATTCTTGACCCGGGCTGCTTTTGGTTACCAGGTACAGAAGTGGCTCGAGCACGTGGGGCTAGGCCGGCTGGTCGGCCTCTTTACCGAACACGAGGTTGTCGACGACGCACTCCCCCACCTGACGTCAGACGACCTCAAAGAAATGGGCGTCAAGGCGGTGGGCACTCGGCGGCTCATCCTCAATAACATCGAGTTGCTCAAGCAGGGCGTATTAGGCGAGGCGCAGGAGAGTGTCAGCCAGTAGAACGATAAGTCGACTGGGAGTACGAGGCAAAGCCGCTAGGAATGATTTAACCACAGGTTTTTGTTACGGGCCTTGCTTGAGAAAGTCAAGCGGGGCGCGGATTCGTCGGATGTATTGGCAGTACGTGAGCAAATGCTGCATCATTGCAGGAGCTATGTAGGCTAAGTAGTGCTTATTACAGGACGGTTGTTCTACAAGCGGACATTCCAGACGGTGTGGAACCGTGCGGTAGGTTGGGCGAAGGTAGCTCGCAACGCCATTGTGGCACATGATGCGGAACTCAAAGAGTGTACTAGTGTCATCAGCTCAGCCTCTCGCCTCTGCTCATAATCCAGCCTTTCACTTGCTTTGTGTCACGCCGTACAAAGTTTGTACGAGGCTAGTACCACCGTCTGCCACTCTGCCGAAGCACCGGAAGGCATGTCACGGCGTGGGCTTTCGTTCAGGCTTGCGGATGCGATCAATTGCTTCGCCAAATAATCAATTTCGAGCCTTAGCCGCAGCTGGCAATATTCTACCCGACGTGCTCGAGCTAGTCAATTGGCAAGCTCTGTTTTCCGCAAATGCAAACATGTACCATATTCTCATGGGCGCTGGGCTTGTTTCAGACGACCACCGTCGGGCCCGCAGCTTTTAAAAGCTGCTTTGCGCATGCACATGCCCGCCATATGCAACGTGTATGATTTTACTCAGTACGTGAGTCTAGCTGCCCGCGGGCGGCCAGGCCTGCAACGTACTCAGTTCGATGCAGCGCGCATGGTGCATATAGCCGCCGCTCCACGTCGGGCTCATGCAAGTCATCTTATAATCATGCTCCATCAGGCTAGCTATACACGTAAGCTTTCACGTCCTGAAGCTCAAGTCCCCGGGCCGTGCATATCAGCATGCATTTCGGAGGAGTGCCGGCATACGCAGCGCTGATTATTATTTTACCACGAGGATGATTGCCGTTCCAACAAACTTGACCCCTTTATTTGGCAAGCCGGGTGACAATGCAACACGTAGGCCGTTGTTCAACTCGTCGAGCACGCCCTGATCCAACACGGTGGTTCCCAATCCGTACTGCGCGCAAGTGCTCAGTCCTGCAGTTTGCGCGGCCTCAGTGGCCCAGGGCGTGGATGCCTTCGTATACATTGGCCCTGTTCTCACTCACTCACAAATCAGCACTACCTTCAGTACTACATCCGCGTGGAGAAACCGCTACCTTTACATGTTCGACAGAGGACGAGGCCTGCACCACGTTGAGAACCAGATCTGATAAAATGTTCCGCGAATCGGGACTTGAGCATGAATTTGAACAACCGGATGTCGAAGCGTCTCTTGGAGTGGAGATTTTTATTGTTTCTCAAATACCGCTCTCCTCATCGAGTGTGCAGAGGATCGAAGGGCAACAGCAAAGAGGTGTCGAGGCAAGTGAACCGAAGTTCAGAAACGGTAATTCTGTTCAAAACTGTCATCACTCCCGGGCCCTTCAATGGACTCTTAGAGGAGTTGTTTTTGAGACATTGTCGACATGCTCAGGCAAGATTCGATAGACGTCCCAAGAAAGGAGAAGTGATAGGAAAGGAGCACTACACGTGTGGCAGCGGCTTACTTGTGCGGAAAACAGTACGGGGAAGCTCGTTGCAGATTTCATTGGTATGGGGGGACATTGAGAGCACATACAATTCTCGACGTGGCTCGCTTCGAAAGCCGTTCACTCGTCGCACCTGAAACGGCTACACATCGACCTCGGCTTGTTTGCTTACCGGGTTCAAAGTTGAGTTTGTTGAAACGAAAAAATGGAAACCCCTCAGAGCAGACTGAGCGACGCTAAAATCCGTTCATATGTCCCGTGCTTTTCGGACGACTTCTCCGAAAAGAAATAAGAATGAGTACCGCTTGGTGAAGTAGCAGGGGTCTCACCTGCGCCCCTGCACACCTTGCAGTCTATCAGCCCCTTGTCCGATCGCATCTTCCCGTCTTCACAGAAGATGCACTTGGTCCCCCCTGCAGCATTCTGCTCAGCATTAGTGTGCCACATCGATGACTTCAGAAAACGCTGATCTTAACCAACAGATGACCGTAGAGCTAAGCAGGGTTCCCGAAACAACCTAGATTGACTTGCTTTTCAACGTTTCAACCAGGCAAAGCTGGGCTTTGAAGGTAGTGGTTCAAATTGCTGCAATGATGCACCAGCAAAGCGTTGCAGCGACAGAGAAATCAAGGAAATATTTCCTTAAATCGTAGCCAGCCATGAAACCGGGCTGAATAGTGCCCTGTGTCCATCAAGGGGGCATCAAGAGGTCTGGCTGCTAGACGTACTATTCTCGACTTTGCTGTCTCAAGTTTGCTGAGAACTGTGAATAGAAAACGCTCGGGCCGCTACTGTTATACCAACAAGGAGCATAAACTGGTTGAAATCGAGAAGCATAATGCTGAGAGACTGAAAAGATTGGAGGGGAGAATGCTTGCCATTGCCTCCGCACGATTGACAGGCTACCGGCTCTCCCTGCAAGGGCAACAGAGAGAATTCTTGAAGCTTTGAATCCTTTAAGCTTTGAATTTGTTTCCAGTTCATAGTAAAGTTAAAGCCAGGTTCAAAGGGGCCCCTCCATGAATCCACCACTCCTTCGAAGCAGTGATTAAGATTTGAACATTCTTCAAAGGCGCGCACTGCACAAGCAGTTAAAGCAGGACAAATATCTGGTTTACTTTGTATTTGTCTGCAACCCAGGCCATCATAGATTCTCCAGGGGGCTGATGGATTGGCAGTGCTGTTTTTTGAAGAAGAGCGTAAAGCTCCATGATTGGAACATCACTATCAAGGACCTCTTTGCTTGCAGAGACTACATTTGCATTCCAGAATGAAGCGACGAATCTGGGTACTGGGAAAGCACTCTACTCACCTTCATACCAAAGTACAAGGATGCGGATATTGAAATGATAGCCCCTGCCGAAATGATGACAGTCTGGAGGTCTACGGTTGGGCCTGCCTGCACCGCCAGTGTGAATACACTCTCTGCTAAACTCTGCTCAGGCAGTGCGCTCAACTCCCATCGACGCCTAGGCTTCCGACAACAAGCCCCATTCAAGCTGTCCCCTAGCTGTGAAAGTTGACCGTGTGTTTGGCAAGTGGTAGCACGGGCTCTTCTTGACATATGAGCAGGAGACATGTCAGAGCTTTTGCCTACTTTACAAATGCAAGTCAGAGGCGAGTGTCGCAGCGACCGTGCACTGCCGCCAAAACGCCTGCTGCTTCCGTTCTTTCGGAGTGGTAGGACTGCTTGAAGATGTGCACTTCCGTGCAGCTTATCGGAGCTAGTCCAACTATCCGTACTGAATCTTGGTCGCGAATCTACTTCTCTTTTTGCCCTCCGCCCACTGCCCCTCTCTTCAAACTGAGCCAAAAATGTTGGGTCCACCGCCAGCTTTGCTTTACTTTTTAAGAGAGCGGGCGAACTAATACTACCTTCAGGCAGCTGCATTGATCTATTTTGTGGAACACCTGCAACCCGCCTGCTTCCGAAAGAAGCGCCAGGAGCTAAAGAAGCTGGACGTAGCGAAGAGAGCGCTACATTAGGTCTCCTTTCAACCAAGCTGCCGGTCGTGAGAGAAGCTCTGTACCGGCATTGGCAACCTCGCAGCTGCACCTTTGAAAGGACTGCCATGTCAGTTTTAATGCCTTACGCAGCTTGCGAAATGAAACGTACGACTCCGCGTATGGCTCTCTTTAATCCTCTTCTTTTCCTTGTCGAGGGAACTTGCACAAACTCAAAGACACTGAGGCTTTACCTTCTTTTAGAACTTGAAGGCTTCACTTAGCGCCCTAGCTTCTTCACTAGCCACTTGAGTTTTGACCATGGCGCCTTTGAAAGCTCAAGACTCAAGAGAGACGAGACCCGAATGCCGGACTCAAGTTGAGGGACGGGTGTGAAATAACGAAACGCATCTCGCTGCATGCCAAAACCGGCAAAGCGGCAACAAACCCGGAATTATTGTAGAATATATTAAGCCCAACTTAGACGAGAACCGGCTGAGAACGGTCCGAATGGATCAGACAAAAAGGTTTTCACACCGGGACACAAAGTTGGGGTTTGTCTTCCTGCTCGACATTCGTAGGTATTAGGCTGCGTGGAGGGAAGACGCTTTGGCAGAGAGGAAGGCCATGGGGTCTAGTTGGTTGTGGTAGTCGCATGCTGCTACATGTGAACCATTGACACAGACCTTCTCCTCACCGGTAAAAGATTGGCTTGTAAGGTTGGCTTGTGTTGATAAGATCATGGCTTCTGGCATTCAGCTGGTGCCAGGATGGGGTCCTGGGGCGCTGTTCAGCCTGTGTCCTGGCTGCAGGAGGACTGGCACCGCTTCCCGAGCTTCCAACTTGCGTCATTCTGCAAGCAGAAAATTGAATGGCGAGTCGCACAATCTCTTTGCAAGAGGAGGCGGGGCAGTGCAGAATGCTGGAAGGAGGATACCAGCTGCAGGTCGAGTGATTCGATTCTCACAACCGTTGGATGTAAGAGCTGGTTTTGTGCCTGGCAGCCCGCCGTTGGGGCTTTCTGAAAACCGCATCGATGGACAAAGTGTTGAAGTGAGATTGAGATTTGGATCAAGCACGCAGCGAGCTAGAAGAGGTAGGGCAGCCGCGATCGCTTTTCTAAAACCAGGGTCGTCAAGTAACCACCCTGAGAACCAGCTTGGTGCCGCCTCCGAGCTAGAACAGGGTGAGCTGCCAGAATCAACGGGCCCGGGATTGCAGCACGATCAAAGCTCCAGTTTTCATGATCAAAGGCCAAGTTCTTTTCAAAAAGCGGGGGACACTTCCGTGCGCGTCTCGCGAGATGGCCGGGGCAGAGCAAAGCCCGTGGTCCAGGCACCGCCGCAGAATCGCGTATGGCGTCGGGGGGGGTTCCTACCCCCCCTGTTCAAACACTCACGGGCACCCCCCTGGAGCCGAAACCACTGAGCAGGACCTGTGTTGTGGTCAGCAACCTGCCCCCAGAGACTGCCCAAGCTGAAGTCGAGTCGTTGTTTGATGCGTTTGGGCCCCTTCAATCCGTGGAACTCTCAAAAGCTGGGAAAGGCAAACTAGGTGCGGTGGTCCGATATCTGGAGCCCTGGGCAACCGAAAGTGCCGCGAAAGCGGTTCTTAAGGGCAACGGATTTATATGGCAAAATCACCGTTTGAGGGTCTCTTTTGAAGGGGCGCAAGGGGGGGGCGTAGCGGAGAATGGGGCGGGGGTCGCAGGCAGTGCCGGAAGAGAGTCCAGCAAAGATGTTGTTTCAAACGATAGTGGGGTTTCAGACACGAGCGGACTGTGGAAGAGAAGTGAGGTTGCGAATGGAACTGGGGCTTTGAACGGAAGCAGGGTCTCGGACCATAATGAGTCTTCGGATCAGTGCACGACTTCAGAAAGGTCTCCGGTTGCAATGTCGAAGGAAGAGTCTGATGCTTTGGGAGCGCTTGAGGGGGCAGTTCGGAAACGTCTGCGCGATGCCGCGATGCACAGGCCGCCGGACGTCCGAAAAGTGGAGCACCTCTTTGCGCAGCTGCTGGAGGTGAGGGTCATATCAACGTGTCACATCCAGGATTCCTTCTCCTTCTTTTCTTTTCTTTTTTCCTTTTCTTTTCTTTCTTCTCTCTTCTTGGAAATCTTCTTATTCCTGTTCCAGGATACTCGACATTCCTGCTGTGACAATAACTCCAGTCTGTCTTCCTTCCAGCGATGCTGTGGTCGGACTGTTCCTTCAATTCAGATTTGATGCTGCACAAGCTGGTGAAGGTAAACCGGAGGGCGTTGAATCCGATCCAACCAATTTTGCTACGTTGTTAGTAGTTTTTGGCTGTCGAAGGGATTGTCGTTTAGTCACAAGCTGGAGTGGTTAGGTCAATCAGGTTGGTTGCGGAGGGGGCTGCTTGAAGACCATCTGACCTACTGAAATGAGCCAAAGACGTCAGCATAAGCTCTGGCGCTGATTGCTGTCTGGGGACCGGCAGGCTCGTCCCAGCCTTTCCGAACAAGCTTGATCCGAAAGGATTTCAGAGAAGAAACAAAGAAATCTCAGCTGAAGGGAGGTCCACTGTGTTATTCTACATACGGCTTGGTTGTTTTCTCTTTGAAGAACTTTGCATCAACTAATTTCCTTTGAGAAGACTCCAGGATGAAAAAGCGAAGTGTAAGCCGTTGACGATCGAAGCTCCTCTGGTGTTTCGATAGAGCGAAGGTTCGTTAGCATGCACAATACAATTCTGCCGAAACCTAGAAGCGATGAGTCCATCCATGAGACGACCACACCTCTCTGTCTACCTCACTCTCGCAGACTTCCTAACTCTCGAGTCCTATCCATCCCTCGATGATTTGTCACTCGGCGTAAGCACTTAACATTGACTTAACGAATATCCATTCCTGCTGTTGCAGCCTACGGAGCCAGACTACGCATCGCTGCTCAGGGCCTACGCGCAAGCGGCCGAGAAGCACAAGGCGCGGGCGACGTTCGAGCATATGTGCGACAAGGGCATCCGCCCTTCCCGGCTCTCTTACCACAAGTCAGTCCTTTCTTAGAGCTCTGTTTGATCATTGACAGTAGCTCGTAGCAGATTCTGCGGACAAATGTGGGCCAAGAACGGCGTCTCTGCGACAAACAACACCAAGTCTTCGTCATCCGTCTAGCGGGTTTCTTGGGAAGCTCGTGAATAGAGCTTGTTTCTAAACGCTTCACGAAACCGAGTCTGCAAACGGCCAGACCAACAGTGAAGTCTCTTACCTTCAAATGTGCAATCTCTGCGGAGTAGGCATTGCGCCTGCGAAGTTAGCTCGTCTCCTTATGCTCTTCAGAAAGCACGCATTGCCTATCCAAACCACACGCTTCAATGCTTTTCTTACGTGTATCGTCTCACGGGTGCAGTCTACTTCAAGCGTACTGCAATAGCGGCGCCATCCAGAGTGCCACGTCGCTCCTGGCCGAGATGGAGGCCAATGGCGTGCCGCCAGATGGCGTCACCTACAGCTTCCTCGTGCTCTATTACGCGCGAGCCAAAAACCGCCGGTGAGGCTTTGTTCTGGGAGTGCTCGTGAACCGCAATAGATTTGGTGCTTGTTTGAACGGTTTTCCCGGTGCTTGTGAATTCCTTCGCATTACGTTGATTCTGAAGAACGTCTTTTCGAAAGTCCTCTTGAATTCGCATTTAGTTGAATCTGAACAACTTCTTTTCGAAAGTCCTCTTGAAGTTGAGAAGCTGGAAATTATTGGAGCCGGTCAGATAACATCTTAATGTTGCAGCTTCGAATCCAAGTTGTTCGTGAAATATGGAAACGTAGACAGGTTCACGTGAAGCATGACGTACAAACGCAGCGATTCTTTGTGGTTCATTTTGACTGCTTCGCGTTGTTGTCAGTTAGCATAACGCCATATTCAGGGGGCATCTAGAGACGATATGCTATGAGCCGGCTTAGGACAGAGCTGACAAGGATAGAAGGCTTTCTTAGTGTCAAAAAATGGTCGTTGATTGACACTCACTTCGCTCGCAGGCAAGTCTTGGAGGTCTTTGACACCATTCGGAAGTTGGGGCTGAGCGTGCCGCCCAATGTGTACAGCGCAGCAATCAACGCACACATGTAAGATTTCCCTCTTCGTCATGCTGACACCCCTTTTCATCATTCCCACGTCATTGCCAGTATTTACGAGGCGCTATTCCACTTCGCGGTGAGTTTTGGCTCGGATACTTCACGACGTTGCGACCATTTTCACCGAAGATTATGCCTGGCTGATCTGCAGTTGCAAGTTTTACCATCAACTCGGCCGCTCTGCTTTAAAATCTGGCGTTGACCCTTTTCTTGCTAAGAATAGCAGTACGAAGCTTCCAAGTATCTGTCCGTACGACTTAGAGGGTCCAGCTTTTAGATCGCTCTAGGTCCCTTTCTCGCATGCAGCCGCCGTCAGCTCAAATGACTGATGTTGATCAGGAAAGGGAAGCCTTATATAAGCAGTTACGTCTTCGTATATGTGCAGTCAGACCAAGCAGATGCGCGCCGCGACCGCGCTTTTCAAGAGCATGGAAGGCGAGGGGATGCGGATTCCGCTCGGTGCCTACAACGCCATTTTAGACGGGTACGCATCGGCGGGGGACGAGGCGGGGGCGCTGCACGTCTTTAGAAAAGTCAAGGTGAGATCCGAGTGATGTCTCAAAAAGATGGGTCTTGACTAGAAAAGTTGGGTTTGAGGAAGAACAGGCGTCAGCGGGGGACCAGGCGGGAGCGTTGCATGTGTTTAGGAAACTCAAGGTGAATTTCGATGACAGCGCAGAGAAGTGGGACTTGACTGGAAAGCTTACCCCTGGGAAGGTTGTGAATTAGCAGTGGACGACACGGGTACCCTTCCGGTCAACCGAGGTGTACGGGTCAAGTCTGCTTAACCTGTTCTCAAGAGAAAGCAAAAGGCTAGGTTTAACACTCGAAGAAGAACGCGTTGGCAGGGACTAGGCGGGTCTCGACCGTCCGTCATCGCTTTCGGCGGCCTCGTTTTCTACCTGCCAAAACCACAAAGACGGGCGATCTAGATCCCCTCCCGACCATAATCAAGAACCCTGTTGAGGCCCAAAGCACAAGGATCAGAGTAAAATCGAGAAGGTTATAAAGAGAATCTCTACTTTCAGGCCGAGGGTCTCGAACGTCGGTAATTATCTTCCGCGGCCTGATCCAGCTGCACTGACGCAAAGCCGCAAGCACGAGCGTTAGCGTTCCACGTATCGCGTTCGGTCACACGACGAACAATGATTGCCACCCAAGAAACAAGGATCTTAGGATATCAAAGGAAAGTTGATCTTGTAGTTTCTTTCAGGCGGCGGGCCTCGAGCTGTCGGTGATCACGTTCGGCGGCCTGATCAACCTGTTTATGCGCAAGGCATGATGGCAAAAGCGTTGCACATTCTGCTTCATCTCAGAACCAAATTCAGAGTTTAAAATTGGATACACTGAGGACTGATTTTATTTGCAGGCGGCAGGTCTGGAGCCGTTCGTGATGACGTTCGGCGGCCTGATCAAGCCGTACACGCGTAAGGCCGCGATGGCAGGCGCGATGTGAGTCACCTTTTTCTCTTAACATCAAAAAGATCGAGCCCCAAACCACAAGACCCTAGGGAATCCTAAATAACTTCAATCTCTTGTTCCCCATTTTCAGGCGGCGGGTCTTGAGCCGTCGGTGATCACGTTCGGCGGCCTGATCAAGCTGTACACGCGCAAGGCCGCAATGGCGAGCGCGGCGCGCGTGGTGGCGGAGATGCGCGCGCGCGGGATCGCGCACAGCAAGCAGACGCACAGCATGCTCATCTCGGGGCACGCGGCCGCGGGCGACGTCGAGGCGGCATATGCCGCCTTCCAGGACATGGCGCGCTCCAAGTACGGAACCCTTTCTCTTCTTTAATCCTTTTTTAATGCAATATATGGGGACTTGGAGCAACGACCTTTGTTTGTGGCTTTCTTTCCTTTGTCTTCCGTCATTCAAATTATTGGGTAAGTTTATGCCGCAGTTCAGAACATGGCGCGATTCAAGTACGGACAATCTCCCTTCCTCGAACGCTCTTTAGATCCAAGCAACGACCTACGTTTGTGGGTTTCAGACAGTCACCCTCGTTGAGCGGCCTTGAGAAAGTGATAATTGAGCATATGCAGCATCGTAGGGCCTGGCGCGTATCGAGAGGAATTCTTGTCTCGTAATAAGTATTTTTCTGGCTTTAAGAATGTGACGTTTGCATCTAAGACGGACTTGTGCGCTAGTACAGCGTTTAACTAGGTTGGGTTCTTCAGTGCCCGAGAGTTTCAGCGGTCATCCTCATCGATGTCACCTGTTTCAGATTTGTATTTGTCAAACAGATTGCGAGTACGACGTGCGCTTATCAGGGCCTTGCGTTATCTTGGTTGCCAAACGTTTCTTTGACGTCATCAACCTTATCCCTCAGGAACCCACCTGACGTCATTGCGATCACAAGGATCACCACATGCTTCGTCCGGACACGGGCAGATGGGCTGCTTTAGTTCTCTGCCGACGGCGTTCTTTGTCACAAGCTAGTGCGCTGACGTCATCCTGAGATATTACGCAGGAACCGGCCTGACGTCATCGCTTACACGGCAATCATCACGTGCTTCGCTCGGGCGGGGCAGATGGATCGCGCATACGATATGCTCCGTGCCATGGAGCGGGAGGGGCAGCGCCCTAATACGTATACGTATACGTCGCTGATCGATGGATGGGCGCGGCAGGGGGACCTGCCCAAGGCGATGGAAGCGGTAAGAAAGGCCTCGCCGGCTTTGGGATCCCTTGTTTGCTCCTGTGTTAAGTTTTCCGGTTTGGATGTCGATGATCATGGCGGGGCAGAGCAAAAGATTGTCTCAGAAGGTAGAGAGGCATGGGCCTGATTGGTCGACTCCAGGGGAGAAACGGATTTCGAGCTCGATGACGTGGCTTGCTTGTCTCGATACAGACATTTGTCAGGATCTGAAGTAGACGTGTACGTCGATACTTCTTCCGTGTCTAAATTTGCCATACAGATTTGGCGTACTGTCGCTCGCCGCAATGCTTTTAAATGTTTTTCGGAAGAGGTCCTCTATTTGACGCCCCTTCTTACGTCTTTTGTTTGCGTCCTGCTCTCCAGTAGCCTTCCATAGTGAACACCGTCCCATCGTTCTCCACAGCTTTGTCAGCAGTGGCTCCTAAGCACGTCGGTGGCTCCCCTCCGCAACGTCATCAAACTGACAACGCGACGCTGTCCTCCTGCAGATCCGAGCGATGCGCGCCTCTGGCACGCTGCCGACGGTCGCCACCTTCACGTGCGTTGTTTCGGCCCTTGCGAAGACCGGCCAGATGACCAAGGTGAGCGCAGCCGTGAGGTTTTGCGTCGAAGGCTGTGCATCCGATCAAGGCGACTTGAATCAGAAGGTTCAGCCGGCCAGATGACCAACATCAATCTAGCCGGGAAAGATTGCGCTCAAAGTTGAGGATGTCGTAAGGCGACTGATTTCAAAGTCCATTGATGAGAATCTCCGACAGAGATTCTCAGAGAAGCGTGCAATTATCGGGGTTTCTTTTCCACTTGCCCTCTTCCAAAATCTGCTGATGTCAGCCCCGATTCAAGCGACTGTCCGTTTCTTCTCAGAGCGGGTCGGTGCGCAAAGATCGTCTGGAAGGCGGCGTGGATTGGAAAAGCAGTAGCGCTTGTTAAACCATTGATGCGGAAACGGTCCATCTGTTTCAAGTTTCGAATCATTGAGACATTGCCCGGCGCTTCTGGACTACGTGCAGGCAGTGCGAGTTATCGACGAGATGCGGAAGCTGAACGTGGCGCCCGATACGGGCCTCTACGTGGCGCTCATAAGCGGGTACGCCAACATAGGCGATGTGCTCAACGCGTTCGAGGTGTTCAACCGAGTCAAGGTGAGCGTGCTAGATGACTTCATCATGGTCGCACTGAAGTTATTTCAAGATTAATCACAAGGTACCAAATTTATCGAAAGCTGCCGAAGGTGGCTCCAGCATGTGCACCATTTTAAGATTCTTCCGTACGAGCAGACAATAGACGTTTTACTCACAGGATTCTGCGCTTGACAGGAGCACAACAAGCGTTCCGTCCTTCCTTGTTGAAGAGATTTCTGCTCGCCAAATGCGGCCCCGCTCCTGAAGTAACCTGCACAGTTTGCTGGGCTGACTTGCTCCGCAGGCGAAGGGCTTGCTGCTGGACAAGCGGCTTTGACAGCACGCTTATCAACGAGTCCGCCAAACTCAGCCACATGCGGAGCCCTTTTCTCAAGGACGAGACCCCTGAAGGCCTCAATTTTGATTTTCTGAATCTTCCAAATTTTGCAATTGATCATTTTCGAACTTCTGAATCTCCGAAACCCTGAACCTGATCTTCCTCGAGCTTTCCCCACAGGCGGAGGGCTTGCCGATGGACAAGCGGCTGTACAGCACGCTGCTCAACGCATGCGCCAAGGTCGGGCGCATGCAGAGCGCGGTGGCGGTCGTCGGCGAGATGCGCGCGCGCGGGATCGAGGCTGACGTCATCACGTACAACACGCTGCTGGACGGGTGGGCCAAGCGGGGCGACGTCTGGGAGGCCGCTGACGTCATCGAGCAGATGCAGGCGGCGGGCGTGGCGCCGGACACGACGTCCTTCTGCCTGCTTATATACGCGTGCATGAAGGTGATATACGTTTGTCCTTCCGCCTGCTTATATACGCCTGCATGAAGGTGCTAAGATCTCGTCCTTCTGCCTGCTTATATACGCGTGCATGAAGGTGAGATACGTCTGTCCTTCTGCCTGCTTATACATCCGTACATGAAGGCGAGGGAGTGTACGAGACGTGAAACATTGAGTAACCTTACATTGTACGAAATTTTTGGGGAATTTTCAGGAAAGCATGGACGTTTGGCAGAATTTCCTTTCGCAGGGTTCCTTTGTCACGGCTTCTTATCCTTTGCACCACAGCGGGGAGTATTTTGAAAACTGACGTCGGTTTGAGTGCAAAAACACATCTCTTTTCAAAAGATTCGATTCGAGTTGGTTGCCCCCAGCTTACCTACACTATTGTGGAGGGAAGAGGGATACGCGGGTTTGTTACAGTAGTGAAAGCAGTCAGGGCTTGGAGACGTTTCGAAGCCTGTGATGAAACTTTTCCAAAGCATAAGCGGTCAGTAGACCCTTATCAAAGTCATAGTCGAAAACATAAGTGCCCAAACGGCGGTGGAGCGTGCACTTCGGCATCTTGCAGTGGCAAATAGAAGCGGGCTTGCCTCTTTGCAACACCCGTTTCAAAGCCGTTGAACGGGGGCACCATACAGGCGTGCACAATCTAGATGGCCAAAACGCTGATGAAGCCAATTTGAACGGCTATAGCTGCTGGCAACCAAAACCAGGCTCGTGGGCTCCCGCTCTTGAGTTGGAAGGAACGAATCGGAGCCGTCAATCTAACGACGTTGACAAGATGGACGATGGTGGCAGCTTCGCCGCTTGCCCCTCAGCCATTTCAAAAGCGTGCGTTCCGCCTGCACATCCAGACTGCTGATCTGGCACCGGACCAACCGTGCTGACGTGCTGACTGCGCTGATGTGGCACCGCAGGCATCCGACATGAACAAGGCCCTAACAGTTCTGGACGAGATGGAACGTCTTGGGCTCAAGCCGACGCTCGAGATATACAGCGTTCTTATCGAAGGTAAGCCGCCCGTGCTCCTGCTCCTTACTGTATACTTATCCCTTAACTTTCTTATTCTCTTATCTTTCTATCCTCTTATCCTCGTTGTCTAACGTTCCCTTATTCTGACGAAAACCGTTGAAGAAGACTGCGGCACTCAAAGTGGACCACTCAGTCGAGCAACTACGGGCGACGAAGACCCTGAAGCTTCGTTATTGAAGGCTGGCCTTTCGTACTGCTCTTCCGACTATTCGCATTCCTTTTGATTGCTGAGCGTAATCTCAAGACCGACGGTTCTCTCGTCGAGCCTGTTTAGCAGCCGTTGGTCTGTGCTCCTGTGGAGTCGAAGAAGCGGAGATCTACGATTAGGCTCTATGACTACATTCAAAAGCGGCTTGTCTTCGGTTCCGGAACCTTCCAACATAAGAACGTTGCTGACCCGCTGTTCTTTGTTGTATTGACATTAAGTTGAGACTTTTGGCATTCCGACAACCCGGAACTTGTAACCTGCTATCTGAACCCTGAAACACCAAACCCAAAAGATGAGACCCAACGCCCGGAACCTTGAACTCGGAAACACCATTTCTAAACCTGGATCTTGGAACCCGCCCTGGCCGGGCCGGACTTAAGGTTGTGAAAGAACGGCGCTAAACGCTAATCTGGTTAATGCCAGAACAGCTGGTGCGAGGATGTGAACTTTGTTCGCCCGTCTGAACTCACGAATCGACTGTCACGTACTCAATCAACGGTACCTCTGCTCTTTGGTGTTGCTTCAAACCGTCGATCTTGCTTCTGATACCCGCGCGGGGGTCGTGAAAGCATATTGGCGTTAGCCCACAATCTCCAACCACAAGTTTTGTCCAACCAGTAAGCTCGAGTGGACTGGGCAGATTGCGTCGCATGCCCCGGCGGCTCACGGTTTGACACTCTTTTGGAAGAGTGTCAAGCGCGCATACTAATCGAAGCCCAGCCAAGATTGACACCACCCACCCGTTTCTGCAGGCTGGTGTCAAGCGGGCCAGCCGGAGCGCGCCCTCTCCGTGTTCGCCCACTTGAAGCGCGAGGGCCTGACGCCCGACTACCCCGCGTACCACTGCCTCATGTCGGGCCTCCTCTCGAGCGGTGAAGTCAGCCACGTGGTGGATGACGTCATCGCGCTGGCTGCCGAGATGCGGGACCGTGGGTACGAGGCCGACCAGTCGACGGCGCGGTTCTGGAAGACGCAGGTGGGCGTTTACGGCAACCAAGTTGGGTTAAGATCACTTGGGCTGCTGACATTTCCAAAGAGTCACTGTTTGCATTTGCAAACTTGGGTTCGACCACGGGGCCTGTCCGGGTGTTCGGAAATCGCTTCCCGAGCAACAGAACTGCTTTTTGTTGTCCACCTCTAGTGCACTTCAATCTGCCTCAAAGTGCCTATTGACGCGAAGCTCCATGCTTCCCTGCAGCTGAGAACCTGCGAGCGTCAGCTCTCCGGCCCGAATTTTGCCTCGCTCGCCGCCGCCGTCGGGGACCTATTCCCATCGTCGTCGAAAACAGCGACGGAGCGGGATCTGCAGTTGGACCTGCTGGAGGAGGCTGATGTCAGCCAGGTGGGCGACCGTAACGGAAGGGCAGTACGGCCGGGAAATCCGGAAGGGGTTCAGACAGTCGAAGTAGGGCGAGGGCAAAGGGTAGAGCGCGAGATGGGAGGGTTTGGGGGTTTAGAGAGTGCTCGGGCAAGCGGATCGTTTGGTTCGAATAGGCTGGAGGACTTCGAACGGGTTGGGCGAGTATCGGTGTCTCGAGGGGACACCGGATATCGCAGGGGTCCTGCAAACGTGCAGCCCACAAGAAGAAAGGGGGCGGAATCCGCGGGTTTCGAGGATTCCGGCAGATTCAGGAGAGCGGAAGACGAGCCGAGAAAGGGGGCGTGGCGCCACGCAAAGCAGCGGCGCATGCTGGAGGCCAGCAAGGAGCTGGAAGCGGAATACTCAAAGAGCCGGCGGGAAGAGATGCTGACGTTCCTTACCCACACGGAGCGGGAGAGTTTGGGGGCGGGTTACGAACGGATCGACCCTGCTACTCGGATACCGAGGGACAGGGCCGATGGTGATGGGGACTCACTCTGAGTGTCAGATTGGTTAACTTCGAAATTGAGCACCTGTCGATCGTTGCTGTGTAGCTTTCGGGTGCACGCGTTGAAGTTGATTGTGCAACAAAATGCTATACAAATAATACGGGTCCCCTGCTACATGAAAGGATCTGTTTATGACCGCATGGTTATCGAATACTTCGAAGCGAGGGGCTAGCGCTCCTGCCGTTGGATCAATGTTGCTTGTTCGCGCGCTAATGATAGCTACTGCAAAAAAAATTATGGGATTCCAAGTCCTCAAAGTTGCATCCACAATTTAAGCCCCTTGTGTGCGAGGTGCCTGCTAACTTAAGAATCCACTGCTTTAGTACAGTACTCACAAGGACGCCAACCAACGAGGCTTCGTTTTGACAAATGAACGCGACTAACAAGATTGGCACGAGCACAGCTCTTAGGAGCGGCCGCCATGCTGTAGCATCATTGTCTTTTATGTTGACGGTAGGATGTTTTGAGATGTAGAGCCTTGGAGCCTGTTGGCCGCTCTTAGACAGTCAGTGTTCTACAGGTTGTGATTGTTGTAAAATAATGTCCGCGTGCGAATTCTGCAATAAAAAGGCCATTGTACCTGCACGTCGCTCCATGGCCATCCCTATCTAACGCATGCGGGGCCCGGGCTCCGAGTCAACAAGATGAGTGTCCACTGCCATCATTGCACGGGACCGAATCCTCATGATGGGGTGTTGACGTCATAAACGGGTTGCTGCATGTGCACACCGTGTTATTCGGAGCGTTCGCCAACGCGGGCGACCACAGTGGGCTGAAGGATACGGTCTGTTTGCAGTCCTTCCAGTCTGCGAGGTCGCCAAATCTAGCGACAAGCCGTGCACAACTTTGAACTCGATCAAGAGATCTCCCAAATTCAGGCTGGCGAGTTTCAGCTGAGCATTTGCTGGTTTCTGGAACTTCGGAAGCGCTTCTTTCACTGTTCAGCTCTGTGCTCTGGAGTCTGCAGCATTTGAGATGGTTTCTTTGCAGCCAGGGTGTTTGGATTACCTGCTCAAGGAGGAAAAGTTGTGAAACGAAGTTAGTCACTGGACCGTTCTATTGACATAAAGACAGATTGCTGTGCTTCACTTTCTCTGAAGAAAGCGGAACGGAGGTCAAAGTCAACGGAGGTCAGAATCTGCGTCATGCTCAACGCTTTCTGGATTATTCAAAAGAAAGGGAGATTCCTACAGGCACAGACTTCCTTGCTGGTCAAGGTAGGTTTGCGGCCCAGTCAAAAATTCTCACCCTTCTTTGACAAATCTTCAGTTAGTGATCAAAGTCTAGCTCCCCTCTGTTTCCTCTCGCACAAGAGGATTACCAAGTGCTTCATAAGGCATGCCTTTACACCTGCAGGTTTGCAGGACAAGAGTTAAGATCCAGTCACGCTAGAGTAGTCAGGTCCTTGTTGGGGTTTACTCTTCCTCTGATGTGATAAGTTTTTTCTAATACAACTCAAATAACATTTTTCGATCTCCAAGCAAATGTCATGACTAAACACAATTGCCCTTTGAAGCTTTGCCCTTTCCCGTGCAATGATAATACACACTCTTTATTTCTGATTTCCAATGTGCATAGTTTGTGACCTCTCCTTTCCAAGGGAGATTTCTGAATGTCGTTCTTTTGAGCAACATTTGGTTTCTCAAGTTTGTTGACATGCGATGTGATGTATATAGGTAGCAAGAAAGTTTCTGCTCAAAGTTGGGCACTAGATTTTCAGGACTCCATTGTGAACCTTTGCTCTCAGATGCTTGTTATCGTTTCGCTTGTAAGGTATGTGCCGAAACAAACCCACATCTTTTGCCGCCCTTCCCAATACAATGGCAGGCTGTTTCGACAGATCATATTCATCATCAAACAGCTTTTAACTTTATTGCCTGCTCAGAATACCTTCCATTTCTCTAAAACGGTGTTCCTTAGTATCTGATCTAACTTTTTGGTGGTACAAAGAAGGCGGCTCATGCGAATCCAAATTGTGATCGCCTTGTGTGAACGCAATATACCTACATGTTCTGCAGGCTCCCCTTGTCAACATGCACTTCCCCCCTTAAGAGCGAAGGTTGTATCACCCCCCGCTCGACGACATGGCGACGCACCTCAGAGTCGTCACGGCGCAGCGGCCGCCATTCGTCTTTCAGAACACCGGTGGGGATGGCACGGGAGTACCGTTCTATGGGATGCTCGTGGACCTCTTACCCTTGCTGTTCCAATATGCTGGTATGAATGTCACGCTCGACTACTACTACACCCCACTGGATGCCGGAGGAGTGCTCCAGCCAAATGGGACTTGGACTGGTAAGTGAGGCAACCAGATCGGACCTTCTGTCTCGCAGCCCTTCTCCTAAAGCTGGCTTTTCTCTCAGCCCTTTTCTCATCAAGTCGTTCTCAGAATCGGTGTCAATATCCAACTGTCACCTTGTTGTAGTACACCCGCAACCTGCCCTTACCTTGAACGGAATACGCCTTCCTTGTGCAGTCAACATTGCTGACTCAGTTTTTATACGTTGCTAATGCTCTACCTTCTTGCTCCTTTGGTCTAAAGCATTCTCTCTAGACATGCCGGTCCATGGGTGCCGCACGCCCCGAACTTGCACCTTGGAAAAAGCCTGAAGACGCGCGGAACTTGCATCAGAGAAACATCTGAACACAAAGACATCTTCCTGTTGGACTCCGCTTTGCCTCCTTATCGCCTCTTTTGCCGCCTCACGCTTCCAGGTGTCATCGGCGAGTTGGTGGCTGGAAGGGCCGACATCGCAGCATTTCCGCTTAGCTTGGCTCCGGGGCGGCCCGACGCCATCGACATGTCGTACTCGTACTACGAGGCAGGGCTCGGTATGATTGTCAAGAAAGAGGTTAGACCGTAACCCTGGTTTAACAATTCAAGTTGAGAGAACTTGAGGTAGAGGGGTTCTAATCATTTTGTTAGTGCAATCGGATCGACTGCTAAGGCACCGTGTGTAGGGGGCGGTCGCTCACGAAACAAATTTGTGCTGGCTTCGGTGGCCTTGATTTGGGTAACTTCAGTGACTTGGTAGTAGTTCCAGTTGTTGCGCTTGATTCTCAACTTGAGGCCGTCAAGCAGCCCTCCTTCTTAGCGTAAGTACCGTGAGGAAAGTGACACAAACATGGTTGGGAGTCTTCTCAGATGCGCGTGTCAAGTCCCATGTGCCCACTTCGCATGCTAACAGTTGATCAACTTCCAGTGAGCCTGCTTTGTCAGGTCCTTTGGCTGCTCCTTCTGAAATGCTTTCGTGGGCCTTCCTGAGATCGTTGCAAGGTCGTGAAAACTCCGCAGCTTAGCCAAGGCCAACAAAACTCAGTCTCAAGATGGTTTCGCTTTCTTTCACAGAGCGGCACTTTCGATGGGGTTACTGTGTTCCTTAAGCCCTTTACCACCAAGCTGTGGCTGTCGCTCATCGCCACCGTCGTTTTCATCACGCTATCTCTACACCTATTGGCGTGGGTCTCCCCTTATGGTCGCTATGAGGTCAAGAAGATTCGCAACGTCACCTCCAACGCCCGGATCGAAGAGTTCGTGATCCATTCCGGTGAGCTTCTCAGGGAATCCCACATTCTTATGCGAATTAGGTCGTCACGAGCGCTCAACTTGAACTCGTTTGTGACTGATGAAGGCGATCCTGCTCAATGAGTCTGTGCTTTGGTCCATGTTGAGAACGTGACATCTGCGGTAAAGATGCTTGCAAGGCAACAATATATTCTTTGTTTGGCGAGAAGCGAGTCCTCAGTTGAGAAGTAGTGCTTGATTTGTGAATCAGGCAAGAAGTAACTCTTACATTGAGTGGGAACGTCAATGCAACTAGACAATCCGCATTTGCAAATCCGTTGGTGTCTTATCTTGCTAAGGATCGTCCTATTCCTTGCAGAAAACTCATCGTACCTCCTCGACGCGTTGATGGTGAGTTGACGCACCGGAAAATGGCTGCTCATTGTGTGACTGATTCCTCTCGTTGATAGCTCAGTGATTGTACCCAAAAGTAGGCCCTTTGTGTGCAAATTGTTTGTATTGAAAATGTGGCCCTTAGTGTGCAAGGTTGGGCAATCCAAGCATGACATAGTTCAGCTAGGACTTCGAGAAACGACTTCCCAGTATCCTCGTCCGCACGGTTGCTTCTAGGTTCGCTCTATGCCGTGAGAGTCGCTTCGATTAGTCTCTTTCAATTTCCCCTCATCTGCAGGCAACCGTCGTAAACCCCCCGATTCCGGCCAGCAAAAGCTGGGCCGTCCGACTCCCAAGCATCGCTTTCTACCTATTCATGGTCGTGGTAGTCGCTTCTTTCACCGCGAACCTCGCGAGTCTGCTCACAGTCGAGTCTTTCAGTAGTCTGGTTAGCAACCTCGCCGACCTCCGGCGAAAGGCGCTTCCTTTCGTGGTCAACACCGGTGGGGCAACGTTTACTTACTTCACGCGGAGTATGGACCCCTCCATCCTTTTGATGCAAGCGAAGATGCAGGTTAGTCGGCGCTTCACAATCAAACTTTGCCACGTTTCCCGTGTGACAAGCACTTGGGTTCATTGCGGCATGTTGCCGCAATCTCGTGCATTACGTGAGGAAGTCCGCTTGTGTCGAATTCGTTTCAGCACGAGATTTGGATAAAAGAGCTACCTGCTTGATTGTCCATGTTGGACCTCGATGTCCAAATGGGATCCCTGACTTCAATGTTTCGCGGTAATGGCAAAGTCCTTTCAAATTTCTAAAAAACACGGAAGATCAGGGAACGACAATCGCAAGAACCGTGAATCTGGTGGTTGCAGACGGTAGTGGGCAACACTGCCGCACTCAACATGGTTCGTTCCGGCCAAGTGGTCGCATACCTTACGGACCTTCCAACCCTTCTTCATTTCGGGGGAGAGCCTCCATGCGACCTGCAGGTTGTGGGACCCGAGTTTGGACCTGGTGAGCGTTGAAAACGGACAAAACGGACCAAAAAAAGGGACAAAACGGACAAAAAACGGACAATTACCGTCAGATCGTGGAATCTACTCTTTGCTGTAGCGGTGAATCGCAAATGAATCTGGTCACTGACGTGTTGTCAAACAGTTTCCAAGGTTTGAGGTTGGTTTCTTTTCCATTCTTAGTTAGGCTAGGCGCTTTCATGAGGCGTTGACAAAAGTGGACCAGCGGTAGGGTTTGTGCGTTCCGTTTGCTGAATAGGAACCTCGAAAGTAGGGGAAAGAATTGAGGCAATGAGACCTCTTGCGGTTGTTGGTACTCACTGTTTCTTGTTGTTCTTTGATCGACTGTGTTGTGTACAGGTGTCTACACTTTCGGTTTGCAAAAGAACTCCAATCTGACAAAGGTCCTGAATACTGCAATGTTGCAACTCGGACTCAATGGTGTTCTCGACGGGTTGCATAAGAAGTGGATCGACGACTTGGACGTGTGTTCGTCGGACGGGGTGAGTTATTGCACTGACTGATATGACTGCTCTTGGAATACGTGTCTGCAAAGATGTAGCCATTTGCGATGCGATGTTGGTTCTAGCTCGAGATTCTTGTTATCTGGTGTGCTCGGGGTCTCTACCAAACGGGCACTTTAGACTCTACAACCATGGTTTTGTTCTCGTTCGGGTCTGTATTTGTTGTGTTTGTTTTACTGCTGTGGCGGGCGATCATTGTTGACGGCTGTGGTCTAATGTTTTGTTGCAGGTCTCAAACAAGTCTCTTTCGGTTCAAGAATTTGCTGGCATGTGGTACCTTTTGCTCGGCGTTGTTGCTTTTGGGTTTCTTTGGGCACTGGGAGAACGTTTTTCCGTCCACTTGTTGGCACGATTTCCACGATTAAAAGGAGAAGTGAAGCGTGCAAACGAGGCGTTAGCTGTACATGGGAAGCGCTTCAATCTTAGTCGACGTTTTAGTATGCGTCCAAGTGCTGCACCAAATCCAGACGTCCAATCGAAGGCTTTTGAAATGTCATCCGAGCTTGGGCAAGGGTTTTCCGGTGTGTCGAGGCACAATGGTTCGACAAGCCCAATCGATAGGGCAATCAGTAAGGTTGATGAAGAGTCACCATTGGACTTTGGTGGGCATGAAAATTGTGATTATAATAGCAACTTAACGGCAGTCGTTATGGAATCTGCACCGAGAGCTTAGCGGATTGCTTTGGGGGCGCCAGCAAAGCAGCTCTCAACTTGAAAGCAGTGAACATCCAAAGCCTAGCTGGCCATTGACCTAGACTTCCTAGCATAGGGCTCATTGAGCTAGTAAAGTTATAGCTGATATCGCCAAGTTAAAGTCCACTTTTGGGGTTGTCTATGCAAGGAACCTACAAATATTGCTAGCCAAGGACTTTAGTACAATGTATACTATTGGGTTTTTAGAACTAGGTACATCTGGACCGCACATATATTGTGTGTATGTATAGGACATAGGTTCAAGCTCATCATTGAAAAATGAGTTCCTGCTTTGATTTCGACCATGACAAGATCGAAGGCAATTGGTTGTTGGCTTTGACATGGTAAAGAGTAGACGGGCGTTAGCTTATAACTTATGAAGTGCGCAATCTAATGAGAGGATTGCAATCCACTCGATCACATGCAGATCATTGAGATTCATGTTATATCAAAGTAAGGTCCAACTAATCAACATTTTGTATGTGAATACTTCACCGCTCGGGCAAAATACAACCGTGAACCTATACTAGCCATGAATAATGCGCCGTGCACACGTACAACTTTGATAGCATAGTTGCAAGATATGACATGTGCCGGCGGCCCAAATGATTGAACGTGTGCAACCGTCAGGCTCGCCCGCGGAAATTGACTTAGTGATGCATGAGATATATTTTAGCCGATCATCTATAGACCCCGCGCGATCGATGGATCGATGACTCCGGCCCAGCTCTCGGAAGTAACGACTTGGCACTCTGATATCTCAGTTCGCGGCCTAGCAATGAATCGGAGCGAAGATCATTGACTCCTGCTTTTGGTGAGCATGCTGAAAGAGGGGGACACGGCGGCGGAGAGGAGAGTGATGAGTTTTGTCGGCTATAAGATAATATAATATATGCATGAGGGAACATGGTATGCCGGTTCAATACGTGATCATTTCATGAAGAAGCACTATAGTGCAAAGTTCCAACTTAAACGGCTTAAGCATGATTACTTCCGAGTCCCATCATCAAAGCAAGCATGTACAATGTACGTCCTGCAGACATCATGCATGCTGTATTTAAACATCTGATCCGATCGTACAACTTAGTTGTAGGCGGACTCAGCTTGCGGCAACCCAAGGCCCCTTGAAACTTCTAAATCAACGCACCAGAGCCAGAACTAAGCTTGGTCAAGTATACACATCAAACATAGGTGACGGTGTGCGTTGTGTATTTCGGGCGTCGCGGTGCATGGGGCCGCGGCCGAACCGGATACATGTGTACACGATTGCGAATCGTGTGCTTAGTATTCACCGATCGGAACTTATCAAGGTATTGCCTCTTGGCAATACATAGCCACGATTTGGTGAGTGACCGCTCACTGACTTAAGTCACTTTCACCCTAGGCCCTGATATACAAGGGTCAACTTATAGTTCCTTTACCCTACTGTGCACAGATAAAGTACTTCCACTACTAGGCTGATTTGCATATCACATCCTATGCATTGCACAGAAACAATGAAAGCGATAGTTTGGCTTGAGCGCTGTATGTTGGGCCACGTAAGTGGTAGAGGAGTAGACTATTGTGAGGTTTACGGTATGATATGCAGACAGCACGCTTCGCTAGTATTGACTCATGCAATAAAGATACAGTTTCCGGAACTATCTTGCAAACGCAACTCTTTCCTCACGTTCTACTCATGTTCGTCTATTGACCTGCCGGCCACCTCGCGTGTGACGACAGGTAATACTGGGGACTATCTTCCTTGAAGGTCGCTATCTTCAATCGCCCGTGTTTTACCACTTCCATCTCAACCGCAAATAGTTGGTAATCATTGTCAACACACAAGTTGAGCGCATATAAGAAGTCGTGGTACGTCCAAATCTTGAAGCCATACTTTTCTGATAAGGGCTTGAAGAAGCCGAGCTCGGCTTCGTTCGAGGCAATGTACAAGCTCTCGTTCTTTGGCACCCTGCAGAGCAGATATCCATGCTCAGAAGATAGTCGCCCCACACAAGCCGATTTCCAACATCCGCCTCTCAGAAACAACTTTGCGTCTGGTAGTGCGCTCTTGTTCTTTTATTGCATCACACTGAAGGACTGGTTTACAAACCTCGTAGAACAACATGGACATGTGATCAAACAACGAGCGGGAAGTATTGTCAGCCAACTTGGCGGACGCTTGAGAGGAAATGGAAGTTCAACGAATCGTGAGCGACAGTGGAGAGTTCTCATAGGGACTGGCCCAACCCGTTTCTTGGGAGACGCATCATCCCGGATAGGCAGACCCAAGTAACAACAGTAGCCTGAGCATGTTTTTTGAGATTGAGGGATTGGGCCCTCGAAGAGAAACCTGGCCTTTCAGCATCTAGCGCCAGAGGTTCCGACTTTTGCCTCTAAGATCAGTATAAGCGCAGGAGGTCAGAATCAAGAGGTTGACCTCAGCAGCAAAACATTGCTCGACAGTAAGGACCGACTCCTGTACCATGCTCGAATCTGGACTCTGGAAAATCTCTAGGCAAAGAATCGGCTCCACGTTTTCGTGCTCGTCACACCGCATCGGACACTGATTCCACCACACGAGAATCACTTTTTGCCCCTATGCCAAAAGAAAATGACAGCCAACGAAGGAGGAAACGTGGGATAGCTGTCGAGCGAAAACCTTCGGGAGAACGCAGGAAGACAAGAGCTACCGAGGAGAGGAAACCCTAGGAGAACGTAGAAAGACAAGAGCTGCCGAGGAGCGAAAATCTTAGGAGAAAGCGAAACGCCAAGAGCTATCCGAGGAGCGGAAACTCTAGGAGAACGCAGAAAGGCAAGAGCTGCCGAGGAGCGAAACCCTAGGAGAACGCGAAAAGACATAAGCTACCAAGGAGCGAAAGACCCTAAGAGACGCGAAAAGCGAGGAGCGGAAACCCTAAGTGGACGCGAAAGCCAAGAGGTGCCGAGGAGCGAAAAGCTCAGGAGAACGCTGAAAAGGCAAGAACTGCCGGTGGGACACCGCAGGAAAGCACACGGAGCGTGGCTCACCACTGCGCGATCTTGGCCGCGATGAAGTCGGGCCGCGTCTCCAGGTCCAGGTTGGGCCACACCTGCTGCTTCGTCTTGACGGAGATGTACGTCAGCTTGTCCCCCCGCCGGATGTGCATCGTCGAATAGTTGCCGCGCCCCCCCATGACGCTGATCATGTGCTCCGCAACGCCGCGCAGGGGCGCCGCAAAAACGATGTGGTCCCACTCCCACTTGTGCTCGGCAACCCGGGGGGGCTTGTATCTGGGGCGACAGGAAGTATGCTTACACACACACGTATAAATGTATCTTCTTCCAAGGAACCTGCTGATTTTAGTGTCAATTATACTAGTTTGATCTCAGCGTCATGTGCTCTGCGACGCCGCGCAGGGGCGCCGCAAAGACGATGTGGTCCCACTCCCATTTGTTCGGCAACCCGGGGGGCTTGTACCTGGAGCGCCGAAAAAAGTTCTTACACACACAAAGAATGCGGAGAGCAGCATCTTCCGGGCAACCTCCTGCTTTTAGTGCCAACTGAATCCGTCTATTTCCGTCATGGGCTTTGAGCGCCGCGCAGGGGCGCCGCAAAAAGAACAAAGTCCCACTCCCACTTGCGCTCGGCGACCCAGGGGGGTTTGTACCTGGCTCGCAATTACACACAAATCCATACGCAGAGCATCTTCCAAGCAACCTGGTAGTGTCAACAAACGTATTTTGATTCCAGCGGCATGTGCTACGCGATGCCGCGCAGGGGCGCCGCACAGACAATATGGTCCTACTCCCAAGCCTGGGAAGGAGAGCAAGAGCAGAACGGACAAAATGCCGCTCAGGGAACCGGAACAGACGGAAGCGGGGCGGAATGCTAACCGCAAGCAGACAAAGCCAAATGTTGCTCGTTTTGGGCACTATTTCAAGGCCAGAGAGTACCCGGAGCCAAAGCCGGGAAGAGGGAAGCAAGAGCAACGCATACAGAGTGACAAAGAGGGGAATCAAACTGAAACGGGTCAGCACAGACGCAGGGCGGAATCTGATCGCAGGCGATCAGCAGCCAAAACTTGCTCGCTCTGTAGACACTTCTTAAAGAGGGCGTCAGATTTCAAGGGACACTCGTGCATCTGAGTCCTGAGGGCAATTTCATCTGACAGCTGAGATTCCATCTCGAAAAGTGCGTTCGGCGACCAAGCTGGCCCTGATTCGGGGCAATGTGGTCGCTTGCTGTAGGACCGGTCCTGTGACGCCCTCTTTAAGCCGAGAAGAGGCGAAGCCTGAAAAGGGAAGGACGTCGAGAGCAAAGCAGTCAGAGAGCAGAACGGGAGAGAGCGGAAAGGGAACGGGACAGACGTAGGGCGGAATGCTCACTTCAGGCAGTTGGTGAACCAAAACTCGCTCGCTTTGTGCACGATCACGGGCGCCGACTTATTGCCCCCCCGGTTGAGCAGGTCGCGGTCGGCCCAGCCCTGGATGAGCACCGTGGCGTTCTCCGCGTCCGCTTTCTCGCGGGTGGCGAGCCACCGGGGATCGGTGTTGGGGACGAACCTGCAATATCCGGATTTTACCGATCAGTGCTAACGACTGGGTTTCAGAGATCGGCATAAGCTGTAAGCGTAAGGAGTATTCGTTTTGTAAAGATTGGTACATAGTCGGTTGGCATCAACGACCGTTTTTGCTTTTCTGCGGGTGGCGAGCCACCGGGGATCGGAGATCGGGCCAAACCTGCGAATGTTCCAAATTCCCGGGTTAGTGCTAACGACGGGTGGTTTGGAGACCAGGTGTGAGGCTGCAAGTGTTGGGAGTACGCTGTTTCGTAAAAGTTGGTTCCTAGTCAGTTGGCAACCACCGCTTTCACTTTTGTGCGGGTGGCTAGCCATTTGGGATCGGAATTGGGGACAAACCTGCAATGCTCCAAAGTTCCGGGTTAGTGCTAACGACTGGCAATTTAGAACCAGTGTGGGGCTGCAAGCGTCCAGAGTAATCCTTTTGATAACATTGGGACATAGTCGGTTGGCATCGACCAGCGCGACCATTCTTTCGCGGGTCGCGAGCCACCGGGGATCGGGGTTGGGGGCGAATCTGCCATTCTCCAAGGTTTTGGGCTAGTGCTGACGACGGAAGGGTCAAGAAACCAGTGGGATTGCAGACGATATGAGTATTCGTTCTGTATTTATTGGTACATAGGCGCCTAGGATTTGACCACTACGTCCGCCTTTTTGAGGGTGGCTAGTCACGGGGATCGGAGTTAGGGGCGAACGTGCGACGTTCCAAAGATTTGTGGGTGCGGATCAGTAGGTGTCTGAATAGAGTCGTAGGGTGTGGTTTAGTGCTAGCGATGGGGTGTCAGCTGAGTGCGGGGCTGCAAGTGTCCGGATTACTCCGTTTGGAAACGATGGTATGTGATCGGTTTGCAGCAACCACCAGAAGGTAAAGACAAGGTATAAATCCTCGGTTACATGATGAATGTTGCTGAGGTTCGTTGGAAGAAGCATTGCAGGTCGGAAAAGGGAACAAGCCTGCAGTTGTAATGGGGATCTGCAAGTTTCTGAAGAGCGAGGATAGGAATAAGATGTAAGAATGTTCCGCATCAACGCAGACCCCTAAAGTGCGGAGGTGTGGAAGGGATGCAAATCGGGTTTAACAGAAACGAAAATTAAGTGCAGGGGAGTGAGTTCGCTGGAGAAAGTTTGGGGAAGCGGAGCTATTGGACGGGCACCCAGCCGATATTGAAGCGTTGAAATACGCGAAGAAGCACTGGTTGCGCTTGCTAACCGGGCCCATAGGCGGCCTTGATAACAAATGATATGGACACAACCCCCTTGAGTTCGCAACCAATGAAAAGGGTTTCCAGCAGTAGCTTATCAAGCTTCCGTGGAGCAAACTTTGATGTAACGCACCGCGTTTATGCTTGGTAAAACGGACTAGATTTGCTGCTTTTTGCAGTTCCCTGGATTTCCGCAAGAGGCACCAACAGAGAAAAAGCGCTCTGACCCGTTGCTTTTCCCCTTCTCGTTTCGCCCATAATCATCTTCGATTTCTGAGAGAAGAAAGGGACAAACTTCCTCAAGCGACAGGGGCGTTTCTGCAGACTCTGCCGATCTACTGCCTCCATGGATCTCCTTTATACAACCAAGGTAACGGCTTGGCATCAAATTGCCTCCGCAGATCTCTTCATTACACAACTAAGGGAACACCTTGGCATCCATCCCAACTTGACTCTTCAAAATAGTCAACTTGGAAGCGATCACGCCCAAAGAGGATCCTGACATCATCTCTTCTTAAAGCAGTGCAAAACAATTCTTGGTGCCCTCACCTGCTGCTACTCCGCATTGCCTTGAAGTCGAACAGTGTCTCGAGCGGCGTCCACCGCTCGGCATCGTCTACGGGCCCTTGGGCTCCCCAGTTGTTGACGCTCTTCTCCGGCGGGAAGCCCTGGGGCAGCCACCGATGCCGGTCGTCTAGCCGAAACATTGTGGGCATCACAAAGTAGCGCTTCAGATGATGCGCCTCCTGAAGACCGCAGGCCAGGCCGTTTACCTGCCAGAAAACAAGGTCAAGAAGGGGTTAGGCTACTGTGTTTGGATTTCTGGGGGGGTAGCCACCGGTGTCAGGAGTCCAGCCGGAATGTAGTGGGCATAAAGTATTGCTTCAGATGATGCGCCTCCTGAAGACTGCAGGCCAGACCATTGACCTGCCAGGAAAGAGGGTAAAGAAGGGGGTTAGGGTTGGAGTGTCTTAGGATGCTGATCTGTTGAGTCTTAAAATGGCCGTTTCCAAACCAGAATATCGTGGACCTACGAAGTAGCGCCATAGATAACGCGCCTCCTGCAGCGCGCAGGCACGGCGGTTCACCTACTAGAGTACGAGGTCAACAAGGGGTTGGGCTAACAGAGTTAGGATTTGGCGGGGGTAGTCATAGGGTCTCATGATGCCGTTAAATTTAAGCGGGATGTCATGGGCAACACAAATCAGCAATGCAGGTATCCCGCCTCTTGGACCTCACAGGCGAGGCCGTTCGCGTGTCAGAAAAACAGGGTTAACAAGGGGTTTAATGACGCGGAGGAAAGGCAGTGGCAATAAAGGAAGGCCTTTCTCCGTGGAACATCGTGGGCATTACTGGGTAGCGCATCGTGCAGGCCGCAAGCCACCTCATTGACCTGCCAGCAAATATGAAGTTAATTCGTGAAATATTACATGATGTGAGAGAAGCAGTGGGGATTTGCGATGGCAATTTTAGATGGGAATGTTGTAGGCATCACGAACTAGTGCCGCAGGTAACGCGTCTCCTGCAGCACGCAGGCCGGGCTGCTCAACTGACAGGAGACCGGGGTTAACATGGGGTTAAGGTCTGCAGGTTCCTTTGAAACTTCATGAAGTGGGGTCTGCCACCCTCAATATTGGACCCAGTCTTGGTCATCAAAGCTAGCACGATGGCGATCGATTTATAGCTTATCAAATAGCCTGACATCATACTAGGGGGCAGAGTTGGTCGATACTATGCAACTTTCTCCGTCTTTACGTCGACAACCTGCACGGTTTGCACTTATCAAAACCCAGATGGAAAAACCAGTCAAGGGAAGCTCCAAGGCGAAATGAAGGAAAAAGCATTGAAGATTGAACCGACCTGATGGATGAGGCCACCCGTTTGGCCGTCATCGATCGTCTCCCCGAAGTACAGGTATCTCCGCGGCTTGCTCGACTTCGCCTTCTTCTCAACATCTGCGCTTTTTACCTCACCGTACGCCGCCCGCTTGGCACCCTCGGTCAGCTGCGCTCGCCGCTCTAGTTCCGTCTCCTCCCCCCACTCCCCCTCCCCCCCGGCTTCCACAATCTTGTCCGCCCCCTCCGCAGACCCCAGCTTCAACCCCCCCGCCAACGCCCCAGCCAACGCCTGCGCGAACCCCCCCCCCCTCTCTGTCGACCGCCCCGCCTTCCGACAGGCCCCGACCCTCGCCCTTTCCCTCCTCGCTCGCCAGCTTCTGCGCATCACTACCTACAAAATCGCGCGCCGACCGCTCCTGCCCCTCTTGCAACCATTGTTGCCTCCGCTGCCCGTCTTGGCCCCCGCCCGTCCCCTGATCCACTACCGTCCCCTCCCCCCCCAGGGCCTCGTTTTGCCGTGGCGCCTCCTCCGGCAATTGCTGCCGATGTGGAGCATCCTCTCCTTGCTCGGCTGTGCCCCCAGACGCACCCCCAGCCGCACCTATACCCACGTTATGGCCGCCTGTATCCTGTGTCCGGTCTTCCCGTGCACTCTCTTTATTTTGCTCCGGCTTCAATTGGTCAAAACCAGCCTTTTCGAGGCCAATTTCTCCCTTCGCGCCCTCTGCCGCGAGTTGCTCCACGACGGCAGGCGGGTCTGTCGCCATGGCCCTCTGGGTGTCGACATCCTCGTCGTCATCCTCGTCCTCGTCTAGTTTTTCCCGTTGCGCCAGCCCTACTCGCTTCCCGCTGCCCCCCTCCTCAATCCCGGTCTGCAATCCATGTACAATGATCTCTTCATTTGACTCCCCGCCCCTTACTGTGAGCCCCAGTGCTTTTGCAGCTTCCCACCCCCCCTGCAGCTGGACCTCCCTCCACCGCTCCCTGCTCTCAAGTGCTTTTCGGTCTCGCAAGGTCTCCGCAGCCAGGTGCGGCACAGCCCCCCCTTGCGAATCCTCGCCCTTCCACTCCCCCCAAAACCCCGTCTTCCGTAGCCCCTCAATGAACGGGAGTGCCTGCGACTTCAATAATGCAAAGTGGAGAACAAATGCAAAGGGCAGTAAGGCCAGCAGGAAACGCCGAAGCCGCTTTAGCCCTGGTTTGTGGGGGTGTGCCGCCCCCCTTGCCGAGCCCCCCCGCATCCTCAACTGAGAATTTGCGCTCCCCCCTTTTGCTGCTAGGCTGGTGATGGAAAGCCGGCTTGGGCCTAGCTGGGGAATTGAAGAAGCAGAGTTTCTGGTTGATGCGCGTTGTTTAGCTTGCAGAGTAAGAGCTGCAGCATTCTGAGGTGGGAATGGAGGGGCATTGTTCAAGTCTAGCGTGTCGGTCATTAGCAAGGAATCACGCAAGGAAGAGATCCACCCTGATTGCTCTAGGATTCGGCGGTGATTCGTGTAGAGCAACTGGAGCTGGCAAAAGACTCTTACACTCTAGCAGGTTTGCTGTGACGGCCCTCCGACGGTGGAACCCTAATGCAGTTGCTAGCAGAGCCTTTTAGAGTGCTAAGCGGTGGTTAAAGGTCGATAGACAACTTGTTGATTCTATCTGCACTGAAGCGCCTCTGCTGACTCTTTCTCTTCACGGGTGGCTAATGTCAGGAACCAGAAGGGGAGTGGCCTCTATGCTATCTGTACAGCTCATGCCAACTGCAAGGCAGTCTGTGGCACAGTATCTGCAGAAAAACGAAGGTACTGACATCAAGCGCCGTTCCTGATTGTCAACTTGTCATATACCTAGGCCAGATGAACCAGAAGCTCGTGGGAAATGACCTCTCAGCTCAACATTCTGCATGGTTTATCTGCTGTCCAAAGCTATTTAGATCCCCTGCATTCATGCACCAAAGGACCTGCTGAATTGCGTAATTACAAGCACCAATCAGTGTTGCGACGCATTGAGCTGGACTGTTGCATAATACTAGACAACACCTTGCAGCTGTTTGATCTTGCTCTTCATGCAAGGAGAGATCTGCACATTTTGGAATCCCCTGCCCTGGCCTTTGCATCCAACCTAGAGAACAAACTCTGCAGCACCGTAGGACTCTATTCTCTCGAATCGGATCTCAGAAGGGAGAAATTGCTGACAAAATGAGAACCTACTTGTAGTGTCCTCCGGGGAGAGCCAAAACGCCAGGAAGCACCAAGCCCCCCACTTGTCCTCCCACGCTTGTCAGGGGACCCCCTCAAGGTTGAAGAGACGGGTTCAACCAGCAAAGCAACAAGGAATAGCGCCCCATTCCTTGTGCGCGCTCCCTGCATCCCTGTCGCGGTTTCTGCGGCAATGTCGCAATCCATTTTGTTGTGCATGCCAATGCGACCTCTCCTGATCGCCACCTTGCTTCTGCTTCGATGTGGTAGGTACCTGAATTTGATGCTGAGTTCCTGATGTCAACAGACTCAGCGCACCCATCAGCGCACCCAACTCTTGCAAAATAAAGTGACCAATAGGAAAGCTTGAATTTTGTCCCCCACGCCCCGCACGTAACATAAATTGCTTCATTGCTCAGCATATGCGAGGAGCGTATGCTCCCGGGGAACCTATCTACAGTAGTGTCAGATTTACACGTTAATCGAGCAGGCGTTTAAAATTAGCATCAGTCTGATTCCGTAATACATGCTGCTCGGGGAGAATTTTGCCGCCTCTTCTGTTGAGGTAGGTTCTCACGAGTGATGGCATCAAATTTCAAATTTCCAGAAAATCCTGTTGGCCTCAATGGAATCTGTCGACACCAGGTTATGACACCTTCCGTACGGTGAAGGCTGTACAGTCATCAATCCTGTCGAATCGGACGGTCAAAATGAGCGTTTCACGGTGACTTGGCTTCAACCAAGCGTCAGGAAATGTTTGGAATCTTTGCACAAAGCTCGTCGACGAGTGCAATATGGTGTACCGCGTATACTGTACAGTGTAGAATTACCGTAACACAATTGTACGGGACTCATGGATTCGAGCTGTGAGTGCGATAGCCTATAGGTAGGTACATCAACGAAAGTACCGGTAACGGCATCATACCGGGTATGCGGACATGCCTAATGCACTTCTAAGCACTTGCTTTAATACTGTACAGTGTACACTGAGTTGCATGCGCCGCGGGGGCGGCACCGGGCACACTGTAGATCCAGTCAGTGCAGGATTTGTGTGTCGGACTGGCTAGCTGGATGTTGTTCATGTTGGGAATTTCACGACTCTTGACAGTCTTCACTTCTTGGCAGCGACAGTTTCACAGTTGCAGATTGGTCGGGCTTGAACAATTACTCTTACCCAAGGTTTTGATTGTCTGAACACGCCATTTAAGCATACTCTTTGACACGAAGGCCTCGATGATCAAGACCAGTTGCGACACATAGTTGAAAAACCTGGTCCCCTAATTCAATAAAGATGCCAAATCGAAGCATGTCGCGCATTCCATGAGATACATTGTTTGACCGATATAGTTTATGAGATTGTTCACTGCGCCGGCCCTTGGTTGGCCTGCAGTCACACGACAGATCACAATCCAACTCATACCTGCCGTGTGATCCTCTTCCTATCCTTTTTCGGAGCAACTTGTATGTCCTTCCGCTTTCGCACAGTCCAGTACTCGTTGATTCTCGTCTTCGGTGGCTCGGCCAACACCCACTCGGGCGCAACGATGCCCGGCACATCAATAACGTCGTCAATGAGTCCATACTCCTTGGCCTCTTGAGGATCCATAAAGTTGTCTCGGTCGCAGTCGATCTCAATCTGGGAAGCGGAAAAGGTGCTTCAGTTAGTTCTGGATGGACTTGAATCCTTCTCGGGTCAACTGCTACTTGCCTGTCAAACCAACTTCCGAAAGCAAACATCAGAGGGGACAGAAGCACAATGAACGAACACACATACATGGAGTGGCGGCTCGCCAGAGGACGACAATCAAACCGCAAACGCTGTTTTACCCTTTAATTGAGAGGCATGGTAAGGCGACAGCTTCTTCTAGACGTGCCCTCTACTAATACTTAGATAGGAGGGGAAAACCAGCAGTACAACTCTTTCCTTACAACCAGACCCAGGACCTTCGAAGCATGACCTTACATTGAGAAGAGCAAGACATGAACCTAGATTCGGTAACAACTTGGGAGACCAAGCTCCCGGTCTCGACCAGAAAAAACGAGTCAGCATTTGTGGGGAATTTGGTACCAGCTGAGACCTATAGAGGTCGAGTGAAAGACAGGCATCTGAGACGCCAGTTTCCCTGTGTCGAATGCCAATACCCGGCTGATAATTTCCGGTGCTTGAGAAATTGGTTCAAGGAGACACGCAAAACTTAGGCGCCGGCTGTTTTTGAACAGCGACAACACCGCATTGAAAATCCGATATGCCCAAGGGATTGGACTACAACTAATGACTTTAGGAGTCGAAAAGCCACACGAACCTTGGATGCCAGCTTCCACGTGCTGAGCGACAATACTCGGCTGAAAGTCCCCGGTGCTTAAGATCTGATGCAGCCAGATAATCGTAGAAATAACCAATAAATACTCGAGTAGACACACGAACCTAGGACGCCGACTTCCCTAAATCGAGCGACAGCACCCGGCCGAAAGTCCCCAGTGCTTGGGGGAGTGAATCTCAACCAAGAACTGTACAAGTCGGGCAAGACATACGAACTGGGACGTTTGCCGGCACGCCCAGACCTTACGAGGTCATCACGCCAGGTTGCCACCACCTTTGACCGATCTAGCATTTCCTTGATTATCCCTGTGTTGCACAACGACACACGACTAAAAGTTCCTAGGTGCTAAATGAGCACAAATACCGTACAAGTCGAGTAGACAGACGAACCTGGAACGCCGGTTTCCTCATGTTGAGCGACAACTCGGCCGAAAATGTTCGGGACCTTTCAAAAATGTAAAATGAGCGAAAACACCGTTCAAGTCGAGAAGACAACACGAACCTGGGACGCCGGCTTCCCCGTGTTGAGCGACAACACCCGGTTCAAGTTGTCCCGGTGGTAGATGATCTCCTGCGCCTGGATGGCAAAGTCGATCGCCGATCCGCGCCCCCCCCCGAGGGGCTGATGGATCATGATGCGCGCGTTGGGCATGGCGTAGCGCTTGCCCTTGGTGCCGGAGCTGAGGAGGAATGCGCCCATGGAGGCGGCGAGGCCGAAGCAGATGGTGGAGATGTCGCAGCTGCACAGCTGCATCGCGTCGTAGATGCCCATGCCTGGGAGATGAAAGCTTATGTCATTCGTGAATTGACACTGGAGACAGCCACTGAATGGTACGGGATCTCTGAGGTATTGGAAGGGAAACGGCAAAAGAGGATGGCAGATCGGTGGAGACGTCGCAGCTGCACAGCTGCATCGCGTCGCAGGTGCCCATGCCTGGGAGAGGAAAGTTTTAAATGGGCTTCAATAGTAACATTGGGTCATGAGGGCCACAAAGATAGCCGTATGAGATCTTCAGAGAATCATAAAGAAAAATGACGAGAACAACGATGGATCAGTGGAGATGTCGCAGCTGCACAGCTGCATCGCGTTGTAGATGCTAATGACTGGCAGACAAAACTTCCAGGTACGTACAATAACGAGACTGAAGAGAACCACAAAATGGGCCTCACGGAATCTTTAAAGGATTTGGAAAGGAAGGGGAAGAGAATGATGTCGAATAGTGGGGATGTCGCAGCTGCACAGCTGCATCGTATTGTGAATGCCCATGCCTGGGAGAAGAAAGATCCGTAATAAGCAGGGCGTAAGCATGTTGCGAGAAAAGAACGTTTGATACTGAAGAGATACTCGTACGAGATGCCTGAAGAAACGGTACCGAGAACGGAAATCCAAGGAAAAAAGGAAAAAAGATGTTGGCAGGAACGTCGCAGCTGCACAGCTGCATAGCCTCGTAAGATGCCCAGTCTGGGAGATGAAAGGTCCATATCACTGAAAGATTGACAGTGAGACAGCCACATACTAATCCATACGGAAATAAAAGAAAGGCGAGGAAAAGGGTGAATGAATGTCGGTGGGGACGTATACGAGAGTACTGTACGAAAGATTTGAGAAAGAAACGAAAAGTAAAAGGGGACAGAAACGGAGATTGAGACGTGTGTGGACTGTTGTAGCTGCACAGCTCCATCGCGTCATAGATGCCCATGCCTGGCAGACAAAAGCTCGTGTAAGCACACCAAAGATACTGGAAATAGCGGAACAATCATTTGCACGGGATTCTGGAGAAAAAGAAAGTCGGAAAGAAGGATGAGACGTTGGCTGCATAGCTGCGGTGCTTCATAAATGCACATGCCTGGAAAAAAAACGATAAAATGGAATAGAGACTGCACAAATAAACAAATTGGGAAGGCAAAAGGGCAGGAGGAGGAGGGTGTCAAGAAGACGTGGAACGTGCACTATCACCACCATGTAGTCGCCAACGTCTGGTAGGGAAGGGGGAAGATAAGAAGAAAGTGCACCGAAGTTGAACAGGTCAAGATGAAGGAAGACAGACGGTTGAAGATGACGGAATGTTACACGAGACCAAAGGATGACAATCACGAGATGCCAGCAGAGACCAAAAGGTGAGAACATCGCAATGACATAGAGGAAGTTAAGTGCGCAACTGCATCGCATCGTACACAATCAAGCTTGGCAAGAAAGACTGGACAGATATCAACGACAGGATGCTAGAGTAGAAAGAATTTTGACATACAAGTTTTAGCGGAGAGCAAGGAGAAGGAATACAGACAGGGAGACAGGAAAGTTGCAGCTGCACAATTGCATGCGTCCTTCCAGAGTCGGGTGGAAAAGGAGCAAACAAAACCCGGCCGTTAAAAACCAGAGTAAGCTTACCGGCGGTGACCGACCCTCCAGGGGAGTTGATGAACATCTTGATGTCAGCGGTAGGATCATTGGCGTTCAGAAGAAGCAGCTGGCTGACGAGGACATCAGCAGAGTTGTCATCGACCTGGGAAGCAACGCTAGGGTGTCAGCACACCATAGCGTCGTCGCCTGAGTGCGGAACTTAGAAGCAGAGACTTACGGCGATGGACTGAAACACCCTGTTGACATCGTTGAGTCCGCTCTTTCTCTTGCGCATGCGGGAGACGAAAAGGAGCTGATCGCAGTGGTGCACTTCATGACAACAAACGACTATGTTGTGGATCAATGCTAAATGACAAAGCAAAAGGTGGTGATGCCGAAGTTCTGAACCCTGCTCGGATAGATGTGCATCCCGCCAACAGCAGTTTGAATCAGGGGAACAGCACAACAGGGTGTGACAGAAACCTCCACACTAAGCCAAGACTTTTTTGTCACCTTCTTCTGAAATTTCCGGGAGCACAGAAGGTACCTGAATGAATGATGTGACCTCAGAAAATCTGGCATCCCTCATACTGTCAATTACGGAGTTGAAAAGACCAAACTGGTGAATATGGTCCAATCAAGAAGATGAAAATCAGCAGATATAGCTCCTCTCAGAGGAAACTTTCTCTGACTGCACTTTCACAGGATAAGTCCCTGCTCAGCAGCATTCCCCCACGGCGCGGATCGACGTAATCAAATCCGTTAGCCTTCAATCTGCAGCCTCCCATGCAACACGAGCCCCTCAAACTAATCAGAAACGCCGAACCTGCCCTCCCAGAGCAGCATCTTCTGCATGGTTCATAGTAGTCAGCGGCCTTGAACACAACAAGATCAGCATTTGCACTTTCCTTGCAGCTAAGAAACACAGCAAAAGACAAGAAACAAGAAGAAAGAAACACCGCAAGAAATGAAAGAAACACCGCACACTGACCTGCCCTCCCAAGAAGGCAATCCTCTGCCTCAACAGCATACTCTGCGACGACAAAGCGACCAGGCCAGCATGCCCACGCGGTGCCGTTTTGCCCCCGGTGGTCTCAAAACAAAAATAACAAAAAACATTTTGCACTTCCCCGCAAGCAAGAAATATCGCACACTGACCGGCCCTCCCAGGAACACAATTCTCTGCCGGAGCAGCATGTTCTGTGGGTCCAAATCAACCAGGCCGGGCGGCCGCTCCTGCTGCTCCACTTCGCTCGCATACGGCAGCTGCAGCTCGGCGGTTGGCCACACTATACTGTTACCAGCATAGTCACCCCCACCCGCCCGAACGCCGTTCATCCTAGTAGGCCGAGCACCGGAGGGTTTTGAAGTCCGGGGAGCATTTCTGACGTGTGAAGGTAAGAGAGGAAGCGTGCTGTGGACGTTTTGAAGGCTGGCGGCAGAGCGGCCGATGCTCGGCAAGAAGCACCGCGCGCCCGCTGCCACCTGTAAGGCGGCCGCCATGGCTGTGTACTCACGAGGGTGCGTTCAGTTGCAGCAATACAAAGCTTAAAAAGATGTGACGTTCCTGATTAGTGGAAGGCTTGATTCTTCTTCTCTTGGGGGGTGAGACAGCACCCAATTCTAGCGCCTCTGCTCAGACTGCTGTGCGTCAGGCATGCGCCACCAACTTTCTAAACGTCCCCTCGCAAGTTCGCAACGCTGCTCTTCTGGCACTGCTCCTCTGAGTACCTATAGGTATATTATAAAATCCAGGACTGGGTAGAAGCAAGTCAGCTGCCGGTTCTGTCAACGTAACCCAGACTTTTGCTTTCTGGTGCGATTGATATGCTCGCGGCGTGACGCGTCCCTGCGCCTATGGCCGGACGCGCGAAAATGCACGGACCGGGAAAGCCAATATTACCTATGCTGCACACTCTGTCTAGGGTAGGAGGATCCTAGAGACCGAGATCGAGGCTCGACTTGTATATTTTCGGACTGTTGGCTTTGCCGACCCATTTATACCGGGCTCGTGTGTGTGTGCCAATTGACCGTCTGGCTACGGTATATGTATGCATGTAACCTTCATCACAGGGTTAACCTTCATCACAGGGTTATGTAACCCTGGGCCTCAGGCTCAGAGGGGACGATTTTACAATCTACAATTTCTCAGACTTTCCAGCTGAGTCTGAAGACACTGAAGTTCAACTTTGCCATTGGTGCTGGCCGCACTTGGAATCCAATCCCAGGCGCCATCTGCCAGAGACGACGTTCCTCTGGCGTCAACTTTTTATCTGATCCGAATTTGATTCCATCGCATTGCTTTCCCTAGCAGCAGAAATGGGCCGGGGAGAGGAGTATGTGAAACGGAAGCATAAGCGCGCCGAGAGGAAGCGGAACCGGGCAGACTCAGATGGTGGTGTGTCTGAGCTGGCGGCAGCCAAGAAGCGCCGCAGGAAGGGGAAGAGACGAATCACAGAAGTAAGCACGAATACTTTGAGGATCTTGAGGATAAAAGGGCCCATCAACTCTCATTGAACGCATTGCATTTCAGCTTTACGTCGCTTTCGGCAATGCAGAGATCACATACTGGTGCAAGCTCTTGCATGTTGCTGCTCAAGGTTCACTGGCTTGCAAAGGAGTATCAGAGGTGTCCTCTGGAGAGAGAGTGGCGCCTTCTGCAACCACCCTTGACTTGTTTTTTAAGGACTTCACTAATTTAGATCCATTTCGTTGCCAATGTTTAAGAGCCACCATTGCCTACAAGGCGGTTTCAAAAGAAACATCTATTTAATGAACGTTTGTGCCACCTTTCTGACGTTCATTTTCTGCGGTGGCCTCGTTGATTCTTTTTGTCAATTTAAAGTGGGTCCAATGTTCTCATGTGTGGTGCGTCGCAACAATCTGGGGTGATGCTGTGGTGGTGCAGTCTCTGTCTATGTATCTTTCAATCTTACATGATCATATAGGATTGATAACGGGCTTCTGACCATCAGGTTTGTCAGAAGATAATTCTTTCGACCTGGTGATGGACATTTTGCGGCTCAATCGAGTAACAGATTGCAAAAGAAACATGGACCATTTCATCTCAAATTTATGGTTAAGAAAGTTGGATTGCTTGCTTATGATTCATATTTTATTTCCAACTCATGTTGTTGCCTGGACTACTCATCCTTATTTACTGCAAGCGGCAAAAATTTGTAATGACTTTATGATAGTCCTGTCGTGTTGCGACGCCTGCACCACTGAAATAGCAATCCCTGTGTCCACTTTCCAGTAATTCAAGCCGTTGACGGCACTCAACACTTGTAAGCGATAGGGATGTCCTGCCTTGGGCTCCTTAAGAATGGGAAGTCTCTGGATGGACTCGCTTGACGTCTCTGTATCTGTACCACAGGGCATGTGCTACTCCCTGCCAACGGTGGAGAACCCGTTTCTCGATGAGAAGGAGCGCGCCTTCCGCATGACGCACGGCAAGAAAGTCAATCCGGAGGCGCCAAAAGCAAAATGCGCCAAAAGCGCGCCGGAAGACCCCGACGTCACCAAGAAGAAGCTCGATTCCAAACCTGCAAAGCTCAGAAAGGTGTTCTGGCCAAAGGGGGACGCCGGCAAGGGCCCCATCACGTCTTCTTCAGACACGCGCCTACCAGAAGTTTTCCGCTCTGCGGCGGAGAGCTTAGGAGTGACCGAGCCGTCTGCATTTCAAGCGGACATATGGCAAGCTGCGCTGCGCGGACAAGGGGTCTGGGGTCACTCCAGGGGTGCGGGAGAAGAGGTTGAGGAAACGGTTGCGGGGTACGTGCTGCCTGCGGTGCAACACTTGAAGGCGCAGGAAACGGGGAAAGTGGGGCAGGGTCCAGCAATACTGATCCTGGTGCCAAGTAGAGCAAGGGGTTCGCAGGTGAGGTGGCAAGGCAGTGTCGGCGGGCGATCTTGAAACTTAGTCACTGGCTGTCAGCACTGTTTTAAAGGTCGCTGAGGGGTTAAGGGGTCCTTATGGTGTGCTAGGAGACAGGCTTTTATTGGTTGAGGACCGTTGCTCTTTTGTGGTATGACCCATGAGACCCCAATAATCGAAGAAGTCAACATGGTACTGAGACAAGTCTCCCAAAGGAAGAAGCAAAGTGGTTTGTGTAACGCAGCGCTCCAAGAATACTGAGTAGGGCTTGCCCGTTGCCATCGAGCAGTCGACATAGATATATCTCACGTGAGACACCTGTGACTATTCCCGTTTGGTGCTGAAGGCACGTGAAAATTTCCCCCGGATCCATGACACGAACCGAACCGAGAAGAGAGGCTTACATTCACCAAGCGAATCATTGAAGTGGCTTCGCCTTTGCAGCCGCTGAATTTGTGCACGGAGTTTGAGAAACACATGCTATTGAAGCAAATATTGTGAAAACATGGCCTGGAACTTAGCGAAGCACCTAACAGTGCCCCATTGCTGTTTTTTGTGCAGGTACTAAAGGCCTGTCGGAAGATCCGGGAGGGAGGGATCCCCCTAAAAGCAGTGAACGTGCACGATGAGGCGAATCCGCAAGACCAGCTGGAAGGGCTTGAGAGCCAGGTGGTGGACTTGGTAGCCGCCACGCCAGGACGGCTGTCGCAGCTGAACATCATCAAGGGGGATCTCTTATCGAGGGTCACGTTTGCTGTGAGTCTGCATGTAGGCGGCTATTTGTCGTTTTCGGTGGGAGCTGTTTCGCTGTGGTCGTGCTGTGCAAGTTCTGTTCCTTGCGACATCGCTTCTGTTCTTTACTTCACTGTGACGAGGGAATGAATGAGCTGCGCTGGTTCAAAACCGGATCCTTTGTGAATTGGTGAGTTAATTGTGAGAGGAACGTTGCTGTTTTGTCGGGCGACAGAATAAAAGGCTTTTAAAGAAAGGGTCAGTCCCGTTTTAGGGCCGGGCGTGTCTCTGAAAGCGAGTCTAGCAGCACACAGTTTTTTGTGTGAAAAGGTGTTACTATCTGTTACTACCTGCGCTCACTAAGGGGCGACTAACCTGGAAGCATCAACCGCACCAAGTTCGGAGCATTTTACTGGCTCTGCAGACAATCTGCATCTGATTCAGAGCCGCTCGGCTTGATTTCTTTGAGCCGCTGATTTAAAAAAACCGCAGTCCATGCTTCTCAACGAAGATTGCATTACTCTGTCAAAATCGACCGGGCGACCGGGCTCAGAGGAAGCTTGACGGCAGAGCTGAAAACCGCTTCCGTGCTCACGGGTTGTCATCCCTCGATCAGGCCCTTCATACTTGTTCCAACAGGGTTTCTTTCACTCATCATCAGTGTCTCTTCCCACTCCTCATGACTTGCTCTCTCACTCTCCGCAACAGTGTCTCTTTCAATCTAACCTGATTGCTTTCGCTCGTCAGTTCCGAATCCTAGTCCCTCTCCTTCTCAGGTACTAGACTCTGCCGATCAGATGAGCGAGCGGGACTTGAGACAAGCCGGCCTTCTAACAGAAAGCCTCCGGGCCGACGCCCAAACGCTCTTCTTCACCGGGAGCTACAACGTGGCCGTGCACGAGTCGCAACGCAAGTGGCTCAAGGATCCAATCCAACGAGTCGCCGCCAGCAACACGCCTGTTGCGCTGTGGTAAGCGACGTTCCTCAGGGCCATCTCTCTGAGTCTGGAAGAAATCTTGAGGCGCTGTGCTGAAGCGTTGAAAGGGTTGCAGTCGAGCGAGCTCAGTCGTAGTTCACAGTGAACATTTCTCAAATTCGCCAGCAGAACGTGTAACGGTGCGCCTTTTGCTCTCAGCGTCGCTTTGATTGAGCGACATCGTAAGCACCGTATTTGCTGAGCATCTGCTCAAATTGGCTTTGTACCCTCTGATGTGCCTTGTCGCGGAAGGCTTGGGGTTGTTTCGCGTCTGGATTGAAGTCGGGAGTGAAGATGAGGCACCCTGCAGATTGAACTCTGCTTGTTTATCCTGAGAGTTGCATCACAAGCAAGTACGTCGGCCCCCAGAGACTTCGAGCCCTTAAATGAAATTAAACGAGAATTGGAATCTACCTGCCATATAGCTCTGATTGTGACTGTTTTTACGAAGGGTAAAGTAATTATCGATTTCACAGCGGTGAGCTGCAACCCTGAGACGGGCTACTCCTTTGACGCATACTGCTTTTGTCGTCTCTTGCGCAGCGCCGGCATCGAGCAGCGGTTCGTGTACTGCTCCGAGGACAAAAAAGCTCAGCGAGTGAGTTACTGTGCTCCTTTTTCCTGCTTGTAGAAGGTGTCTAGTGCGAAAGACTACCAAGGCTGTACTCGAATCCGAAGCGTTGGTTCTGTTTCTAGCGAGTTGCACGTCGAGCTTGTAAGTGAAGCAATGCTAGTTGCCATGAATCTTATCAAAGCAACCCTTATGAAGGGACCGTATTTCTTGGGTGGAACACGACAATCCTTGCAAGGCGGTGCTTCCCGTATCCCGAAAGCCTTTGCTCATATGACATTGGCCTACAGCGAATCTCTTAAAACGTTTGTGCATGCGCGTTAAGCCCGAACCTTAAAACACGTTTGCGCATGCGCGTTAAGCCCGAACCTTAAACACGTTTGCGCGCGCGCGCTAAGCCCGGACCTCGTTTTCATTTCCTGCCCGAGTTTCCAGTTTTCAGGCACTGCTATGCTTCTGCTGGAGCGCCGCTCGGCGCTATCGCCGTCTCTCGTCCCTCCCTTTCTAGTTCCAGCTTCGATGAAAGGTCGCGACTTAATAAAGAGCGGGTTTTAGGAGCGGTTCACTCCGAGATCCCGTTTCGTGACGCCTCTTTTTTGTTTGACGCAGGTTGTCAAGACCGTGCTCGACGTGAGGGAGGCAGAGCAGGAAGCCCGGGCGAAGAGCCGCATTCTCGTCCTGGCCGCGACTCCGGCCTCTGTGAATGCAACTGGTGAGTTATAATGTTTCGTCTTTCTTCGACTTGCTTTGCAAGTCATATTGGGAGACGGTTTTTTGTGGGCGCGGATTGGTCCGTCAAGATTGTTTCACTTTTGTCAATAGGTCCGATACTCAGAAGCCTGCGAAGGATTGGGGGTTTAGAAGTCTTGCAGAGTAGAGGCACCGTCATCGCGGACTGCCAAGCACGACCCTCGGAGAACTGAAGATTTGCCATGCTTTTGTGTCAGCTCAGCGTCGCGAAAATGGACAAGGCGGTAAAAGCTGTAGACCCATTCCGCTCAGCGCCTTCACTGTCTTACTTTGATTAAAAATTCTGACCAATGTCGAAGTCAGTCAATGGGGGGGGAGGAAGAGGACTTTCCAATGCGGAAACCATATACTTTGGTTGAGTTTGAAATATAATGTCTTTGAATGCAGTGGAGGCTCTGGCGGAATCCGGGCTGAGGGCCGGAGCGCGCCACGAGGACCTGCGGACGGAAGAGCGGCTTGCTGCTGAGGACGACTTCAGGTCCGGACCGTTGTCTGTTTGCCGAATAGCACCAAATATTTCGTTGGAGGGAAGTGTTCGGACACCATAAGACAGGTTCTGCCTGAAATTCCTTCCATTCAGATAGATTAGTTTCTAGGTAGGATAACAAAAGGTCCCGGGGTAAAACAAAGCAAAAAGATAAACCAACAAAAGTACCCGCTCCCCCACCCGTACCCACCCTAAATTCACTCGTTCCCCCGGCCATAAGCGTGTCCTACCTAGAACTAGCCTCCGAGATTTCAATCTAGTTTCTGTGTGTCACAAGCGGGTCTCAAAACCTACTGTGCTCTCACATGCAGAAACAGTACTGCTCTTACTCCTTGTGAATCGCATACGATAAGGCATGGCTTTGAAACTTGACACCCCTCGATTTTGCTTTCCGCTCTTCTGGTGTAGCACGGCAAAACAACGGTGAAGCGGCAGGGAAGGAGACCGGAAAAATTTGACACCCAACTAGTCCCTTAGGGCTACTCCAATTTCCCCCCCTCTAAAACTGAATCTGGTCGGCAAGTTATCGACCTTCACTTTGTCCAGCGACTGAAGGTGGCCAGTCTCATAACAACGAGCAAGGGTTTTCCAGAGCTTCCACGAGCTTGTTCTTCCTTCATGTCGCGACTTACTTGGTCCATATACCAACTCAGAATCTCCAGCACCGCTTTCAAACCTTGCCTCAACATGCAATTGCTATCTTTTCCAGGGCGGGCAAGGTGCCCATTCTAGTTACGACGGGCATCACCTCCCCGGGAGTGCACGCGAGCAGCGTACCGGTCCTCATCGTGCACGACCTTCCGGGAACCGTGGAGGATTACGTCAGGCTCGTGGGATACGTGGCGAGGACGACGGTGAAGGGCCAAGTGCACAGCCTCCTCACCAAGTGAGCCAGAATTTTCAGAATATGATCTTATTGTTATGTTTGGAAGCGTGCCGTTTTGGGTTCTGTGCTTCTCTGCTTCTCCTTTTATTGCCAGTCTAAGAAGAGTAGCGGTAAGCCTGATTCCCCAACTTTAATTCAGCCTCTTGGTCTGGAGCGTGCTTTTGGATTACCGCTCCTTTCATCATCTCTTTCACTCTGGTTGTCCACAGGAAGATGTCAAAGTTTCTTGGCCTTTGCCCCTCCTCTTATGGATGCAAAGGTCGAGCGCGCCGGTTCTCGAAGGAGTTTGCTTTCCCCCCTTTTTCTCTTACCCCCTGCCCCCCGCCTCCTTTCATTTGAATCTGTATATGGGAAAGTTCTCGTCCACTTGTCCACGCCCAAGTTTCTTTTTGAGCGCCGACTGCGGGCATTAGCGAGCTTGCTCAAAGTCGTCGATCTTGCTGCCAAACGTTACCTTGCTCATTGTTTCTGAATCCTGCTGCACCTTTTAGGACGAGGCGATGATCAAAGACTGGAGGCCTTGTTCCGCTTTGCGCGTAAGGGCTGTGTTGGGTCCAGTTCGACGCCACACACTTTGTTTGCGGCTTGGAGTGCATGCCAGTTGTTACCGCCTCAAGTGGAAGTCTTGTCTCGAATTCTGCTGTTACTTTTCGGTCGAGGCAACGATAGGACTGGAGGCCTTGTTCCGCTTCATTCGGGAAACCGCGTTACTCCGTCGATTGACGCCTTGCACTCTGGTCTGCGGCTTGAGCAGCCAAGCTGTGCGCACATTCTGGTACTCGTCATTTTTGCACCATGCATGCTTTTCCTTGACGACTTGTGAAAGGTTTGTTGGCTGAGTTTGCAAGCGGTCTTTCTCTCTTCCTGCTATCAGTCGCTGCGACGTGTATTCAAGGAGCGTCCTTGGCTCTGACCTGGCCGTAGAAGCTGCTTGTCCAAAGTGCAAAGATACTCTTCGGATTGACACGGAAGACGTCCGCATTTCCCGGATGACGTCCGTGAAACCTTGACGACCACCTTAAGACTCCAGCCCGTTGCAAGAGGTCATCATTGTGTCTGACGTAGCTCTTTGTGCTCATCGATCAAAGATGCTGATTGAAGTTTGAGTGCTTCAAGTCCAAAAAGGAAAGGCGTGCAGTATCTGGTCAGAACAACCTAGACGTTGTTGAAATGATGCGTTTTTGAACCTTTGACGAAAGGCTTGTGCAGCCCGTATCTACCTAAGGCTTGGAGCGTTGCAAGACCTGCGCTGCCAAGGACTCAAGAGGTATCAATAGCCCTCAAGATATTGGAAGCAAATCTTTCTGCAAAGATGACACCGTCAACCAGGAGGCGCTGTTTGCTACTCCCCATGCAAACTCGGCAATGAGTGAAAGCCTCATAGTCATTGGTTCTCATAAGATGGGAGCCAAGCCTTTTTGTTGCACACTGATGCTGAGCGTATCCCAAGTCGTGCTTATCTACTTGTATATGATTAGGAAACTGCGGCAGTCACGGCCGTAATCATTTGTAACCAAGAGAACACGTCCTGTTCTCTTTTGAAGTGTTAGTCCGTTGGTCAATGTTATGCTCTTGACAGCGACGTTGGATCCAGTCGTTTTCCGTTGGTCTCCCCTTTCTTGGCATAAGGAACGGAACACTCGCCCCAGCCATGTGTGCCCGTTGACCATCCATTAGCATGTCTTTGAAAAGGAAAGAATGGTTCCTTAGCTCCATGTCTGATGGTTGGCGATCGTTATATGCGCGTTTCGAGATCACTTCCTGCTTTTGGAGATTTTCTCATGGCCCATCTCTTGGTCGTCGGACCAGTACACTGAACAGTGGCGATTACGCAGTCGTATAGGTATCAACAAAGTGGAAGTCTGCTGGCTGGTTTGTGGAGTCTTTCTGGAATGCATTGCATGGAGGGGTACGCCCTCCGGCCAACGTGAGTAGAGCCCGAGTTCCACAATCAATCTTCAGAATGGATCCGGCCATGCCTTCTACTGGTGAGATGTGTCTGTGGACGCGATAGCAGCGGTTCAAAGAACTCGGCTGCTTGTGAAGTAGTTGACGCTTCGTTGCTGATCCTGGCAATGAGCATTCTGTACAGCTGGCTTCTAACGGTCTCAAGACTGGAGCCATTTGTTGTGATGCGCAGAGTGAAGCTGGTGCAACGGCAGACGTCAAAGTTGTAACCTTTCCCAGACTCCTTCCTTACACACTCTTGTTTTCCTGCCTCTTCGCACAGAAAGGCAGCGGAGCCCGTAATTGAAGAGTTCAACATTGGCGAAGGTTCTCTCCCCTGGTCCACTCACCGCTCATTCGTTGACTTGATCCTTGCTATCTTGTACGCTGTCTTTAATGGGAAACGTATGTCTACGACTGCAATCCCCATAAGTAACCCCATTCAAAGGCTTCTTCAAGGAATTCTGCCTGCACTTCTTGTCACTCTCTGCTGGTTGAGTTGACATCTTGTTCCAACTCCCAGAAAAGTTGGTTATCAGTTCAAGTTCCTCTATCACGCGGTCCTCTGTTGCGCTTGGTTCCCGCGTGCTCTGCTTGTGGAATATATAAGCGTCTCCCTTATGCTCAAACCGCTTGGCACAACTCGTCGGATGGTACTCGGCAACGATTAAGCCAGCAGCGGCCATGCGAAGCCATATGCTCTTAGTTGCCGTCAGTTGATGCCGGGGGTAGAAAGCGTAAGTGAAGGAAAGGGGGGAATAGAAGGACCTTGCAGAGTTATGACACAGGGATGGTACGCGCTCGTTCTGAGCGGATTGTTCTCTCTTTGGAGTTTTGCCGTGCACAGGAATGAGCTTATTCAACCGTTTGTGGCCGGAGGTCAATACTTTCGTTGTTCGATGATTGCGAAGGAAGACGTAAGTCCGCGTTCTTACTTATAGCGGACTGAAAGTGGGACGGCCCATTGGATCTTGAAAGTATGTCGCATTTTTGAAGTTTCTCACCATGTTCGTCGTCGCTTCTCTCGACCTGCTCGTCGGCAAAGGCTGTCGTTTGGTCTGTGTGACAGCTCTGCTTATGAGTCGAAACGGACATTTTGTTTGATACGTCTTTCATCTGGTGGGCGGGATGCACGATATTCTCAGAAGTTTGCAAGCCCTCTGCAAAGCTGTTAGGGTAAGGTCATATCAAAGTTGACCCCCTATGTTCAATTCAAAAGGTGGGTTGGGGGTTTGACATCCCACAGGCAGCAGGAGGGGGGGGCTCTGCGGGTTTGCGCGCTAGTCGAGCCGCAGGCTCGGAAAATTTTACAGTATAGGTCCAGATATACGGTTTTGAGGTGCAAAATAAATGTAAATCGAGGGGGGGGGGATTCCCGGCTTTTTTCGGGGAAGGATAGCCGGGGAGGAGGAGCTTGGCCATTTGGCTCCCAAGGGGCTCACGGGGGTTCACTACAATATGGCCTTACCCTTACCCCTCGCCTTCGAAAGTGAGGCCGTTGCATCAGCGCCTCAGGGAGCGCTTCAAGGACTCATCTGGCGTTTCGGAGAGTCTCCTGTTAGCCCTTCTTACCTCCCCCATCACTTTCTACAACTTGGTTGCCTTCGAGGCGAATCCCTCCTCCCGCATACGGATTCTGCTGATTACTCTTTGGAACTTTCATTTGGCCTTGATTGGATCCTGACTGGCGAAAGCACTCTTGAGGCCAGTTACGGTTGTTTGCCATGACGCCAAACTACAAATCAGACCAGGGAGGGAAGCACATACGACAGTAGGTTCTGGAACGGCCAGCGAGGAGAGTCGGGTGCGATGCGCCCCCGTTAATGTATGACACGGTCATAGCTGGCAAATGGGACTGCCTCTGAGCCCAACGTTCCCTGTCGGCTGTTTGCGGATCGATCGCAAGTGCAGTGAACACCGCAAGAAAGGAGTATCTCTTTTAGCCTTTGAGCCTTTGGACCACCCTCTACCATTTGGGGCGGAAGCCGTGCCCCTGCGCCTTCTTCTACACCCCCCATGGAACTTTTTAGTTTTTCCTTGGAGCGAGCTTATGGTCTGTTCTATGCCCTGCTTCAAGAAGCAGATGAATTGAGAAGTTTTCGTGATGAGTTGAAATTTGGAAGCAGGACTGTGTGACCCGATTCAGCAGTTCATCAGCCTCCGGTTCCGCATCCGGTTGGCAAACTCCGAGCGCTTAGTTCAATTTCCTAGATTCTGGCAGGTCCACGTCACTGCACTCTTTCTGAAGCTTTGCTCAGCCAAGGTCTGAAAGCTTTTCTGCTGAGGCTTCGACTGCGATCCTGCGCTTTTGTTTCGGCTGTACGGTATGCTTTTGGAAACCCAAGCTGGCGCTCTACGAGGGCCAGGCATGTCTTCCGTGTCAGTCCTTTCGGATGTACGGGTTACTCCATCGCACTCCACGCATTGTGAGCGGAACATCTGACTCACAAGAATCAATGACTCATGTGGCGCTCCTTCCATCGCGCTTGTTTTTTCTACGGGCAGGGACTGTTGTTGTTCCGCTGTCCGAAGCATCGTGGACTTGAAGCCGACCAAGCCTGTACCAAAGTCGTTTTCCTTAGTAAACCCATTGATGCTTATTTTTACAGGGAGCACGCCCATCTGGCCGTGGGACTGTCTGAGCTGCTCCAGGCGTGCGCGCAGCCGGCGGATTCTAAGCTGGAGATGATGGCGCGGGCGGTCAAGCTGGTCCAGCAGCAGCAGACCGGAACCGGAAACGGAAACGGAAAGGGGTCTGGACACGGTCAAGTGAGCGGCGCAAAGATGAACGGAGCGCCCAATGGAAATGGTGTCAGAAACGGGGAAGAAGCAGCGCTTCCGAGAACGACCGCCTCGAGGCGGGACCCGTCCAGGGGAGCCGGCGTCGGAACCGGAATGGCAGTTGATGCCGTCGGACGGACGGAGGCTGGTAATGGGCGAGTGGCGCAAAACGGACGTTCTGCCAGCGGAAACGGACGCTCGGACCACGGAAGCGGACACGGGGAAGGCGACGGAAGCGCGTCCGAAGCATCAGAGGAAGAGGAGGAAGACGACGAGGCGACGCTAGACGAAGAGGAGCGGCTAGCGGCAGAAGAAGGGGCGCCGGCGGGGGATGATGAGCTGAGGATGCTGGAAGAGGAAAGTTCGATGTCGGTAGAGGAGCTGTTGGCGAGGATAAGAGCGCGGGCGGAGGAGGGGGGACAATGACATTTGGCGGAATTTGACATTGGTCACCTGCTGCTTCAAAACATCTTCAGGGTCGTTGTGTTGGCATGCAAATCCTTTTAACAGGTTTTTTTTCTAAGATGCACATGCCACCAACGAGTACATTTTGACAACCTCCGTGGATTGCGGAGCTAGTCCCCCCCCGATGTACGGCGGCGGATCCTGGAGCAAACATTGGCTACAAGTCGAGCGGAAGCCATGCGCGACAACCTAGAACGCGAGATAAACGGATAAACACGCGTTTGAGCATCCACGTATATCTGTGTGAATCAGAACCTACGGCTACTGCACGATGGCCCCATTGCATGTCGGGCTCCACCGACAGAGGGACGCTCGAAGATCTCATTGCAAGCTCGGCCACCGAAAGTGATACTATCGCTCATGCATGTGCGTCACGACGATTCTGCCGGACCATATGTGGTTTCATATAGTCGCTCATTGGAACGAGCTGGGAAATCCCATGGGATGCACCGACTTCTCCTATTTGTATGTAACCAACGACCGGACCTGTGTGGAAAACTTTTTCAATTGACGGACCTTTGCTCCCAAAACAACACGTGCATATGTCACCGGACATATTCTCGGGGGATGGTCAAGGACCTCGTCGAGTCATATATGCAATAAAGGCGATATGCTTGGGTTGCGGGTGGTGGCACTCGCATGGGTGCCACCTTCTGCACCACCCGCAACCCTGGCATGCAAGGCTCAGTCCAGTGGCATGATCGATCTTGAGCGAGTCATGCTGGAACGATTCGTCGAGTACGTTAAAATAACAGGTTGATGCCTGCGTGAATCGCAAGTGCGGGCTCTTTTGGAACCAATGACGAATATCATGAAGGACTACCCAGCTCTCGTTGCAACCGCTTTTGAAAAAAACTTTTCAAAATTCGGAGTCGATGATGTGCCTTCAGATATATCAGATAGCGCCTACTATCATGCCGTTGCATTTCCATTTCTCATGCCAAAGGATTTGGAGCTTGAGAAATTGGGAGTACGCCAGAGGCTCGCCAGAGGACCGTGAAGGTAAGACACAAATGATCGACCTCTGAAAGGCCCAGGGCGAAAGCCTAGGATCGCTTACTACTTGAGAGAGGCATGAAGACATTAAAATACATTGAGTCAATGTTGTTGGAAGTGATACTCAACGTACCAATTATTATTTTTAAAGCGGTTGGAAACATATCCGGAGGTCTTTCATACTCTTGCCCAAAAGCTCGTTGATAGCCTTTCTGATCCCGTTACCCGAAACCCCTAAAACCCCCCCCGGAAGACTTCGTCTCTTATCGCTAAAAACGGTCTGATCAACTACCGACGCCAGCTCAAGCTGCGAGCCCACGCCTTCCATGCTGGGCCTCGCCGCCAGGTCTAACCGCAGGGAAGCTAGCGCGACGTGGATGTTCTTTTGCGCTTCCTCCGCATCGTAGTCATTCCCGAGAGCCGGGTCGACCAATGTTTCCGGATTCTCCCGTCCCTAACCATACCCGTCGCCACTTTGAGGAGCCGCTCCACCACTCCCGAAGTCCGCTCTCGAGCTAGCATATCACTGGGCGCCCGCTAATCAGCTCCAACGAGAGTGGCACACAAAGCTTTACACACGAGTCACATCTTAGTACCCTAAGATGGCAATAGCCAGGAAGAAAGCAGCTCCAGCAACAACCCCACCAACATTAGGTCCAATCGGAGGGGATGGTATGTTGATGGCTTAGGAGCTTTTGAAGGAGGCGGTCGCGGGACAGCTTTACCTGGTGGGGCGATGTAACAACCGTTGCAACACAACTCCAGGTTTCCAGGATAAAAACTCCCCTTGTAACCGCTTGTGTGAAGGGATGGGGGTATTGGCCCGGAGAGGCTGTTGTTGGAGAGACGTAGACCTTGACTAGACAGTCTGCCAAGCCACTGGGGAATGGGCCCGGAGAGGTTGTTGTTGTCAAGGAAGAGGTAGTAAAGCTTGGTCAAGTTGCCAAGCTCCGGGGGGATGGGGCCGGAGAGGCTGTTGTTGGAAAGGTACAGGTACCCGACGTTGGTCAGATTGCCGAGTTCGGAGGGGATAGGGCCGGAGAGGCTGTTGTTCGAAAGGTAGAGGGTGTTGAGGTTGGTCAGGCTGCCGAGCTCCGGGGGGATGGGGCCGGAGAGGCTGTTGTTCGAAAGGTAGAGGTTGTAAAGCTTGGTCAGGTTGCCAAGCTCCGGGGGTATTGGGCCGGAAAGGTTGTTGTTGTCAAGGAAGAGGTGGTAGAGCTTAGTCACTAGGCTGCCGAGCTCCGAGGGGATGGGGCCGGAGAGGTTGTTGTTGTCAAGGATTAGCTGGCTGAGGTTGGTCAGCCTGCCAAGCTCTGGGGCCGGAGAGGCTGTTGTCGTCAAGAGCGAGGCCTTGAAGCTTGGTCAGGTTGCCGAGGTCAGGCGGAATGGATCCAGAAAGGTTGTTCGAACAGAGGAAGAGCTTGGTGAGTCTGGTCAGGCTGCCGAGCTCCGGGGGGATGGCACCCGAGAGTCTATTGTGATGAAGAACGAGGGTGGTGAGGTTGGTCAGGTTGCCAAGCTCTGGGGGGATGGGGCCAAAGAGGTTGGTGTAGGAGAGGTCCAAGGTGGTGAGGTCGGTCAGGCTGCCAAGCTCAGGAGGAATGGGACCAGAAAGGTTGTTCCTTGGGTCGGAACCAGAAAAGCCGTATTTAGGAGTGAGGTGGATCTGGGTAAGTTTGGTCGGCCTGCCGGGGGCCTGCCGAGCTCCGGGGGGATGGGGCCGGAGAGGCTATTGGGGGCGAGCTCCAAGTAAGTGAGGTTGGTCAGGTTGCCAAGCTCCGGGGGGATGGGCCCAGAGAGTCTATTCTCGGAGAGGGCCAAGAAGACGAGGTTGGTCAGGTTACCGAGCTCCGGGGGGATGGGCCCGGAGAGGTTGTGGTTGGAGAGGTCCAGGTAAGTGAGGTTGGTCAGGCTGCCGAGCTCGCGGGGGATGGGGCCCGACAGACTTTCACTAGCGTCGGAGTATCGGCGGAGACTAATCCTAGTTTGATTCCAAAGGGGCTCTGGAACCCGCCTGCCGATCTGCTCGATAGTCAACGAGTCGGCAACATTTATGAGCCCGCACCCAAAGAGGGTCACCAGGATCAGCACCCCCACACACGGAGTCCGTGCAACCATGGCCATGGACTGGTTTCAAGAATTAGGAGTCAACCTACAAAAGAAGACACTGCCAATCAAGTGGGGTTTGCTTGGCCATCAATAGTTCGAGGATGTTTTTGCAGAAGGTTTCTTTCTAGAGACTTCCATTATGACTCCCTGATGCAAAGCATCAATTGTTATTTCTGCCAGACAGACTGCAAATTATACAATCTTAAGCTAGACTCTGGCACCAGACAACCCCGAACAGAGGGACTCGGACAAAAGACCCTCGCCGAGCCGCCCTAAGCTTCCGACTCCTAAAGTTTGCTCATTGTGCCTCTTCTACACAAGCAGTGCTCAGCATGAAAAGCCTTCACAACACCAACCAATGAACTTGACAACATGTGACAGCAATACGGAGTTCCGAGCTGGCAGTATATAAAAGGGGCAAACTGTAAAACTCACCATTGAGTTTCCTGCACCAACCACCTTCTATGCATTCCTGCGCTGTTGCCTTCGATTGCGGAGGGGCCCGCCCAGCTCGTTCAACAATAACCACGAAAGCAGCCACACCGCACGAGGAGCGTTCAATTGTCAGAGTTTGCACATTTCTACCCAAGGGCCAGTCTCAGTACTGATCGTGCAAAGTTTCCACCACTGTTCCGATACTGCGGACTTTTTCTAGTAAACAATCCCAAAGCAGTTTTAACGAGTTCCTGATCGGGCCCGGGCGTCTCTCCACTGTGGGATTGACCGGACACGACCTTCCTGCCAGGCAATACGGAAATCCTTCTCCGAAAACTTAACGTTGGCCTAGAAATTCCGGTTTTGTCGGCACTTTTGGTCTATGATGCATTGAAAATTTGCCAAATGGCGATCATATGTAAGCGCCGGCGCCGCTTCCTTGACCTGCGCATTTATCTCGGGGGTCAAGTCCGTCTTGGCTCTGTGTCGGTCACCGGTGTGTGTAAAAACAGCTCGGGATGTCGGCATCATGACGACATGGTGCACGTTATGTCCACGTACATACATACCGTGGTTGACAAAGGTGCGTGGCTACGGTACGGTACTTCTAAGTTCTGCATATCATTTTCGCGAAAATGGCGTCATATACGCGACGAGTCTACCACACGAGCGCGAGTGGGTCGGCTTTTCTGCTCAGAGAAAAGGGTAGTCACTGGTCAGGAGTCAGGACTCAGCTGCCCTGGCTGAAAGGGAGACTTAGAAGTTGGTGGCTTGACGAAGGCAGGGGGGGGGGGGCAAGTAATGAGAGGTTGCGATTGTGGGATTGTGGCGATTTGTTGCCGTGGTACGGTGTGGACCTGATCGAGAAAGCTAGTACAAGTGGCGACTCAGTAATGACCCCTGCAGACATGTTCTCGCATGCCGCCATGATTCAATGCACGACAAATGCATCATGTTGATCTGACAGTGACTAGCACAGGCCGGTTCGATGTCACTGCACTATGTACCGTGGTACTGCATGATAATGTTCTCGATGATACATAAACATATCAATCACTAAACTTCGATTCGGAACAGCTAGAATGATCGTGCGGCGGCTTAGAATGGGGGCGGTGCATATTAGATCGGGTCCATTTACAGGTGCACCCAGTGGTCAGCATCATGCATTCATGAAAGCAGGATTAAAGGACAAGGTTTTCAAATATATGATCGTCTATGGACACGCGTATGCTGGCGTGTGCTGCGATTGTGTGTAAGCTGATGCATGCTTGTGCATATAGCTTAGGGTGCACGAAAAGAGATACATGCAGGCGCTGCGTGCTGGCAGGTTGCTACCCGGGCTTATACTTGTACAACCGCCTGGACGCAGTTGTTAAGGCGCAATTGACGCATGAAGATTCATAGATTCAGTAAGCTACGCAGTGCATTGGCATCCTCAACGTATGGATAAAAAGGGTCAGCAAATTGGCCGACACAAGCATACGACTTGCATGCTGTGCCCAATGGTGTGGTGCAGAACCTGGCACCTTACAACCTTTATGGACAAGACAAGTTGGGACCTTCTTAACTGTTCATAAGAACCTCTTGTCCAAAATTTACTATCATAAAGTGACACTGCCTGTCAACCCTCTGTTTCTGTGCCGCAGGTATCAACTTTAGTCAGGCTATATCTATCAAGGCCTAGATAGGCAACGCATGAGCTCTCTCCTACGCTGTTGCTAACAAAGTTAAACCTCCAACAATGGTAACAAACAACGCTACTATGCTCGCTTCGCAAAGGCTTGGAAGAAGTCCGCCATGGCCTGTATGGCCGTCCGGTCCATTCCCGCCAGCATCGACATGAAATTCATCGGGGCAGCGGCTGCAGGCGGCTGATGGTCAGCAGGCCGCGCCACCATTTGCAAGGCCTCAGGCTTTGCAGTGCTCCCAGCCTGGCCAGACCCGCTAAGCGGAGGCCCTGTTTCATTCGTTCCACTCTCTGCTACGTCCTCCCCACCTGGCGCCTGCCCCTTGCCCGCTTCTTGCCCCTCGCCATCTCCAACCGTGCTACAGAGTGTCGAACGTGGCAGCCCGCTCTCACTCAAACCCGGCTTGACACCACCCGCCAGCCCTGTCGGCGGATGCTCCCCATTCACAGGAACCAAACGTTTGCCTTCTTGCGCGGACTGGCTGCTCTTGACGGCTTCACCTCCCTTCGCTTCCCCAGTTCTCCGCTTCTTTCTCTTCTTGTTTTCCGGCCATGCGAACGAATCGGGCCAGACCTCCGCTTGCGGTGTGGACCCGTTTCCGGTGGCCTTCGGCGCCTCTACACTTGTTCCGCTCGGTGGTTCCGTTCCGCACTTGCGACCTGTTCCGGCCCGCTCCGGTTCCGCTCCGCTCGCATCTCTTCCGGACACCTCTGCCGAGCGACCCTTGTTCCGCACTCGCTGCAGCGCTCTCACAATCGCGTTCCGCTTGAAGGTGTTCGACAACGAAGCGCCGTTCCGCACCAATTGCCCGCCAATTGGCGCGGCGTACCGCCTGCCTGTGCCGGGACACGTGTCCTGCGTTGGGGGATCGTCTCCACCGGTTTGCCGTTCAATTCCATTGTCGAATGCTCTGCCCCCTGTCAGGGAAGAGTCCAACTCAACCCTCGCCCGCTTGCCCTCTGGCGGCGCCACACCCTCCTCTGGCGCAGCCCCGGAAAGGGATCCCCCTGCACCCTCGTCACTCTTCCGTTTCTTTTCTTCGGCAGCAACCGGTGCTTCGTCGTCAACAAACAGCTTCTTCTTGACCGCATCTTGACGCCCTTTTCCAGGGACTGGCAAGCAGGCTCCGCCTGCCGGGGATGCCTCAACCCGCTTGCGCTGCAGAGAGGCTGGAGTGCCCAAACCTTCCTTCCCAACGGGGCCCTTCTCTGCCGTCGTCTCGTCTGTTGTTCCGTCTTGCTCACCCTCCGCAACCTTCCCCTTCGAACCCTCTGCTGCATCCCCGTCTTCCCCCGGTCTCTCCTTCCCAGCCAAACCTTCTTCCACGTCCGACAAACTCCCCGGTTCACTTTCTTGACCTTCAAGGGGACCTGGGGGAGTGCCGCTTCCGTCGCGGCAGGGACTCTGCGCCCCCGGCGGACTCTCCCGGGCTCCCAAGCTGACAGCCGTGCCGTCGGCCTGAACCACAGGAGGATCTGTGGGCGGACCGTTTGACTCCGCCGGAAGACTCACTCGACGCCGGACCGCATCCCAAACGGCAGTGAGCGTTGCTCGAATTTCTGCAGTCGAGGCTCTGGGGACTTGCGACGGGCTGTTTTTTGTCAAGGGGCCCCCAGGCGAGTTGCCGACATCCGGCTTGACACCACCGGAAGCGCTAGCCTCCTGCGGCGACATTTTTGGAGATGCTCGCTCCTGCTTGACGTCAGCACGGGCCGCCTTCGGAGCAGCTTCGGTCGAAACACCCTCCGGTCTCCTGGTTTCCCAGGTTACTCCCGCCTCTCCGCTCTCCTCATCGTCACTATCCAGGTTAATGTAAACGGGCTTCTTACTCGGCGCCGCCTTATCAGCATCCAGGTCAACATACTCTCGCTTCTTGCCTCTGGTGGCCACTGCGCACTCTTGTTCCACTGTGCTGGTTCCCGGCTGCATTTTGCTTGCTTCTGCTTCCGCTGCGGAACCGGACACCGCTCCCGGTCTCTCAGGGGAGTCTCGGACTTTGGGCTTTCTTTCGGTCTTCACCCGCCAATCGATCTTCATGATGTCGTCCAGAATCGCCTCATCCTCGCTGTCCAAATCCGTGTCGCTGTCCACCTCTAGCTGCCGCCGTCCAGAACCGGCTCCGGCGTTCCGCTCGCCCCGTTCCATTCCGCTAGACCCTGCGCTTCTCTCCTCCTCCGGAGCCCTGACCTCCGCTCTCGCGTCTCGTTCCTGTTCCGTCCCGCCAGGCCTGGCGCTTCTTTCCTCCTCCGGAGCCCGGACTTCCGCTCGCACGTCTCGTTCCCGTTCCGTTCCGCTAGGCCCCGCGCTTCTCTCTTCCTCCGAAACCCTAGTTTGCTCTGTTGCGTCTTGCTCCTGCGGGGGGACAGACGGACCTGCCTCCGGGGGATCCCTCGCTCGTGCCTCAGCTTCTGCTCCCTGGGGACCGACACTCCCCTCAGAACCCTGCCCATCATTTACACCAGCTCCCCAAGACCGTTCCCTCCCGGTGTGAACAGGCTCTTCCCCGCTCCCCGCTTCTTCCGGAGCCTGCTCGTCCGCTCTCGTGTCTCGCTCCGGGGGCACCACAGAGGGACCTGCATCCGGGGGATCCCTCGCTGATGTCTCCGCTTCCGCTCCCCGGGTACGGTCGCCCTCTCCAGACTCCCTTCCGTCATTCACACCAGGCCCTCCTGCCCGTTCCTCCTCAGTGTGAACAGGCGCTTCCGCATCTCCCGCGACCAACCCTTCCCGAGCGCCTCTCCCTGCGTTTCCGGCTCTCGGGGGATCCCCCCGGTTCGAAGCACCCCGCTGCCGAGCGGTATTTGATCGTCGCCGGACGACTGGCACAGGGGCGGGCTCTGCTTCGGCACTGACCGGGACCTCGTAAGCGTCGGGGTCGACCACCGGGGGCGGCGGCAGCTTTTCCCACAGCCCCGACTGCTCCAGCTGGGCGACCTCCTCGGGTTCGACGGGCAGCTCTGGTCGCTGGAAACGCTCAAACTTGCGCTTGCGCTTTGCCTGAGTGAGAATAACAGTAAAGTCGGGCGCAGGAATGGGGGCTCCTCTTCAAATGAATTGAGTTACTCTTGGACACGAGTGCCGCGCACCGGGAACCCTAGAAAATACATTAAACGATGAGAAGGAAAGGGAAGGCTCGCCTAGAAGTCACTTGAGAGGAACTCAGAAGGTGTCCGCAAAGCCTCTTGAACCTGAACCATCCCGTCATTCAATAGTCCCCCCTCCTCCAGTTTCTTGGCATCGGCGCAAATGCATCCAGTCAGAAAGAGGCTTCTCGTTGAAACTGGGAGCCTGAAAGCCACATAATCAAGCATCGTGGGTCAACAGTTCTGACAAACGGAAGGATGTTCCATGACCTTAGCCGCCTCCTTTGCCGCCTTGACAACCCTCCAAGACTTTACTGATTGCCCAGCCTCAAGGGCAGATTGTTTCGACCTCCTTATTGCAAGCTCATACTCTTGGACAATCTACTGCCAAAATCCACAATCCTTGTAGAAGAACCCGGCTCACCTCCTTCCGAGGACCTCCCTGGGGCTTGTCCCCGACTGCCCTCGAGTCCTTTCCGTCCAGTCTCATTTTCATTGATATCAACCGACCCGGTGAAGGCCTCTGGATTCCTTGCTTTTACTGCCGAACGAACCGAAAACTCTGCCTTACGAACAAGCCGCCTCACCTCCTTCCGTGGACCTCCCCGGGGCTTATCACCGGGGGCCTTCGCGTCCTTCTTGTCCTGTCTCGTCTTCATGATCTCGCCCCACCCGGTGAGGTCTTCCGCCTCCTCCGGCGCGGCGGTTCCCGGCGGGTAGTCCGTCGGGAGGTCGTTGCTCTCGAGCCGCTGCAGGATCTCGGTGACGTCATCTAGGTCACGGATGTGCAGACCGATCACTTGGCGCCCATTTTCTGCACGGAAGAAAAGGGGTCGGTTGGTGAGGAGGTCGTTGCTCTCGAACGGTTGCAGGACCTCAATAACGTCATCTTGGTCACGGATGTGCAGCCCGATCACTCGACTCCCATTCTCTGCACGGCAAAAAAAAGGGTCTGGTGGGTCCAGCGGGGATCCAGGTTTGATTGGTTGAGGGTATAAGCTCCGGCTTCGGCGGCCTCGAACGGTCGGCATGAGCGCCTAGGAGCAGTAGATTTACCCCATCTTCCAAGTGCTTCTAACGGGCATCAAGCTTCCGAGACTTTCGTGGTGTTCAGATGCAGAGACTCCGCAAACGACCTTATGAACTGTGGACGAGTCTCATGGGCAACTCAAGACGACACCAGCAGGACTCTTGCATGATGGGGAGGCCAAGGAGCAGATTAGACTCTTCTTCTTAGATGTTCATTTGACGTTAGCACGTGACAAGAAGTCTAAGAAGATGGAGCGACACAGGACGGATCCCGAGATTGTTGAAAGTGTCCGAATTGCAGCACAAGCATATGCCCCTTTGACCGCACGTCCGTTCCGCTTCCTTCAAGTTTTGCCCCGGTTCACTCCGCTCCGTCCCAGCTTCCTTACCAGTTGTTTCTTTGATGCGGCAGATCTTGGTCATCTTCTTTCTACCCTTCGCCATCACATCTTGAACCAGAGGCCAGATGCATGTAAGCGAACCCGCCAGGAAATGCGCCTGCGCGCACGGATAACAAAGTCTGCTTTCAATTCGTGTCGATGGCAGAGTTTCTGGGTTTGTAGGGCCTGCAGCTATCTCCTTGTGACTGCAAAGCTCAGGCGAGCCGTCTTTCCAAATGTTCAACCGCCGGTTTTGTAATTTTGAACGCTCTTTGAAGGTTTCCCCACCTTTCTGCTGTATGATCTTCCCTGTCCGCGAAAACTGAAGCAAACGCTGTCAGCAGATTTCTCTGACGATTTGATCAACCGCATTCGATCCGTACGCGTGAAGCAGGCACGTGAGGCATGCCGCACCACAAAACGCTAAATCCAACCGCAGCCACCCTTCCAGTCAAGGAGATAAGAGGGTACTTCGCCGGTGCGTGCTCTGATGTCGCCAGTCGCCTAGGCAAAAACTTGACAAATATTTTTCCAGTTCAAACACAGCAAGCCTGGAGGTTAGAAGTCCCCACCATGGCAAATGTCACCGTTCTCAGCACTTCGGATCCAATCGCCACAACCCCCTTCTTCTCACCTCATCGATCCGGCCGGATGTCCCTCTTGCCGAAGCCCCGTGCGCATACTGCCTGACCCACTCCTGCTGGACCGCGTTCTGTTCGTATTCGTCGGGGTCGAAGTGCTTGACAAACTCGTACTTCTCCCGAAGTGCCGCCAGGTTCCATCCGGGGGGGTTGGCATTGTTCGGCCGCTGCAAGGAACCCGCAGAAAGCCTTTACCTGGCATGTACAGAGCTGTTCTAATGGCAAAGATTTACGAACAAGAGGCGTCAGCTTGTTTGGAATTCTCCGGAACTTCTAAAAACATGGTCTCGATTGGATGTATTCAAATATCTCTTTGCCGAGCACAAAATTGTATCAGCCAAGGCACCGTGTTAGCAACGTAACGGCATACAAAACAATGGAGGTTCTGATCGCCACAGTTCGGTACACGATCCCTGGGAAGTGGCAATCTTGCAACACCAGACAGACAATTAGGAAGGTGGCTTCTCTCGTTCGAAAACGCCACAGAGAGATCTCTTCTTCGCCCGCCCTTTTAAGTCACGAGTCCTCAAGCTTGATTCACATAGAAAGAGAAGGAAGCAATGGCGATGATTACTGACCATGAGACGGATGCGCGTCTTCTGCTTGACGCTCGTTGGTACTACTCGGCCCCTCGCCCCCTGCGCGAGGCGGTCCGCTTCACTCCCGGGGGGCAGCTCTGTCGCGAGCAGGATGAACTTCTCACCACCGAATTCTTTCTTGCTCCGCCAAAATCCATTGAAGTGCCCTGCAGCCAAGCAAATGTGAGCCGCATATCTTACTGACGAAGATCCGACGACCCTTCCCGACTTCATCTATTATCCTTAGCTCCAGCTTGGTACTACACTTGCGTGCCAGATGGAAAGCTTTCTCGTAACAGTCCGCGTTCGATCATAAGGCAAAACAAGACTTGCACAGGACTCTTCAACAAGAAATCCCACTTGAATACAAAATTCCCCGGACTCCTCACCTGGTTCCTCCTTGTAGTGCGCGATGGCCTTGTTCCAGTGGGCGCCCTTGTCCATCTTGAAGCGGTAGCAGAAGATTTCTGCGCCGTTTTCAGGGTGTGTGTAAACCACCTGCGGGTAAGAAAGAAGGGTTCAGCAGCAAGCATTGCAAGGCGCTTTGATATGAGCATATTCACACCACTTTCCAAAAGAGTCGCCGCTCGAGAACCGGAGCCGATTTTCAGTAGCTAAGAGTGCTGAGTATTTCAAATGCAAGCTCTTTCTCCTGTCAAAATAGACAGAATTTTCTTGCGTGCAGCATCTGCGTTGAACTTGCAACATTTTCGGAGATTCTGGAAGGCATTTCCAAATCGGGTGTACGAAGATGAAGTATCGATACAAAACGAGGAACAAGGAACCTTGAACCTTGAGGGAGCAGAACCTTCTTCAACCTCTTGCGGTAAGAAGCGAGCCGGCATCCAGCCTACTAAGCTGCGATTGCAATCAATAGTTAAGGAGCGGTTTGCAGGACGTGTTGGCAGTGCGTTCTTACAAGGCACTTTCAGAAAGGGGTAAGTCTCCAAGGGAAAGTTTCCGTTTCCTTGATGACGTTTCGGCAGCGGGTTCCCCGAGGGTGGTTTCGGAAAGGGTGGGTTCCTAATTCCGGATTTTGATGAGAACAGAAGGGGTTCCAGAGGGACGTTTGCCTCACTGTTGGGCCTTCGATAATCTCGACTGACTCGTAGTCCCTGCCCATCTGGCCAATCGCTTCCACGAACGTGCCGTTCTTCCGGGCCCTGGCAATTTCCGCGTCGACGTGCAGGCAGAAGAACTTGAAGAGACGGTTCTGCAAAGGAAAAGGCTTCGTCAGTCACGAGGTCCAAGAATTCTGTGTACGAAGCCCCCCTTTTCACGAATTGACGTGTCTCAGTCGGACACGGGTGATGATGTCGGTGCTTCTCTGATTCTCATATGGAGAATGGACATCGTGACGGAGAGCAGCAGTGCGCAAATTTGGTAGCTCGGACGCCATCACATGCCGTCTTCTTAGATTAGGCTGACGAGCTGAAAGCTCTCAAAGGAGTGCCTGAAAATAACACAATTAGGTCGTCGGCATCAGACAAAACTTGGCAGAAGGTGTTGGGCAACCATTCGGTTGAGAGCTGGTCGCGTCGATGCCGAGACCCTCCAGAGTGTGAACATGAAGCCAAAGCTTAAATACCTTCAAAACCTTTTCTTGTCGCCAATATCCTGCCAAATGTCCTCACCTGGCGCGCCGGCTGGACCCCCAGGATCCGATTCAGGAACCGCGAGACGGCGACCTTCTTGTTCTTCTTGCGCTCGAGCAGCTCCACCGCGCCCAGATCCTCGCGCATCTCTTGGTATACTGCGCGTGTGCGCTCCAAAAGCTGGTCGTCGGTAGGGTCCTCCGGGAACTCCTCCGCGAGCAAGTCGCGCATCATGTCTGTCGGGGCTGGGCGAGTCCAGCTTGCCGTCGATTGTCGTGACCTCCCTGTACGTTGAAGCTTGCAGCTTGGTTTTCGCTTGACCATTTTCTTGATTATTTGCATGATGTTTTGCATCATGTCCGGGCTCGGTGAGTCCAACTTGTCGTCGGTCGTTTGAGTACCCTGTGCGGTTTAACGCGCAGCTTAATGTCAGTTTGAGGGGTGACTTGACCACTTTTGAAATTGATATGCAGCTTCCATTTTCCTTGAAGGTTTGGCTTCCGATTGAGGGTTTCCGCGTCGTACATGCACCAACCGAAGAGGCAGTAGCGTTCAAAAAACCTTGTTGTATCAGAATATTTATATGCCTCCGTACGAAGCTCAGCAACCAGTGGCTCAGGACCTGTGAGCGAAGCCCACGAAAAAGAGAGCGGTCATCTTAGTCAACAAGACGAGGCAGCCATTAGCCAGAGCAGATCATGAAAGAACCTCGTCCAAAACCCCACTCAGATTAACCCTATGAGAAGCTCCAACGTCGTCTTGAACCCGCAAACCGTACTGCTTGTCTAAAGCAAGAGCAGACCGCAAGAGCAGACCCAATACTCGTAAAGAAAAGGAAGACGATAAAACTCAAACGCCCAGTCAGACGTACCCTCTGAGGAGCTCCAACATCGACTTGAGCCCGCTAACCCCGTACTGGTTGTCCAGGTCGAAGTCGACCATGTTTGAGATCACGGACCGCCGGTCGCCGTTTGTGTGCGCACCCAGGCTCTGCAGACGCTTCGCCACGGCTGATGCAGAGCGCTTCTCGCCCGCCACGTCTGACACCGTCAGGTGGTAGAACGGGGCGGAAACCTGAAAGGACAAAGTACGAAGTTGAAACATTAGAAGAGCTCGCATGCGGACTCTCGTTTGAGGACGTAGGGGTTTGGAAGTCCGCTTAGGAACTTTCAAAGCAAACCAAGTTAGCGGAGCGGTTTGAGCGGTTGTATCGTTGATGCGCAATAGTCCAATGTCTGGAAATGAAGAAGTGGGGCGCAAACATACGGTCTTGATTCAGCGGACGGCCTGCGGCTTGCAAACCGGAAGCTTCCAATGACGTGAGAATTTCCAAGTCGCATTTACCAGCAAACCTTCTGTTAGGAACGCTTCCCACAGTAACGCGAGGTTTTCGCATGGTCCTCACCTGGTTTGACCTGTGCGACCGGCCCAGCTGCTGAACGCATTTGTCTGCAAGAAACCAACAAATGGTTGCTCAAAAGAGACCCATCTGTATTCAAACTTTGGCCACAGCAACCTGTAGAAAGCGTTCCTTCTTCGGGATTAAGTTTTCACATATACTCTGTCTGCGAAGTCCGCTTTACGGAACGCCATCTCTGTTAGCAATAACTCTCCTGGACATCAGCCCTCAGCCGATCAACCACTCGGCAATGGACGAGGGACACTTTAAGAATCCTTTGAGCGTATATTCCGGGTTTGCTCGCCTTACCAGCTGACCACGGCAGCTCCAGCGTGATGTGGTGGCGACGGCGCACCTTGCCGGTGGCCGGGTCTACAGGGCAGTTCCTGTCCGCCTGCAAGAAGAAAGGTTCAGCTGTTTTCAGGTGGCAGGCCAACAAGCCTGCGACACGCCGGCATCAAGGAATAAAGGAAGAACAGGATGATGGCCCTCATGTTCGCTGTGCCTTCTAAGCGGAATCTTGGTTTCCTCATGCAGAAAAGGCGCTCCCTGCGGCAGCCGTTGATTGAGTGCGACGCATGCGGTCACTTAGTGAACTTCTGAACGCATGCCGCCGCACGTATGAGCTTCTCCACTTAAAAGTTGAACCTTCAGCTGAATATACGCGAGAAGCAACAGCAAAGGTCCATAAGCACAGCTGGAAAAGTAGAGTAACCGCAATTGCAAGTTGCCAGGTGTAAAAGGCCTCGCTTACAGGAGAACCGCCCCCCAGGATTCCTATCGTTGAATTCTGAAGAACGAAGGCTGTCGAGCTACCACGTAGTCCGCAGGTTCATCAGCTCATACAGCTCATACCGCCCACCTGGAGCGAGATGCCGGAGGAAGCAGCGTCACTGATGATGCAAACGAGCTTCTGGCCCTTCTGAAACAGGTCCCGCTCGTACAGGTTCACTTCGTCGGTGCTGCATCTCAGGTGCTCGGCGCGCGACTTGAGCGTCTTCTTCCCGTCCTCCAGGACGACCATCTGCTTGCGCCCCGTCAGCTCCGCCACTTTGTCGGGGCCGCCCAGCCTGAAGCGGTTTAGGTTTTGTCAGGAGCTTACTTTCGCAGAGTTGATCTCGAAGAAGGAAGTGATAAGAAGAACGGGTTGAAGAAGACAGTCGTCGGCGTTTCTGTCCGGAATGCTGTATAGAATGAGTATAGGGAAGCTACGGGAGAGCCGAGCACTTGCAAGAGACGAGGGGATGGCGCATTCACAAAGACGGAAGCGCACTGACGGGAAGCACCAGCTTTGTTCCGAGAAGAAAGACAAATAAGACGGCTTACAAATCAAACAAGGATCCATAAACTGGACAGCCTGACCAAATCACTTTGCGTCAAGAATTGAATAGGAGAAGATGAAAGACGCGAGACTTTCACGTATGAGAAAGCTCGTGAGAACAAGTTGCTAAAGCTTTCCTACCAACGCGCTGAATCTAAAACCTGCATAATCAACTCCGTATGTATAAGCAGAACGGCGAGCATAAGGACGTCTGGTCATCAAAACGTCAGCCAAAAAAGCCGCAACTCCGATCAGAAGCTTTTCGGAACTCAGAGGTCAAAAGTATCACATGTGCAGTTCCTCACCCGAGCTTAAGGTCGTCCAGCGGGTTGTCCGGCATGCCCAGCGCGTGCACCTCCTCCAGCAGCTCCTCCCGCTGCTCAAACAGCTCCGGCTTCTGTTCTCTCGCCCTCTCTAGATCCTTCTTCGCCACGGGGGGGAAGAGGTACGTCACCGCTGACGCCAGCAGCTGCTGGGGGGCCTTGTCCATCAGGTCTTCCTCCCCCCCGGCGCGCGCGAGATCCGTCCGCTCTTGGTACGCCTCCCCCGTGCCTTGCAGGCTCATAACCACCTGGTTTCCCGCCTCAACCAGGCTCTGGGTTAGCGCGACGATCCGCCCGGTTTTGCACGCGATACAGAGCATCTTGAAGAAACGCTGGTGGGCGCCCCAGTAGTACGGGCCACAATTGGACTTGGTGGCAAAGCCCGCCTCTTTGACGTCCTCCACTGCGGCCCGCATCTTGGCGAGCATTCGCTGGAAGAAACTCACGGCTTGTTCGTACGTCGCCACCTGCATGACCGCTTCGATTCTGTCTTAGACGCCGTAATCAACAAAGACGGGCATTTTGCTTTTTGTATGGCTTCTTCTGTTCCTATCAAAGATCGACAATTTGAATTGTCAAAGTTCCGAGGGGCAGATTGTCACTGCACAACCTCCACCTAAACGCCGTGTTCAGGCAAGGATCAGATCGAACCTGTTCTATTGGATGTACAATCCACCGCTTTATTTTGGAACCACCTCGTTCGGCCACAATCAGAACCCGTTTGATCAGACAGGAAGTGCAACTCGGCCCGCCGATCCACGCAAAAATTCGCCGAAGAGGACTGGTGACAGTTCGTCCTTCATGACGACAAATCTGCGTTACTTAAAAAGCAAAACCGTCCAAGATGTGCTGTTAAACTTGATGCTCATCCGCGCAAGAAGACGAACCTCACCTGCGCCTCTGTCAGGTTGAGCATCTTGATTTCGAACTGCGCGGGCGTCTCAGGGTGGCGGTAGGAGAGCTTAGGAACATGCCTCGCATCTTCATTTCCATGCACAGGATCTCCATGGCGCCCACCCCCCCTTGGGAGCACATCTTGAGCAGCGCGGGAAAGTCTTTGAGGCTCGCGCCCTGGCCCCATAGCCCCAGCCGAGGCATATACGCCAGGTGGTGGGGCTCGGTCACCGCCGTCGCCGACACGTACACCACCCTGCGAGAAACGGGTTCGCACATTCAGAAATTCCTTGAATGAGAACGCATTGGAGTTTGATGTGTAGTGACTTTGAGCTGGAATCGCTCGCACTCTCCGCAAAAACTGACGCCAGACGGGGCCAAATTCGAAAAAACTCGGCGCGAAATAGAGTCAGACCGGTGTTCATTGCGAGGTTTTGACGGAGTCGGGTCCTTTGACGGCCGTTCCTCCCTTAGGACGAGAGGAGCTGATACTCCTACCAATCCGGAGTTATTTGATTAGCAGGATTAGGCCTGAAATTAGGACTTAGCTATTGCTGGCCAGAGAATTCGTTCATGTTTCAGAGTAATCAATGCAAGAAACGCCCGTATGTTTTCACCATCCTTCATGCACGTTGCCCCAAGATGCTGCCCTAACAGTGACCGGGCTTGATGCAGAATTTGATGTTTACGGTGGCTGAATCTACCCTTTCTAACCTGGCCTTAGATAGCCTACGCTGCAGCTCGAAAACAGCTGCTGCGGTGATTGTACCCTTGACCAGCTTGTTTTTCCGGTTAATGTACTCTCCGTTCTTGGCCTTGTGCGCCTCGTCAAAAACAACTGCAGAAAGAAAGGTGGATCACATTCCTCCTGGGTCGCAAGCAGAGACGAGAATACTCAGTCACCGCCACAGCACAGAAGACACATCTTCCATCTGTCGAATGTTCTGCGAAAGTGCGAATTATCAACTTGAAATACTCGAATGCCACAGCCACATCCTTGTTTCCCCTGGCAGAGTATCACCATCTCTCCTGGAACAACCTTCGGAGTAGACTTGCCAAGTCTTGCAACAGTGTAGTTTCTGAGAGTTATCCAAGATTCTCCCCTTACTTCGACAACAGAAACTCGTTCCCCCGAATGAGATATAGTTTGATAGACAGACAACTTACGCAAGCCCTCAAAGTCCTCCCCTAACCAGTCCACAATCTGGTCGAGCCGACTGGTCCCATCGCTGGAGACTGAGACAAGCATCGTGTATGTGCTGAAGAGGACTCCGGAATCCATTGGGAGGTCTCCATATCCGTATTGGTCTAGTCTGTGAAGCTTCATGTACTTGAGGGCGCCAAGGTCTCCAATGTCGCGCTCTGCATCGTAGTGCAGGCCAGAGCTGGCAGAGAACCACACCGCCTGCAAAGCAAATCCATGAGATGCTGTCGGCTTATGCACAAACAGTCAGCTCAGCTGCATTGCCACTGACTTTTGAGCTGAAAAACATTCTATAGCTGGACCTGACTGACCACAGAAGTGATAGCGCGTAGGATTTCATTGTAGCATTGCAGCAGTCTTTGTCCGGGAAACAGAGGAGAGGCAGGCCTGCTAAGGACAAAGCTGGTAGGGAGGGCATACCAAGCTACTATGCCGAGCTGAGACGCTCCTGAATCTGAAGCTGCTCAGCAGCCAACTCGATCAGGAAGTATTGTTTACCATGTATCTGACCTCCTTCTTTGTGTTGAGGGGTTCGACCTGTCACAACATTGCACCTTCTCAATCTTCAGAGCAAGCTTACCTTTCTGTGTTCGCGTAACAAGAGCTCGTAGAGGAGACCCCCGATCTGGCGTCCTTTCCCCATGCCTGTAACCAACCATGACAATTCAAGCTTCCTGGATTGAAAACGTCTTACGCAGCATACTGATGCACTAAAAGTTCAATATTCAAATGTAGCACATACTGGGGAATTGCAGAGATAAAAACAGGTTTCATATTGCTTCCATAGACACAACTTCTTTATGTTTCCTCACCTGCTCCGTCCCCTAGGAAAAATCCTTGCCTGCTTCCATCCGGCAGGAGCCCCTGAAAGCGCTGACATGCCATGAGGACAGTCTCAAGCTGCAACTGAGAAAGCCTGCGGCACATGACCTCTGTAGGCAGCCCTGCTTTGTATGTGCAGGCAGGCTGAGGGATGGACGCGAGAGTAGCGCAGATGTCAACAAAGGCTGCAAAAGCACAGAGACTGGGCGTAAGCGGGTAAACATTTTCATCCTTGGAAGAGACGTGAGGATTGGCAAAGGGTTAAAGGTCAAACGAGAGCGTTTTACATGGATAAGAAGGATTGACTCTGGCATGCTTACAATCGACACAATTCCAGATATGATGAAGTCAACAAAACTTGCAAAGAGGTGCAAACAGTGAATCACACTAGAACAGGAATCAGACAAGTATGAGTGAAGTGGAACCAGAACAGAATACACAGGGTCACCAAAAGTTTCCAATGATCTGAACTGGTCTTCATGTGCAAGCAATGTTGGCTGAACCTGTGTGAAAAGATCTGCAGGATTCGAAGCGGAGTGTTCCCCCTAGGTCCAGCCAACCAAGCTTTTGTCAACATTCCAAAGCTTAAGGTCCACAACTGCATACCTGGATGAGGGTTGCCAACCCCAACAAGACCAGGATTGTAGGAGCAGAACTGCAAAGACCAAGTCAGGCGTCAATGAAGTAGATTTAAGATGAGACTTGTCATGCAGATACTCCGCTGGCAAAACTGGTGAGATCGCTGCTTAGTTCAATTGACGTTGGTTCGAACAGATTCTGAGTGTAAGCTAGCGCAATGCCTGACGAGTGGACCCAAACCTGCATATGTATCTGGATGCGTGCTGCATACTACACTTCAGAGTAAGGGAACCCTGTAATACGCCTCTGAGCACAACCACAAGTGCCACCTATAAAATGGAACTGAAATAAGGAATCTTCAAAGTCAATGCTGCATGGATGCCATGACCACTAGTACAGGATGCAGATGGCTCAAATAAGTACGTGCATCATTCTCGGCGGCTACCTTCATTTTGAACTGCCATGTATTCACTGTTAGCCTGGAATCGCTTGCATTTGAGAATGAGTGCATCTTTGTTAGTCTGCAACAAAGTGGATAGCCTTGCCAGGTCCAAAGGCAGAGAACATCTTTGTTTACTTCAAACTCCAGCAGCTTCACACACCGTTTCTCCCAGCGCTGTATCCAAGCCATCATCTCCTTCATCCTCATGCTCACGCTCCCTTTCGGCCCCCGCTCCTGGCACATTTCTAGTGGGAAACTGCGACACAATCTCTCTAACAAGCTGCCACTGTGCACCACTCAGATTGTCAAAAGTCATCTGGACCTCTCTCAGCAGCTGGCCCGCTGACTTCTGACCTTCCTCAACCGTTGCATGGAGGAATTGCAGCACGCGCTCCCTCAAGGGTGCCATTGCAGCGAAGTGCTGCTATGTGACTTACACAGGTAGCATTACAGCTTAACACCTGCCAAGTACGCTCTACAGTTGTGTCGATCGGCATCTATCCGGCAGCTCTTTTGCTAGGTGTCGCTGGCGCAACAACGACAGGGACATAGTACAAGCATAGCAAATATGATACGGGGCGTTCGAATTGTCATGAATCAAGCGGACAGCAACTCAACAATTTCTGCATAAAGGCCATCATTGTTGCTGCTCGTCACCAGCCTCGAACATCAATCTGCACAATCGCCTCTAGAAGGCTCCTTCCTCAGGCTCACCCTCTCCTTGCCAGCTTTTGATGTTGAAGACCAGCACTGCAGCAGCTCAGCTCAGCAGCTCAGCTCAGTTGCAACTTGCTGCCTTTTAATTTTGATTTCTTGAACATCTAGCACGCAAATTTGGCGGGAATCTGCAAATCGAACGGCTATCATATGGCTGAGCCAGGCTGAGCCACGGTTGCGCGACTCGCACGTGTCACGACGAGTTGTCATTGGCATTTTACTGGAAAGGTTGCGTTCATTGCGAAACTAGAGACATGTGAAAACTTCCCTGCTAGAAGCAGGCCAAAGTGGCTGATCGCTTTTAAACTTAAAGTTTTCAGGGTTATTTAGGGCTTGCTGGCGCTGGCTCTTGCGCGCACCACCTTTGATTTCCTGTGTCAGCAGGCCAATGTTGTGTGCTTGAAGGAGGGTGGCTACGTAAATGGGTGCGATGGCGGCAGTACGCCCTAAGGCGGCCTCCATGCTGAAATGGTCGTCGTGTCGTGATGCGGTCATAGGGATCAATCGTACCACAGCAGCATCAGCATTTGCTGGTAGCAAGGAGGGTCCTTCCTCATCTTGCTGCCAGCCTGAAGTGTCGACGTCGTATTCTGAAGGACACCTATGGTCGAGAGAAGCCCCTGCCTCAGAACGTCCAAGTGCAAAGTCGGTCGCAACATCTCCTGCGGTGTTCCGGACAGAGCTCCTACCCAGAGGTCTAGTATTTCACAAGCTGGCGGGGCATAGGGTTTCGAGCCTGCTGCGGATATATCCTGTTGGGGCGGTCGCTTGCGAGCGGGGATTCTTTACAACATCTTGCTCCCAGGATGGGTAGGTGGATATCTGGTTGTGTTGGTGGTTGACGATTCGTGATTGGCAGATTCTCTGATTAGAAGACTCTGATCGCTTGATGCGAATGCTGTAATCCTTAGTTTTCTAATCTGACATATTCTTGTGTGGAGCACCACCAAACATCAATCTATTGAGACAGCCAGTGTGGAAACCGACAAAGTGGTGGGTGTTTGGAAGGTCATGACTTTACTTTGAGTCATATGTTTCACCTTGATAGCGGTCTGAAATTAAATCACTTTCCATTAAGAATCAACAGTGAAGAATCAACAGTGATTTGAAAGCGCTGAAAGCTGGAGTCAGTCACGGTAGTACTGTGACTGGTTTGTCTGGTTCTGAGTCCATTGCGCAAGAAGTTCTGGGTTTGTGTGCGAGCCAAATCCGCGCCAAGTAACATGAGGAGCAAGATTGCACCGCAAAGTGAGGCAGATCTTTCGAGTTGTTCCATAGTGCAAGATCTGTGTGAGAAGCAATTACAAGAGTATGCTTGAAAGTCTGCGGAGTTCCAAGGTAGCAGATTACCCCGCAAAGAACACCTGTTTTGAGCAAAAGGTTCAACTACGAAATACATGAGTTTTTGCGCCTGATTATGTTTGTCATCCTTGCTCGCACGCAGGGTGTCCGGAGGAGGTGAGGCCTCCGCTGTCGCAGTCACCTCATCCGCTCCCCCAGCTCCAATAATTGCAGAAGCCTCTACCTCAGGTGCGTCAATGCTGTCACCATGGTCTAGGAAGAAAGAGAGAGGAACAGAGGAGAGGAAGGTACGAAAAGTTGGTTGGCTTGGCTTAAGGAAGAGGAAGTGAACCCAAGGAAGGGAGAAGGAGTGCAAAAGGACGACAGCTTGTCAAGGAGGGACGAAAAAGGAAACATGGGGGAGATGGAAAGCAAAGGTGCAAAGATTGGCTGCTGAAGCATACTGTTCGCTCATGAACCCAGCTTTTGAAGTAGACAGTCACAGTGGTAAACTCTCGTGTCATTTGAAAAGTCTATGTACACACTTCGTGTGCGGTTCTACAGATGGTGAGGTTTATTCTGGATACTGACGTCTCTGGCATAGGATGCCCTGTTGGCTGGTCGACACACGAGGCAACATCGAATATTGGTTAAGTCCTTGAAACCAGGCTCACAGCTGCAGAACCGATCAAGCTTTGCCCGACCCCCCTTGTGCAGGCGAGAGGTTAGGGCACGGACATGACACCCCGCTAGGTGCTTGAAACGCGGGACCGCATCGAGCAGGCGGCCCACAAGGAATTATGCAGTCAGTTCTGAATCCTTGTTACCAAGTGTGAACTACCAAGTCGCTTTCAGTACCTCTCCAACCCCCTTGTGCAGACAAAAGCTTGGGAACGGATATGACCCCCCCGCCAGGTGGTCGACGCGCTCGATTGTTTCATCGTGGGGCAAGCGAACGCAAACTGGGCGGTTTTTAGTACCACTGCAAATCCTCTAGACCAAGTTGAACAAAGTACGGTAGAGTTCTCAGAATTTCGAGCTTTCTCGAATCTCTTAAGGCTAAAACAAACAGCACCTGCGCAATTTTCATGTTCTGTCTTCCCCCCCTGATGCAGACGAAAGCTTGGGCACGGACATGACCCCCCGCCAAGTGGTCGATGCGCTAGACCGTTTCATCGTGGGGCAAGCGGACGCGAAGCGGGCGGTCGCGGTGGCGCTTCGGAACCGGTGGCGGCGGCACAAGATCCCGAGCCCCATGAAGGAGGAGATTGTGCCGAAGAACATTCTCATGATCGGGCCGACGGGGTGCGGGAAGACGGAGATCGCGCGGCGGCTGGCAAAACTGGCGGACGCGCCGTTTGTGAAGGTGGGTCTGCGCATGCGGTCTGAATAGGACGAGGTTTCGAGTTTGTGAATTCTGACGAAGTACTGTAGGAATTTGGACTCGGATTGAAACTACATCAGTATCTGGAATGGGGAAGATTGAGGAGGGGATCGCGCAGCGGCTGGCCAAGCTGGCGGATGCGCCGTTTGTCAAGGTGATTCCGTGCGTGTGTGCAAATTCCCATGGGAATTGTAATCCATCAAGCGTTGGAGCATTTGCGTCTAAGACATCTGTAGGAACTTGGACACAGTTCGTCAAGGATTTCGGGTTCGAAAAGTTGGAGAAGCGGGGTGGCGCATGCGCTTGTTGTTGAGGAGGTGAACGCACAGGCGGATCCTGCTGTTCAGATCTGTGGGCCTTTTGCACCGCATAAATTGAATGGACCGGGGGATACGAGGTGGGTAGCCAGTTTCAAGACGCGCAAGTCTTTGTGTTGACCTCCTCCCGGGCTTCGAAGAACGGTCTCGTTGCTTGTAGCCGTTAAAAGGCATGCCTTTGGTGCAGCCTCCGAAAGTATTGGTGGCAGAAGGATAGACTCGCCAGCTGGCAAATAAGGACTATATTGTGAGGTTATTCGAGAGCAACGGCCTGAGCATCATTCAAACCCACCGGCAATTCCTCACGCAAGCAGCTCGTTGGTAGTAAATGTGCCAATGGCTACGGGGCTAATGTTGGTCTTGCCCTCTTTCTTCTACAGGTAGAGGCGACGAAGTTCACGGAGGTTGGTTTCCATGGGCGGGACGTCGATCAGATCATCCGGGACTTGGTAGAGGCGGCAATCACGCTGCAGAAGCAAAAGGTTCGTTCCAACTTATTGCACCATCCAATTGAGGCTTCGTGATTACAAAGGCATGACCAGAGGTCTCCACAGTTTTCCTACCGTCGAGTCATCCGGGACCAGATCTCCGGTCGCTCCTCGCCGCTCACTTCATGAACAGGTATTTGGGACTGAGAGAAAAGCGTTCAAGCAGTTCACGATATCGCATTGCCTTTTCACAGGGGAAAAGCGCGCCTTTGCAGTACCGTATAAGAAGCTACGAGGTCTTGAAGCGGGTGCCAGAGAGGGTCATGCTTGTTGTGTACCACTGGAAGCTGGAAATGCGGAAGACCCTGGAACACTTACAGTCAAATAACTGCTAAGTTTGAAGGAGCGTCCAAGCAAGTTCGGTTCCGTTTGGGGGTGCTAGAAACGCCAACGGAAGTTGTCCGAGGTGGGAAAACCCTTGGAATGCAACAAAGAGCGAATCAATCATGCTCGGAAGCGGTTGCATGAACTCATGAAGGTTCAGAACCTGTATTTCCTATCTGAAGAAGCGCCAATTTCAGTTCCGTTCCGTTTTGGGTGTGCCAGGTACGGCAACGGATTCTGTCGGAGGTAGAGGCGGGCGTGGAGGAGAAGCTGCTTGACCTGTTAGTGGGCGAGAAGGTCGGGGACGCGGCAGACGATCGGCGAACGCGGGACACGTAAGTTCGATGCGTTTTCAGATTACTGCGTCTTCGGCATGTCGTAGTACCCCTGGCGCTGCGCATCTTCGCTGTTACACTCGAACGTCAGGGAGATGATTTCGCACCATGTATTGAAGAAAATGTATCACATAACTTCAGGGTGTTCGGGTCCCGAGACTGTTCAGGAACTCAGTCGTGGCGGCAATGAAGGCTGAGGTTGCGAGCAATTTCTGAGCAATTTCTCTCACGAAAAATATCGAGATTGCCGTACAATAGCAGATTCTCAGACCCTTCTCTCCTCTACCTCTAGCGAGCCGGTCGGAATGGTCGCTTCTGATTTTTAGAGCTGCTTGTAAGGACACCTCGACCGCTCCACATGCCCTCTCCCTCAGAGCTTGTTCTCTTGGATTGTCCGCGACAAATATCCTGACCTCCGCGCAGCCATTCGCTGCTATCCTCCATATACATCGGTCTTTGAGGCGGATTACTACGGGTTGCTTTCGGAAGCGTTCCTACCGAGAACCTTGAACTAAGAACTTCCATTACGACGAAGCAACGGCGTTTTGTTCTGCAGGATACGGGCCTTGTTGCGGGCAGGGAAGATGGAAAACAAGACCGTGGACATCAACCTTCCCGCAGGGGGGATGCGGATGGCTCTGGACAATGCTGGGGCCGGGGGCCTCCAGCCAATCATGCTGCACGATTTAATAGTCAGGGTGAGCAAGGATGATTTGATTTGAGCGGGGCCTCTTGAAGCTACAAGGCTGCTGGTAGTTTTGAGTCTTGAATTGTATGTATTGGGTATCCCGCTAATATTTTGTAGGTGAAATTTGAGGTGCTTTTGGAGCGGGTTCAATTGCAAAGGAGAAAAGTTTGAGTGCGAGAGAACGAGATTGCAAGCATCTTACAAGTTGAGCCTTGTTTAAGAAATCTCTTGATCGATTATATGATTAGAAGGACGACGTTCTTCTTACTGCGCCAGTTTGAGCTGTGAGCCGTAGGTTACTTCCAACTTTCCAGGCTTCTGTATGCTCTTTTTTCCTTCTTTTACTTCTTCTTTCCTCCTCTGATGAAGAGTACACTACTGAGAAGCCGCGTCGAATAGTGCAAATCTGGCACAGTGTGCAGAAAATTGTAAGAAAAGTAGGTGACCCCGGCTTATATCAAAACCACGTCATTTCCAATGCTCATGTTTAGGTGGAACACGCTGTTTAAATTGAACAAGGAGAAGCAGCGCATCACGATGACTGATGCGCGGATCATTGGACAAAGCAAAGCACGGGAGGATGGTGTAAGAAGCAACTATTGTTAATTACTACGATTCCCAAAAATCAATGTCAGTTCATCTACAGATTTACACGACGTTCAATTCGAACAGGAGAAGTAGCGCATGACGGTGGCCGACGCGAGGACCGTCAGACTCAAAGAAATGTTTGCTTGTAAATAAAAATGACGAGATAATTATACCTTTGCCTATCGCATTTACAGGTGGACAAGATGTTCAAGTCGAACAAGGAGAAGCAGCGCATGACGGTGGCGGACGCCCGGACCAAAGCAAATCACCTGCGGATGGGTAAGGACGAACACATGTAATTTTATGTTTTAAAAAAATAAATGTTAAATACATCTACAGGTGGACAAGATGTTCAAGTCGAACAAGGAGAAGCAGCGCATGACGGTGGCCGACGCGCGGACCGCCCTCCAGGAGGTGGAACTAGAGAAGCACCTAAATTCGGACCAGATCACGAAGGACGCGGTCCAATCCGCGGAGGCGGACGGCATCGTGTTCATTGACGAGATCGACAAGATCGTGATCAGCAGTGACACGAGATACGGGGCGGATGCGAGTTCGGAGGGGGTGCAACGGGACTTGTTGCCAATTATCGAGGGCAGGTGAGAGGGGGAGCTTCTTTGATTGAACTCAAAGATAATGACAATAAGCCGAGATAGTAATAAGGTACCCGCACTGGGACGGGTATGGTTACTTTGGTGGTTAGGGTGGGAATGGGTGCGGAGCAGGTATCCTTTTGGGTTAGGATTTCTTGTGTTTATTGGAGCTTATCATAGTCTTGGCTCATCAAGATCTTTCTTGAGCGTTATGCTTCTTTGGGGGGGCTTCGTTGAAGTCCACCTATTTCCAACCGAGAGTAGCTGCCCATCATTGAGGGCATGTGAAGGGCGGAGCTTCTCCGTCTTCGAACACATGCAGCGAAGAGGGGAGCCCACCCGTACGTGGGATAGATGGGTTTGATCTGGTGGGAAGACTCAGCGTCTCTCCCTTCTTTTACTGCAGATGACAAAGGAGCAGGGACGTTGTCTTCCATGTAATCAGATTGCACTTTTCGTAGCCTGTGGATACCTCCCCTCGTCATGCCTGTTCCAAGCGAAGTCTCCTGGAGACAAGGCAATTCGTGTGATTCTCAATACAAGCCCAAGAGCCCATACTTGTCTGTAGCCTATAGATACCGTCCCCTCTCTTTGCCTTTTTCTTGCGGAGTCTCCCGGCGACCAAGTAAAAGGTCCAAAGTTCAATAGAAGCCCACCATCTCTGCCCGTACTTATCTGCTAGCCACACTAACCTTTTATATCTGATCGACATTCTCCCCTCTCTTCTATCGACTCCGGTCATTTGACCAGGCAAAGACAGACTGAGAATCTTTTTCCACGCACTCTGCATCGAAACCCACCTTGATTCACAGGCCAAGCCCACCAGTCCCCAAGGTTGATATGTCATACATATAGCATGTTATTCGTAGAACTGAACCTTTCTCAATTTCTCGCAGCGTGGTGGCGACCAAGTACGGGAACGTGAGCACGGACCACATTCTGTTTGTGTGTAGCGGCGCGTTCCACTCGTGCAAGCCGAGCGACATGCTGGCGGAGCTACAAGGCAGGCTACCAATCCGAGTCGAGCTCAAGGGTCTCACGCGAGATGTGAGTCCTGAGGTTTAGGATTTTGAATTTTAGGGTTCCAGAGTACTCGGTTATGTTGGTGATTGAAGGTTTGGATTCTAGGGCCGACTGCTTAATGGGTGTTGACCCTTTTTCAGAAACTTGGTAACGCGCTGTCCGAGCGAGTTTAGGAAGCAGCAGCACGGGTTTGGGTTTTGGAGTTTTTGTTGTTTTGAATTTTCAAGAGTGAATGTTACTCCGTCCCGTTTCGCCAGGACCTGTACCGCATCCTGACGGAACCGCAAGCGAACATGGTGAAGCAGCAGCAGCAGATGACATCACGCTCACGATGTAAACACCGGTTCTGATCCGTTTCCGCAGGACCTGTACCGCATCCTGACGGAACCGGAAGCGAACATGGTGAAGCAGCAGCAGATGCTCATGGCCACGGAAGACATCACGCTGGCGCTCCTGTAACTGATAGTATTTCGATTCCGTTTCCGTAGGACCTGTACCGCATCCTGACGGAACCAGAAGCGAACATGGTGAAGCAGCAGCAAATGCTCATGGCCACGGAAGACATCACGCTGACGTTTTCGGAGGACGCCATCGACGAGATCGCGACCGTCGCGGCGGAGGTCAACAAATCGCTCGACAACATTGGCGCGCGGCGGCTGCACACGGTGAGTTGATGAGCAACCCGCTGGTGCATGACCAGTTCTCGATGTGCTACGTCCTTGCCGGCGGCGCAGGCAGCACGCTACGGCGCGACCCCAATGGACGCTACCTATCGTTTGGCGGCGACGGCGGCGCCTTTAGCGACAGCAGCACGCGCGCCGTTGTATAGGACATCAGGGCATGTGAAACTTGGGACCCGGGGTTCGGGGTCCGGTTTTTGGGTTCTGGGGTTTGGGATTTGAGGTTTGGGATCTGGGGTTTGAGTTTCGAGGTCTGTATCTCGAGGTTTGAGCAAGACGCCATCAACGAGATTGCGACTGTCGCAACGGAGGTTAACCGCTCGCTCGACAATTTCGACGCGCGGCCGCTGCACACAGTAAGTCCGACATCACACCTAGGGCTTTTAACCTGTGGCTTATGGGGCGCTTTTCTCCTTGCGGGCAAGCCTTCGACGAGATTGCGTCTATTGCAGTGTGCTGGCTTTCCTGCTCACCAATGTTGGCAGCCGGCGATTGCAAATCCGAGCCCAGTCGTATAGCGTTTCTTTTCTGCGTTTTTCTGCTCTTTCTGCATTATTACTACGCCCTTCTTTTGTTTCTTGCACTTCTTGGCCTTGTCAATCTTTCCCGTCTCTCTGTCATCCTCTCTTAAAGTGCCTTGTTACTTCTTTCTACCCGTAAAGGTAATTGCGTTTCTGGTTACGATGTGTCCCTCGAGTCATACCGACTTCATTTCTGCAGCCGTTGCATGTACAGGATTACGTCAAGCTCCTCTTTTCGACGGGCGTCAGAGTTTCAAGCCATTGATCGGCTCGCTCTGATGATGATTTTGGTTAAATCGGTTGAGCAATTGAAAATTCAAAGTGCTGTTTGGCATTTGAGAATCGAAAAGGCTCGAAAGCCTGGATGCTTGAAGCCCCCGGTCTGATGGTTCTCCGTGCGACATAAGCCCCAGTGACCTGAATGAGAAGGGGAGAACCTTGGAGATTCAGGTCTAGGCTCGCACTTCTGACGCTGTGTGATGACATAGATGCGAGTTTTTGGTGGTGGGTCGTCGGATGCCCTTCGGCTAAGCCGTTGGGCCACTTCTTTTAAATGCGTATCGTAATACTCCCCTTTAGCTCCCGCCTTTGTGCGCTTCTTTTCTGATTTGGGTACCCCCGGGCCGATGGTCCTCGCTTTTTCACAAAGAAGTCGAGAATTTGTACGGCGGACGAAAGCTGAAGCAGTTGTGCAGGTATCCCCGAGCGTGCTTTTTACCCTCGTTCCAGAGGCTCGGATCGACGAGTCTTCATCAGGAATTTTCCGAGTGCTCTTCTGGATTGTCAAACCCTACAACCCCTGACCTGTGGTAAATTTGGGAGCAACACAGGTTATCGCCACACCAGACGAGTTTCATAACCCGTTCGCTTCTTCCTTTCACAGATCATCGAACGAGTAGTGGAAGACATTAGCTTCAACGCACCCGACAGGGCGGGTCAAGAGTGGGTCATCACGAGAGAGGTCAGCTAACCCTTTTTGTTAGCAGATAGGCAGACGAGCAGCCTAGCAGCCTCCACTTCTCGGCGCTGCTCACTCGGAGGTCAGATAGTAAATTAGATAAAACAGATTCGTGGATTGACAGTGTCTACGAGATCGACATTTCAATCTGAAAAAGTCACGGTTTCAAAAGATCGCGGTTAAGAGGTGGCATGCGCGATAACCGCTGTCCAGCACAGAGGTTTGAAGCGGGAATTAGGAAGTCAGCTGGGCACCTGTGACTTTTGTTTGTCGGTTGGTCATCCAGGTTGCGCTGTGTAGATTGATCCGTCCGCTATCGGATGGTGGCGTTGTCGTTCGTTGTGTCGTTGGCGCTCAGGGTTTTTTGAATCTGGGTCGCAATAGCAACTCTTGCGGCCTCGTACAAAATAACTTTGTTCTTTGCCAAACCGGTTCACTTTTCTTGGCGAAGCTTGCTCGTACTGACGCATTGTTGTCTGATCCTATTGCAGGACGTCCAAAAAACCGTCGGCGACTTGTTGCACAAAGCGGACTTCTCCAAATTCGTCCTATAAGCACGCTCAGTCTCATGCAGGCATCGGCCCTGATAAAGCAAGGGTCTAAATCTATTTCCCTGCGTACACTTTTCAACAATGAACTCAGTTCCTGCTGGCGAAACCAGGCTGCTGGGGCCCTCGCTTATTTTCGCATTCCCCGCGACCATACTGTGATGAATGGCGGTTCAACTGATCCATAAGTATCTGCAATAGCTGCACACCGGCCCATGCTTTTGATCACCTTTTGATATGAACGGGCTATAAGAGAAGTGTCCATAGCATTGCCAAGTGAAACTCCCAGGATTTGGTAGAGTATCATTGCAGCTGTCCGATGTTTATTCCTACTACTGATCATCTGCAGACTCGATTCAGAGCATGGAGCACGTTGTGTGTCAGGGATCGAGGGATCCTTTGCATTTACGGACGTGTCGGGACTCGGACAGCCGCCGCCGTTCAACGAGTTGCACCCTAGCTCAATCATTCAGGACAGGGTGTCCACGTGACGCACATGGTTGTGGGGCTGATACTTTTGTCAGGTCGAGTCGCTTTCGGCCAATAAGAAGGGAGTTTCGTACGACCAAGAAGATATGCGGCGATCGGGCTCGTTCCGGAATCCGGATGCTGAAAGGAGGAACCGGGTTGATTTTTACAGCTTTTTTTTGTATACCGGTATTGCACACACACAGAAAGATCATTGGAAGGTGTACCCAAACAGTACGCGGCCCGTCTTTGACATACCTAGGTAGCTTGCGGGGCGGGCAACTAATAACAGTATGCCTACCCGAATCAGACTGTACCCGGGATATCAAAAACCCTTGACGAGCTGATTTTAGGGCGACAGCGTGGCATTTACTTGCTTGATACTGCCCCGGTTGTGGGTTTAGACGAGTAATTCTAGCTTGGGAAAGTTTGCAGAGATTCTGTCAGTGTGTGAGCACACAGGCGGATGTCGAAATGTCGTTTTGAGTGTCTTTGATTGATTCTTGCTGGAGCCTGGCAGTGATACTCTTGCTTGGATTTTTCCAAGTCCTCAGAATCTCGGTGCGTTTTTGATTCAACGAGTTGCCTTTTAAAGGCTTCTGTTCCGTGCTGAGCACTGCATGTGTGGTCCAATCAGTGACACAGAAGCACCCCAAATTTTTGTTATCAGCAGAAACAGAGTGCTCGGCTTCAAAGAAAGAGGCAGTGAACCGAGTCTTCTCGGAGAAAAGAAGACGACGTTTGATCAGCGGATGAATCAATAATCGTCTGAGGGGGCGGAAGCTGAGTTCGGGCAGTTGGCGGCTTTTTGGAAGCGCGGCATTGGGAGCGCGGCATCGGAGAGTCCAGTGATCTAGTTTTGAGCTGCGGGTGAGTGCTCTTCTCAACCTGAGCTTGGCAAATTCTTCCTCTTCTCTGAGCTTTCTCCTCGTTGATTTGCCTTAGGGACGTATCTTTTCTATCTGTACAGAGTTGGAGTGCAAAGATTGACATTGTCAGGCCATGACAAACTAAAGGAGTCCAAGGTGACAAAGCGATGCAGCCATGCATCAGGCAGCAATAAGGCATGTGATTGCAGTGCCGCAATAGATGGCAGCTTTTCGTTACCAAAAAGTGTGGGCATTTGTATTCTCTGTTGGGGCTTGGTATGTGGAGAATGATCTGGAAGACGAAAGTGAGGCACTGCATTCTGAGAACCGAGCTTTTTGAGAAGGGCAACACCCGAATCCAGCTAATCAAAGGCGGGGAAAAGCGCCTCACTCCGATTTGTCACTGGCCTGCACCTTAAGAAGAGCAAAGGGCTTGAAGCTTGCAAAGATGTGCTGAGGGTTCGAAAAGTGCAGTTGAGTCAGCTTGGGTTTAGCCCCTTGGTTAGACGATAGGCAATTGCTTGATCTGGGCTCACCCCGCTATGCTTAACCCAGTCATAAGTCTGCTGGAATGGACTGCAGCTGGGGGACTTCTGAGTCTGCCCAAAGTTGTCTACTTAGCCAATGAAACTGGTCGCTCAATTCCCTGGGAGGTAGAATACCGAGTGATTGTCCGTATGGACCAAGGCAGATGCGGAATGTATTGGAGTGGAATCTGTGGAACTTTTGAGAAAGAGCAAGAGCTTAAGACTGCCCTGGTGTGACTCATCAGCACTCATTCTCGCTGCCTGGTTTCTGACACTAATTAGCGAGGCCAATTCTCTTGTTGTGAGTGGGGCATAAGCAATGGGGAGCTTTCAAGCTGGTTGTGGGGAGCTTTCAAGCTGGTTGAGGAGTTCATCTTATCCCCGTCTCTTAGATTTTGATCAGCGGAGATGCAGTGAGCTCACTCCAAAGAGGCGCTACCCAGAACATGTGTCCTGTTGTCAGTCAATGTGAAAAGTTTGTTCCAACACAACTTGTGGGGTCGTGCTACATTGTGCTCAGTTTTGTGACGCGTCGCGAGTTGCTCGAAGTGCCGTTCTCGTTGAGTGCGGGGGGTGATAGACCTTGTCTTGTTGGTTTTCCCTCTACGTAGCTCTTCCGACTGCCTCTACGTCTAGCAGCTTATTGTGTGACCTATATCAGAGCTTGCTTGTTCAGGCAATTATTCGTAGAGGGGCGCTAACCACTGGCTTTAGAAACTCAAAGATGTTGCAGATGATTGCGCAGGATAACTCTGTTTGAGTACTTTGGCTGTTTACCAAGGCTTTGTGGCAATCCAAGGTTGCAAAATTGGACTGAACCAGCTACAACTTGCAACCCCCCTCATTGATACCATGTGCCTTTGGTGGCGACGAAACCTTGCCTGAATTGATGCAAAGGATCCTCTCATTGACCCAGGCAAACCCTTCCCTGACAAGGCGCTTCTGTGTCAATACAATGCCGTTTCTGTGGGACACGGAAATCAATCTGGCCTGCATTCAAGTGCCTCTTTCTCTACCCATCAGGTGCAGCCTTGCACAATTTGCTTAACCCAGGGTGGTTAGCCAAATTCAGCGGGGTTAGACAACCCAGGACGAAGATACAGCCCTCAAGGAATGGCGAGCCCTGCGCCCCCGCCCCCTGAGACGGATTTCACGAAACTCGAGAATGGCTCAGTTGGTGAGTCGTTTGCTTTACATGTTTTCTGCGTTTGTGTCTGGACCATTAAGTCTGTGACATCGCTTTTATTAAGAAGGTGTCTGGGTTCTGATTGCTTTTCTTATGATGCATTGAGCCCAAGAGCAAGAGCCCCATCGAAGACAGCTAGTATGTCAAGAGCTGATCGACTGGAGTCACCATGCTGCTTAAGTATCCTTATGTCAAGTTGGTACTCCAACTAGAGCGCAAGTGAAAGATGTGAGAAGGTCACGATGGCGGGCTGAACAGAGGAGCGGGCTTCAGAAAGGCGGATTAGCCCTTTTCGAATTTGGGTCCCCTCAACCGTGACTCAAGCTGCGTCCCACATTATCTCCCTTGTACAGATTCCAATACAGATATGAAGAAGCGAACCAGGACACACCCCTAGGCTGCAACACCACAGATTGAAGACCTTTGCAACCGATTATCCCGGTTTCAGCATTAAAAAAAGCACAAATAAAAGAGTGGATGTCTGGTTGTGCCAGTCTCCCCGGTGATCCACCGCCCACAGAGCGCCTTCCACTCTGTTTGCTAGGGCCGAAGCTAGCACCAAACCACGTCGGCATCTTTCATTTTACGAAGAAAAACGAGAGTTTGGGTCTGCTCGCAGGTTCGCCCGAGTCCGAAGTCCCAGCCCCTCCGGCCGAGACGACGCCCGAGGAGAGCGCAGTCGCCCTTGAACAGTGAGCCGTCTTCTTGGTTCTTTTCTTGCATTTGCAACGTTCTTCGTAGTCATGCAGACAAATGGCAGGTGTTGCTGGATCGACAAAATTTGCATTTTAGAGTAACCTCCAAACCGATGACGGGCACAGAACGTAGGAAGAGATGACGATAAGCCAAGATAGTAATCATCTTTGATTTATCCTAACCTAAACAAGTAACTGCTCCGCACCCCTATCCACCCTAACCTACAAAGTAACCCTACCGCGCAGTGCGAAAATTTCACTCTTTATTTTGGCTTGTATTCTTTCTTGAGTTCGATATGACCGGCCCTTTCTAGAGGCCACCCGCTTCTCCTTGGGAGCGCGCCTCAATTAGAAGGCCTTTCTCTCATTTTCAAACCCGGTTGGTCCAGAAAGGTGCGACTCTCTTTCCATCGATCTGCCGGGAAGCATGGCTCTTCCAAAGGCCAATCTCTTGTTCCAAAAAAGAGAACATTTAGGAAGCTGTGACTCGGTATCCGTCGTCCCGCTTGGGACCGCGGCGTTCAGTAGCATCTGTGACAGAGACGTTATTCGCATTCTCTCGGCGACTTTGCCATACACTGCTACAATTTTGTAGCCCCAGCTTATGAAACCGCCGCGCACGATCAGATCTCCAGCCATGTCCTTAACCAGGTCTCGAAGCAGGTCTCTAACCCCGTTGTGACCTCTCAAGAGGTTCTGCGACTTGGCCGGGGCGTCTTGCCGAAGTCAGGCTCTTTCGTTGCGCAAAGTCTTGGCAGTATCCTTTAGTCTGGTCATAGCCAGTTTGCACCTGCGGTACCTTCTTTCCACTCGCTTGCCTGAACTGGGTCCTGCAAACAGTGTCAAAGTGATCCTAATCGGATTGCAAACCGTTGTAATCCTGACTTACAAGAACTCGTGCCTCTCTTACTCCGGTGCAGGATCGTCGTTGGGAAAGAAGTCGAGGAGTCTGAGGAAACGGTCAAGGTAAGCTCTTGTCCGATAAGCTTTCAGGCATAGCGTCATTGCCAAAGGTGGCCCTACGACCGCTTTGTTTTACTCATGGCGGCAACTGGCATCCAGGGAATCCCGATGTAAGTGTTTAATAAAGTAGTTACTTAGGTGGTTGATTGGGGACCTCCGCAATCGAACCAATGGATCCCTCGTCGGATGCTTGTGGACACTTAAAGACATCTTCGCTCAAACATTTGCTCCTCTGGCAAATAGCTCTGCGCACTTGCCCTTGGTGACTTGTTACAAAGAGCTACCCGAGTACTCGAGTGTCACCATTGATTGGCGGGTCGCAAGAAAGCGGGCCTGCACTGAGAGTTGAGATGTCAAGATTTTTAAGTTCTAAGTTTTAGGGTAATCATGTTTTGTAGGTTTGCAACAGTAGCTTTCCGTGCTCTTTCTTTCTTCTAAACTTAGTCTGGGCCTGTCTTCGAGAGCAAGGTCTTCAGCCCTCTCTTCGCAAGGACACCAAATCATTTCGATCAGAGTAGAGACAAACAGAAGCACCTCGTTTCTTTACAGGCTGTTCCTATGGAAGACAAGTGGGCGATAGCAACCCCGGGTGCGGTCTTCCACAAAGTGTGGAACTGGTTCATGACGCCCCGAAGCCCCCTGGCGGTTCAAATCGAGGTTAGTCCCTAAACCATTTGTTTTCTTTACTCTATCGGTCCTCTTGTTTCGCCTCGCCGGCTGCAGATCGGTCAAACCTGGCCGCCTGACCAAGTTTGACTGGAATCGGTCGCGAAAACGTTTTGCCCGATGCGCAGAACTTGGACCGTTCGATGACTAGCCTCTGGGTCATCGAACGGCCCAACTTCTGCGCATCGAGCAAAGTTCTCCGATTGGTTTGGATCGGACTTGGGTCAGGCGGCCAGGTTTGACCGAACTGCAATGAGTCGTTCTCGCGGTGGTCTTTCATCACTGACGGACTCTTTCGCTCCTCTCACCTCCCACGCCAACGGACTTGGCCGACTGGACGTTTCCTTGTGAAATATCTGGCTAACCTCGCTCTCTCACCCGATATGAGTTACCAGACTCAGTAGCCATTCCTGGTTCCCTCTGAAGAAAGTCCCCGATCCGACAAACGACCAAGCACGCAAACAGCCCTCATGTCATGCGGCTTCTCAATCAACACCTCCTAAGCATGTGCAAATCGGAAAAGTCGCCAGGAGCGAAACTACTCGATAGGACCGACCGCCAACTTCGGATTCTTCATTTACCACCTTGCGTCTCCAGTTTCGTTTTCGTTCCTCTCGATCTTCCGAAGTTTGTACAGCCGTCTTCCACTTTCTGCTCGTCTCAAAGTCGTATCCTTTGCATTACAGCGAAGGTCCCACGATCTTTGAACGAGTTTTGTCATCTCCCGTTTGAAATCTTAGTCAATCTGGGTCCTCTATGCTTTCATGTTGCTGCTTTACAGGCGTCAAGGGGGTGCTGGGACCTGTTTGATGGGGGAAGAAAGCCCCCGCTGCAGGCACCCCCCCAAAAGAAATATTGAGTCGAAACAACTTTCTCGATCTTTCCAAGTCTTGCACTTTACGTCAAACCTGGTTCTCGTACGGGAATCCATGTTACGTTCCGTGACGTACTGAGAACAACATTCAAAATGTGCCTCGATAACGATCTGAAAGCGTTATTCCGATTTTAATGTCGACTGACATTAAGCTTGGCGCAATGTTCACTTGTTTTACTGGGCAATTTTCACCGACGATTCGGTTCTCAAACCGTTAGTCCGTCAGGTGAACGGATGACTCAAGCTTGACTCCAACTTCTCTATTAGCGCCTCCCCCTTGTCCCGGCCAAAAATCCTGCGCAAAACCTACTAACTCCAAACCCAATATTCTGCAGGCGCTGCTGACGTTGGGCGTCCTATTTACGCTCATCACGGTGAACCTGTGGCTCGCCATCGGCGAAACCGCCGGGTTTTACGGCACGATCTTCGCACTCATGATTGTCTACCTCCTTTCCATGATTCTGGGGGAGCTCGCCTCGCGTGTGGGCACGCATCCGCTCTGCGGAATGCTGGTCGCGGGGTTCATCTGCCGGTACATACCGGGTGGGTCACATAGAAACTATGCTCTTGACCAAACCAGGTTAAAGGGCAACCAACCAGCTTTTGACCAGCTTCGCTTGGCAGAAGGACAGATAAGCGGTATTTTAACCCGGCTTGGTTGAAGATACTTTCTCCTTACTGGGAGGGGTAGGGGGACTGATCACCCGAGTTGATCTAGTTTTCCGTCAACCAAAGTTTTTCGTTATGTTTAGAAACGGGGGTTCGTTTGGAGGCCGAAGCGTTGAAACCCGTTGGCCTGCTGGATGCTATGCGAGGGGCTGGTTTGCTTATACATGCATACCGGGTCGTTTAAGCAACAGTGCACTGCGAGACACGATTGTGGACTTACTCGTATTTGGCTTAGCGGCAGAGTGTGCATTGTTCTGCCGAAACTTCAAGGTGCATTTGCGTATCAACTAGGCGTGCTTTTTATCTTGCAGGCGTGCATCCTGTCTTTGACCACAGATTGTCTTCTTTTTCTGCAAAGTTCTCCATCCGCTTTCCGGCCGTTCTTACTGCGGGCCACCGATGGTCGCAGGCTTTCACAGTCGCACGATCACACGCCAGATGAACGGTTCCTGCGCGCTCTGAATTTCAAGGCTCCAACTTCACCTCCAACCGTGAAGCCTGGGGAATCTGCTCACCGTTCAAACCAGGGCAAACTCCTCGACTCTTTAGCCTTACTAGAGGCCAGCTGGAAACTTCAATCACATTCCCACCATTGCCCTTACGGAACCTGCTAACATTATCACTTTGCACTCATGGTGGCCCCGATATCTGAGCAATAGTTCTCCGTTACCCCCACAGGTGTCAGGGCCGACCTGCGTGGTCCAACCCAAAATTTCCGACTGGTACTCTGGATCGTTTCAATCTGGTTGTCATCCCGCCCCGCTCTTGTGCGCTCGACGTCAACCCCTTCACGGGCCTCGTTGGCAGTACTACGAAACCCAACCTCAAAACCCCAAACTCAAAGAACCCTAATTCTGACAGTGTCGAGGCCGGCCGCGTGATGGAGCGCGAAATGTCCAAGTTTATCGGGCTGTACGTCTTTCCGCTCCGCTCTTGCGCACGTCACGTCAAATCCTCGTTAGCCCTGTACACGAATCCCAAACCCCTTAAACCCTAAACCCTGCAGGCGTCAAGGCCGGCCGCGTGATCGAGCCGGAGGTGTCCAAGTTCATCCGCGAGTTCGGGCTGTGCACCATCCTGCTGCGGGCGGGGGTTGCGCTCGACGTCAAACTCCTCTCGCGCCTAGTTTGGCTCTGCTCCGCGAGTGCTATCATTCCGACCGTCGTGGAAGCGGCCGTAATCGCGGCGCTTTGCGTTGGGATGCTTTCCATTCCGTGGACCTGGGGCTTCATGGCGGGATTTATTACGGCGGGCGTGGCGCCGGCGATTGTTGTTCCCGCCCTGCTAGCACTTCAGGTATGGCAGTCTTCGGTGTTTCGGGGTGTAGGGTTGTGGGGTTTTAGGGTTTTAGAATCGTCGGATTTGCCCTTGCGTTGGGATGCTTTCCATACCGTGGACTTGGGGCTTCATGGCGGGATTTATTACGGCGGGCGTGGCGCCGGCGATTGTTGTTCCGGCGTTGCTTGCGCTCCAGGTAGGGAGCTTAGGTTCTAGGGAGCTGAAGTTTCGGGCTTTGCTTTAGATGCTCAACGGGTTTTCCTTATGTCGAGATGCGTTCCGTTCCGTTTCGTTTCATGACGGAATACATTACTGCGGGCCTGGCGCCGGCGATTGTCGTCCCTGCACTCCAGGTAAGGATTCACAGCACTTCAGGATTTGCCGTTCTTAGGGTTTTGCTCTTACGTCGGGATACTTTCCAATCCGTGGACTTGGGGCTTCATGACGAGCTTTATTACAGCGGGCGTGGCCCGGCGATTGTTGTTCCGGCGTTGCTGTCGCTCCGGGTAAGGAATTGCAGCATTTCAGCGTTTGAAGCTTTTAGAGTTTTGGGTTTTTTTTGGGGTTTTGGTGTTGCGTCGGGATACTCTCAATCCCGTGGACGTAGGGCTTCATGACCGGATTCATTACTGCGGGCGTGGCGCCAGCGATTGTTGTTTCCGCCCTTCTAGCGCCTTCAGGTAAGTTTGTGATTTGCTTTCAATTTCACGGGAGTTGAAGCTTTTGAAGCTCTGTTTGTTTGCGACGAGTTGCTCTCCAGTCCTTTGACTTAGGTGTCCATGATCGGTATTATTGTTGCGGGCGTTGCGCCGGCAATTGTCGTCCCCGTCCTCTTGGCACTACATTAAAAGTACCTCAGGGTTTCGGGTTCAAAGAAATTTTGCTCTTGCGTTGGGATGCTCTCTGATTTTAAAACGAGGACCAGGGGGTCCATAATCAGTATCATTTTGTGGGCATGGTTCCGCATTCTTCGTCCCGCCCGTTCAGCGGTCCAAAAAGGACAACTTTCAAGTTTTTAGATCCTAGTGTCCGAAGGTGTTCCGTTCTGCTCTTCGGCAAAAAGAATCGAGTAAGTGGTTGCGGGGGTGACAGCAACCAATGTGACGCCCGCCTCGTTGAAGCTACACGTGGACTGCCTCTAGAGACCTCTGATGCCCCTGGTGTTCCAGGCACGAGAGTCGCGTTCTAAAGTGATTGAGGAGCCGAATCCGGACTTCGAGCTACGCCCTTTCTTCACTGTCTGCACATGTCTGGATTCCGTCCGCATCCCAGTTATGGCTGGTGCTAAAATGAGGCAAATTTTCTCGTATGCAGGACGAGGGCTACGGCGTCGAGAAGGGGATCCCTTCGCTGGTTCTCGCGGTGGCTGCTATCGACGATTGCCTGGCCGTCGTAGGTACGTCAGCGGAAGTTGCTGTGTATTCTTTCTGGTCAGCAAATCAGATTTGTTGACGACCTTCTAGACGCAGCGCTGCAACGTAATCATTGCAAGAGAGGCGTGCAACAGCGCTGAATGGTCATTTGCTCAACCCGTCTTGGGTATGTGGGCGGAGGATGGCGAAAACCAGAAAGGAAGCAAACGACCTTGTGAAGCACTAGCCGTTGTAGTACTACGAACTGTTGGCCTTTGCAGTCCTGAGACTCATATTGTTGACGAATCCTGTACCTATTTCGCCCACGTGATCCGAGGAAACGTATAGAGCCCACGGATTGCAGATCAGGCTTCCTTTTAAAAGCTTTAACGAGACGAGCATAAAAGCAAAGGTCGCATAGCCGTTTACGTAGGGGACTCTTTTCTCCAACGCAAGTGTTCTTAAGAAGCCGCTAGGCGCAGACCGCTGCCGTCCAGCCTTTGGGGCTTTTTGTACTCGAGTTGCTTCAGGAAAGGAGTCCTCGAAACGCACAAAACTGACGAGGTTTCTTAAAGATTCTGGGAGATTGTGTGCAGGCACCTTGATCTTTCAGGGGGTCGTGGTTGGATCAGAGCACCGTGCCAGTTCCTAACAACGTTCTGATACTATCCCTTTGTTGACTTGGGGAACCATAGCATGACAATAACCTAAAAACGCTGAGATTTTCAAGGCAATTAAATTTTCTGAATCCAGCCTCAAATGCTTTGTTGTTTCTTGTGCAGGCAACGCAGTTTTCCAAGGCGTCGTGTTCGAGAACCAGTCCATCGTGCTGTCCATCTTCCGCGCACCCATCGAGATCGCGTTGGGTATCGTCTTCGGTGTTGTGATTGGCCTCGGGGGAGTGCTGCTGCTGCCCCGGGATAAGGCCGAGAGTAAGTTCCTGTTCCCCTCGATAATATTTTATTCGACCCTTTTCGAACCATGCTTAAACCCTTTCTTTACCCTGTTCAAACCCTGTTGTAACCCTGTATTAACAAGGGAGAATGCCCCAAGAAGATGGGGATTTCCTTCGGTGTCGTGATCGCCTTTCGGGGAGTGCTGCTGCTGCCTCGGGCTAGGGCCGCCCTTGAGTCCCGGGTCCCCTGTTTAAACCCTCTGCAAACCCTTCGCTGAACCCTTTTTCACCACGATCGAATGTCCCAAGAAAGATGGGGGATCGTCCCCGGTGTTGTGATCGGCCTCGGGGGAGTGCTGCTACTGCCCGGAATCAGGCCGCGGGTAAGTCCCGGTACTCTGGGGTAACCTTTCTTAAGATCCTCTCTTCCCCCGGTAGGAAGCTCCGAGAGGATGAAGGTTTGTTATGTATTTTCATCGGTCTCAGGGGATTCGCTTTGCTCCTGGGGAATAAGGCCGGCAGCTTCTTCAGTCTAAGCGTTCCAAACGGTGAAATGCTCCAGGCTATTGATCTATGTTTCTGTGTGGGATTGGCCTTTTTAAAAAAACTGGTATAGGGTCACCAGAGATCCATCAATTTGTGCATTTTTGGAAGTTTTGAACCCCGTTCCGTCACCACTGCCCATAACGACGGCTCACCGTTTACTTCGTTTTGCGACACTCCCGTTTCGCGACGGGATGAAGTCAGTCAAATGCAGGCTCCAATCGCCCAAGGGATTCAGGATTGAGTTTCTCGCCATCCAACGTCTCAAAACGCGCTTTGCGGCGTTGCTTGCGGTGCTTCGTTAAACGGCAAAAATCTACCCGGGAAGAGCGAGACGAAGTGCAATCCTAACATCCTAACATCTCGGAACGAACCCACAAAGTGTCAGACACTGAACGCCCCCGATACAAAGCCCATTTCGATCCTAAACAAAGAAGACGAACCTACGAACTGTCGAAAACTGAACGCTTCCGAATATCGCATTCTGCCAGTTTCGAACGACAGCGATAACGAGATGAGCGCGTCTACACTGTACCTGCAAGACCCGGGGGCAGAGGAGACCGACGAGGAGACGCCAGCTGTCACCAAGCACGAATCCAAGGTGCGCGCGCCATTTTCCACGTAGTTCAAGGTTCTTTGGAGTAGCTTTTTGAGTTTCGCTCCTATGGCGTTGACGCCTCTGAGGTTCGGAGTCAATCAGCATACTTCGACGTGGTGTTCGCGTCAGGACCGAAAACAAAGCCATTTCCTTAACTGCAAAAACCTAACTCACGCTGTTCTTGATTTCCCTCCCTCTACTTTGGAAGCACGTTGCGTCGGGCAGTCCCTCCAAGTGGATCTGTAACCAGACACATGCTTTCTTCGTCTGCCTCGATTCCGGGATGACTTTTCAAGTTGTCGCACATCGTAATGCATGCTACACATTATTTCCCCCTCCCCCTAGTTCAGCACCCAAACTTGCTCAATTCTTTTCTCCCTCCCCTACTTTGCGAACCTCCAAAAGCATGTCGCCGCGGGCCAGTTTCACAAGCCGCCGCAGAGTTTTCCCACTTCTTTTCCGTTCCCTAGTCCGAGAGCCTCTGGAAGCCCGTCGCTTCGAATCAGCCCCTCAGTTTGACGCGAACTTCTTCTTAGCTTTTCTTCCCCTCCCACTAGTTCGAGAGCTTTGGAAGCACATCGCGCCGAGTCAGTTCCTTGAAGTCGACGCAGAAGCAGTCGCGTGCTATCTTCTGCTTTCCCCTCCCGCGTAATCTGGGAACGGCTCATTTCTATGCCCACGCACAAGTTACTTACGCCACTAGCCTTTCTCCCTCCCACTAGTTCGAGAGCCTCTGGAAGCACTTCGAGTCGGGCCAGCCCTCGATTGTGCAAGCAAGACGCTAACCTAGTTCAATTTGTCTCCCTCCCCCTAGTTCGAGCCCTCCGAAGTTTCGTTGCGTCGGGCCAGTCCCACAAACCGACCCAAACCCTTTCCGCTTTTCTCCTTCCCTCTAGTTCGAGAGCCTCCGGAAGCACGTCGCGTCGGGGCAGTCCCTCAAGGCGCTCCCCCAATCGGGGGACACACAAAGGGCGATTTTGCGCACGCTTTACATCCTCGGGTTTGGTCTTTGGACGGTACTGATCGGCGCCCGCGAGAAGTACAGCGGGGCCGGGGCGCTAGCCATCGTCGTTCTTGGGACGGTCGCCGCGCAGGGTTGGGGTGGGTTTGCGCTAACCCTTTTCCTTTTTGGTCAGCTGTCGTTATGAAGGGTTTGAATTCGCAGGCAATCTTAGTTGGTAATCGAGAAAAGACAGCGGCGCCGGGGCGCTCGCGATCGTGGTGCTCGGGACGGTCGCCGTGCAAGGTTGGGTTGGGTTTGCGCTAACCCCGAAACCCCATTCGCTCTTCACAATTTTCCCTCGCCGTTTAGATGGGTTTGCGCAAGCAGAATTTTACTGAGCTGTCTTTTTTCAGGGAGGATCCCGCCGAGCCCTCCCTTTGGTTTGTATCTCATTTCAGAGGATACGCTATTGGGTTTGAATTGGGTTGGGTTTGGGTTTGGGTAGGAATTTGGACTAGCGTGTGGACCGACCTGACGAGCGCTGGAGGAGAGTCAACGAAAGCCCGGGCGCTCGCGGTTTTCGGGCAGCTGTCTGGCCACGTTCGGGGCGGGTTTCTGCTAAACTACCTGCTTTTGCTTTTGCTTATCCTCATCCTTATCTTTTTTTGGCATTCTTTTCCTAGTTTGACTACACGATCCTTGACTTCGTCGTTAACCCTGTCCTTAACCGAGGCCGCGCCCTGACAAGCAGCCCCGGTTGTACCTCTGGTCACTCTAATTGGACCCTTGCTGTTGAGAAAGTGGTTTACGCAACTCGTAGATTCAAATCATCCCCAAAGCGGCCGCCCAGACAACCCTTGACTTTGCTGTTTACCCCCTCCTTAACTCATCAAGCAGCCCCGGCGGTATCTGCTCTACCTTTGGTCGCCTTTCGTTCAGCCTTTGCTCTTGAGAATGTCTTCACTCAATTCTTGAAATTTATCTTCCATCTGCTTCAACCGCCTTCCTACACTTACTTGTTAACCCTCTCCTTAACCCAGGCCGCGCCCTGACCAAGCAGCCCCGGCTGACCTGCTCTACAACTGGCCGCGAGTCTTCATTCGACCCAGGTTGCTCTTGATTCCGTTGTTGACCCAATTCTAAGACTCTACCCAAATCCAAAACTGCTTGCCTACGCAAGCCCTGACTGAATCGTTAACCCTCTCCTTAACCCAGGCCGCGCCCTAACCAAGCAGCCCCGGCTGTACCTGCTCTACCTCTGGTCGCTCTTCGTGCAACCCCTCCTCTTCGGCGTCATCGGCACCCAGATCGACATCTCCTATTTCAAGGGCTCCTTCCTCTGGAAAGGCGTCATCATTATCCCGATCGCGTGTTTCGCGCGCATCGGCGCGACCGTTCTCGGCGCGTCTGGAACGATGCTCAACATGGGCGAGCGGCTGTTTCTCGCGCTGGCGTGGCTTCCGAAAGCGACGGTTCAGGCGGCGCTCGCACCACAGGCGCTTAGCTCGGCAGAAAAGGCCAAGGACGAAAAGAAGATAGGCTATGCGGAGACGGTAAGCTATGGGTCTGCGCCACGAAAACCTTTTCTCTTTTCAAACTAGATCGAGAACGAAACAGTGGTGACATGGCTCCCCAAGGCGACGGTGCAGGCGGCGCATGCGCCACGGGCGCTCAGCTTGGCCAAAAAGGACAAGGCCGAGGAGAAGATAGGCTATGCGGAGACGGTAAGCTATGGGCAATTCTTGTCGGTTGTTCCCAAGGTTATGTTTTTCGCTTTCGGCACGGTGAAAGGAGAAACACTTACGTGGCTCCCCAAGGCGACGGTGCAGGCAGCGCTCGCAGCGCTCGCGCCCCAGGCGCTCAGTTAGGCCAGAAAGGACAAGGGCCCGGAGGAGATAGGATATGCGGAGACGGTAAGCTATGGTAGAGATCGTGAGTCTTTGCCATGTAAAATTGTGGTTTCTGATGTGTTCGAGAACGGAAAATAGCGCAAGCGTGGCTCCCCAAGGCGACGGTGCAAGCGGCGCTCGCGCCCCCGGCGCTCAGCTCGGCCAGAAAATAACGGTGTACGTGAGCATGCTCTCCGTTTACTTCCACCGGCGCTGAGACGAGTCTGTTTCTCAAAGCTGTGGGCTCAAATCTCTGAACCCATGTCCGCCCATTGTGAAACTACAAGATCGATCGCGATCGTAAAACTTCGAATGTAAAATACGCCTTCTCGTTTCCAGGTTTCCGGGTGAGGATGCTTTCCGTCATCCTCACCGCCCCCCTCGGTGCGATGATCCTTAAGACGGCGGGGCCAAAGCTTCCCATTTGAATATCCGAATGAAGAACCAAAAAGCCCGAAAACCTCGAAAGGGAATGTCGACAGAGTGCTCGCACGCCTTCTCGTGTTCAGGTCCTTGCGGTGAGCATGCTCTCCTCACCGCCCAATGAGCCTGAAGGCGGCGGGACCGAAGCTCCTGAGTCGAGTGTTCGAAGATCAAACCCTACAGCTCTAAATCTTAGATTCAGAGAGCTGACACGCCTTCTTGTTTCTGGACGGACAGGTATTCGCGGTGAGCATGTTGTCCGTCGTTCTCACCGCCCCCCTCGGCGCGACGATCCTCAAGGCGGCGGAGCCAATTCTCTTGAACTCGTGTCAGCCCACTACGAAAATCACAACTTTACCTGTTAATTTCATGAGCGAACTTCATGTCTACTTTCCAGCTTCTTAACTTTTCAGCATGATTTTTCCTAACTTTCCTGCAGGTATTTGCGGTGAGCATGCTTTCCGTCATCCTCACCGCCCCCCTCGGTGCGATGATCCTCAAGGCGGCGGGTCCGAAGCTCCTGAGCCGAGTTGCGGACGGAGACAAGCTCAAGCACTCCAAGACGATGATTCACCACCGTTACCACTTGCCCAAAGCCCACATGTTTGGGTTCCATTTCCATGGGTTCCACGGTTTCCATGGGTACAAGTCGGCCATTGGGAAGAAGTACTAGGATACGCGTGGGGCTTGGCGAAGTACCCACGTTTTAAATGGCGTATATACGTCAGTAGGTAAGTCTTCATGTATAGACGAGTTGGATTAGGCCATTGCTGCGAAAGGCAAGGTATTAAGTAGGCAAAGACGCGATACGTCACTTATTGAATGGCATACAGCCATCACCTAATTGAAAAAAGTTGCTTATTGATTTGACTTGCTGACGTAGCCTGGTCAAGTTACGGTGATATTGCCCTAAGACACTTTAGCTCACAGAATAGCACCGCCGCATAGCTTACATTCGTGCAATTGGTTATATCGTATATGATTCGTTGATTGCTTATATAATTTGACGCTTGTTGTAACTGGATAGTTGTTACTTGTTTAGATGTAAAGGACCAGTCGCGTACAGATAGTGGATAAAGAATCGAAGGTCAAATACCATTCCGCTATACCGTATGCGAAGTGGCTTCACACTAATAGCAACAAAAGTTCAATACTCATGAAGTAGCTTTCGGATTATGATCATTGGATCATTGCGCTGTATCACCGCGAGTCCAGGTCTTCAATTATCTCGATCATGCACTGCGGTGCCTCATTGGGCTGTAGTCGGATCGCCCAACGTACTCAGTGGCTGGCAAGATATCGCAGACATTTGTCCACTGATGCTTTAAGTATGAGACGGTCGATTCTTTGATTTATTGAATGCAAATTCATTCAATGCATGATTTGTAAGGGCCGCGTATGCCGCACAATGGACCCTAATATATTCTAGATTCACTGGTTACTAAATGTGCCAGCGACTCGATCGTCAAGTCCTTGATCGATCCTGGACAAGCAAGTGCATGAAGGTACGTCCGGACACTTAGGCTTCAGTGCAATATTGACAGATAGTATACTGCGTATCCAACATGTACTTACTGACTCGGACCGTCATGTACTATAGCTCAAAGCATGACTCACGGGAAGCGTCGGACCGCATCGCAACAGTCAACGTGCTTGGGCTGTGCAAGTCCGCGATGGCACTGGGCTTACAAATTTTCATAACTTAGTCGGACTCTCAAAGAGTTTTGACCCTGCCGGCAGCAGTGACAACGGACGTACGACTGGAATGACGACTTTGACGATCTCGCTTATATGCGCGCATCTTCTCAAATTTGAGTATGTTTGGTGGACTCAAACTTATCGTTCAAGAGCTATGATCATATGGTATTGTTCAAAGAAGAACTATAACGATCAGCAACATTAAAGTGAAGCCCGCCCTTCATTGCTTCAACAAGGAATCAATGTTTTGTTATCACCTAGTGCGATGGTTGCTTCTGCACCTTTGCAGTTGGCCTGCCTGACGGAAACGTCAGCCACTGGTTGCTCTACTCGCAAGATCAAGCAAAAACACGTGGCGAAGGCATATAGAATCAATGGCTCAATTTGAACTGCCTCCGCCTAGTACATAAGCTGAGGCTCGAACGGTGCAATATCGGTCGACCCAGCCTCGACAGCTGGCATCATGTACAGGCCCAGGATTTCCGCTGCGATTCCGGCGACCACCGGAACGAGTTTCAGGTTCCGCAGCCACTTCGGGTCGCCGCTTTTCTGGGCGGCCTTCAATCGCGTATTGAGGTCGCATAACCTATCGAGCCCAGCTTGGAATTTTGGATTCTCCACGTCCAATACGGCGGGGAAGAGGCGGGCCGCTGTTTTGTTGGTCTGCGGATAAGGTGGGGATGCAAGAATGCTTCACGGTGAGCAGAGGGGAACGCAAACAACTAGAGCCTTTGAGGAACAGGCTCGAATTTTCGAGCTTTTTTCTGTTGTTTCTGGCACAAGGGAGGAGTTCGAGAAGAGGCAGAAAAGCAGGCCTTCTCAGCAAAAGCGCTTGAAACCGCTGGACGTTTTCTTGTATCTGCATGTCTTTGGATACGTCTTCGGGCTTGCACGCCTTATCTACTTTGCCCGCGCTCCTCTTCCGGAGAAACTTCTAGAACGGTAATTGATCTTGAACTCTAAGCCTGACTGGGCTTGCGCCACGTGGCGAATGACTAGTGGCAGCCCTCCTTGGCGGCCAACAATCGAAAACCACAGGAGTGCTCGAACAACTTCTCATATAGTACTAAGTCGAGGCAGCAAAACAATCGGATGCTGAGACAGCGTGATCCGATAACAGGAACAGAACTCGACGAAATATCTTTGAGGAAACAAAACGAACAGTAGTCGATCAAGGTTTTGGCTTGCGTGTTTACCTCGATGATGACGTGCATGTCATACTGCTTCGTGTTCAACCCGATTGACTCGTAGAACGTCGTCCTCGAAACGTCGTTTAGATACATGGTTACGTACACCTGCGTTGATCAAGCGCGCCGTCAGCCAAACCACCAAGGTCCTAGAAACATGGATAAAGCTTCTCCATTGAAAAGACACAACTTATACACGTGCGTGTCTAAGTTTTCTGTTTCTCGGACCTATTGCGTCGGCCCACCGCTCCCAATTTTGGTCGTTTCCCTAGGAAAAAAAGTGGATACTGCGCCCCAGCAATCAGATCCTAGTAGAGGCTGCTGTCGAGGGCGGATGTGCCCGATCCTCAAATCTCACAATTTTTGCTCACAAGTTTTCAAGGTTGCAAAACCTATGGGAATATTTAATCTCAGCGTGAGGAACTCTCCGCTCAGTCCAAATCCCAGCATAGCGCAAAGACGGTCAGCATCTGACTCATCGCGAGTCCTAAGCAGTTCTCAGCGTTCCGGCTTTTTAAAAGATCCGGCCATTCGAAACCTTGCAGAGTCTGAAAGTCGGCGGCTTTATACCAGTTCTCAAAACTTCTCCACTAATTTGGGAGTTTCCAGACCCTCAACAGCTTCTCGTGCTTCATCGAAGTCCTGACACCCTAAAGTTCTAGAACCTGTAAAGCCCAAGCATCGGAATCCCGCTCCGAGGAAATCTTTGATTCTGTTGCTGCTAAGCTCTACCACAACAGGGTCGAATGTATTGGACATCCCAACGTTCTAACTCCAAAGAAACCCAACTCAACGCCCAAGCAAACCCAACCCGGCCCCCGAGCTTGACGTCAAGAACGGCTTATTTCGTCGAGACTTGCGTCCTTTTTTCTCCTCTTTTTCCTTACCGTAAGACAGAAGAATCGCGACCACAGCTTGGCCCGCCAGTCCTTCAAATCTTGCGGCGTGCTCTTCAGCACCGCCGCCAGAAAGTCCCCGTGCCGGTTCTCGTCCTGACACCAGGCCTCAAACTTTCCAAAAATGGGGTACAGCACGCGGTCGGGGTGGTCCTTGAGAAACCGGTAGATCGTGATGTAGCGCCAGTAGCCGATCTTCTCGGAGAGGTAAGTCGCGTACAAAATGTACTTGGGCTTGAAGAACGTATACTTGCGGTTTTTGGTGAGAAAACCCAGGTCGAGCGAGAGGTCAAAGTCGGTGAGGGCCTTGTTTAAAAATCTGCATGTGAAGATAGGTCTGGTTTAGACCCCCCAAATCGTTATGAACGGTTTTGAAGAACGCGTACTTGCGGATTTTGGTGAGGAAAACGAGGTCGAGCGAGAGGTTAAAGTTGGTGAGGGCCTTGTTTAGGAATCTGATTAGGGGGGACGATATCGGGTTTAAATGTGACCCTCGGGAAACGTTGTCTTTCTCACAATATGTTGTGACTACCTTGAAGAACGTGTACTTGCGGTTCTTGCATGGTGAGGAAGCCCAGGTCGAAGTCGGTGAGGGCCTTGTTCAGGAATCTGAAATTGGGGAAAGTACTGGGTTAAGATGTAACCCCCGCAGGAACAATCTTTACTCGCAGTATTGTGACTGGTTAGAAGAGTGTTTACTTGCCGTTCTTACAGAGAAAGCCCAGGTCGAGCGAGAGGTCAAAGTCTGTCAGGGCCTTGTTTAGAAATCTGGAGACGGGGGAAAGTAGTGGGTTAAGTTGTAACCCTCGCAGGAACAATCTTTAATCGTACTATCGTGACTGGTTTAAAGGACAAGTACTTGCGGTTCTTGGTTAGGAAGCCGAGGTCGAGCGAAGGGTCAAAGTCGGTCAGGGCCTTGTTTAGGAATCTACGAACGGTAGAAGGAAAGCCGCGTTGAATGTGATCCTCGGAGGGACGTTGTTCACTTCGGAATGTTTTGATTGGTTTGAAAAACGTGTACTTGCGGTTCCTGTGAGAGAGCCCAGGTCGAGCGAGACCAAAGTCGGTGAGGGCCTTGTTTAAGAAGCTGCATCGCAGTTGGGAAGAAGAACGGCCTGGATCAGTCAGACCCCCAACTTTGTCAAAAAGGGAATCTGTAAAGCCTATACTTGCGGCTCTCGGTGAGGGAGCACATTCGAGGAAAAAATGGAAAGTCTGTGAGGGCCTTGTTCAAACGCTGCACGGGGAGCTGGGGAGAAGAACGGTTTATGTTGAACCTTCGAGGTCAAATGAGGAGATTTGCAAATGGGTAGCTGCGGTTCTTGGTCAGCCAAGGCCTAGGTCTAGCAACACAAATTTCGATGAGGGCGTTGCTAAAAAGCAGCATCGGAATGCGGAGACTGACGCTTTGGTTTGGAACCCCGAACTCGTTTTTGAGAGGCTCTAGGACGTACTTGGAATCTCTGGTGTAAGCCATATGAACGTCGAAGCCGGATAAAGTGGTGATACTATGCGCGGATGCTCTGTGATGCGGTGGCTAACGTCACTTCCGGGGCCTGTTCTTACGTAGGTCTCCCCTGTGCCCCTTTTCAGGAAGCCAGTGATGTTTCCATCACACAGAAGAAACGGCATAAGGAGGATACACAAAGTCGGTGATAAACGGTGATCCTACGAGGCCAAGTTCTGCATACCGCTTTTGCCTTGTTCTCTCAGAGGCGGCGGGAGGGGGAAGCCTACCCGGCATGCCGAGCCTCGTCCCGGGACATCAGGGTGAAGATCTCAGCAATCACCGGATTGGTTTTCTGCAACGAGAGACAGATTTGTCGATGCTGAGAATCCGCAGAATGCGAGCCTCGCTGGGGTGGAAATAGACTCAGCTTCCGGGACTGGGAGGGTTGCAATTGTTGGAAGTACGAAAGAGCTGACTTTGCCAGACAATGGGATGACACAGACTGCATACCAAACGGCGTCCATTAGATAGCCTTTCGACTCTCCCCGAAAACGGTCCTTGTGCGTGCGCCCACTTCTTCCAATAGTAAGAATTCCCGAGAAATCAGCATTGCAGCTGCCCTCAAGAAACCCAGCAAAAGAACTCGAAAACAACCTACTCCATTTCACAGACAAGCGGGACGAAAGGCTAGGAATTGGTAGCAGAAATCAGAACCTTACCTTTAGCCTCCGCCCCAATTCCTTGAAGAGCAGGAAGCCCGAGAACTCAGCCGTGCAGCTGCGCTCGAGGAACTCGACGAAGAATTTGCGCGTCGCTCCCTGGAGCTTTTCGGCGGCAGACCGGAACTCGGCGCCGCGCACAAAGTGACGCTGGTTGTAGTCGGCCGCCATCTCCTGGGGGTGAGAGAAGATCGGGTTTATTTTTTGGGGTTAAGACTGAGTGAATTTGCTTGTAGCTGGTCTCCGTAATCTGGCTAGAGAGAATTGATATTTGAACGGTGGTTTGCATTCTTGGTTTAAGTTTGAATAGCTTATCATGCCCTCCTTTGGATTCTTCACATGTCAGACTCGGCACTTTGTGCCGCTGGTTGTGGTTCGTCCTCAGGTAAACAATATCACTGGTTACAAAGCCCTTGTTCGAAGAAGCCTAGGAGCTCTGCTTTCCCTAAGTGTCAGATAGGCAGTCAACTGAAAGACAGACAAGAAAGGAACTGAATCCGGAGGCGCTGTTCCCTGTGCCGGTCAGTGGAATCCCCATCTGGAAACGAGCAGATGCAATCGAAAAAGTTCGTCGGGCAGGCGACGCAATGCAAGGAGACTTCGACGCCCTACCTACATCATCAAATTAGCTTCTAGAGGGCTGGCAATTGGTTGCCGCTACCGGAGAATGCTGCGAGCAATGTGTTTGGCAGCAGAGGAGGTTTGTAGAGTCAGAATGCAGCCCCACAAAAGGAATTGACCACCCCAACGGGATCGCAGAAAGGAGACAGAACAACAACGCCCCCGCCTAGCACAGTTGCAGGGTTCCCCTTCAGGGCAAAGTCGGAATAGGGCACAGGACACTGAAAAGGATGGTCCCTGCAAACACAACAACGACCCCCTTGCCCCAACCCCCCTAAGCAGAAGAAAAAGGTGCGGATGGTCAAAGCCTCCCACCTGCAGCATTGCCACAAACTCTTCCTGCTTCAGATGCGGGTTGAGCTCCTCGTTGAACAGCCGCTCCATCTCGTCGAAGTTGGTGGTGTAGAAGCGGGGAGTAAGGAGCGTCTCATCAATGTGGCCCTTGGCACCCTTCCTCGGCTGAGGTGCGGCGCCGTCCGCCGTCGCTGACATCACCGTGACGTCATCACGCCTGCTGAGGGGGAGCGAGAAGGCTGCACAGAAGCTGCTGCCGCTGCTGTGCAGGCGGTTTGCGTGAGGGGGGGTGCATTGTCTGCCGGCGCGGGGGCGGAGACGGACCCCTTGGCAGAATGCAGCTGGTGCGAGCGCGCCTGCTGATGTCAGCGACAGCAGAGAGCATGACGTCGCCATGGCTCCTTTCAGGATCTCTCAATGCGACAGCGTTGCAACGGGCCGAAGCAACTGAATGCAGTTGAATTACTCCGACAGAAGCACTATTGCAGCCAAATGAGCTTGGGTGCTTTGAGGGGAAATGAGTAATAACACCTATTGAGCTGGTTTTGTTGAGAGGGACGCCGCAGCCCGCCATGGTGAGTGGAACCAGCGCATGGCCTTTCTCAGAAGCGGAACCAGCGCATATGAAGCAAGCTCAGCTGGTTTGCTGGGACTCCGGTCTTGGACTCAGGCCCAGGGTGAGCGGAAAAGGGGATCCCAACCTGACCAATGAGCGTTCGACACTATTCCCACGTGCCACTCGGACTTTTGGACTGCTTTATGATGTTTGCCCAGTGGAATTTGGACGAGATTGAGATACGTTACTCCTTCACAGCTGTTCGTCCGATGGCTACATAAGGACGACTTCTCAGCCGTCCGATACATCCGGCACGATACCAGCGGCTAGGCACTGCATGCGCAGATGCAGATTCTGCTTCGTCCTATTCGAAGTCCTGAGGCTGAAGTCCTGAATGTTCATCATGAGAGATTGCATGAGAATTGTGAAGGGTTGCTTCCTCTCTTCCGGGCGGTGGTGCGTTGAATGCTGCAGCACATTTGCTTCACTCACAAGCTCTCGCCAAAGCCAAAAAAGCACAACCCAGGCCTTAGCAAAGTGATCCTTTCTGACCTTCCGCGCTAAGCGCATCCTTACAAAATTAGGGTTCGAGTCAAAATTAGGGTTTGCTCCATGGGTGGTCAGCAGCAGGGCATTCTGAGGCGGAAGGAACGCGAGAAACCCTAGCAGGAAGCTTCCGGGTCTTTAAGGAACCCCAAAAGCAAACCCTGGCCCCGCCAATTTTCTCTGGGGAGTTGAGCAATCTTGCTCAGGGTCCGATTCAAATCAAAATGGCTGTCCCTGAGGGAGACGATTCATCAAGCAAGGAGGCTGACGCAGAGTCAGGCGGCGAGGCTGAGATTGGGGGGAAGGCTCAGATGGCGGACGAGTCTGCAAAGGACTCCCTGCTCGGGGGGAGGGAGTGCCCTGGGTTTCTGAAGGTGGAAGACCTGAGCATGCGGCACTACTGGAGGCTGTCTACCATCATGGGGATGGCGGATATCCTATTGGACGTGGATAAGTACTTTACATATATGCTGCTGATCAACAGGTGGGGGCACTGGCCAATGGGGCTCGCTTCGACACCTGTCAGCATTGTGTGGTGCATCATTATGAGATTGTGAGGTTGACACCTGTCAGCATTGTGTCTAGTATCAACCTGGAATCGTGATTTCCAGTTGTCGATGTTTTCTGGGTTGCTATGCACAAACTTGTTGTGATGTTTTTTCTATGAAGCAATTGGGTTCACCTTGTGTTGGTTGTCAGGTATGGTCGCCGAGAGGCAGAAGTCAGAGCCCCTTGTAGGCTCTTGTAGGCAGCTGTGTCCGACTTGATGTCAGGGCGTGCTTCATCTTCAGCTGCTTGGAGAAACTATGTCCAACCGAGTCAGCATAGTGAGTCAGCATTGCATGAGTTCTGCTTAGGGGCTGAGCTGATGGTTGTAATAGCCCATTAGCCCATTGTTGCCCCTAGGTCTGAGGGTGGACATTGGATGCATCCCGTTTCCAAGTATTGGATGCTTTAGAATCAGAAGAGCTGAGTCCTGGATCTTTTTGAATAGCCTGGACCTCCTCCTCACATTGAGTTTCTAGAAATCAACGACACCCAGTTCCTTTTGCCTTCACTGGAGTTGCGTTGCGAGAATGCTGGCTCTTGTAGGCAGCTGGCAAGCTGAGTTCGCTCTTAACCGGGCCTTGTTAGCCACATTAAAAGAACCTGGGGCACTTCAACCAGCTGGACTGCCGCCGCCTCTCACCTGTGACTGAGCTCTGCTCCTCAGAAGTTCTTGTCCGATCACAGTTAGATGTGCTTGACACCACGATTACCATTCAAGAAACCCAACCGGTTCTGTTAACCCACATGCTTCTAATTCTTCTATTCATTGAGAAGCTTTTGGAGTGTGTTGTCTCTATTCTAGGACCACCCTCTATCCCCAAACGCCAGTCTCCTGAATGTACGAATGTACGAAAAGACAGTCAGGAGGTCTTAGTACCAACCTCTCCTGATGCCACAACTCGAATGCACTTACGCAGCTCAAGTATCTTAAGGATCGCGCATACTTACGACCTTCGGCTGCGCAAGTGACTGACCTATCTTTGACCAGGTTAAGGAGCTCAGGTAACACATTGATGTGTTTGCAGTTTTGTGGAGTCAGAGACTTTCTTCCCTATGATTCCCTCTTACTTTCTTGGCAATACGCCCTTCAACAGCACGCGCATCAGCATTCTGATGCACAGCTGTCACCTTAGGACAGCTGTCAGTGACCCACCTGCTCGTCTTGCATGTAAATGTCTTTGAGCTGCAGGTGGCAGTTTCCTTGGTCTTGCTCTAAGGTCACCAAAATATCACTTCAAAACGTAGGACAAAACATGTTTCCCCCTCCCCCCTAGCAGGTTCGGCTGCTCCTCTCAGGCTTACTTTGTCGTCCTCTGCCTGTACTTACCAAAGAACGTCACTGAACAAAAAGTAATCTACTTCCCCCTTTCCCCCCGGCAGGATCCGCTGCGATTCCAGGCCTACTTCTCCTCTACCTGTACCTAGAATGAAATCATAACCGTCTTTCTTCCCCCCCTCCCCAGGTTCGGGTGCGACTTCCAGGCGTATTTCGGCGTGCTGTACCTGTGCTACACGCTGGCCTACCTCGGGTGGTCCCCCCTGACGGGCGTCTGGTCCGACCTCGCGCACCGCCACATCGTCTCGCTGCTCGTCTTCTGCTCCGGCGCGCTTGCGTGCATCTACGCCGCCATGATCCTGCTGCCGGTGCCGAAGGGCCCGCTCGTCTGGCTGTACCTGCTCAAGTGCATGCTGCACATGCAGATGAGCAGCGCGGGCTGGAAGGTGCGTTTTCGGCCGTTGATCTCGCCCTTGATCAGATCAGGACCGTTGACTGGATAGCGGCCCGCTCGTGTGGCTGCACCTGCTCAGGTGCATGCTGCATATGCAGATGAGCAGCGCCGGCTGGAAGGTGGGTCTCCTTGTAATTTGAATAAATAGTCTCCCTTTTCAAGTCGTTTCTTCCTTTTCAAAACGAGCGGCCATCCGCATCATTGGACAAGTTAGCTGATAGCGCCGATCGATCCCGTTACAGCCGTTTGTTCGGACTCTCGTGAGGGCCCGCTCGTCTGGCTGTTCCTGGTCAAGTGCATGCTGCACATGCAAATGAGCAGCGCCGGCTGGAAGGTGCGTTTTCGGCCGTTGATCTTGCCCTTTATTAGATCGCGACCGTTGACTGGATAGCGGCCCGCCCGTGTGGCTGTACCTGGTCGAGTGCATGCGGCACATGCAGATGAGCAGCGCCGGCTGGAAGGGAAGAAGAATGTCGATCTTCAGCCGTCGAAAGGGGAGAGTATTGACGAAGGCTATGAAGCGCCGTTCTTTTAGCCACGAAAACTGAGGTCCCTGGTCGTGCGCGAGGGTCTTGATCCAGTTGTAGCGGACCCCTTACTCTTTCGTTAACGTTCCTTTTCCATTTCACCTGTTCCAGAAGTTGTATTGCCTCAAACCCCAATTCCCGATGAATCCTTCATCGTGCAACACTTTGAAACCGAAATCTACAATCGGAGTTGTCTTTCTTCTTCCCGTGAGGTGCAAAGCGGAGAGTGTTCAAACAGCGTTGAAAACTTCTTCCGTGTAACTCTCACTAGAGCATTCACCGCTGTCTCGAACCGCTTCTTTAACCCGCTTGCGCAGGCCATCGAAACATACGTCCAAAGCATGTTTGTAGCAACATTCTGGTCCACGAAGAAGTCCTCACGCAGTATGAATGTTCCCAGTATCCTATAACCCAAGTCTTAACCACCCTTTTAACCCGCTCTTGCAGACCATTGAAATTCACGTCCAGCGCATGTTCGGCATCCTGGTCCACGAACAAGTCCTCACGCGATATGGATCTTTTTCAACGTTTCCCTATGACCAGCTCCCTTAAGCACCCTCTTAACCCGCTTTCGCAGGCCATCAAGACGTACGTTCAGCGCATGTTCGGCAGCATTATTCTGATCCACGAACAGGTCCTCACACATTGTGATCGCTCTAAAGATTTCTACGTTGGCCAAATGCTTAACCACCTTCTTAACCCTGTTTGCAGGCCATCAAAACGTACGTCCAGCGCATGTTCGGCAGCAACATCCTGGTCCACGAACAAGTCCTCAACCGCATCGGCACGCTCGGCGACCTCGCCACCGAAACCTACGAGATCGCCGTTCTAGTTGCTGCGCTTATCGCGGGCGTCTGGTTCGGAAACTACGGACTGGTGACGTGGATCCTCTACTCGGCGGTTCTCTTCATCAGCGGGACCGTATTCACACTGGCCGTCTCGCTGTGGGTGTCCCACGGCCGGCTCATTCACACCACCCAGGAGGACGGGGAGCTAAACCTGCCGGTTATGCAGCCGGTTAAGGGGGGTTTCAGAGGGGTTAGGCACGGGTTAAAGGAGGTTTGGGGGTGGCTCAGCACGCGGCTGAGCTACTTCTTCTCCTCGAGTATACTGACGAACTGCGTCATGCTGAGCATGGTCAGTAGCTGCTTTGAGGTGAGGCGCAAAATATTAAGACAGTTTCTCCTGTGTTGTTCTTTGCAATTTGTGAAATCGTTTTGGTTCTGAGACGAGCCTTGGGTCCCAAACATTGTAACGGAGTTGTTTGGCCCGGAGTACGAACTGGCAGGGAACAGTAGCTGCTTGACTTGAGGCGCAACCCCTGTAGAAAGATCACCCGATTTTGAGATAGTCACGTTCTCCTCTTCCTCGGAATCTTAGTTTCGTGCACTGAGCATTTAATTTTGCTCGACCTGACAGGAGGAAGACAGAAAGGCGTAGGGCATTGACCATTCTGATGCCCGGTCCCTATCCTCATCTCCCTCGTACTGATTTTGCAGTAAGTTTCTGATGCCGGCTGCCTCAACCGGGCACTTACATGGATTTTATTCGATGGCTTTCTCACCTTTTTCCTTGTTTGCTTGCAGTATATGTTCGACGGCCCGGTTGCTCTCACGCGGGCGACCCTGGTGCAAACCGACCACGGGTTATGCCACGGGACCGTCGACTTCATTCTAGTTCAGACAGTCATACTCCAGATCATGTACCTAATCGGGGGGGCCGCTTATTTCCTGGGGATAATGCACCTCCATCCGGCCGTCTACTACGGTTCCGTTTACCCGCTCGCTTCCGCCCTCTTCATGGGCGGAACGCTCCTCCAGTTCCTGCCCCTGTCCGCCGTGACGTCGGCCGTCGTCATCAGCACGATGACCGTCAGCGCGTATTACGTCAGCATATACAATACGTACGTGTTGTCGGGGAGCAGCAAGGCGGAATATTTTGGGTTTGTACAGGCGATATATTCGCTCGGCGTGGGGGCGTCGGGTTTTCTCCCGAGTTTGCTGCAAGTCGTGAGAGCCGACGAGCGCGTATTGCTGCTAGTCGCATTGGCTATGGCGGCGTGGGGCATGCTGCAGAGTATACTTATGTGGCGCAACCGGCGGCAGTTTGACGAGGACGTGGCGAAGGCGGACGTGCTCTATTAAGAGCTAGGGGGATGAGCTATCTTGGCATCTCGCGGCGTGCATACGCTATGGTATGAAAGTCGTAGGGAATCAGACGAGTCACTGTCAGGACAGACAGCCAGCTGAAAATGGGTGCGAGGATTCGACGGACGTTTTGATGCAAATGAGAACGCATCGAGGGTGGATGGATTGAACAGTGTAGGTACACAGCTAGCAAGCTCTCAGTGGTTTTGAACAGCTAGAGTCAGGTTTGTTGAGTTGCTTCTACTAGTCGACCGCCTGAGTAACATGCCTGTTTAGGATAAGCTTGTAAATAACAATTCTGCGCGCAAACGAGATCACCACACGACTTTTAGCTAGGACTTGAGTCCATTAAGTGGAGATTATACAAGGCTCTTTAACTTACAGGTGATAGCGAGGTGAAAAAATCTGGGTCTGGCGTTCGCATGTTTGTGACGCGGTCGACCGGACCCAAGTTGAACCGTCACGTATCCAACAAACCCGAACAATCTCAGCTCTTAAACGCGCTCACTGATGCCGAAAGCATTCAATGATTGCGCGACGTGATTGAACACCAACTGGCAACACCGACGATCAGAATGAGAAGCATCCGTGATGCATGCGCAGGTGCACCTGCATTTATACCAATCATTCCACACACATACCGAGCAGACATGTATATGCGCAATATGTTTGGCCGCAGACGGTGTGCTTCTCGAAGTTTGCGGCATGCATATGTCTTTTGCGATCAAATTTCAATCTCACTTCACTGATGTACGTAACTTACAGACATATGCCATAGACATCATTGTCCCAGCCTTGATCAGAGTGATTCGACCATTTCACCAAACACAACCTTTGACAGGCTTAGTATCTAGAGATAGTAGATGTCAGTTCGTTGAGCTTGGGCCAGGTTGGCCACGTACTTACATGGTGGGACGGTCGCTGCTTTCCCAAGTACTTGTGTTTGCACCGCTAAAGCGTCATTTTGAGGACTGGGCAGCTAACTTTCATCATTAAGCATGAGCTGGTTGTGCTGCATTCATATGATTCAATTCATTTCTTGTACGTGCCGCCAACTCGGGGGTTTAGCCAAGGATAGAATCGTCGAATCTGTCGAAGGTCAAAGCATTTGTACGGGGTGCGGCCGCGAGACCGTGAGCGCAGACTACTGGTAACTCTGGTAGGAGTGAGTCCGATGAAAGCCGAGTAAGCGCTGATGACGTATATTGCAACCACCCTTGGATGATCATGCAGTCACACAAATTTAGACTCGTAATTAGTCTCCAAAAGCAGCCTGCCCGCGGATCGCCCCATGTCTTTGATACGCACGGGCTTTAAGAGAAATGTCCTTCGAACGTGCGACTGATCAGAGAGCTTGGATGCATCCATCCATGCCATCTCTAGGACCCAACTCAGTGGCCGGCAAAGTGTAATGAGTGCGATTATGAGTGTCGCGCATCGCATGACAGCTCAAGGTACCGTTTGCGGAAGGTTGACTCCCAGTTATTGCAAACAGTTTGTATATCCTCGGTTACTCAGTAAGCCTACAAAAATGCTCAAGACGCACACACACCTGACGCTTTTCTGACAAAATAGTCTCAAGAAGCTTTCTCCTGCTTATGAAGCACTTTTCAACCGCCCTTCCCCTGCTCAGTCCAAGTCGTTAACTCCCGTGTTGGTCATTTGTTTTCGTCACCTTCGTCAAAAGCGTCGGAGTCACCAGACTTCCGTCATAAATATCAAGGCAGCTCACAAAAACTCTTCTCCTGATCATGATCTCAGACCACGTAGGTGAAACAGCGGACATGCTGCCACGTGGCGCTCTACGCCGACGGCACGGGCGCAGGAGCGGGCGCGCTGCCCGCGGGGCCGGCGCCGAACTTGCTGACGTGGCGGGCGCACCAGCCGCCGGCGCCGGTGACGTGGCGCTCGCGGCGGGCGCGGGCACAGGCGCGGTCGCGGGCGCAGTCGCGTTAGCAGCCGGAGCTGCTGACGTGGCATTGGCGGGCGGGGGCGCGGCGGGCGCGGGCGTCGCGGCCGCGGGCGCGGTCGTGGGCGCGGGGGTTGGGGCGGGCCCCGTGGTAAGCCCCGCGGTGACGAAGGGCCATTTGCCCAGCTTGTTAGGGCAGTTAGCGGTGTCGCGGACGATCCACACGTCGTCGGTAGCGACCGCGTTGGAGTCCTGGTTGCGGTGCCACTGCCTGTGAAAAGCGGGTTAGATTTAAAGCGGTTTAGATATGAGGAGTGAGGGGTTTAAGGGACGGTTGTGTTTAAAAAGCGAAGCTGCCGCCAGCGAAGCGAAGTTGGATGGGGGTTACTAGCTTTGTTGCTGTGTTCCTCCTGCCAACGCTGACGGAATTAGCGCACCCTACCAGTGTTGACTCTCCAAACGAAATCGACTTGGAGTGTCTTGCTTTCGCCCTATGAGAAGGAAAGATCAAAGGAAGCTGCACTCAGGAAGCAAGAATCGATGGGGGAAGCCGAAGGTGGGACCGGCGAATTGTCCTAGTAGGCGTCCGCATAGCCTTTCAGCTCAAGGCTTCCGTTCAAAACTCTTCGACTTGTCCTTCACCAACACAAACCAAAAGGAAGAAGTTCAGGGAAACGCGGGCGATTGGCGAAACAGCCTCCCTATTCCCAAGTTTGAACGGTTCTAGTCCCACCAGTTTGCCTTCGTCGCCCAAGTCTCGGAAGGAAGCCCCTCGAGCAACTAAACTCCATCTATAAGCCGATTTTTGATTGCTTTACCTAGACCAACATCCGATATGTCCAGGTTGCCCACCGTCTAATCTCGCTCCGTTCCCTTGCTTCATCCCGGCCCTGCATCGTCCGGGTAAGAATTGTGCGAAGCTTTCCGACAGCTCACCAGCGGGCATATATCGTATTCACAAAGTCCAGCATCCTGTGCCGCCAAAAGGCTGAGGTCGAACTCAGCTGTGACTACACCAGGAGTTGTCTAATTTTCGACTTCCACTAGCTAGTCAGCCTTCGGGGCGCAGATGCGAGAAGCTTGTTACTCACCAGCGCATGTGTCGCGTTCACGACGTCCAGCGTCCCGTTCCCGCACCCTTGTGCCGAATTCAGCTGAGAAATAACTACACCGAGAAGTTTCTTCTTTTTGACTTTGATTGATCAGCATTCAAACCTGGTCACACTTACGAAGAGTTCCAAGCTCACCAGCGGGCATATGTCCCGTTCACGATGTCCAATGTCCCGTGCCCGAAGCTGCTCTCCCGGTAAGCGCTCCACGCGGGCTGCGCCTTGTCGCAGTACCCGGGGGTACCCCCCGGGGAAGAGCTGTTGCCGTCAGCATTGTACGTCAGCGCGCGCTTGAAAAACGACCACGGGTCGTTGATCGTCGGGTCAACCGGGACGAGGTAACCGGGGCGGACGCTGCTGTTGGCGACAACCGGGCAGCCGTTGTTAAGGTCCTCGTACTCTGCAGATTCAAGGATTGGAGATTTTGGAAACAGCGAAGCGGGACAAGGTAACTGCGCGGAATGGGCTGCTGGCGGCAATTGCATCTTCAATAAGGTTTTCGTACTCGTTTGCCTGATGGTTTGCTATCAAAAGAATCTGGTAACAGTATCTTTGGAGACTTGTCTCGGCTCGGAAAGCCGGAGAGGTTGACAACCCACCCGGTCGACCGCCCAGGATTATTGGCCGCCACCAGGCAAAGCTCACGTGACCCACGTGTCCGCAGAAAGTTACTCAGGGTTCTGATTAAAGGAGTACCTATCTGGCAAAAGAATAGGGCCTGATAGGACTGAATTTAATGCGACGCTTCGAGCGGCCTCCATCAATCATTTGAGTACCACCCGATTGCTGCAATTCGGACATTCCGGACTCACTGTGCTGAAGTTTGTCCGAGGCCAGTCCGGAGAGGCCTTCCGCGTTTCCGGCATCGCCGATGGTGATGTGGACGGCACCGCAGGGGTCGATCTGGCAGACGAGAAGGAGGCTTTTTCGGATTCGGGCTTAAAGTTCGAAGTTCTGAGGGTTAGAGGAAAAAGAAACACAGCATGCGAGAAACGTGAAGATACGCCCTGTATCAAATCGACAGACGACAGACGAAAGTTGTGCAGAAGCTCATGAGTACTAGTAAAGGAAAGGAGGATCGAAATTCAGGGCTTCAAGGCATCTGAGGCTCAAGGAGAAAAAGACATGACGTGCAAGTATTGTGAGGTTCAGGGTTCCCAGAACCACACCCGTTTTCGCAGGGCGGTTCGTTTCAGTGATTCAGGGGCGCCATTCGGACACGTGGCAGTGTACGCAAAGCTTGCGGAATCAAGTCAAGGTTGAATGAGAAGGCGGCACCCAGATTTGAGGCATCACGAAGCGGAGCTGGCTGGGATCAAATGCAGGAGAAACACGGAATGCAGAATGGGATTGGGATTGGGATCGTCGAGAGTAACGCATGAGAAGGACAGAGAAGACAGGACGAGCATTTACGACGTACCACGTAGTCGTAAACAGGGTATGTGCGCTCGTAAGAGTGCACGTGACCTACACGAAGTAAGCAGTGCAGTTGAGATTGTGACCACTCTTTAGGAAACCAAGTTTCGAGAAGAGGTTTGACCATGTCGAGAGGTCTCTTTCCAGTCAGAGGATCGCAGCTAGCGACTCCCAGGCAATGTACTCAGCAACAGTAAGTTCCAACCAAGAAGTAACACCTCCGCTCTATTTCAGAGATGAATGTCCAAGTGAACAGATTGACACAAAACCGCGCAGAGAGACGAACGTACCAAAGAACAAGTCCCTAGCAAGCGAATCTACGGTCAGCTCTTAACCACCCGAGCCCAAACCGGGGTCAAACGAGTATGGTTAGAACGGTAAAACCCACCATAGTAGAAGATGTCCACACCCCAGCGGTACGTCAGCGGCTCCATGCTCGCGCGCATCTGCTCGAACTCCTTGTAGCTGGTGTCGGTGGTAACCCACGGGTTATGGATGTTCACGATAACCCAGGGGGTTACGGACCGGTTAACGCTGCGCAGGTCTTCAGCGAGCCACTGCCACTGGTCGGAACCGGGGGTGTAGTCGACGTAAGGGGAAATGAAGATCCCGTGAACCGGGCCGACGTTCACGGAGTAGTAGAAGAAGTTGCCGCTGCTGGCGGCGGCCGGGTACTGTAAAACAGGGTTGAACAGAGGTTCAGGAAGAGGTTAGTGATAGGTTGACGAATATAGACTGAGAATGAACCGGGGCAGACTTGGACGGACTGATAGAAGCTGTTATCGCTGCTGGCCGCGGCAGGGTACTGCAAAGTAGATTCAAACAAGTCGTTTAGGCTGATTGGGAGCTTAACCGATTGGGTTCTATTTATGGACGAATCCGGTATCAGCTAGCAGGGCTAAAAAGACCTGCCAACAGAGGGCGGTAGAATTTCGCACGAAAGGGCTCTCGGTAAGACCGAAAAGCGCGTTACGGGTGGGGTTAGAGGAGGACAAGAGATCGAGCTCGAGTAACCAGGCCGCGCACTTCCGTCTCGCCGTATGCGGTGGCTCAGAAGAAAAGGAGGAGAGGCGCAGAAGAAAGGAAGCGCCGTTGACCGAGATGGAGCCTTTAGAGCATCATCTTCTAAACAGGATGCAGCGCCGCTGGAAAATGTCAAAGCAGAGGGAAGGAGCTGCTTTTGCTTTGGTTTCCGTTCCGGCGAACGGACGGAGCTGGTCAAAACGGACGGAACTTGCCTTCCAGCGCGCTTGCACGGCTTTGAAGATGGTGTTCTGGCCGTCACTCTGCATCTCGATCTCGTGGTTACCAGTTCCCCCCACCCAAGGCACCTGCGAAAGGTGAGGTCATGCCATTTTCTCCATAGAATATCTTAGAGAATATATTCAGTACAAGAAAAGCGAGACGCTTCAAAGTTCCTCCTTCTTGGGCGAAAGGTAGAAGTTCCAAACTGTTCTCCTGTCGAGGTCAGATTATTCTGTTCGTTTCCTTACTCTGTGAAGGAAAAGGAACTTCTTGACGTCCTTTGGTGAGAAGCACGTTCAATCTTCTCCTGTTTCACACAGTCCCAAGAGCGTTTGTTTCTCTTCTCAAGGAGAACGCAGATTTACCCTTTTCGGGAATAATGTGCGAACCGCTGATGACAACGCGGTTCGCGCTTTATTTCTGCAAATCATTTCGTGCGATGTGGGTGCGCGTGTGAAATGAAATCAAATTCTCTGCGGACGTCACAACGCCAGGATGCTCTTTACAGACACTCATGCGTGGAAATGCCATGAGATCATTCAAGATTGTTTTCAGAAAAGCCCAACCAAGAAGAAGAAGAAGAAGAAGCTCACCCGTGAAACGAGTGGCTCCACGAAGCGGAGGAAAGCGTCCCAGACTGGCTGCCACGTGCCGGACGTAAGGCCCTCGAAGCCGGTGTTGGGCTTGGACACGGTGCCGTTCGTGTACCACGTGTCAGCGTACACGTAATCAGCCTGCGGGGACGAGGACGTTCCGTGACGTCAGCGGTGCACGAACTGGTGAAGGGGAAGGTAAAGAAGTCTGGTGCGAGTGTGCTCTTCTACTCATTCTGGCGAATTAGTAGAAGGTTGATCTTGCGAATGAGAACGGTTTGGACTGCAGTCCTTTAAATTTGGATGTTAGACGCCGGAGACGAACAAAGGTGTCTCATCATGCCGTTACTCGTACTGACAAATTCGAGAAAACGATAAGGAAGCCAAGGGACATTCTGAAGGCGCGAGAAGGTTAAAGCGGGCAGACCCCGCTACCGCTACGACACTTGCAGCGTTTATTTAGAGCTTGTTCACACACAAGTAGGTGCCCCGCCTGCTAGGTTATCATAACAGGAGAAACCTCACAATGTAGAAGATGACGGGCGGGTTTACGTTGCCGATGGACGACTGCAGGATGTGCTGCAGCGTGCTCGTCGCGTTGCTGCTCATGCCCCAGTCCGCGATCGCCAGAATGCGCTGCGGATACGTCTGACCTGCATCAAAAGAACAGCAAGTTGATTCTTTTTGGACACATTTCCGAACCCTGTACGTTAAGAGCGAGTTTTCTGAGGAAAGCCCTCTGTGCGATGGGTATTCAGACGTCTCCCTGAAGTTACAATCCCACATAAAGAAAGCGTCGCTTGGGAGTTTATGTCTGAACTGAGATGCCGAACGGACTCGGCGTCTGCGTATTCGCTCTAGGTTCCCGGTGCCGGAACTCTGAGCAAGAGAGGAAAGCTTTTTGCGGTTCGGAAGGGGGTGAATGGTACTTAACCGGGTTGCTTATGAGATCCACCTTCCTTCTTCTTTGCTGAAATGTCGGCTGCGCCCGGAACCGAAACCTTTAAATCTGATGATACAAGCGCTTAACGGATCGTCTATCCGCAGACTTCAGCCTTTGAGATCATCCAAAGAAAAAGTTTACGTCTGAGAACGCAGATATCAAAGAGTCCTGTAAACATTGCGTCGCACGTACCTGCGGGGTTCACGACCGTAAAGTTGTACGTCTGGCTGAATGTCGTGTTGTCGCCCACTTGGTAAAAGTAGGTCGTGTTCGGTCTCAGCCCGGTGATGAACGCGCTGTGCAGAATGGGCGACGTGTAGTTCAGCGACGTCGACCCGCCGGTCGCCGGAACCGTCGTGTTGTAGATCTGGTCGTAAACCTCCGCCGCGCCGCTGATGTAGTTCGTCAGGTCTCCGGCGGAGGTTCCGTAGCGGACGACGGACGGAACGGAGTTGGGGTTGTTGCGGGTGAGAGCTCCGGTGCCGGTCTGAGAAAAAGTGATAAGAGAAGGGTTCAATAGGTTGTCTGTTCGTAAAGAACTTAACGAAGATTTTACTGAGGCCCCACATGATCGATGTTCAGTAACAGAGAATTAGTGAAACCGAAAGCCAAGAGGAGCTCGAAAGTAAGAGCCCTGAAACCGTGATCTTTAGTTCGTCGAGACGAGAAAGCAGGTTCCTATCGTGGCAAAGATTCTATATCTCTCTTACCGAGTCGAACGTCTGTCAAACACTCGGCCTTCGCCTCGAACGGAGCTCGTCACAACAGCAGCCAGCCAGAAGCGAGACGAGAAGGACGGGCATCGTAGTTTATGCTCAGCTAGCGTAGATGACGCAAGGTTTAAAACCACCAGTCGTTTTGAGAAGGGATTCAGATAAATGTCAGACAGCAAGTCCGGGGATCCTGTGAGCTAACAAGTTTCTGACATTGCAGGTCACTGGGGATTCTGTAAACAATCTGTCGCTAAAGACATGACGTGGTAGAGTAGCATCTTGCCACGTGGCCTCACCTTGTAAGCTCCAGTCGCCCAGTGAACAGCCACGCCGTTGGGGCTCGCGAGCGACAGGTGGACCTGCAGAGAAGAGCGCGCATAGTGTAACTGAGGTGCTTACAGCGGTTTCACTTCGGGCCTCTGTGTGCACGTACTCGAGTATTTACTTACGGGACCCGGTTTTAACCTGCCTTGGAACGACCTGATTTTCGTTACTTCGTCAGTGTCCCCTCAGTACCTCCCTTTCCTCGTCTCCGTCTCTGCCTCCAGGAGTTTGTTCGCACGGGCCAAGGCAGCGACTCTCAGGGAAAGCTGGCAAGGATCACGACGATTCAGAGAGCTTATCTTGCTACTTGCGATCATCTTCGATCCAAAAACGACGCTCCAATAAAAAACGGCTCTGAGTGAAAAACACGCAGAGAAGTTGGCGGTTTAATCTTGGTTTACCTGACTGGCATTGTTTCCCTGGTCATAGCCTGGGGGAGTCCAAGCAGGGTCCGTCAGGTTGGCAAAGTCGGCAGCGGGGCGGAGGGTCGTGTCGAAAGGAACGGTTACGGGGGTCTGCACATTATCAAAGGTCGTGAAACAGAATTACAGACCACGTTCATGATGAGAGTGAGAGACGCTTCCTTGGACGCAAGCTTCGAGTCCGGAAAGAATAGAGGCGTAAGGTCTAAGGGGACAGGAGAGGGGGTTGCAAATGACGAAACGGTACTATCAACTGAGGCTTTCTTTGCAGGGGAGATGGGAGTGCAAATCTCACCGCGATTGCATTGCTCAGGACTTGAGCCTCCGCCGCGGCGGTCAATGCGACCAATAGGACTGCAGCAAAGAGCGCCGCGCGAGCCATAGCTACTGCCTGCAAAAGGTCCGTCTTTAGTGTTCAACTCTTCCTTTTAAACAAATCAAATCACTGGAAGGTTTGGCTGCTAATCAAGTTCGACAACCAAACTCCAGTCCGGCTCTTTGACCAATAACCGCGTGATAGTCATGTTTAAAACGTGGTTAATACTGCTTGAGTCTGGTCATAGGACACTTAACCAGCTTCGAACCAGCCCGTAACCGAATGTGGTTAATCGCCAAAAGACCCTGTGTTAAAGGGCGGTGATTGCGGAGGAGACGCTCTGTCAAGCAAGGAGCGTTACCTGAGGAAAGTCCATCTCTGGTAGATTCAGAATGGTTAAGTCTCAGTTGTATTGTAATTCCATCATCTAAAGTAGGAAGCTTTGTTCAATGAACGATTCGTAGGAAAAGTTCAATTAGCACGTGAAACTGTACAGAAGTTGTTGAGAGCCAGCTGTTCTGCTTTTGGGCGCTCGCTTAGTCAACAGACGCCAATCTGAAGAAAATTCGAAATACATAAGTTGTTGTGTGCATTGATACTCTGTTCCGAATTGGCTGGATTCAATGTAGCAGGTTTGAAACACAACACAAGCTTGGGACTACTCAGGGACGAGCTCTAGAGTGGATTTGAGTTGCATTGTCAAAATTCTGACCAATGAAGCTGGCAAAGTGACTTGTGATCATCTCACTTTGCAGTTTCAGATTTTGGTTCACAATGAGTCCAGGGATGAGATTTTCAGTGGGATGCAACCTTCCATAATACTGTCACACAGAAACTTTACTGTGCATTCCCTGCACACATCTCCTGTAAGAGCTTCCCGGAAACTGGAAACCACGCTAATATGATGTAGATTCTGAACATACCCATTTAAGTTCTCCGCCAAATCAATGAAGCTCGGTGACCCATACACTGCATGCAGACAACGTTTCTTCCGCAGCAACAACGGTCCTAATCAAAAGCCCTGCTGGCACTGGCGTTCAATAAGCAATGCGCAATCAGCGTCGGCCTGAAAAACTTCACAGGGAGCTGCCGCCTGCGATTTTGAAAGTTGTCAGTCGCAGAAAGTTGAATTGAGCCGATTACCTCTCACCTAATCGGAGCAGTTGTCGTCTGCACGCTTCCTAAAGCACTGAAGATCAACTAGCTCCGCAAGCGAGACGTCCTTACAATCCGTGGCGCCAAGAACGAGCTGCCTTCAGCTTTTCCACCCGTTGGGTTCTGTCTCTCACGTCACGTCGCTGCGTCTTGAACAGGCCATCACTATGTCAAGAGGTGCCGAGTGACTCTAAAATGCAGTAGTACGCTAGAGTCTAGACACACAGGTGCACAGGTACCGGTCATGAGCCAGTGGCAATCAGCGCACTGCAGCCGCTCAATATCGTGGGCGCCCAGATCAGAAGCTGTCTCACGGAGGTGTGAATCCGCCTCAAACTACTACTCATGGCCCCGGCAATGAACCCCTCCGACATTCTCTTTGAAGTAGCACTTCACCGTACCGTTCTTCTTAGCAGAAGTTAGCCGAGCAGAGCAAGAGCCAAGCGATTGCTAGATCAGCGCTTGCTGCTACTGAAGCAGCACATGCATACTTGTCATCTGGATTTTGTTGGAATCTCCTTTTGCAAGCATACTACCGGTGGACGACTGCTGAAATGCAGTGCGAATCTGGAATAGCCAATCAAAGCAGCCCACGTGCGGACGGCAGGCATCTCGAAGGGAATCTCCGGGAGCTCGAAGTTACTTCAACGGAATATTCAGTACCTAGTTTGTGAATCTAGCTTGTGCTGCTTTGTAGTACTCTACCTACTGCAAACAGCTAGTGCAAACTTCAAAGTTCGTGCCGCGGTTTGACTGCCCGGCCGCGAGGCCGCCGCTTCGCCCTTCTGACGATCAGGCGGCTGCGTTGCGGGTGATCATTCGCGCGCGGCCGCCCGGTCGGGGGGAACTTGGACAGCCCGCGGCCGCGTGTCTCAAAACCCGGCCGGTCCGACAGCCGCGCGCTGCGGCGCGGGCGGCCGGGACTCCGATTGAACGTCATTTTTGTGCGCGTACGATCGCGGTATTGTCGGCCGCTCGCGACGCTGCCGTACAACGCGTACAGCGGAAGTACGGTACTGGGTACGGTCGTACCTAGTACCGTAGTAGGTACCGTCGGACCACGGTACACTTCGGTGACATTTTTACTACCGTATAAGTCGCCCCTTACGTGGCGACAGTCTTGGGAATCGCACGCGCTCCCCGGTTTCACACCGGGCGATACCCATGCGATCGTGCGATCAAGACACTGGAAAGTAGTCCCATGTACTGTAAAGCCTGTGGTATGCTTTGAAGCGCATTGTTACGTACCGGTTAGACTGCCTTGCGTACGGTGAAATGCCATTGCGCCGCTGTACGCAGTCGTCGACGATCGTGCACGCGTTTTTGGACAGCAAACCGTTGATATCAATGACAAAACCTGCAGCTCGCTTGAATTCAAAATTCAAACCGGATGTCAAAATGTTGCTTTACAGGCTACATAGGTAGTACATAGATTCACCAGTTGATTAAGAAAAGACGGTTGCCTTGCTTCAAGGTCTGTGACCACTGATCAGGGTTCCCACCTCAGTGGGGCGCTCTTCTTAGAATTCAAACGCTCGGAAGGCTTAGCTGGCCAGTAAACTGAAGAGGCGAACGTCCTTCCTTTTGAGAAGGAGGCAGAAGCGGCAAGAACCTACTGGAGAGATTGATGCAGGGAGTGATGCTTTCAAGGCTCTGATGAAACTCCCAACCCAGTTTTAATACTTTCCATGCTGCAGCACTGCTGGTACTGTGTAAGCTATGCTGATGGCTCTACCTCAGGCTGCCAGTGGCTGCAGTAAAAGGCTCCAGGCTGGGCCCAGCCACTTGAAAAGGCCCATCTCCATTTCACCTTTCTCTTTTAGGGCCAGGATGATCCCAACCCCTGTTTCAACGCACAGAAGCAACTATTTGAACCAGAGCACAAGGCTGCAGAATCCTCACAGCCACATTGCAGGTTCAACACATGAACAAGGTCCTTCCAAAGCCACAGTATCTCCCGCACCCTGCAGCCAAATGATGCATCTGTCTGACTGTGTGGAAGACATCCTTGTAGAGCAGCTAGACGGTAGGGCTTCAAACGCCATTCTCGGTAGGCTTGCAAGGTTGTGCTATTGAGATTGCGAAGGTGATTGCTCCTGCTTTGTGATACTGCATGCCTCTGAAGATTCTGCTGCACCGCCTGGGCTATTCGGCATTACGCACATGGGCGTTGCAAGGTTGCAGCTAGATCACGCCGAATGCTTTTTCATGTTTCAAATCCAGCTTGAGAGGGTTTTTTGACCACCCACAGATGTTTTTCAACTTCGTTGCGAGTGCTGCGGCGCTCATGCATCACACGGAAGGCGCGGGGGCAAGCACGGTGGAGGCTTGGAGTACCGCTGTGAGGCGCACATTTCAGCTACCACTCGCAGCACTGCTGCTGGATACTTCCGCATTGATCCTCAACGCCAAGGTGAAGGCTTTGTCGTACAGGGTGCTGCGCAATCTGGAACACTGTTTCTAGAAATTGAGAAGGAATTGCTCATATTAGAATTCAGCCGGACTGGCATGTACATGGAGTTGGAAATCAGCATAGATCTCACTACCTTTATCGAAGCTCTTTCAACAGTGGGCGGGCAAAGATTGACACGCCGAGGGAGCCATTTGCAAGGGACCCTTCGGAAGACTCTCCAGCTCACAGTTCAGATTTGAGCATGGCATCAGTTTTTACGTCGACCGGTTGTTCTATGTTTCCAAGTGGCTTCTGGTGATGCAGCAAGTGCTGACCCCATCTTTTCAGTTCCCGAACCCTGTCGTTCGCCTATCTAGGTTTTCGTAACTCTCCCTTCATTCTGCAGAGTGGATTGATGCAAGGAAGCAACGTCAAATTGACAACGAGGCCAAGTCTCAAGCCGAGGTTGCGCAATGCCTAAAGGGGCTCCATGAGTTGCAAGAGAAGTGGTGTGCAGACATGTTGGAGAAGGCACTTGCAAGTGCTCGGCAGCTACTGTGTAAGCTTTCTAGATACATTCACTGATTACGCCTGGTTTGCTATGAATCAGATGAGCAGCTTACAAAGTCGTTCAATGACAAGACTGGCGTTGGTCCAACCGCATGCTCTATGCTCTTGCAGGAAGATGATGCTGGTTGTCTATTTCGATGATACTGTGAAGTTGCGTCTCATGTCCTTTTGAAAACTTGAGTAGAGGGTGCAGGAAAGAGGGGGTTTGCTTTCATGATGAGCTGCTTATCCGAAGCTCTTGAAATACTGCCTTGATGCGTCGCTGGTTTTCGTGGGCTCATTGACTATGATAAGCGCACTTCTTTTAGGGGCATTGCAGCTACAGGTGATCATAGAGAGGATGATGCTTTTAGGACAGTCCAAGATTGACTTCAAGTCCCTCTGAAGTTAGGCTTCCCTTGTACTTACCTTTCAATGTTTGGTTCGTAGGTTGGACTTGCTCGATTGGTAGCACTCGCTACTGGTTGGAGAATGAACCAGGGCTGCTAGAGAAGTTCCACCAGGAGCTCAACCTGGGGACACGGCACGTGCTCAGCCGAGCAATCATCGGTACGTTTGTTCACTCGCTTCAATCAGCCAACCTCTACTTGCTAATCCGCCAGCCTTCATTGTCCAGACTCGCAAGCAAAAAGAGCACTGCATGAAAAAGTTAGCCACACTATTATATTCAGAAGTTCGTCGTCCTTATGGACATTCAGAATTTGGCCGTCCAGAGAGGAAGGTCAGTGATCTTGCGGTAGGCACCCCCATGCTGAGAAGCCTGGTGCACTGAGCTAAGCTGCTTCGATTAGGGCTTCTTGCGTTTTACCACCTTGTTCCGCTTTCTTAGTTTTCACGCTTCAATATGAGCGAAGCATGAAACGTTCACACGTTTCTGGTTCTCAAGTTTTGGCCGGCCGGCTTGCTCTGCGGCTATCACTCCTGATAAACCGAGCAAGTCATGCCACCC